GCTATCTTATTCCGCAATTCAGCTTCATTTTCTTGCAGCTTAACTACCTTTTCACGTGATTCTTTCAAATATTGCTGATAATTTTTCTCCCTTTCTTCCATTAATTTAACTTTATCTTCATATGTTTTTGACTCTCTTTCCATTTGGTCTTTCAATTCGTGTAGCTCTTCTTCTTGTTGCTGTTTACAAATTTTCAGTTTTGATTCAAATTCCAAAGCCTTCTCAGATTTTGTTGACTTTGCATGCTCAAAGTCTTTCTCAATATTCTTAATCTTAATATCAGTTTCTTCTTTCATTGTGTCATATTTTCCTTGTAATTCGACCAAATTTTTATCACGTTCACCTTTCAGAATCTCTAGTTCTGCTCTCAGTTTGGAAGCTTCGGCTCTTTTAGCAATAGCGTCCTCTTCCCATCGTTTTAACCTTAGCAAGGCATCTCTCAAATCTTTCTTTAGATGATAAATCTCAGAATCTTTGTTAGGTTGTTGCTCAAGTTTGTTTATCTTTTCGGTTTGATCAGCCAACATTTTCTGAGCAACTTGTTTATATTTTTCAAAATCTTCTTGGACTACACTTTTTGAAGCTAAGTTTATATTCACAACTTCCACTTCTTTAGTTTTTTGTGCTACCTCGGTTGAAAGAGAGGCAATTTCTTTTTCTTTCTCTTTCACTTGACCGTTCATCTCATCAATTTTTTTCAATAGCTCTTCAAACGCTGCTAAACCTTTAGTTTTAATCTCTCGCAAATGAGCTAGTTTCTCCTCATTTGTAAAATTTGCGCTTTCGACTTTTAACAGTTTGTTAATTGTCTCCATGATATCTCTTTTAGGTCGTTTAGCTTTTGTAGTATTATAATGTTTTCTCATTGCTGTATTAATTTTATCAATAATAGTCCTCTTGTCATCATTTGCTTCCAACATTACATCTAGTTTGACCTTTTGTCCAAAGCCATCTACAAGCAAATGCACCGATAAACTTCGTGCTGTTGCACTTATGTCCGATGGATAGAAAATTTCTTGAAGACCTACCAACCACTCACCACTCAAATCAATGGGTCGAGCCAATCGATTAGAAAATTTTGTTAGAGTGTTGTGAGGGAAAATGTCCATCGAAGCATTTGAGACTGCTTCAATGAAATACTCTGAGGTTGATTCCATCTTGAACCCACTGATTAAATTTACTTGGATAGTCTTTCCACTTTACGAAGTACTCTTTCTTTTTTGTTTTTTGATTTATTCTCGTTTTTAATATCTTTTCGATCTGATATAAACTTGGCTCTATGGCTGGTACTAGTTCATTGTGGTAAAAAACTGAAGTTATTCTTTCACCAGCATAATCTTCCAACCAATAGACCCAACCTTGTGGTGTCCTCTTGTGTTTGCTAATAGTAAATATTTCCAGTTTAAAATTTCTTTTCGATCCTTTCTCGAAAATCCCTTTCTCTCTTCTTATCCGAACCTTTGAACCAACGGTAAATGGTTTATAATTTATTTTACTTTTGGGATGAGTTTTTCTTATATTTTTCAGTACCAATGAAGAGTTTTCATTGTTCACTTCTACTGGTGACATACCAATTGTCCGATGAAAAGATTCATTATATGACTGGATTATTTCGTCAAGTACATCGATGAATTTTCCAGTATTTGCATGGTGCAAGTAGCGATAAATCCGTGCTCTTATGGTACCGTTGAATCTTTCAACAATAGCACATTTAATTGTTCCATCGGTAGCAAAAAAATGGTTGATTTTTTTCTGTCTCATTAATGTTTTGAAGTCTGAGTTTGCAAACTCTTTACCTTGATCACTTTGTAACTTTTCTGGTACTCTATTACTATCGGAAAAAATATCATCAAGAGCCTGAACGACTTCAATACCAGTCTTCTTTCTGATTGCACGTGACCAGGCAAACCTACTGAAACAGTCAATTACATTAAGTAAATAACGGTAACCATCATTATATTGACTAACCCAAGACATGTCCATCAAATCAATCTGCCACTGCTCATCAATCTTATTAACCAAAATTGGTAGTCTAGGGAATTTATTTTTGTTTTGTTTGAAAAGCGTATATGTATCCTGCTTTCTCAACCATTTTTGGACATCAGCGAGTTTTACTGTAGGGTCTCTTCTTTTCAATGCTTTGTATAATCGGTCAACTCCACCAAATGATCCTATCGCTTTCGGTGAGTAATATTCTCTTTCGTAATGTTGGATGCTTTCAGCCATGATATGTTGACTTGTTTCAACTTTTCTTTTGCTTTAGGGTTGATTATAAGGTTCAAACACTCTCTGCAGTTTTCTTTTATGTACTTTAGTACTTCTGTTGTTCCATTTGGTGCTCTTCCGATATAGTTTTTTGTCTTTAGATATTCAACTACTCTCTCAATATCACTACCCTTTATTTTTCCCTCGTCATTAAATATCTTATTATCATCGTCAACTAAATCAGACTCTTTTTTCAATATTGACAATAAATCATTATCAACCACCCGTGAAGTCTGTGGTGTTGATGATTCTCGTCTATTAAATACTCTCTGAGAAATCGTTGGTGTTTCATTGACTTCCTTATTGTAGGTGTTATCCAAAACTGTATGAAAAGAATCCTCAGAGTCTTCGTCAGATTTGACATAATCATCTCCGTTGTTCTCTCCTTCATCTCCCTTTTTCAGATCTTGGTACATTCGATATCGCGCTGTTAATTCATTCCTAAGACGGTTCTCATCCTTTTCTTTCACCTTTTCTTTTTTGATATCATCTTTCATCATCATTTGGTTAATCAGTTTCATTTTTATGCTTGTAGGTAAATCCGAGCTCATAATTGGATCGAAGTCTATTTGTCTCTTTTTTACATTGTTTTTATATTGATCTTCAGGTATAAGTACCATTCGACTTGTTGAATTCATTCTTCAATTCGTTTTGCAATTAAATTGGCGAGAATAGTTATAGCTGGAACAAGTAAACCTTTTAATAAACCACCTTTTTGAATTAAAATTTTTTTAGCTTTTTGACGTGTTATCTTTCCACCAAGACTTCGAATTTCTCTTTTAAATTTTTTTACACGAGCTTTTTGTTTAGTTGTTAAATGTATATGACCTTTCAATATTTTACGAGCTATTTCTTTTATAACTTGCATCACAATACATGGACATGTTATCATCAATTTTCTCCGTTCATTCAACTTTCTAGCCTGACTCAACTTTTTTAAAGCTGGTAAAACGGTAATTGCTTTTGAAACAGACATTTTTTAGAATCAACTTTATTTAATTTTTCTTATACAATTTAGATTTGATAGGCATAAATTACTTCTTTTTCTCCCAATACATCTGTTAGTAATCTAACTTCATCTGGTATCTGGTTTACAGTCAATAAACAGGTATGAGAAAGGACTTCGTGTTGCATGTTCAAATATTTGTCTAAATTGTGATGAACGTCCTGGAAACATTTGCTTGGCTAACATTGTTGATATTGACTTATCTCTTGGGTTTTGAAAGAACAATATAATGAGAGTTTAGAAATATTTCTTGCCTCACCACCTTTTATAAAAAGTTTTGTACCAGTAAAATAACAGAAAGATTCCTATGATGACTTTTTGTAAACAGTTGTGATACGATTTTGAATTAGACGATTCATGCATCAAATCATCAATTATTATTAAATGAGCTTTCTTACCGTCAATTTTATCAAGAAAATTTTCAGGTAAGCCCTTTATAAACTTAACACTTTCCATTTCGTTGAAAATTGGTTGATATTCTGCATAAAAATAGGTTATCAGTGTTGGTACTGGACTGATTACTTTCTCTCTGTTTTCAATTAGTTTTTACCCAAAATGATTTCCACACCCACTTGGTCCAGAAACCATCATAGTAAATGGATGTCTCAAGTAAATTGAATACATTTTTCACTCATTTTTTTCTCTCCGCAATTTACTTGTCTTATATAATTCAAATTTTCTTGAAACAATTTTCACACAAATTTATTATCTACCAAAATCTTAATTTCAAGGTAAATGCTTTAAACAGAAGAGCTTCATTATAAAGTATGTGCATTAGAAGCGTACGGTGCATTTAAAAACATACGGTGCATTAGAGGCGTGCATTTAAAAATTAGGCTGCATTAGAGGCGTACGGTTCCCTACTACTAATGCTAACAATTTATTTTGTCACTTTATTAATCGTCGAGTTGAAAATTTATTATATTCGTCATCTAATTGAAATTATCTCATAAATTGTTCTGAAATGAATGAAATAAATTGCAAACATGTAAATCATCATGAAAGCAACAAAGTAAAAACTACTCATTCTCACACTAACAAGACAATTAATCTGTTAACAGGAAAAGATTTTAATATCATTATATTGTAAAAAGATTCAATCATGAAACTGATTCATGATGATGATGCTAATAGATGACAAGAGGATTTGAAATATTTGAAAGTGAAGAGAAAAAAATTTACCCGGATGATTGCAGGATAGGAAGAGGGTGGGGTGGGTTTCAACATGATGAAGATTCTCAAGTTAAACGATATTTAAATATCAAGCAATGGAAGCATATCTAATTTGAATGTTATTCGTGTTACTCAAAGGTATTCAACCATTAACATGGTGTCTACATGAAATGTTGAAGATGATGATGATGATGATGATGATACTTTTAATGAGAAATACAAGTTGCATCATCTTAACCTTTTCCTTTCATCATGATAATCTTGATGGTAAGGGTGATGATCCAATTGTTTCAATTGTTACCTTTTTGCAAATGGTTGAGTTAATTGGATGAATTCTGATAATATCATTCAACCCATTGGCAATTGAGTGTAAATATAATAAGATGAACAAGATAATATTATTGGTATCAATTCCCTTGTTATCCAATTTAAATGTGATTCTTATCTCAATCCGATTAATGAATACATACATTAATAGAAATATAAAATTATCGATAAATATTAAAATACAATTAACTATAACGATAATTATTTCTCTCTCTCTCTCTCTCAATAGGATATCCACCAACATTTTTACGTACTTTTGAAGAAATGGTTCTTGAAGAGGGATCACCTTTATCACTAAATTGTGTAGCTTATGGTAATCCACTTCCACAGGTAACATGGTTACTTGATGGTTATCCAGTTCTGGATATATCCAGGTACAGAATAGGTGATTATGTGACCAAAGATGGACGCCTTGTTAGCTATGTTAATATAACCTCAGTATTGCCTCAAGGTAAGTGTTACGAGCGGACAATTTTCCCTCATCACATTGATGAATAAGTCAAGTTGAACTATTCAATGAAAAAGAGATTCGATTTGTATATTAACGTAAATATAACATGAATCTGATGAATATCGATAACCTTTTTCCCATGGAATGAATCTATTCACTAATAGAGCCTTTCAATCAAATCCATAATCGTCATAAACAATTAACTGTCATAAAGTTAATTGTTGTATGGTAATTTCTCTTTCTCTCTTTGTTGACAATTTATTTCACTCAAGACAATTGCGACCATGATGATGCATGTAATTGTTATTGTATTTGAAGAGCAAATCAATTCTGATGGACTCTGATGTGAATGGTAATTTGATACAAATTTATGGTTAGAAAACCAGAAGTTTAGTTGATTTTTTTGGTTGTAAGTTTAAGTGGTTATGGTGGTTGTTATAAACAATCAATAAATTGTTCCAATGATGTTCACATTGGATATACAAAAGATCAACATGATGATTAAGAAGAAGACATTAAATTGAAGAGGAGGATGATGAAGATGGAGAGAGAAACCTTTTTTGATGTTTATTATTATCAATGAAATTTTCATTAGCAGCAACATGAATATTACAATTATCATGCTGATTGTTATCTTTGTAGATGAGCAATAAACAATCAACATGATGATAAATGTTTAGATTATTGAAAAAAATTAATAGACAAAAATGTGTAAACTATTGTTTCCTTCCGGTTTGTTAATTGACTGTCCATTGAAAATAATAACGACAATGGTGATACCGTTAATGATGAACATTATCATTAGGGAAAAAAGTAATTGAAGTCAATTAAGCTCAGTAATGGATAATGAGGAAATGAGAGATGCCCGATGAGAGAGAGAGAGAGAGAGTGGTAAATATTACTTGTGATATTGGGAATATGATGAATATTATTATGGAAAAGACAAAAAAATTAATACTTTGGAATCGAAAATGGAAGATGAGAGAGAGAGAGAGAAAACTAAGATAAATGAACAGAAAATGAATAATATCACATAGTCTGAATGATGATGGGAGATGGAGGATAAAAAGTTCTGAATGGAAAGTTCTGAATACAGGAATAACATGAGAAAAGAAGAAGTAAAAAGGAAATTGCAAAGATGCAAAGATGAAGATGAAGATGAAAATCCTTCTGAATGATGGAAACTAGATGATGGGAATTAATGATCCATTTCTCTAGCTTGTTTATTGGCCTTATCCTCATCATCCTTCATCATCATCTTAAGCATCATCTCTTTGCTCTTTCCATAGTAATAATAATAATAATAATCCAGAACTTGTAGTTTGTACTTGTTGTTGTTGTTTCCATGTAGTAACTTGGTGTTTTTTGATATTTCTTTGGTAACTGTTTCGTTATAAATTCATTTCAAGACAGAGATAAAAAGTATCTATCGTAATGATGGCATTCAGAGTTTCAGAGGCATGGTAAAAATCAGAGGGAATCTGAAGAGTAGGAGGAAAAACAAGAATGGAAGAAAAAAGAGAACGATAAGAAAGAGAAAAAAGATTAAGCTCTCTCTCTCTCTCCTCTTCTCGTTCTCAGAGTAATAATAATAACAAAGATACAGAAAAAGGGAAAAGGAAAAGGTTAACATGTAATCAGAATCATGAGAAAAACTCATGAAATGAATGAAACAAAAATCAAGTTGATCGTTTATAATGTTGCCTTAATGAGAAACTTGGTTTATAATATTTATCAATGTCAAACCATTTTCCACAACGATATTATATCTTCTTCTTATGAATCAACCTCCACAACTCATTACCCACCCTAATCTTAACATGATTATCGTAATTATCATGACCAAGTTGCCGATTCCATTTGACCTTAATAAGAGTTAAAATACAAAATCTCCTAAGCGAATGACCAATATATATATATATATATAATATTTATCTCTCTCAATGAACTTTCCTTTTTGTTTACCATGATAGATGGAGGTCTCTATGAATGTACAGCATCAAATGACGTGGACACAGTGCGACACTCGAGGCGTATCAATATATTGGGACCACCGTACATTAGGTCAATGAAAAATGTTTCAGGAGTTGCAGGGGAATCGCTCATACTCAACTGTCCAATCGGTGGTTATCCAATTGAAACCATTTTCTGGGAAAGAGGTTAGTATATTATCATGATGATGATTTTGTATTTTATATTTTTCTTTCCATAATAACAATAGTAATATAATCCAATTGATGATGCTAATCGTAACGTTGATGATAAATCATTACGATTATTATCATCATCAATTATCCCTTAGCATGAAAACAAATATCATCCAATAAATTACAATATAAACTTTATGTCGTTGTAGTCAGAAAGGAATCATGATTTATGTTGAATAGACAATTGAATTAATTAAATTAGCTCTTCTTTACTTATCTCTTTATATATGAATTATCATCATGAAGATATTGAATTTCAAGTTTCTTTTTCGTAGCATCTTCTCAATGTTACAATTGAAAGTTCATGAAAGGTTGAACCTTTTGATTTTTATAATTACTTTACAATTAGTTGATTCTATTGATTTGATTTGTTAGTTTATCATCAAGTTAATCATATGAATTTTATTCAGTAGAAAAAAACGATGAAATTGTAAATTCTTTTGCAGTTTTTTCTCTTTTGATTCTTTATCAAGATTCTTTCAAATTCGTTCAGTTTTTTTCTTTAGATTTATTCTCACTTTTTTTCTTCATTGCTCAACACTGAATGAATTTCGAATGAAACTGAATATCTCTCTATATTCTCTCTCTCTCATTAAGTTTAAAGCCCATGAAAGCATAATGAGTATTCTGTTGATATGATTCTCGAAAATGCTTAGAATTTTAATATAAACTCGGTAATTGCGAATTTTTTTCGCATCAATCAATTTAACTTCTTATTTCTATTGCCCATCTTTCCTCTTTATCATCATGATTATCATGCTGATGAAAATAAAAAGTGAGATTCACAAATTTCAAAGCTAAAGAACATGAGAGAGAGAGAGAGAGAGAGAGAGAAAAGAAAGAAAAAGTTTAAGAAATTCAAAAGCAAATTCTGTTCACTTATCATTATTATTGCTCAGTAAACTTGATTCTTTTTTTACTAGCTAGTTGATTTCTCCATGAATCAGATTTACTTTTTTTTCTGCTTCATGATAGATGAAACAAAGTGAATTCAGTAAACCCTTTTTTCAGTAATATTCAATTCTATCCTTAGTTTCCTCCTCATCCTCCTCTTCATCACTCTCAATTCAAATCAATCAGTAAATGTTTGACAATCTTTGCTTCCTTTACTATTCTGATCCATGATAATCATTATCAGTATCTTCATATCTCTCTCTCTCTCTTTCTACAAAAATTGATTGCTAAATCAACCTAATTTCCCTCCCTGAATCCATATATAACACCATGAAAATGGAGAAAACTTTTTGCAAAATGTTTTCTGGTTTCAAGTGATTTCTTTGATTCTGTCAAATGTTTACAATTACATTTCCTCATGAGGAAGACAGAAACTGTTCCCATCAAATGATTACGATACATTTTCAAGTTGTCATCATTGCAAACAATAAAGATTGAAAGAGATGGAGGATGATAAAAAGATGATAGAGAGAGAGAGAGAGAGAGAGAGAGAGAGAGAGAGAGAGAGAGAGAGTGAGTGAGAGAGAGAGAGCATAGAAAAAAAAGGAAGAAGAAAATTCAAAATTCTACTGATAAAAAAAATCAGAATTCATTATCAAGAAGGAAAAAAATTCTGTAGAAATCTGAACAATGAACAATATGAGTTAATTTCAATTCTTGAATGAATAATTAGAACGACAAAAAAGGAATCATATTTATTTTTCTCAATCCTTTGAAACGTTTTAATAATTGCAATTGTGATATTTGATTGTTTGCAATTTTTAAATTAGCATCAGTGTCATTTACACAATCAAATATCACACACAATTTGCAATTATCATGATTAAACAATTTCTCGACAATTTACTTACAAGATATTCACCTTAGTTGGAAACAGTGAGAATTGAGTTGAATTAAATTTGTGTCAAATTTTTTGCTCAAATTTTGATCTTAGATGTTTAATTATATGAATTTCTGTTAATCATCAAGAGAGAGAGAGAGAAAATAAAATTCAATCAAGTTAAGTGAAAAATTGAGTTTTCACAGGAATTGAACTTTCCCTGGATTTTTATATTTAGTTGATTTGGTGTATTTACTTCAGGTGATCTTGATTGTATCAGAATTTTATTTGATAAACTTGATTTGACAGAATGAGCGTTAGTGTTATTTTATCAGTTCTCAAAATTTTCCTTTTCTCTTTCATCAACAAAAGTTGCGGAGAAAATTTTTCAAGACAGACGAAGATGAATTACTTGTTAACAAGGGATTCGTCCGTGAGAGTAGGGTGACTTCAGATGATGAGGTGAAAAAAATAACGATCTTAAAAAGGAGAGTAAAGAAATGGAAGGAAAAAAAAGTTCCTTGGGAAATATGAGCTCAATCAGAAGTTTCCATCGTTGATAATCTAGAAAAAAAAGACTGAATAAACTGTAGGATTGAACTTGTTACGAGGAGAGTTCAGGAATGATTAGAAAACTATTTGGTGATGGTGACAAAAAATAGATGATGAAGACAATGTGAGACGAAGATGATGATAATAAGATTAAAGATAATGATTACGAGGAAGAGGATGAGGATGAGATATGAAAAAAGCCAAAGCTTTTAAACAGATAATGAAAAATAGCCATGATCTTGGGGAAATTATCTGGATATGTTAGACTCCTCTCTCGAAAATATAGTTGTAAATGGAAAGATGAAGATCGAGGATTAGAGGAAAGGAGATACTAAGAAGTTATGATGAAATGAAATGAGAGAGAAAAATGAAGATAGAAAGAGATGAAATTCTATGTGTCTATTGACTATTCTTCATAAGGATCGCATCTTTGGTCATCGTTATCATCGGTCTCTTTCTCTCTCTCTCTCTCTACAATCCAATTGATCTAAGGAAATGTTAGACGGAAAAAGAACAAAAGTTCTGAAATTTCTCAGTTCACGATGATAATGATGATAAGGAGCAAATCAATTTCTTTTATTAAATTTACCAAAAAGAAGAAGCAAGAGAGTAAATAACAAAGAATAAAAAAACTCCCTTGTAATAGTTTTAAATGAAAAGGCCATTTATTTAATCACTTTTGTTTTCCACCCCCACTCACCCACACCCACTTTCTATTTCTACTCATTGTATTTCTTACAGTTTTAGTGTTTTTTTCAATTTTTTCCACTTTCACCTTCTATTTCATGTCAATTTGAGTTCTATTCTGATTTTGATTCATAAATACAAGAAAAAAATGACCACTCAATCCAGTTATCAGTTTTCACCATAATTATTTCATCGAAATCAGCTAAAAGTACTCGGAACTTTCATCCACATTCGAGTTTCATGATTAGAATTCATGACAGTCAATTCTCTGGATGAATCATGAGGAATTAATTATCTAATAAAGATATAAGAATAATATTTACCCGGAAAGGTGTTGATTTTCAAATTAAATTAACTTCTAATTGGATCAAATTTCATTGGAAATGTAACTTTAATTGTAATCGCCTCGGAGCTATTTAGTCTATGATGATGATTATCATGAGAATAATGATGAAAAAAAATCAGCACTGAATTAGCAAATCAAATGATTGGTTAATTGTTGAATGAAAGGAAAATAATACTTGACATTATTTACTTTGAAGGAAAATCAGAGAAACTTAAGTTTCCAAGGTAACCCCTTATGGAAACTGATGATTACATTGATGATGATAAAAAGTGATGATGACAATCATCAGCATGATGATTCTCATCAGAATCATTATCATCATTTGAAAAAAAAGAGGATGTTTAAGTGTCTCTTGAGTCTACTTGAGTTTTTACCTTATATAAACCATGAAGATAGAAAATCATTCCAATTGTTTCTCAACAGAATTCATGGTTAGAAAACAGGGGAGAAAACCTCAAGAGTGTAATAATTGTTTTCCTGGTTTTCTTCATTTGTTTTCTATTGAGTAGAAAAACTCATGACAATAGTAATGGATTCCAATGAATTTTCTAAGTTCCAAAGCTTTCTTTTCATGTGATTTTCCCCTGAATACTTGCAACTTTTTCATTCCGATGGAAAATGTAAAACATTTTTTTCCTTTGCACTTTCATTCGGATGAAATTTTGCTTCCATTCAATATGAATAACAGATGAATATCATCAGATAAACACCATTGTGTTTACAATTACAGGGGAAGGAGAAACTTTGAATGACATGATAAACTATCATGAAGTATCATGATGATGATAATGATGAAATTTGAACTTGAATGAAACAAAAAGTGATTAGAGGGTTAGTTTTTTTTTCTTCATCAAAACTCTTATCCATTTATTGTTATATTATTTTTCATTAAATAATATAATCATTATTAATATGATTTCATCTTAGCATTTGGCCTGGTTGATTCAGGGAATGCCATGAATTCTGGTAAAGTTATTATTCTCAACAATGAAATCCATTATACAATTGAATTTCTATTCAATTGAATGAGATTCTGAATGCTGGGTAATCTTGATGATAATGATGATAACTATAATAACTTTCATGAATTAAGATTATCATGGTGGTGAAATTTTTTTTCTCTTTCTCGATCTGAAAAGAAATTAGAATTTTTTTTCCTCCAACTGAATTGAAAAAGAATTGAAAAATTGTATTCATCTCTCTCTCAGAATTAACCTTTCCACCCACACATGAGGTTGAATATTCGGTTGTTCAATGTTATCAGAATTTACTCTTGTTCGGTGAGATTTTTCATTTATTTTCCATTGGAATCGACAATCATTTTCTCGGTGGTTTTAATCAGATTAATTTGATTTCGATTAATAATTGAAACGGTTATTGTGTTAGACTAATAGTTTTCCATGATTCTGAGATTAAATGGAAATCATTTAATCAGTTGCTGAACAATTTTCACTTGTTCTTATATATCATGAACCTCATGGTTTCTCAAAATGAATCAAATGTTTTTTTTGTTGTTGTTTCTCTTCCTGATTTCAAACTGAATCATCATGTTATTGGTTTTCTCAGATCAAATTCATTCAGAGAAAGATTTTCTCTCTTTACTATTTCAGTTCTTAATCAAATGAATCATTCAGTTAATCCTGATGATAGAAAACAAACTGAACTGATAATCTTGATGTTAATCCTTTTACTTTTGAGCAAACTGTTTCCATCTAATAATCTGTAAACCCCCTGATAATCATCCTGGGATTAAATTGTAAAAACAGTTTCAAGTTAATTCATGGTAATCCTGATCTTCAATAATAACAATGTTCATAATCAAATAAAACTTTGAATAAAGATTAACTCGAGATAAGATTAAGCGAGAGAGAAAAAAAAAGAGAGAGAGAGAAAGATAATCTCTCTCTTTCTCTCTCAGGTGATGATGAAATTTTCTTGAAATTTTTTTCTTAACTTAATCATGATGAAGTTGATGGTTAATTGGATTGAACCATCGAAACAATCAATTCTTAATTCAATTGTCTGCTCTTTCCGTTTCCTGATTATTTTGTTTTCTTCCTGTTTTCATTTATCAACATTCAGGTGAATATTAGAAAATGATTTCGATAAAACAAAAAGTAAAGATCCAATTTCACTTAAATTTTATATATTATAATCCCGAAATTAATCAGTTAATCTCTAATTAAATGGTCTGATTAAAAGTTATCATGAAAGTCTAATGATAAGCTAATATTAACATTTAATATAATTGAGAAAAGCTGATTAATTAACAAGCCACTAATCTACTTGGTTAATCAATTAGAATCCTATTCTTATCAATGTAATCAGTCAGAAAAATTAATTCAATTGTTGTTGTTAATTAATTAGTTGAGTTAACAAATAGTAATAACAACAATCAAACTGATAATATCATTGGTCCAATAAAATTGAATCTAAATTGTTGATCTGATTATCATGATGATAATAATGATTATTATATAATATAAATTATCGTTGATAATAAATTGTTATCAAATGTTATTGGGAAAATTGTTTCCATGATGATCCAGATAACAGGAGCAATTTATTTCCATCAACTGAGATAATTCCTGATGATTCCTGATAATGATAATAATGATTACTTTTTATTATACAAATTGAATTGTTCAATTGCTGATGAAAAACAATCATTATTTTGTATTGATTAAATTGATTTTGTTAAAGGTCAATAAAACAATTTGATTGTTGCTATTTATCAATTTTAATTAGCAGGAAACAATTAATCATTTGACTTGTTGTTGCCTTTGTTTTCAATGGTCATTGTGAATGTCCAGTAATAGGGATGGAAAAGTTTGACATTTTCTTTGGCTGAATTTTGTTATTATTCATGATTAGTTCATTTTTCATCTCACTCATCATCGTGATGATGTAATAACTTATTCCCCATGATAATTTGAAACAGTTATTCTGATTATCTAATCCTGGTAACGAAAATTTCCAATAGAATCTGTAAAATTCAATTGAATGAGATTACATGAATTGCCTTTTAATGGACCAACAGGATTACTTGAGGGGAGAATCATGATGACAGGTTATCAGATAATCTGATCATTTCATGGAAAAAGAAATTGAATAACCTTATCATGAGAAATATGAATAGTTTTATCGGAATCTGGGTTTGAATCTCAACAGAATGAAACAAAAAACTAAAGGTTATCATGAAATGAAAATCATCAGGTTTTCGAAATTTATCAAAATTTTATTCATCATGAAATGAACATGAAAAGTATTTCAGCTTGTGAAATTTTCCCTTCTCTTTTCGTCCTCTGATGATGATAATAATTTTACTATCGTCATCATGGCTAATCATTATTATTCATAATGAATTCATGATGAAATGAATTCATAAAATAAATAGAATTCTGATAAACTGACAATCCGTAAACAATGTTGCTTTTCAATGTAAATAATGATTCAAATGCTATGTAAATACATGGCACACACAACCCACCCCACCCTGTGCAATATTATCATTATGTCAACTTAGATATTATTATTATCATCATCATTTGTAGTCTATAGATAAACAGGAAACAGGAAATACATTTAAAGATATTCATGTGAATATTTTTTTAGAATTTAAATATTTCTTTCTTCTTATATTCATCGTTAAATCACTGAATCAATCAGAATCCATTAAAAAAATTCTGTAGCTGGACTTTTTGAATATTTCTATGAATTTGCCCTAATCTCATGATGACGATGCTTTTGAATCCATATTTTTTAGGTCTCTCATTGACCTGGAATCAGAATCCAATGTAAATCTTAAAATCTTACAGACTTTTCAATTCCAACGATTCTTTTGTCCTCTCTCTCTCTCTCTTTGTTGAATTTAGATTCTGATTCATGATAAAACCTTGAGACGATGAATTGTTTTCTGAGTTACATTCTGATTTCTATCTCTGATTAGTTTGTGATCTTTTCTATTTGAAATGTTAACCTGAATCAGATGTAAAGTTGAAATCATTTATCATGAAATAGCAACTCTGATATTTTATCTTCTTTTATCATTGGAGAAAAAAACTCCATGAATCAAAAGGATATGAGAGATAGAAATACTTTCTATTTACAAAGAACTATCGACTTATTCCCGGAACTTGAATCAATTCATTTCGATCATGATAACTTTAAATCTTTCTCACTTAATGAAAATGAAATTTCCGATTTGAAAATGAAAAATTTGAGTGAAAATGAATTATTGAATGGCAGAATTTTCTATCCAAACTTAAACGAGAAATTTCACCATGAAAAACATCTCTAAATTCATGATAATAAATCCTAATTGGAACGAAATTTTTAAACATTTTTTTATTCCAATTTCAATTCATTTATCATTAGCTGCCATCAAGAAGAGGTTAATTATTTCAATATTTCAAGATTTTCTTCATTTCAAGACTGAGAATTTTCATCATGATGATCATGTTTTTCTTACTCTTTTTTTACTCTCCTCATCATTTTCATCTTTATCTTCATCTTGTTCTCTCTCTCTCTCTTTTTGTCTATCAGTATCATCTTATAATACTCACTCTTATCGAACTCACTCTCAGTCAAAACTCCCTGAAAGGTCATTATAAACACTCCATCATGTTCATCTTATGGTTCAGTTGATTTATCCCCAATCGAACTGAATAGAACTTTTTTTCTCCATCCTCATCATCAGCATCTTTCTTCGAGTTTTTCTCTCATCCATTTCTTCATCTTTATCTTCCTTTATTCATCCGATGATTTTGTACCATGAAGAGATGCTGATCATCTGATCAGAACTTCTCTCTCTCCTCATTACAGATAAATGGATTTATCATAGTATCGATTATAAAACGAGCTTGAAACATTGATGATCATTTAATGTTATCATCATGGTGATAATTCTGATGCTGAGTAACATGAAAAGTGATCATAGATCTTATATTCATAACTGACATAAATGTTTATCCCTTGGAATAAAATTATCAATAGCTAATTATTTTCCATGGTAACACTTTCATTCCTTGTTCTGGACTTAGAACTCAAATAACTCCTGGGATTTCATGATAGCAACAATGAATTTATCTCTCTCTGTCTCTCTCAGTGTCTTTCTCGTAATCTAATATATATTGGAAACAATATTGTTATTTATTGCATTTATTTCAAATTATGATTAGAATCCTTGAAATGATCATGATGAAAGTGAATCGTGAGAATGTCAATTTTCATTCTGATTCAGATTAATCCTGAATATGTATCATAGGGAATTTGCTCATTTCTATGTATTGGTCAGTACTTTTTTCATTCTCTCTCTACCCTTTTGGTCATCATATCTAATTATTTACTTGAATTCCCAGTCACGTTGGGTGATCTTATATGTACCATGTAAGTCTTATTTGAGAACAAAAAAATAATAACTGGAACATAAATTTTCACCATGATGATCAACTTGAAAATAATCGTAATAAATGACCATTGATAATCTGACATTTACTCAATGAAATGAAACAAATATCAGGACTAAATTCATATTCAGGAGTAAATCTTTCATAATGAAATCATGTTCATGATGATTACCGAATGAATTTTATATTAGTTTTTCTCAAAAGCCAAAAGATTATCATGATGAACAAAATTCCAACACTTTTTTCTGCTGAATTTTCATGAAATTTTCTTTGTTTCTTTTCTCACAGAGAGTATTCGTCTTCCATATAACCACAGACAAAAGGTACTGACCAATGGTACTTTAATAATCGCCGATATCGAAAGGCCAACTGACCAGGGGAAATATACTTGTGGAGCCCGAAACAAGGAGGGAGTCGAGGCAAAGGGAAATTTTTATGTTTCTGTACTAAGTGAGTATTCATCAAAATGTATTCATGAATGTATCCAATGAATTACCAATGAATTTTGCTAATGATGACCCGGTGAGTTGAACAATAATGAGAATAAGTTTCATGGGAAATGAAGAGGCTCAGATATTCACCTGGTATATTTATTGTTCATTATCCTTTGAATACACTCTTAACGTTTTGAAGGGTTGGAATTCATTGAGTTGGTGAACTTTTTGTTTCTGCTCTTATTGGTGTCTTACCTTCATGATGTTGTTCATGGTGATGATGAAAATTGAATCATATTGAACAGGTTCATTTGCATTGAGATGATTGATTGTTTATGTAAATTGTTTACCTTGAATGACATTGATCTTAACCATAGAACTCAAGTATCGTGAAGATGCTGAGGTTGAGGGGAGAAAAAAACTCATTTCGAGATAAAAGAAATTTAATAAACTCTTTTCTTTTTTCTTCAGAATTTCATGAAGATGTGACTCATGATAAAATGTTTACTTCTTTTTTTTCTCTCAAATTTTTTACCTAATCTTTGAAAAGTTGCCAAAATTTATTCAAATTATCATGAAAATTATCAAGGTGTAGATTGCATGGGGTAAACCTATGGAATTAAATGAACTTCCACCGGAGATGAGGTTAAATTTTGGTTGAAAGTCTATGAATCAAATAACCGAAACATGTGAAACTTTGTATCAATATTTTTCGTCTCATGATAATATCACCTTTTTATAATTTCTTCATGAAAATTTTCAATGAAAAGGAAAAAAAATTCTCACTCAGAACTTTTTCCTCTTGATAATCGATTTTATAATCACTTGGTTATCAAAGTAACTACGATAATGGATTAAAATGTTTGATCACTAATCTTTTCTCTTTCTTGTTCTTTTTACTCTTCTCTCTCATCATCATCGTCATCATTTCCGTTTCCCTTTTTTTGGATTCGACGGCTCATTCGGACCTTGATTTATCTTTTATACTGAAAACAACGTGCGAATCGTTTTTGATCGTTCTTTTGTACAGTTCGTCCTTTTATTGACCCATTCAATTTTTCAGCCAATCTTCAATCAGGTCAACGTTATAATGCTTTATGCTCAGTGACCAAAGGTGACCCTCCCATTGAGATACGTTGGCTTAAAGATGGTCAACCAATAATAATGGGAAGCTCATCATCATCTTCAGAACTTTCATCTTCACCTAATCATCCACTGGGCATTGATATAATCCAAGTAAAAGATTTCTCTTCCCACCTTACCTTTGAATCACTTGGACCAGAACACAGAGGAAACTACACTTGTATTGCAACAAATAGTGCCGGAAGTGACTCTCATAATGCATCAATGGTCATTCATGGTCAGTATATAAATAAAACACAATAAATAATATAACAAATACATTAATTTATTAATGAAATCAATTTTCACCCAAACAACAACAATGAAAAAACTTTTATTCATCTTCAACTTGATTGAATCAATTGAAATGAACTAACAACAAAGCTTATTGTCCAGAAAATGGTGAAATTATTACATTATCATGATAATTTTCATCATCATTTAATTATAATGATAAAAACTTTCTATTAACTTTGGTTTGTGTGTTTATCAACTAATCCAAACAATTAGCTTAATTGTTTCCAATGATTGCCTTGCATCTTGTTTTTTTAATTCAAACTGCACTTGATTATTCAATGTGTTTATTTATACATTTAATCTGAGTTTAATTTTTGGCTTAATGTTTATATTTAGGATTAAGGTTAATGGTTAAGTTTTTTTTCATACTCACACTCAGTTAATTCAATTGATTTAATGTTATGATTAACTAACTAAACCTCACTTAACACTTTAGGATAATCAAGTTAAACATTAATTTGTGTGTGTGTGAATCTGTTGATACAACTAATCATTAGGTGTATGGTTTTTTTTTCAACACTCATATCAAATTATCATTTAATCAGCTATGAATGTTGATCAGAATCATCATGGTTCTCATGAGTCTTGAGTAAACAATTAATGTCAATGAACTTGAAAAAACATGATGAAAACTCAGAGATGAGGAAGACCAATGATGATTGGTTATCTCTCTCTCTCTTTTTTATTCAATAGTAAATTCAATTCAATCTCTAATTGAATTGATAGTTTTGTGGTGAATTAATGATTCTGAGATTGTGATCAGAGATTAGGATTGAGAATGAAGATTTTCTGTTCTTTTTTTTCAATAAAATTCACTCTATGGTTTCTCAGTGATGAAACATCTCCTGAAATCCATGAGATTTGCATGGTGATTTGATTGTGGAATCGAATTGAATCTGAGTCAGTGTTAAGATGATACAAAAGAGATATTTAATGAATTGAATGATGATCAAGATCAAATTGAAGATAAAACTTTAAGATGAAAAGTAATCAAACCATGAAATTGAATTTCAGTTCAATTATGATGGAAACAATTTCACAGGTTTAATAATCTCACAGGAAATTAATCATTAATCAAACAATTAACAATCTAACATGATCTCATTGAGCAATTAAATTTCAAATGTTACAATTAAACTCACCAGGAAAACATTTACCCAAAGGTAAACTGTAAAAATGAGTATAATGATTAATGAACAATCAGATTAATTAACTTTCAACAGTAAAATTGTTTATTTCAACTCATCTGGAGATCTGATTAAAGTGTATCAATTTGATTACAGTGGTTGATAATGTAAATGATTATGATTAATATGGATGATGATAGATTGTGATGATTATCAATTTAAGTAGATGATGATAATTTGATTTGCTTTTTTTGCCTTCTGTTTAATTCATTGATTCAAGTTGACTGTTTATTTTGATTACTCTTGGTGATTATCATGTTGAGTCTGGAGTTGGAAACCACTACCGGTGAATTAGGGAAATGAAGTGAATCAGAATTAAGTAGTTGATGGTTTTGTCTAACATTTTATCTTCATCTTTATGTGCTCATCATCATTATCATCATTATCTTGATCCTTGTTTTTGTTTTGTCAACTATTAGGTTATTAAATGAAGATGGACAAAGAATCACAAAGGACCCCAGAACTTTCAGTTCTCTCTCACTCTCTCCCTGATAAATTCTGTCTCATCTCTTTTTTATCCTCATCTTTTTTCCCATCTCCATCTTATTTATGTAATAATTTCTTTCTCCTTTTATTAATACTTTTCTTCTTCTTCTCTATCATCATCTTCTCTCTCTCTCTCTCCTTTCTATGGTTAATATCCAATAGCAACTGGATGATGAGAGATGATAATGATGATGAGCCACGAAAAGTGTTGTAGCTAAAAATACGAAGGGAAAGAGAGGGGAAATAGAAAAAAAGTCTTCCAGATGAGGAGAAAGAGATATGAAGATGGAGAAGATTCTGTAAATCACTTTGCTCTTGTTGGATGTTTAGGGAAGACAGAGAAGAGAGAAAGAGAAGGATAAAGTTCATAACCTTGAAGAGGTTACATGTTATTTTCTATGTGTATGTTACCCTTAAGCTCTTTGACAACAAACAGGAAATGACTTTTTTCCTTCGGGATTCTGAGGAAGAATTCAGAATAAAAAAGAATCACCGGAATCAGGGGAGAAAATAATTCGACCAAAAAACTTTCTCTCTTTATTTCTGTTTCATCTTTTCTAATTTCTATCATCGTCATCATGAAAATTCAGTGTTCACAGACAATACTTTCTTCAATGAGATGAGAAAAAGCTCAATCTCATTGAAACAAAGAATCTAAACTGCTGATTCACTAAAAGAATCTTTTTTTTCTTATTTATCATCCAGAGAACTTGAATCTCACTTTCAGAATTTTACCTTCAGGGTGGAAGATGAAGATCTATGGAAAAGGGAAGAGGACAAATGATCTAGTTTATTAAAAGAAAAATGAAAAAGATCTTGTAAATTTTCAAGACTTTGCATATGAATCATACTACGAATAAGATGAGATGAATGTTGAGAATTCAACTGAATGGAATGGTCCATAAGTAGATGAGAAAAGATAATAATAATCAGAACTTTTGGTAAATAGAAAGAGAAATGTCTTCTTTTTTATTTTTTCATTTTCGCTGATTCAGAATTCAGAACTTTTTACTTTATTTTCTTTGTCTTGCTCTTTCTTCTGTTCATTATCATGTAATTTCATTTCTTTGTTTCCATGAATTCGACAATTTTCTCATTCCATTTCATATCAAACTGATGAAAAGTTCTGAAATTCTGTGTATCAGATGAAGTTTTTTTCTTCTTTTTTCTTCTTTTTTATTCCAATTTTTTCTTATACTTCTTTCCTTTTCTCTTACTGAACAAATCATGAAACATTTTCTGCAGATGCTGAAAAATATTGATTCCATTTGATGATATAATTCTGAACACTGAACTCTTTTTCTATTAACATCCACAATCAACCTGGAAATGTTTATTATCATGTTAAAGTGTTCATTGAACTATTAAGTAACATTGATCATGATAGAGGGAAAAAAGTTCTGAGATAATTTTTTTTCTTCTTCGCGAGCATTTACCATGGAAATTGAGTGATTCTTGTTTTTGTTTTTCATGAAGTGATTTAGAAAAGAGGATTATCATCTAACAAAAGGATGATAAAGATGAGGATGTTGCTGATGCTACGAGAAAGATGTAACAACTTATCTGTCAAAAATTGAAAAAGCGCAAAATTCAAAAATTTTCCCTAAATTAAAGTATTGTGAACATTTTAAATGATAATAATATAAGCAACCAACTAACCATTTGAATGTGATTAAAAAACCTCAATCTCTTTTTAGTAATTCAAGTTAAACGAATGATAATTAGATTACTTATATTTTTAATAAACCTAATTGAATTTAAGTGTTAATGACAATTTAATTGAGTTGGAACTTTAAGAAAATTTTCTCATCATTTCATTTAGTATTACCATGACCATCATACTTTGTTTCATGATAAATATCAAAAGATATAAATGATTTATTCTAGCAAATTGTAACTACCACTGAGAAAAGTTATTCTTATTTTTGTTTTGTTCTTATTAAATGAATTGTAAGTTGAATCATGAAATATTATTATCTCCTTGCCCTCAGGGCTCATGGGAGTTGATTAAAAGGATGATAATCATCATCATCATAATGTTGACAATAGATGATAAATATTACCTTGTCTCAAGTAGATTTTAGGTTTATTGACCGATATGTTATATTGAATTGTTGATGTGAAAGTAAACAGAATCATAAGCTTATCAGAATTTCCATGGAAAATTATTAAAAGAACCAATTATTTAGCCAAAAAGATTCACGATAATTGCTTAGATAATTGTTATAGAAAATGTATCCAAATCGATTGGACTTTCATTATTGTTGATTAGTTAATTTGACTATTCTGATAACTTTCCACATTTTCTTAGAATCTTAAGTATATTAGTCAACTTTAACTATCCAATAATTAATCCAATTTAACGAGTACCAGAAATACTATGGTCACAAGAATTGATAATAATAATCAACTAGGAACAATCTTCTTGCAAGGAATTCCAGTTTCTCTTCTCATCTGATTATGTATATGTTCATGATGATAATTATGATGATTATTTCTGAGGAATTAAGAAAACTGTTGAGTTATTAAAAAAGAAAAGCAATTATAGTGAAAAGAGAAAGGAAAATAAAACTAACAATTTACAAGGGAAATCCATGTGAATATAAGAGAGTATTTATCATACCCTGATAGAAAATAATGAGCCCATGAACAGAATCTCAACTGCTTATTGTTTCACATTTATATCAGATGATCATCTCAATGAAAGATGATAATTATGATGATAATCACTCCATTTAAATAACAATGATGTTGATAATATTATTTATATCTCTCTCTCTCTCTCTCTCTGCTTATTATCAAAATTTTACTTGGACGATTCTCATTTTGAATAGTAAATATCATCTTATCATGATGATGATGAGAAAAGGGAGACAAAGTGAGACAAAAATACTAATAGTACACAATTTATATAAATATTTTCTCATGAATAAAAGTCTGTCTTTGACATTCTGCTCGTCAGCATTCAGAGCATTTGATGTATTCTCAATGTAAACATACATGCATACCCATGATTCCACATGAGCATATGTATTTACTTTTGTCGCCCATGATGATGATAATTTAAATACTATCAAGAAGAAAAAAAGTATTCATAATATATTGCATTAGAAAATGATATTCCCGGTATTCTCAGGATTCGCCAACCTTTTGCTGTTAGAGAATTTTCTCCAAGCTAAATGATACTAAACTTTTCACTTTCTCTCGTTCTCTCTCTCACTCCCTTATGGAAAATGTGTCAAGAAAAAAAAAGAAATTTGCATCTATATGAGTATTTTTTTCTGCTTTTTTTTCTTTAACATTCTTTTCATCCTTTTCTCTTTGGAACTTTTCTCTCTCTCTCTCTCTCTCTCTCTTCAGACAAACAATTTTTTCTCTATTTCTTTTTGAATCAAAACTGAATTATTATCATTTTATAAATATAACCAAAGTGTAACTTTTTATCTTTACTCAGATGATAATAATAACTAACAATTTCAAAAGTTCGATGATATTTTCTCTCTCAATTGTTTCACTCCAAGTTTTATTTCAATTCGTTCTTGTTCTGATGAGTTAAATACTCTATTATCGAGCTAATTGTTATCCATTAAGAAATTCATCTATCGATTTGAATACAGAGCTTTTTTTGCAAATTCTGACCTTATGATTGTTCTAATATATTCAATGTTATCATGGCGAAGAGAAAATTATAGTGATATATTCATGAACTCTAATAAGATCACACATTGAATTGAGTTAATATTAATATCACTTTTGTTATTCTGATAATAATCTCATTACACAGAAATGATAGATAATCCTGGTTTCATTTACGATTCATGAAGAAATTTGAATATTACGATAAATGTGATTCTTATATCACATAACCAAAGGTTACGAAAACTTTAATACAGCAAAAAATTTCATCTAATAATTTCTAGAGCTCAAAAGTTATTTAGAATTTAAAAAATTCCAAAGTTGAATTTCAATTCCACTGATTAAGGTATTCAAACAATTAAAAGAAAAAGTTTACAATCGAAAGCAAATCAACATTTTTCTCAGCCAATATGAACCTTGATATATTATGTGATTGGAATCGTTTCTCTGTTGATGGTTGACAAAAATGCTAATGAAATGAATCTTGTCGGATAATAGTCTTGAATCAATTTCCAATAGCATGTAACCTCCCATGAAAAGAGAAATGGAAAATTCTGTAAATTTTTAGATGAAAAGAATGTGCATTTGGCATGATTCCATTCAGTGAGTATTAATAAATTGTTGATTGTTAATTTAGTAAATCATAAAGTATAGTTATCATTATAATCATTTGATGGTGACAATGAATGTCTTTTGATTATGAGCTTGAGATGTATTCATGTAGAGGAAGAGATTGAATTTTTTTCCCTCTGAAATTTGTTAATAACCATTTACGATATAATTAATGTTAATTGTTCATTTTAATTATCAACAGTTCCACCTCGTTGGCACATTGAACCAAGAGACACTGCAGTGATTAAGGATCAATTAGCAATTATTGATTGTCAAGCTGATGGATTCCCTGTTCCTCAAACTCATTGGTCTCGAGCTGAAGGTAAGTGATTTTCATGGTGATAATAAGGAGAAACTTTTTGACATTCAATTGATTAGGAAAAAGAGAGAATCAAGAAATTATCATTCTTGACATTGATAATTAACTCAATTCTTTATGGATTAACATGTTTCACTGTTAATTAGTTAATCACTCGTTAGTTGATTAACTTAACTAATAACATAAATGAAAAGGAAACATTGATTATCACTTAAAATTAATCAATGTCTTTAAATGACAAGATTTTATTATGATTATCAGAATTTTATAGAATTTCTAATTAATCTTAATTACTATTTAGTTTTATACATACTTTTTTTTTCATTCTAATCTATTGTTATCATTTTGATTATAATCTTCTCATGGCTGATGATAAATTGCAAACAGTCAAAAACTAATAACCAACCACAGGAATCAAGTGAATGTCAATCAATGAGATGATTATTATTAGTTTGTCATTCATATTAAAATCAAATATCAACAATATTATTACATGAATACCCTTGGAGGGGTTTAGTTAAACTACTCAATTCTTACACTCAACTGAACTTATTATCATGTTATTGGTTATTGGAAGAGGGAAAAGAAACAAAAGAAAACGGTTATCCAACATGATCGAGTCTGAATTTACCCATGAAAATAAAAGATTGAACCAACTGAATGAATAAAAAAGTGAATAAAGTTAAAGAATCAGTGATATGAAATTCATATAAATATCTAGACCAAAATATGAAGATAAATATTACTCATTTTGATATTAACCATGAGAATTCAGGAAAACCTCAGCAGAATCGTTTGAACTTGTCAATCAGAATTAAAAATTGACCAACATTTAACGTTGTGACACAATCTGAATAATGAACATCCAAAGTTTATCGAAATTTTTCTAACCATTGATTTCGATAGAAAATTTTTATTTATTAATATAAAGATGAAATTTTTCATTTCGAATTTGAACTGTTCAATTTTCAGGTTATCTTCAAGAGCCTCCGACTAATTTTAAGCCCATCAATTCAAGTCCTCACCTTCGAGTCTTCGAGAACGGCTCACTGGCCATTCATAATGCTCAAAAATCGGATGCTGGTTACTATTTATGCCAAACAAGTAATAACATTGGTTCCGGTTTAAGTAAAGTTATCAAACTAACAGTTCATGGTAAGTTCATGAGTCTATTCAAATTCAGATCAATCTGATATAACAAAAGTAGAATAAGTTAAAAAAGGATTGAATTGAAATCGACATTAACCTTTAAACTCTCAATATATGAACAGAATTTGATCTTTTTCTTTACCTACATTATCTTACTATCTCTTCCCAGGGGTGAATTCCTATCATGAGAATATTTAAATTTCAAGGTTACCATGTGATTCCAATTTGAACACTTTATTTTTGCTTTATTTTTACTATCATATGTTGAGAAAATGATTGATAAAAAGCTCGAGGCTTTTGATTGAGATTCAAATTGAAATTGTGATTGAAATTTTTAAGAAAATTTTCAGATTACAATTGCAAAGTTCATTTCATCTAATATATTTGATTTCATGCTAAATTTCCAGTCGCTGCTCATTTTGAAACAAAGTTCAACGTTCACACTGTTCGTAAGGGTCAAGAAGCCAAAGTTCAGTGTAAAGCGATTGGAGATAAACCAATTACAGTTAACTGGTTAAAAGACAAGATTAACTTTAATCCTCGAGATGATGCTCGATATGAGCTTTTCGAAGAGGCAAATTCAGAAGGTTTAATCTCTGAAATACTAATCCGAAGTGCCGATAGACGTGATTCTGCCTTGTTCACCTGTAATACCTTCAATGGTTTCGGTAAAGATGAGACCAATATTCAGCTTCTTCTTCAAGGTAAGACTTAATAACTTTCTAATAAACCGGAAATAATGAGCGAAACAAAATATTTCCAATAAGCCGGAAGTTTAATTTTCTCTCGAAAAAAAGTAACATTTAGGACTAACGATTTTCTTTTAGTATTTTCATCATCATTGATGTCCAATTCCATGTTTATGTATTAAAATTGATCAATTTTGATTTTCTCGAGAAAATCAAAAGTAAATACTAATCGATTCATTTACATTGTTTTTCCTGTTTTCATGATAACATTCAGAGCCTCCTGATTCCCCTCAGGATGTTAAAATATCCGATCATGATGGACGAACAGCAACAATTACCTGGTCACCTCCGTATCCCGGAAATAGTCCAATAATGGAATACATTATTCAATATAAATTGGAAAAAGGTAAAAATACAAATGATGGAAAAACAATAACTTCCGGAATCCAGAATAATAGGATTACCCTGAAGAGAGACAGAGAAAAAAATTCGAATACAAATGTTTCAATAATAAATCGGTTGACTGGTATCTCGGTTTTACATGATGGTCATCAATTGAGACAAGAGAACATGAGAATGATTGAAATTCAGCATATTTGGACTGATTCTCTTGACCGATTCCATGAGTATCCAATGAATGGATAACACCATTGATGATTGAGAGGAAAAGGGGGATAAATAGAAACAGAAAGAAAAGGATGAAGGGGAAGAGCAAAAGTTCATTGAGTCTCAGTGAATTGAAAGCAATCAAGTAAATTGGCTTAGTACATGGAAGAAAGGAGATTCTCATTAGGAAAGGAAAAAAAATGGAAGATGAAACCATGATAATAATTGGTGACTTTTAGATGGAAGGTATATAAAGATTCATGATGATGAAGATGATAAGTATCATGATGAACATGAAAAGGATTCGGAAATGATGTTGTTTGGGGTAAAAAAAGAAATGACTCAATGAAGTTGATTCTTTTTTCGTCTTCTATTTTTTGTTATATTCTTATTTTCATTTGAGTTGTTTCATATTCTTAATTTTCTCATGGGACAGAAAAATGGACTATTGGCTCTAGAGGCTTTTGGAATGGCTCAGCTCCAGGAGGTGGAACTTTGTATAAGCTTAAAAATCTCCATCCTGTCACTCATTACCAACTTCGCATGTTCGCAGTCAATGCAATTGGACGAAGTGAGGCCAGTCAGATTATTCACTTTCGAACCGATGAAGAAGGTATTTCATTTCATTTTCCATGATAAATTCTGATGCAAACTTCCAAATTAGCATCATTGCAATAATGGCGAATCGATTTGCTTATGTTGTCAGTTAATCAATCGACATTATAAATAATAACTTGAAATTTTATGTCGATGGTGATTCGATGAGGAAAATTCAATTACTTCTGTCTAGTTGATATCAACAATTCAATATGATGATAAGTTAGACTTATTGTTACTAATCCAAGACAATACATATATCAAACTGGACATTAAAGAGAGAGAGAGAGAGAGAGAGAGAGAGAGAGAGAGAGAGAGAGAGAGACTCGACCAGGAAGTTGCAATAATCAACATAATATTATGATGATGATAATGATAATGCTTTCAAATATATAACAGGAAGAAGTCAAAGTAAGAGATGGATTTTGTTTTTCTTACTCGAAAACTGATCAGTAAAGCTTTGGGTCAATTCAATGTCACAGTCCATTGGATCCATTGATCACTTGACCATTAGTGTAGTTTCAATAGTTGAAAGAGAAAGAAAAAAAAGTTATCAAAGAAGATCAGAAATAACCATGGTACTAATCAAGAATCTAGAGATAAATAGTTGAAAAGAAAGAGGAAAAACTCATTTTTTCTTCACCAAAATCGATAACAATCAAGTTATGAAACTTTGAGAGGGAGAAATAGTTGCTAATTGAATGATTAAGATACAGACTGAATCAAACAATTAAATGAACTCTTTTAATCGGTTAATTAGCACCAGGAGGACCTCCACTTCATATCAAGGCGATTCCAATGAGCTCGTCGTCCATTAGAGTTACATGGAAACCACCAAAAAAAGAGTTGACCTATGGCTTAATCAAGGGCTACTATGTGGGTTATAAGGTTCTCCGAGAGGGTCATCTCGATGATGGACTGGTCAGTGGGGGAGGAGGAGGTGGTAGCGGTGATATTGGCTCTCTAAATGGTAGTAGTGTGAGTAATCACAATGGAGTAAGTTCTTACACTTATAAAACATTGGAAGCCAAGGATCGATCATCTAATGAAGAGGCTCATATAACTGGATTAACTCGAGCTTCAAAATATTCAATAACCGTCCAAGCTTTTAACTCGAAAGGTTCAGGTCCAGCATCCGAAGAGATTGTTGTTCAAACTTTAGAAAAAGGTTTGTCTTGTCTTCTCGATTTTTTTTTATCATCATCATTATCATCATTCCAAGTACTCATATAATGTTATTGTTCCGAATCATTTGTTTTCAATTTACTGTTATCATCAACATCCAACATCAACAACGACATTATCAGTGAGACAACAGAGTTACCCTGGTCAAGAATGAATTTTTTTGTTCTTCTCTGACCAGAATAAAAATCGAGAGTGAAAAATGAAACGAGTGAGATAGTAAATTCATTGGTGATGAAGAAAATTCTGAAAATTATTCGATCGATTTTTTTTTCTCTCAATTTCAACTATCTAATCTTATTTACTTTTTACTGAACAATTTAACAATTGATTCCAATCGTTTAGATCATTCATTTGATATTAATTCAGCTACAATCATGTCTCTTGTTTGTACAACATTTTACTCTGATGATTTGAAAATAATAGTTACACTAATCATCATGATACATTCAGAATCTTTCATAATATCAAACTTAGAATTGTCAAAAAATATTTATCACAATTTCTCATCAATTATCTTATACCTAATATCTGAATTTGTTTCTGAATACATTTGTGTAGATCCACCAATCTCACCGAGCCTGAAAATTTCATCTAAAAGTTCATATTCAATAACTATCTCATGGTCAATTGATCAACAACAATCAACCACTGATCCACCAACAGGTAATAACAACTATCAGCTGATTATCATGAAATTATCTCAATCATCAACTTTTATTAACTCATCAATGACTCTTTATGTATATATAAAGTTTTTTTTTCCTCAACTTCATGATAAGATTCAGACTTAATATTATCATCGGGATGGAATCTTTCTCATCTTCATGATGAAAAAAAGATAATCTCTTCATTGTTTCTTTATTTTCTTTCACATTCTCATCCCTTTATCATCTCACTCTTCCTCCATTCCTGTCACCATCAGAACTTTTTTCATCATCATCATCAATTCATTCAATGAACTAAAGTTATGAGGTAAAGAAGATGAAAAAAACCTAAACCAAAACAATAACCCGAAAATTTATCAGATAATTTTTATCCATTAAATCCCAACACTTTCATGTTCATGGTGAATCATGATAATATTCATCATGAAATGAACAGTGAGTGAACAAAAAAAAATCTGATTGATGCTGAAAAATCCAAAATTCACCAATAACTGAGCCAGAAAAAAGTTTCCACCGAAAAGCAAATTTCCCACCTTCATTCACCCTCTTTCATTATATACAAACTTTCATTCAAATTAATGGCTTGTAAAATTAGCTAATTATTACATCATGAGTGATGATAATTAATTTGATTGGTTGATAATTAACCATGAAAAATGGGAATCAAGTTAACGATAAGTTGATGAAAATGAGAAAAAGTAAATGTTGTGAATTGTGAAATCTTTTTTTGTTTTAGATTCTAAAGTTGGTAAAACTTTTTTTTTTCGTTCTCCAGGTTATATTATTCATATGAAACGTTCCAATTCAGATAAATGGGAATCGATTGAAGTCTCACCCTCTCAGAGTTCCCACACCTTTGAGGGGCTCGCCTGTGGGACAAGTTACCAGTTCTATGTGATCGCTTTTAATGAGATCGGTAAAAGTGATCCAAGTAATATAATTCACGTAAAAACTGAGGGATTAGGTGAGTTAATTATCACTTATCTTCATAATAATATCATGAGAATGATATTATTTAATGAGAGAATGAAGTTCTAATCAGAAAGAAAGAGGAAGAGACAGAGTAAAGAAATATAACTTGCCTCAGAATCTAAACAATTCCCATGAACATTGCAGGGAGTTTTCTTCCCCTCCCAACGATAATAGTAAATATTATCATCTATGGATTAGATAACAACAATAATGTAATATGATAATACTAATGTAAGAAGATGATATTATCCTCCTGATGGAGTGGAAGAGAAAATTTTGTCTCTTTCCATTTTTATTTATATATATCGTTTACTTTTCCCCTCCCCGTGTTGATGATAATATTATTTGATAATAATTGATTTACTATTATTATTATTGTTTATCTCTCAATGAATAAGCTCCGGTTGCTCCTGATAAGCATTCATTGTTATCCATAAATTCAACCAATGCTGTAGTTCATCTGGACTCCTGGCATGATGGAGGTTGTCCCATGAATAAGATTGAGATTATGTACAAGGAGGAAAAACGAGCCGAATGGTTGAGTCTTCCAGCCATCTTTCCATCATCCTCATCCTCATCATCTTCATCTTCATCTTCTTCTTCTTCTTCTTCTTCTTCATCTTCCTCCTTGTCTTCGTCCTCAGTATCCATCTTATCCAAAGAGGATAAAGACATCCTTCTCAATAACCTTCGACCTGCGACCAATTATGACCTTAAAATAACGGCAACGAACGAGGCTGGACCCATACAAGCCGCTTATTCATTTAAAACAAACTTCAAGGCCAATCGAGGTAATGTAAATGACCACTGGTCATCCTAATGGTGATCAGTGATTTTAACTGTTTCTCAGAATTTGAAATTTTCAAAAAGTTTTCTTGCCAATGTAATGTTTCAATTGTGTGTGTTGATCAATTGATTTGATTAAATGATTTAAGATTAATGGTTTTACTTGTTAATCAATAATGATGATGATTATTATTATTGATGATTAGATTATCATCAATATTAATCAGTTGATGATTAAATCTAATAACATTTTGAAAAGGTATTTCATGATTTTCAGGAATTCTGTCTAATGTTATCTTTATGATGAGATTTTTCAAAAATGATAATTTTTTTCCTCTTCTCTCTCAATCATATTAACACCAAGGAATCTGATTATTTTGAAGATTATGATTATGGTGATGGTGAAAGTTGATTGTTGTAGATGATGGTGATTATGATGATGATTAAAATGCTTTTAATAGATTGTTGATATTATTATTGATTGAAAGAGAGAAAATGAAATGATTAAGCTGAAATGTTCTCATCTATCATTGGATAGAATTTAATTAAAAAATATTTTCTCTTCTTCTTTTTTTTGACATTTACTTTTCTATTCACATTCTGGTGATATTATCATGATATTGTCGATTGGAATGATGTTATTATGTTTACATGTCATGGTGAATACAGAAAGAGGACATTCCCTGATTGGTAATGAAGCATCAAAATCATCATCATCATCAGCTGATCGTTCAATTTATCTTGATATGAATTTATTATTACCAACAACAATTACCATTGGAGTTACATTGATTCTCCTCACTTTCTTGTTCTGCCTTTTTTTCATAAAGAAACGACAAAATAATATAAGTTTTTATGGTAAGAACTTTTATCGAAAAAAAATTTGTTTCGAACTTTTTTTTTCAAAAAACTTTTCGATTTTGTCGCTTTTGATTTTCTCTCACAGAAAATCCTGGAATCTATGATTCTGGTAGTAAATGTGAACCTCATGGTGGCAATGAATCTGTCCGGTTAACTCAATTGGATGCTGGTGGTGGACTTAATGGAGGAGGAAGCATGAAGAAATCGATTGTTACAGATAATTCCGTTTCCGGTTTAGATTCGGGATATTTTCCTTCACCTTATGCAATGACCAAGATTGAGAATGAAAAAAATGATCCAATGGTAACTCAGAATGCTATTGAAATGGAAGCCAAAAGGCCGATCAATTCACCAATTAAAAAGGTAAAATTATTATCATATAATTGAAAAAAATTATTCCTTTTATTCATGAACACTGATTCCAATTTCATGATAGAAATGAACATTCAACCTTTCAATACAACATGGTGACTCCAATATATAATATTTCAAGTGGTTGATTGAAAATAACACTCATTTTATGAAATGATAAACATGAAATATTATCAAAAGTATTTGATAAAATAAAGTTCTGAGATCTGAAATGTGAATTTATGTTTATCATTTGATGATTTTTCATTAACTGAATTTAATAAAATTGAAACTTTGTAATATCTACTATCATGATATCTTGCATGTTGAAATTCTGGTCACAGAATTTAGGACAGACTGTTGATTGATCATAAATTTATCTTTAACTAAACTGACCAGTTATCATGAAAATCGGCCATCTAATGAAATCTAATATTGAGAAAGGAAATAAATAAAACTCATAAAAATAGATAAGATGAAAAGATGAAATCAAAGATCAAGAACTCATGATGATGGTGATTCTGATTCTGATTCCAAATTCCAAGTATCCATTTTTTTCAATTTTCTTTTTTTTTCTATCAACAACTTGGAGGAGATATTGATATAATTCTGGCAGAAGATTGAGAAAAGAATATGATTTTTGGAAACAATTGAGAGTAAAAAAGTTTTCGAAACAAAGAAAAAAAAATATGATATTCGAATTCGAAAAACAAAGATAAAAAAGTTCTGAGTTCATCGAAGCAATAAATAACTTTTTCGAACAGTTCACTTTTCTTTATCGTTATTATTATTACTTTTCACGGTTTTTCATCTAATCACAATGTCCAGGGAGTTTTTTATCATCATCAGAATCTGAATCTGAATCCTGAGCATCTTCATGATATTTGGAATGAAACTTTTCCTCTCTTTCCTTTTCCCCTTGAACTTTTGGTGAGATGATGACAATTGTTGTGACAACTTAATCTCCCAATCACTGATCAATTAATTACCATGATAACGTTTAATTGTTATCCTTAAATGCTAATCATTGGTCTGTTGATCAACTTGATAATCATCATGATGATAATTCATTGATATCATATCAAGTTTAGTTATTAATCAATTTGATTCAATCAATTTACTTTTGATATGATTATTATTTTCCCTCATTTTTTTTTATTGTTATTATTTAATCAACTGATTAGATTTTACTGATTATCATTTGAAATGATTTATATAATTAATCTAATGATGTATATCATGATTAATTTAATCGTTTCCATGGTTATACCAATATTGATGAAAATTAGATCTTGTTTCATATCGATATTCATATCTTTCAATAAGATGATGAAGATGAAGATATTTTCAGATAATCATGATGAAAATTGTTCATTGATTGGATTGTGTGATTATTACTTGATAGTTATGATTTTATCATGTTTCCAGTTCAATTGAATACTCATCATGTTAATATATTTATGAATCTTGATGAGGAAAACTTTTTCTTACCTTGATAACTTGATGATAATAATAATGATGATGATAAGGTTGACAGGATGAATCAATTGAACTATTATATATGAATTGAATATCACCATGATTGGAATGATGATTTTCATGATATATCCAGAAATTGTCTAAAGTGATTGTCAATCAAACAATAAGAATATGAAGAAAAAAAGTAACATGATGTTAACTAAATTGTTGAACAAAAATCCCTGAAAGGCAAAAGATCATTAGTTGATTGTGAAGTTATCATGAAGATTCATACATGAACATGATGATTAAGATGATACTTATCTTGATCATCAATGTCTATCTAAGTAACTGTACTGATGATGATGATGATGATAAACCAACTGCTGGGAGTACAAAACAATGAACCAGATTGGGTTGACATTTGTTGATGTTGATGTTGTGTTGTTGTTATTGCTCATCCATTCATTTGGCTTATTAAAATAAATCCTCATCTTCATCATCATCATCATGATTATAATCATGATGAGGGCAAAAAATAGTTAAACAGAAATGATTTACTGATGAGGATAAACTTGTAGATGGATCATTTAACTCACAATTGCAAATTGCTTGTTGTCCATAACTGAATTGTTATCATCCAACTCTCTCTCTCTCACTTACTCACTTTCTCTCTCTCTCATGTCCGATCCTCATTATTATCATGAATACATCAATCATCCTGAATAATATTATTCTTATTATGTTTCTCCATCATGAAAAGTGTTTCGAATCATTTTTTATCTTCCTCTTACTCATATTATCTTCCCCTCATCATCCGTTGTCTATTATTATGTTTATCATCTCTCTCTCTCTCTTTTTCTCTGTCATTTGAATTACTTACATAAATTGTTAACTCTTTGATAAAGAGAGCGAGAGAGTGAGGTCATCATCTTAATAGAAAGAGAAAAGAAGATGAAGAAATAATCATTTCCTTTTCCATTAAAAGAATATTTTTTTTCTCTTTTCTAAAAAGATGCAAATGAAGATGAAATTTTCTCTTTTTTTCAATTTCTTCTTCTTATTTTCTAATGTTTTTCTTTTCATCTCTAGACTTTTTTTTCTCTCTCTTCTCATGTTTTTTCTCTATCAGTTCAATGATTTTCATCTTCTCTTCTTATTCTTTCCTGCTGAGTGGACGTTAGTTCTGTTAATCAATCAATCATTTCTTTGTATTCTCACCACCATCTCTCTTTCACTCTCTCTCTCTCTCTCTTAATGTGTCATCTTCATTAAATTTATCTTCTTCTTCTTTATCATCAGCATTCAACATCCGAATCAGGGGAACCTTTATATGCAACAGTGAAACGAACTCCTCGTCCACCAAGATCGGATGTTCACGTTTACCATTATCCAAGTAAGTAAATTCTGTGTCTACTGTTAATCTGTTTTCCTTAATCCCAAATATCCAGAAATGTTTATCTCGCTTCTTTGTTTACATTGGTTGATATTCTGTGTTTTCCATGATTATCCTGATCGATTTTCATTAATTGCCGACTCTTTTTTATAATTGTGGTAATTGTGCCGGTCGGTAAATTAACGAGAAACTAAAATTGAAGCCATTTACCGAATCATCTAAATGTCCCATTAATCTTTGGCTATTGTATAGGAAGCGCTTTCCTTAGGCCTAACTCTTTGTTACTCTTGTGGTTATTTTTTGATTGATTTTCTTTTGATTTTCTTTTGATTTTTTTTCTTCTCTCTTAGTGACTCAAGCTACTTCTGATTCTGGTTGTGTATCGGAGGCTTCATGGCAGAACATGGTCACTCCAAGTCAATCAAGTCACGAAGCTACAATTAATACTGCGACTTTACTGAGATTTCATGAAGGCCCAACAGAAAAAGGATTATCTTGTAAGTAATTAACTCTCTTCATCTTGAGATTTTGAATTTTGTTATTATTTTATATTCTAATCATATGTGTATTTCATTTGATTATTATTCAGCTACTCCGATGACTTCCATGTATTCTGTGTATACTGATCGTCCACCGGTGTTAATGTGCCAAAGCTCACAACGATATAACGGAAACTATTCAAGAGGATCAATTTCCTAAGCCGAAAGGTTAATCAATATGGATTTAAAGTCAATCTTTGTTTACTCCTGTTCATCACCATAATCGAGGCCTTAATCAAATCTGATTATCTCAATAAGATTTGCTGATGTGCTAACTGAACCTAAGGATTGTTCAATGGATCTTAAGATAACAACGATTACAATTATGGTTGATTGTCACCAATTTAGAGATGGACAATAAGTGATAACTGACCAGTATGATTGAACTACTTACAAGATACAAGCTTTTTTTTTTCATTACCAAATTGATCAACAATTAACTGTGGATGGGAAAATTTCCTAACAAAATGTGATTCAACTTTTTCTCCTCCATGTCTGTCTCTTTCACTCAAATGCCTTGTGAATTGATGATGATTACCGGTGATGATGAGAAGGATAATCAAAGAAAGATCAAAGATAACGAGTCATGTCAAAAACAATAGGACTCAAGTTTCACCTTGATTAAAGTAACTTGAATCTCGCTTTCTTTTCACCATCAGATTATTTGGAAGAAATCAAGTTGATTAAGCTGTGGAAAAAAAACTCTGATACTATTAATTGATTTCACTTGCGTTTATCATGAACATCATCCTGGACAATTTATGAACAACCAGAAAGCAAAGAATCGAGATACAATTTTTATCGTCAGTCAAATTCTGGATGATTGTTGATTCACTTGATATCAATACAATGGAAACTATTAATACATGATGTTTACACTCATATAATTTAGTTGACGATCAAATCTAATTCTGTTAACATAAATATATCTACACACATACACCAAAGCAAAGTAAATGCCTTCTAATTGTGAGACAAGCCAATTACTCATTATATCTTCAACTTGCATGGATATTTAATTTTTACAATTAATAAGGAAACGAAAAGGAGATCAACTTTAGGACTTTTGTGTTATCATTTCAAAAGCAAAAAACTGGACACTAATGATAATTTTTTCTTATTCATTACCCACCAATTGATATTACTGTTAATGGTTAACCTTTCGGATGACAATAAGCCAATTTTAATTACATTACAGTGAATCTCCGTCCCTGGTCCAGTTATTGTCCAGTTACAACAAAAGGATAATCAGAGAGAGAGAGAGAGAGAGAGAAAAGACCAATAAGTTTATCTGATAACCAATTTTACCCTGAAGGAGTGATGACAACAAAGACAAAGAGATAAGATGACAAAAAAAGATGATAACTTGTCCCAATTTGTGGAAACAATTTATTTTTCTAAATCAATATACAATTAAAAAGACTTGTAATACATAACAATTGAATCGATGTTTCTTTAGATTCGGTTATTTTTTTCTCGTTGATTTATGATCAATTATTGGACCTTGTGAACAATTGATGGACTAAGAAAGCGTAATTAAGATTGAAAAAGTGAAAATTAGCTTTTATTAGCAACTTGACTTTTCTTTTGCGCCATTGGTCATCCAATGGTCACCTTTTCTGTATAAACTGAGATGATTGATTTTCTCGCGATCACTTTTATTCAAACTCGAGCTCGAATCAATTTTACCACGTTACTCTAATCAATTCTTTCTTTTGTGACTTAATTGTAATTTATTATCTTCTCGAAAATGTTCGTAGGGGATCAGTTAATCAATAAATCATTAAGTTGTGACCATCGATTTTGTCATATATGTAAGCTTAAAGGGGAATTAGACAAAATTGAGGCCATTTGTGATTGTCGCGAGTGTCGAGCTGCTGTTAATCTTAATCGTTTATTCAAAGTCTTGTTTTTGGTGAAAGAGGAAAACAATTAACAATGGAGCCACTGATGGAGCTGACCATTGGTCAGTGACCAATAAAAGACCTTTGGACGACGAACTCGAACTCGAACCCAAAATTGATTCGACGAAGAAACTTCGTGTTGGCAAACTCGAAACTTTATGTTCTAGTCGATCCTCGACTTTTTTGGACATAAATCCACGAAATTATCCCCGTTAGATTAATCGATTAACCGACTAAATCTCGAAATCGACAATATCATTTGATGTTCGAGAAATCGACTAATAATTAACAATGTTCATTGAACATTTAAGTTCACTAAGCAAATTTAACTAATTAACTGGTTAAAGTTAAATCGAGGAATCAAATTATTTGGACAATTTTTCTTATTTTTTTTTTGGATTATCAATTGAAAGCGATAAATTTTATTCTAATCATTGATTGAGTAATTTAATTGTTGACCAATGAAATCAGCAATTCAATGTATCCAATGGGATTAACCAATTTAATTTTAATGGTCATGAATGATTAAGTTTGTGTATTTTGTTTTTAAATCACAACAAAAATTAAGGACAAGAGACAATTTTGTTTTTTTTCTAGGAGCTTATTGTTGATAAGTTAATGGGTTGTGATTAACTAATTGTTGGTCATAAAATATAATGAGTGATGATGATGAATGGTAATGATGAACACAAGCAAAAATGAGATGGATTGATTAAGATGATGAGAGTTTCTTTTTTTTTGTTTGTTCGATGATCAATTATTTGTGTTTACGAAAATATCTTAAAGTTATATAACCGAAAATTTGGAAAATTATAATGAAAGCAATTAAGATTGAAGTGTTTAACCAAATTGCCGTTAATCCAGTTGTTCCTCCGATTGTTTCTAAATCGGTTAACAATTCATCTTTCGATATGAACAGTTCACTTTCATTCATTTTCATGGTATCATTTTGTCTCAAGCAGCTTGGAAATTTAGAAAGACTCGGTGAACATCTAGAAATAGAAAAAAGAAAAGAGAAAAAAATTCCAAAGTCAAAGTTAATTGTTATTAAATTTTTAATTCTAAAATCAATCATAAAAATTGGAGAATTTTTTTTCATTTTTCGCGGTTCTCAGTTTTTAGTTTCATTTTCTATTCTCAGGTAGCACCACCATGTATTCTCTTCAAATATTTGTTGACAATTTAACTAAATTAAGTTTCGTTTTTAATTGTTGTCTAATTAATTGACTGGAGTTTTAATTTAATTATAGATTTAAATCATTTTTGTTCAATTTAGAGAAATTTTATTCTCGATGTTTTCAGGTTTGTTTAACTCTTTCGCTGGTTTATCTAGTCAATGATTTCGATTCTTGGAATTAGTTTCATCTAATGTTTATATTAATCTCCATTTTTAATGATTCATTTTATTTCTGTTTCTCTTTTTTTTTTGTTTTAGTTTTTGATTATTCACTTACTTTATCGTTGGTCCATAGGTGAGCTCGATAATTTGCATATTTTGGAATGCATAGTGAACAATGGAAAAGTATTTAGCCCAAGTTAACCATGATGGTATAAGGGATGAGTAAAATCCTCCAAGCAGATTGGTAGACATGGAGTACAGAGCTGATATTGTCATTCCAATTTCAAGATTATCTGTTGTCACCCCAATTACAAATCCAATAGTTTGAGCGACAACAGAATTGAGTATGAAAAAAAACCATTGGATAATGAATGTGGTGATGGAGTAAAAGCTAAACATTGGATAAGATATAAGGTAAAAGGCTGTTGGTAAAGTTATCGTTGATGGTAACTCTCCAAGTAATTTGGCAATATAATAAGCGGATAAACGATAACAACCGGAAGCTCTCTCCTTATTAACTACCGCTTTCTCTGGTGGAAGTGAAACAAGCGTTCCAAATAGAGCGAAAAGCATCCAATATGAGGTGGCGAAAAACATCCAACCTCTAATATCGTTAATAGATGATTCTTGTCGAGGTATTTGAAACCAAATTAAACCAGTAATTATACCAAGTACAATTGCTTGTATCCAATTTAATTTGGAAAGCATTCGACCTCTTGATTCGTGAAAATTTCGCTGTGTTAATACTTTACATTGAGTCCAAAATGAGGTGGGCCATTTAGCGTAAGTTTCATTACCTGTTAGTCGACCATTTGATGAGTAACGTGATGATGGACTTAACCCACTTCCTGTGTAATACATTTCCTCAGTTGAGGCGGTTAATGAGGAGGAAGAAAAGGTTGCCGTCGATGAGCGATCAGTCTCGGTCCAACTGGATCGCCCGGAGTCATCATCATTAACGATTTTGGTGTAAATCTTGGCCAACTTTTTACAACAAGGATCAATTAATACTCTTAATTCAGTTGACCCCGGAGGTTTAGAGGGATCATTTACTTCAGTTGAATCTCTTCCGTCAGGCCAAAGAGGGTTTGCTTCATCAACATCTCCATCAGTCCGATCATGATCATTCACTGGATGGTACTCACTATTAAATGTTGTCACTTGTTCCTGATTATCAATATCATCTTCATCACATTGTGACCCATGATGATTGGAATGAGAATCAGCTCGATGACGATGATGATTATGATTATGATTATTATGTTGATTTTCAGATTGTAAATGATTTTCACAATCATTTTGATGGCGATCAATTGAGGAAGCTGATTTATTCCTATGAGATGATGGTGATGATGAAGATGAAAGTGATGGTAGCCTTGATCGTTGGGTTATCGGTAATTTATTTAATTGTCGAGCAGCTGATATAATTTTCTCTTCATCTTTCGAGCTTCCCCTAATCTTTTCCATCATAAAATCGGCTGGATTATAATTTGGTGTAATTTCAAATCCAATGGATGAGAAAAAGGGTATCACCGAATGGGTTTCACCAAAATAAGCTAAATGGCCATTGGAAAGTAATAACAATTTATCTAATAGATAAAATATCTGCGATGATGGTTGATGAATACTGGTGATTACAATTTTACGCTCTTTAATTGCGTAGTCTTTTAAAAATTTCATTATTCCTAAGGCAGTGCTCGAATCCAAGCCAGATGTCGGTTCCTGATGATGGTCATCATTTTAATCATGGAAAAAGAGAAAGAGAAACGAAATGACCCTTTTAATTAATTTCCTTCAAATATAATCCAAACCCTTTGGACACAAATTTAAAGTCATTGACAAAGATCACAACGTAATGACATGAATGAAAATCTGTCGATTCCCTTAACTAAATTCTGCTTTTCCTTTTCTCAAGGTGTCTCTTTATATCATCACAATCTATTAATAATCTTTTATGAACTTTTTCCTAGGGATTATTAGCCTTCTAATGGGCAATAAATTCATCTGGTCACAAGGTAAATTATAACAACAATCAACTAATGTCATGGGATAATTTAACCACAACCCTCAATGGATCTAACAGATTACAAAGATTTTCCTCTAAATTGTTGTTTTTTTTTCATCTTGACGATATTATGAAAAGATTACAATAAGATGCTGATTTTTTCATTGTTAAAAAAAGGATTGGATCAATTGGCTACCATCAAAGTTAATTGGTCAAGTCAATTTGAAAGTTCAACGACTCTGCTTGATTTACCTTAATCAACATCATTATTATTTCGACAACAATCAAATTGCCACAAATGAAGAAAATACCAATTCTACCTACAGAAAATGTCAACACTGATAATATAATCATCGGTATTTGATGATTACAACAATTACCTGATTGTTGAAAAAAAAAACGATCTCTATATTCAGTCAATTATTTTACTACCAAGAGACAATTAATACTTTTAATTGTTATAAAGTTCACTCATCATTAACCAGTAAACAAATACCTAGTAATTAATCAACTGATTATGATGATTATTGTGAAATTACTGTTTACAGTTATTTATGATTATCTCTTAATTGAAATGTCAATAACTATTTGGAGTTATCAATTTGATTGTGATTGGAAGATATATTTATATATATAAATCTATTGAAATGATTACATATCCTCATTCAGGAGACAAAAGATAATCAGTTAAATCGTTCAACTAGTGATGGTAATTAAAGATGATCCATGTAATAATTATAAGATCTCAGCGAGATAATTATTACTCCTTTTTTAGTAAAAAAAATGAAGTTAACTAACTTAATTTCTAACACTCAGTAATTAATTAACAGGTATCAATGGGGAACCTGATGTTTAAGACCAAGGCTAATTAAATGATTACTCTACTTGAAACTAATCAAGGCCAATGTGAGACAATCAACAGTCAAATATAATCATCATAATAATCAACAACAACCAGTGTTCAAAGGGAAAAAGTCGGATGAGAGCAATTAACCACCAGAGAAATGGTAATTAATTTAATTGTATATATCTACTAAAGATAATTGTTAAGATTAATAATAATTTTCTTCATTTCTTTCCAGTAGTCAACGAAAATCAATTCAATTCAGTTAATCTCATTAACAATCAAATATTGACAATAATCAATCCTGACAATTTAACCTATGGTGTTTTAATAGTGAATCTTATCATCTACAATTAACTAACAATCAAAATCAAATCAATTGTGATAACATTTACACTTTCTTAAAATGCTCTCTCTCTTTAATGGATTTTAATTGTATAAAAAAAAAGTTGATAATTGTTGTTGGAGGCAATTATTAATTACTAATAATGGTTAAGCCTTAAATTAGCTTCTAATTGCTCTTCATTTGATTTACAATTAACTCAATTATAATTAGGCCAAGATGATTTCAATCATACGAAAAAAAAAGTTAAACTAATCAACCAATTTATTAACTAACTTTGTACAATTGCGAAAGCTTTTTAATTCAAAGTTTAAATTTGATCAGGCTAATCAAAATAATTACTTAATTGTTGTAAATTTATTTCAGTTAACTAAACAAAAAATTAACAACCAACACCAATCATCAGTCATAATAATAATAATCAATTGTAATTTCCGGGTTAACTATTAACTACAACAATCAACTAACCAAAGGTTGGGTTAACTAAACATGATAATAATAAATGAAAATCACATTTATGTAAATAATAATAACAATCAATCATTAATTGTTTAATAATGATGCTGATAGTTAACTAATTAAACAATCAATTAGTACAACAATTAAGTAAACCTTATATATGGAAACCGTTTTTGGTGGTAGACAAGAAAAGTTATTGTTTCTCATTTTCGTTTGAAACTTTTTTGTTTCTCTCGCAATTGTTACGATGTTTTCCTTGATTGTGGAAATTTAATCAGACAGAATTGCAATTAAGTTTAATTGTACTTACATCTAATAGCATCACACTTGGATTTGATAATAATTCACATGCAATGTTAGCTCGTTTCTTTTCACCTCCAGATAATCCTCGATGTAAAGTGTCACCGATTATTGTGTTTTCGCACTGACCGAGGTCAAGAAGGTTAATTATATTGTCCACTTGCTTCATCTTTTGCAAATAGCTCATTGATTCAGGTAAACGGAGTAAAGCGGTGTACTAATTGTGGTAACAATTAAGAGAGAGAGAGAGAGAGAGAGAGAGAGAGACAATTAGTTGATTATCTTTGAAATGTCACTTGAAATTATTGATTTTGAATCAATGAAGTTGATGAAATATTCAAATGATTTGATTGGACCATTGAAACTTAATTAGAGATTAGAATTTGTGAAATTGTATTGACAGTTTGGTTTTGTTATTTGATTAATATTTTCTTAATCATTTGATTGTTTCAATTTTTGCAATCAATTTCATAACAACTTGAGTAAATTAATCAACTTACCGTAAGAGTTTGTTTGAGTGTTAAATCAGACAGGAAAATGTCATGTTGAAGGACATAGTTAATCCTCCTCTTAATCCGTTTATTAATCATCTCACCACCCAAAGTGATACAACCTTGATTAGACTTTAATCTTCCAGATAATACATTTAATAAACTTGATTTACCTGATCCTGATGGACCCATAATCCCAAGCACTTGACCTGGCTTAGCATAGCCACTAATATTGTCCAATATACGTCTACAATTAACTGATTGTGATGAGGGTGAACACTTAATATTATTATCACTTTCATCATTACAATTAACAGTAATTGTAATATTATCATCAACAGGATTGATTATACTCTTATGTTGTTGTTGTTGTGATGGGGATGAAGATGATGAAGTTGATTGTTGATTAATTGTCGATTTGCAACAAAAAATTGACGATTTACTTGAAGTCACTTTAATTGGTTCGTAAAGAATTAAATTATCAAACACTAAATCCATATTTCGATTATGATGATGATGATGATGATGATGGTGATTGTGATTGTGATGATTGTGATGATTATTATGTGATAATTGATCGGAATGGATTAGATGATTTCGATGATGATGATGATGATGTTTCTGTTTATCCTCTTTGTTGATTGTTATTGTCTCTTGATGATGCAAATGATGATGATGATTATGATGATTGTCTTCTTGTTGATCAATTGAGCTCATTTTCAATTGATTTGAATGTTCAATTTTCTTGCTAATTGTTGATTTAGTTTCGTTGTTTATTGATGAAGGTGAAAATGATGGTGATGAACTGTTTTGACAATCCACAAACATTGAAATAATCTGTTGATTGTTGATCATCATCATGTAACCATCCTGATCATCATCAGTGCTCCTTAAAGGCGGTGACAGAGACTCAAATCTATCCGATGATTGGCAGTCTTTCTTTATCTTCTTTATCTTCTTTCTTCTCTTTCTTTTTCTTCTCTTTCTTCGTTTGTTATAAAAGAAACGCTTTTCCTTCAATCTCCGGTGAAGGAGGAGTGAAGAAAGAAAAAGGTGATTAAAAAAGAAAGACTCTTATCATCTTTATCTTTCTTCTCTTTCTTTTATCATCTTCTCTTCTCTTTCTTTATCTTCCTTTAACCAATTCTCTGGATTTGAAACAGAACAACCAACAGAATTAAATTAGAAAACAATTGGTAAACAGTTAACTCGATCGTTGAACAATTAACGTTGGTATAAAATCTTCCAGAATCAATTTCGTTTATAATTATAATCGATTTACTTTTTTTTTTGTTTTCGAAACTTTTAATCAGCTGATTGTTGGGAATTTTTCATTTCGATAATTTCATTAGTTAATCATCAATGTTAATTTACCGATTTTCAACTAAATTGTAACTGATTAATTAATTGATTTGCTTTCTCTCCAATAGTTATAATGGGTTTTCCCTAATTTCAGTTATTCTGTTTTTCACTTAAATTTAAATTCTATCATGTAGCAATTAACTGATTCAGTTGAAATTTTCGATTTTTATTTGATTAACTTTTTTTTCCTCTCGTTAATAGCGCTTATATATGGAACTGAGTTGGCCTGAAATTGGTCAGAACTTTTTTTTCGCTATTTTTCCAATATCTTTTCAATGTTTTCTTAGATTTTGATTGCAATAAGATTTTCAGAATTTTGGAGAAAAATTGATCTCGAATTGGTGTTTATGAATTTCTGTCGATAGCTCGAGAATAGATCAAATCAAATTTATCCTCACCGGTTAATTTGGAGAAAGAGTTAATTGTCACTCTGTGAATTGAATTGCTAATCAAAGTAAATCCTCGATTGAAATGATTAACTTTTCTTTCTAATTGTTATCAGTTAATCATCTTGGTTTCATAATCTCAAGTTAAGGGTTAAATCAAGTCAAGAGCAATTGGCAATAAGATTAAATTGTTAATCTTTACGATTTAAAAATCATTTCCTGGTGTAAAAAAAAAGAAAGATAATTAGTTAATTGTTGTAGAAAATTGAATCAAATTAATTAATCGTTAAGATTTTAAATCATCAAGTGTCAATGAACGATTAATAAATTTGATGTTTGATTAGATTTGAAAAGAAAAGTAAAAAAAGAAAAGAAAACTTTTTTTCTCTCAACTTCCTTTCTAAAGGTCAACTTGTCTGTGGAGTTTCAAGTTCCGGTCAAGGTTAAAATGGTCAAGGTGAAGTCTTTCTATAGATATGTGTATGTATGTTCGTGTGTGGTGGTCAAATAAGGTCAAGATATTTTCGATTCTGATGCTGGACAAAGAAGAAGAAGAAGATGATGATGATAGAATTTGTTTCGTTCCCATTCGGGGTCATTGTCGATTTGTCGTAACTTTAACATAATGAATTCTTTTTCCCATTGATAATTAATTTTTTCTTCTTCTCGTAAATTTTACAACTTTTCAAATGCCGTCAATTTTGAACCTTGTCCAGCTGCATAAGACGACGAAGGGTAGGGTCAGGTCATAGGTCAACTTTGTCTTGTCGTTCATTGATAACATTCACCGTAGTTGTTGTTGAACATTTTGAAAACCTTTTCAATGAAGATTAATTTTTGTTCAAAGGTTTTCAGTATTTACACTGATCACATAATAATAATGTCACCTTGGAAAAGTGACCAGTGGTCAAACCTTTGCCCTCTCCCCTTTTCTAGGTCATAAAAAGTAAAAGAATTCACTTTTATCTCTCTCTCTCTCTCTCTCTCTCTCTCTCTCTCTTTCCTTTTCTTTTCTTTCGAGTTCAATGGTCAACACAATGGTCAGTGAAACAACATCGCAACTTCAGGTGAGTTATTAGTGTCTCATCTTTACCTTTATTCATTTTACACTTTGTCGCCTTTTCCCTTGTATTGACCTTTCACCTTTCTCAATATTGAACGTCCACTTGACACGTTCAACCTTATTTAGTGACCTAAACTTTGACCGGACAATGGGTAAAGTTTTAGGGGAAAAGTTTTCCAGGAAAAAAAAGACAATGAATCAAGACAATTAACACTTTCTCAATTGAAGTAAAAACTTTGTTATGGTTTAATTGTTGTCAACGATTTAAATTGTCAACCTAAATATAGCGTACAATTAAGTGATTTATATGGCATAAGCCTTTAACAATTACTTTGTGATTAAATTGGCCGAGTTAATTGTTTCATCATTTAAATGTTGTGAACATAAAGCAACCCTATCACAAAATACAATCATAATCAAATTAATTGTCAATTTAAATAATAATTGTTACTTATTAAGTTTCTCTCAACAGAAACCTCAAGGTTTTCATTGTAATAATTAAACTGTGAACTTAATTGTTGACATGGTTTTGCTAAAACATCCAATAAATAAGTATTAAAAAAAACCCTAATTGTGATGAATGACAATCAAGTTAATAATTATCTCGATATAAATGTCTAATTAACTGACAACGAACAGTGATAATTGTATTTAATTGTCCAGCTAATTATTAATAACTGATCAAGATTAAGAATGAACTTGATCAAAAAGTCAACTGAACTTTTTTCTTTCCATCAAAAGTTTCTTTAGCCCTTAAACTAGTTTCATCGATTTGTTTTCATCTTCTTCCGCATCACCTTGTCCTCCTCATCCTCATCCTCATCTTCATCCTCATCCTCATCTCCATCTTCATCATCATCATTTTTGCAAGGGTTTTCTTTCATTTTGTTTTTTCCCCGATCCAACATCTTCCGGATCAATGATTGAACTTTTTCCTGGTACGAGTTGGCCTAAACCTTAACTCGGCTAAATTAACAAAGCAATTTAAATGACCATCATGATTAATCATGAAAACTAATCCCCAATCAATAGGGAAAATGAACAACCAAACAAACAAATCGATAAACAATTTAACTTAATTGTTACCTTGATAATTTTATTATGAGAAGAAAAAAAATAACAACAAAATAATTTTCTCAATTTTTGTAACAAAGTTTAAAAACTTTTACCTTTAATTTGGTTATAATGATTTTCTTTTGATAACTTTTTGTTTTCTTCAGTACGAAACGTTAATTGTTTTGTAGCATTTATCGTAATTAAAGAAACATGATTCCAAGGCCAATCTAATAAAAGGTTATTCAACTTGTAGTGATATTATATAGATAGAGCACAACACCAAATCATGATAATCATCATGAGAAACCAACAATTTAACTACTTAATCAAACTTGGAACAGGTTCCAACAATCAGATAGATTTTTCTGTTGATCAAAATTTACTAAAACTTTTTTTTTCTCTTTACGCTAAGGGATTGATTACTCTACCTTGATCAAAGTGATTTGTTTACAATTTACTAATTGTAGGTTTGTGGGACAATGAAACTGTTGATCGCTTTGGCTTAAAGTGACAAGTTACCGTTAATAATGAATTGATTACCTTCAACTCCTCCACCTCATCTTATTTACAGGTAATCAGGTAAAAGGTAAATGTGATCATTTGTTATTATTGTTGTTGTTTTTTTTTTCTTCTCATATTCTTTAATAACTAAATGAAGATGATGATGGAAAAAGCAAAAAGAAAATGAATTTGAACTTGTAATTTCATCTCTCAGAACTTTTTTTCTCCTCATAATCATCATGTTCATCTTCATCCTGACCGTAACCCCGTCTTTATTCAGGTTCCTTATTAAACTAGTTTCCGTCTTCCGCATCATTTTATCATCTTCTTTGGGATAAAAAGAAAAGGGTAAGAGATTTTTAAGAAAAGAAGATGAAAAAGTTTTGAGAAATTTTTTCTTCTTCTTCCTGAATATTTGATCAGACAGGGAAGTAAATTAACTGAGAGAGAGACACACACAGATAACAACAATTAACAATTAATTTAATCACTCATTTAATATAATTAGTTAGTTTTTGAAACGAGACTAATCAAACCTAAAAGGTAAACAGACAGAATCTATTATATTTGATAATCGAGACGATCAGCTAATCAATTGGTTTGATCAATCGGTTTGATCAATTGGTTTGATTTTGATTTGGAAAAGTATTAGATTGAATTAAATCAATTCCAATGAATTATTATCAATGAAATTTGATCTATTTTGTTGCTCGTTGTTTTTAACAAAACACTAATTAAAATGATCAACAGGAAATCTGATCATTTGTTAAAGTTAACAATTTAAATTATGCCAACAAGTTGATTGTTGCTGTTACTTTATAATATTACTTTATAATAGATACGGTTGATTTGAAGACTAGTACAAGGGCAATCTATTTAAAGTTCATTGAACTCTCATCAGCACGGAGCTTGAATAAGGAAGAGGATGATGATGAAGATGATGAGGATGATGGTGATGGTTGGAAGAGAGAGAGAGATGAAAGAGTAAGAAAAAAATAGAGAGTTAAAGGAGAGTTTAGGATTGGGACGATGATAGAAAATGATGATAGAGAAAAATGGGTTACCAAGGTAACCAAGAAATTCCTGGTCACCGGAAGTGTTAAAGGGTCATTTTTCATTGATTTGTGACACTGGTTAGAGTAGTGATTAGTTAATTGTTGGTGGAATCAGTTATCAAATACTAATGTAAGATGAGAAATTAACTATTACTTTGTGAATGTCAATGAACTGGAAAATACTAAACGATGTCATCGACTTAACTAGAATCTTAGATGAGAGATGATGAAGAGAAGAAAAATCTGAGTGAGTGAGTGAGAGAGAGAGAGTAAATATTAACAAGAGATGAAAAAGATGATGAGTGTAAAAGAAATAATTTTCCAAGAGAAAGTTAAAGATGATGAGAGAAAGAGTAAAATCTAAGGGAATGAACCTCTTCCTATCTCTTGATATTCATCATCATTTAATATCAACAATTGAAATCAGAATTATGTTCAGATCATTGGCATGTTGGCTTAATCATCATCTTGTTAATGGTGAGGCTCAATCACTTTCAATCATCATCTTCATCTTCATCATTATCATCAAACTGATCATCACTTTCCTCGCTTTTTTTTTCAAATTTCACTCTCTGAAAATAAATCCAGGAAGCCAATGGAATCCAATGTTATGAGTACAAATTAAACACAAAGAGATTGTAAATTGTATATAAATGAACATGATGATCCAATGAAATTCAATGGGATGGAGATAAGGTGATGATGATGATGATGATGATGAAGATGCGGAAGAGTCTAAACTAGTTTAAGGGCAGGTAACAAATGATCAAGTTTTTTTTAGTTTCGGACTGTTGATGTTGCATGGAAAGAGATTGGAAACTTTTTTCCTTCATCTTTATTTCAAGTTCAACATCAAAACAATTTAGTTTAACAGTTAAAAAAGTACAGTTAGTTAATTCAACCATTTAATTAGCTGATATAAAGTAATCATAATTAACGATTTAATTGTTTGACAAATTGTTTCCCTCCTTAAATGTGTGTTTATGTGGTTACAAGAAAAAGTGTCTCCCTTATTAATGTCCCATAAACCTAATTGACTTTTATCAACAGTTAATCAACATAATCACTAATCAACAATCAGTTGATTATAATTATTAATTTTCCTCTCTCTTTCTCTTTCTCTATCTTTTTCTTTGTGAAATGTATTAATATTAATATGAAAATCTTAATTTGGATAATAGGTAAGCTTTGATTACTTTTTTGTTTATGATTAGTTAATTGTTGACTAATTTAATTTAGTTTCTTTCAATAGGTTACCTTTGTTGTTTAATTGGTTACATTTTTGGATCTGATTGTTTTGATTGTATCTTCAAGGTGATTATCTAATTATAATTAACTAAAAGGGAAAATGCAAATCTTATAACCTGGGAAATGGTCAAAAAATTAACTAATTGTGATGGTTAATATAATTAAAATTATTTCAGTATTTATATTGTAAACTTTTCCCTCCAATTGTGTTGTTATAATTAAGGAAAAAAAAATTGATTCAATGATTATAATAGTAAACATTTAATCAGTTGAGTGTTTATGATTAGGATTTGATCAGGATAAAGATTATATAATAACATGAGAAGATTAAGAAAGTTCAATAAATTATAAACAATAAGAAAACAATTAACAATTAACTGGAAAGAAGATGATTAAACAATTAGATGATAATAATAATCAATCAATTAACTTACCGAAAGAGCAAAAAAAAAAGTTTAATTTTGTTAATCAACCACAATTACAATATGATTGTGAAAATGATTCCTTGAGACAATTGAAACAATTAAAGATTATTATAAATAAGGATATTTATACATTCATAAGATTATTATACAATTGTGATCAGTTAATTGTTGAGATGAAACTAATTGTCAATCAAATGGTAACAAACTAATATAATCGCAAGGTGTTAACCAAGTAAAATTAACCGCGAACTCGGATAATTGGTTAAAAATGGTTCATTTACAAAATTTACTACAATTTAATTGTAATAATATCACTTGTTGACCTCACTAATTGTGATTAACATGATTACCATTATTATTATCAATTAAGTAGAATCATTTTCAGGTAAACCGTTAACCTGACATCCAATTAAAAATTGGATTCACTTTGAGGCCCTTTAAACACTCATTTCTTAATTCACTTTCTTATTCCAATTTCATCAATAATCTTATTAAAACCTTTTCCTTAATCATGATGATGACGATGACGACGACGACGACGATGATGATGATGATGATGATCTTTCAATTCTTGGTGAAAAAAAAGTTTTCCTCCATCATGAATGTTACCTTTTTATTTATTTTTATTTATTCAGTTGAACATGTTTATCAACAATCAACACGATGATTAACATGATTGGGAAAAAAAGGTCGATTCGTCTTTCGAGTCTTTCTTTACCTGTCCTTCAAAAAGTAAACAAATATCTTTTCCAATCAATCATCACATCGTCATCATCATGATTAACTAATGATGATTTCATGTTAGAATTCATTTAGAGTTACTAATTGTCGTTACTCGTCTTGTTGGAGTAAATTACTAGTTGATATTTATCACTTTCTCTAATTGTTTTGTGTTTTTTTGTTCATTTTAATACCAGAATGAAATTATAACTCCACTGGTTTACAATCAAGTTAATTTACTTGGTTCGCTACCTGGTAATTTAACTAATTCATATTGGAAATCCTCTGATAGTCAACATGTTGGCTCACAAGTTTTGGATTCTTGTTTAAATTCAACTGATTGTCGTAGGTCACTAGCGGTCATTTATTTAAAAACCAATGGTAATCGTGATTGTAATTCCGATGGGTCAATTGATTGTATTGATTATGCTTTATTTGCACAATTTGATTCCGATTGTGGATCAGCATCAAAAGATACAGTCAATTTAACCAAATTTAAGATAAATGATTGTCTTAATCAAGGTGAGAGATTAAGAGTCAAAACTTGTAAATATAAAAACAAAAACTATAATCACTAATTGTTACAATTTATCAGAGTTAATTTGATGATGCAATTTGATAATTTTTTTTTCACTCTCATCTTCATTTAAAAAGGTATCACCTCAATTCATAATATTGATCAAGAGAGTGGTGAAGTTTCAATTGAATATAATGCAACTGAAAATGACCTGGAGTCAGCAACCGAAGGCGGTGATTCAGTCCGGACAATTGTGCCGCCGGTGGTAACCAAATTAATTGGACGGGAGTGTTTAAAGTGTATCTGTGAAGCATCAAACAATTGTGATTCCAATGTGACCTGTGATACAAGTGCTTGTGGACCTTATCGATTGTCCTTTGATTATTATCAATTAGCTGGAAGTCCGGGTGATGGTTATGAAAATTGCTGTCGAGATGTTGATTGTTCAGAGAAAGTGATTCAAACTTATGTAACCAAATTTCTGAGAGATTGTGATAATAATCAGTTAATTGATTGTGATGATTTCTCAGCGATCCATAGATTTGGTTCCTCGTGTTCCAACAATCAGAATAAATTATCAGAGTATTGGCGTCATTTTGAATATTGTACAGTCATGGCTGATAATGTTCGAAGTGAGTACAATTAGCTCGACAATTTAGATCATTTTATCAATAATATTTTCTATTATTAATTGTTTACTATAGAGGAAGTTGATCCATGGGAAAATAGCCCAAGGCCGAGTGTTAATCAACCATCATTGTCTTTACCACCATTGATTCCTTATCCTGTTCGCTTTTCAACCAAAGCGCCAATCAATCCACCGAATCGTTTGATCAATCAAATTGTTCATTTAGATGATCAATGTTTAAATTGTATTTGTCAGGTAACAAATAATTAATGTTAATTAATTCCAATCCAAGATTATGTTTCAAGTTAATCTTTATATTCAATTGTATCCACAGGCGAGTAGCGGTTGTAATATCACTCGAACCCATTGTCCTAATGGTTCGGGTTGTGGTCCGTACCAAATTGATCTGACCTATGTTAGAGATGCTGGTGGGGAATTGTTAACTGATGATGGATTTAACGATTGTGCCAATGATCGTGAATGTTCAGAGTCTATTGTCAAGAATTACATTGAACGGAACGTATTAGATTGTAACGGAGATGAAATTTTAGATTGTACCGATTTTGCTTTGGTCCATAAATTGGGTCGCACTAATTGTCGACAATCAAGAGACATTGACGCTTTCCTTGATTCTGCTTATTGGTCTGAATTTCAGGGTTGTCATGGTTTTGATTAAATTAACAAATAAATGTAAATAATGTGAGCAATTAATCAATGAAAATTGATTGTGCCGCTTTGAATACACACACAATTGGATTACCCTTTTAAAGGGCCACTGAAAATTTGATCAAGAAATAAAAAATAACTTTAAATTGTTATTAATTGTTGTTTAGTATCAGTATGCCAAAACTCTGGACAATTTAAACGACCCCGATAATCAGTGAGTGGAATCATATGGATTAAATTGTTTCATGTTTGTATGGATCATTAATCATCAATTCAATTTGCTCGTAATTGTTGATTTCAATCTAGAAAAAAAAATTGTGAGAGGGAAAAGTTAATCAACTTATTTCTTCATTCTTTCAATCTAATTAATTAGAATTCATTTTTTAATTACCTCATCAGCTAATTTCTTTAATCTTTTATTATCTTCGGTTTTATCAAATCTTTCCAAGTACTTTTGCCGATAATACAAAACGACCTGACCATAGGTTCGTTGTTTATTATCGTGTTTGTCCATTAAATCACAAGCTCTGTTCCAATTGTACATTTCCAAGTTAATTAGAATTGCTCTGAGAATATTTTTACCAGCGATTAAAATATTTTCCGCTTCTTTTATATTACCACAAATTAGCGCGATCTCAGCGTTTCGAGCAACCGAATCCGATAATTTTTGTACTCGTTGAATGTACAAAACTTTATCCACCTTATCAATGGCTGCATATGCTTGTTCAGCAATGTCTAAATTGTGACAATTAAGAGCCATTCCAGCTAATGAAGCACAAAGAGGCAAATGATCAGGTGATGATTTTAGAAATCGGCACAATTGTAAGGCCTCAGTCCATTTTCCATTGATAACATAGCCATGTAAAATTCTGGGAAATGAGCTGATTGAATATTGAACCGGTGAACCATCAGATAAACGGAGTGTTAAATGATTAGTGTGGAAATTGATTAACTGTAAATTTTTCGATGAACTATCAGACCAATCCTTTTCGAGAACAGCAATTGATAGCAATTGTTTATCAATGAAACCCGATTGTGGATAAAGCCAAACGGTGATTCGACCATTTTCACCTAAAGCGGCCAACATATTTGCGACATCGCACCAGATAATCTGCCTAATCATTGAATGAATTTTAATCGTTCGATTTGATACTGTTCTTGGTCGAATCAGAGTCAGATAAAGGTCACAATTCTTATCGATAAAGGCCAATTTCCGCTCGTTGGGAGATCCAGTTGAATCAAGAGCAATCGTGATTATTTCCGATTTATGTTTAAGACTTGGGTTCGAGGTAATTGGTTTTCCCGATGAAAGATCAACAAAATGTACAACTTTATTATCGTTGGCATCGATAGCAGCTAAAGTTTCAGGACTGAGAGAGAGTGTTAATTGATTGAGAAAATCAATTCGCAATCCAATCCACTTGAAATTGTTCAGAAATCGACCATCATATGAGTGAAGGTAAACATTTGTCGAATCAACCAAAAGAAATGAAGATACTGATTGTAGGAGACAATTAATTGTAGAATCTTTCAAATCAAATGTAAATGGTGCAGTTAAATTGGTTGTACGATAAATGTTACATTGACTAGTTGTAAGAACAATTAAATGTCCATGTTCGAGATTAAATTTGGTTATATTCTCACGAAATTCAATATCTTCTTCAGTGTTTGTTAAAATATCTTTAATCCGTAAGATACGTTGACTTAAACTGCGAACTTGATAATTGATCCAATCAATTGATTTATCAATTACATGGGCGAAAATGACACTTCCGTTACCGGTGACACCAGTGATCTGAGTTGAATCCGGAGACCAGGAAAGGTTAAAGATACTCTGAACGGAAGGTTTATTTAAACTGTAAGCCCAACCATGTTTATCGCACAATTTAAGTGAATTATAAGATCCAACGGTAAATAGTGATCCATTAGGTGACCATGTTAACGATGTAATTGGATAATCATTGATTCCGCTTGTGAAAAGTAATCGTCCTGAACTATCCCAGACTTTGTATCGACAATCCTCCCCACCGCTGATTATTGTATTGTTACATTGATTCCAATCGACTTTTAAAATGATTCCATCATGAGCTTTCCATAGGATTGGTTTACTTTTTGAAGAGAGTGGTTTTATTTCAAGACTCGAATCAATTGTATAAATTATTGAATCGTTCGATGGTGACCAAGCTAATGAGTAAACCGGCGTCGGGTGGGAAGTTAACGTTGTCCTTAACATTCCGCTTTTCGACCAAACTTTGACTTGACCTTCTTCACCTCCAGTGGCCAAAGCGGTTCCATCGGAGCTCCATTTTATTACAAGAATTGCACCTTTATGGGCGTCGACTGATTTTTCTAATTTACCTGTTCGACTGAATATATGATAACAACCATCCGTTGAACTGATTAAAAATAAATCGGAACTTTTTTGTCGATTCCCTGAATTCCATTTAGGGTAAACGTGAAGATCTGTTGGAAATAAATCATCAGGTAAATTGATTGTTCGCAGTATTTCACGATTACTATTATTCCAGATTAACAATTTATGATCATCACCAGCGGTTAAAACTTCATCACCATTCAACCAACCGACACAAGTAGCAAAATCATTGTGATTAGTCCTGCAATTAGAAAATCATTCAGCAATTAAATTTGATAAAATCAAACATTTCACAAATTAGTCAATACTTACGTTGAAGTGTAGATTTTAAATCTCATAACTAATCACAAACAGCCCAAAACCAGGTAACAATTAACAATAATTATCAAATAATCAGATAATTGATTAACCAAAATGAAGGAAAAAAACAAAAAATCAATCAACCAAAATTTGGTTTGTTATTTTTTCCAAAAACTAAGCAACCACCGATCGATAATTTCCAATTCTTCAGATGGAAACACATAAACTTCATGGTTCTATTAAGAAAAAGATTAAAATCTCAAAACAACTTGCGAATTAGAAATTAATAAATTGTAACAATTAGTGAATTGTTCTTGTCATTTAGCTGAAAACATTTTCTCAGAAAATGAAAATATGTTAACAAAAGTAAACAAAAAATTTTGAGCGCGATTTTCAAATTATCTCGAATAAAAATTAATTTCAATCAACTAATCCGAATTTACCATTTTTTTTATTAGACACAAATAAATAATTGACATAATGTTTACAGAGTTTCATTTGGTTTGATTGTTTCGATTTCAATTGATTGGGATTGTTTAATAACAAAGGATCGAATCAAATTTAGGTGATGCTAATTGAAAGGTGAAACTATTAAAGGGAAAATAATAACACAGAGAATGATTGAAAAACGATGATACATCTAATCCTAATCTGATATTTTTATCAATCACATGGGAACAAAGAGCTATTTGATAATCTCTCGAAATTTCAACAAATTGTTCAACTATTGTTGGTAAACAATAGAGAAGTGGATTCAATTTGGTTCCAATTAAACCTTGTAAATTGAGTAATCTAAGTGATTTCAATTGGATCATATTAAATTCACTGATTTTACAAGAGATGAGGTAAAAAATTGATTGGGTAACAGAGTAGAAAAGTTTATGTTGATCTGGATTATAATTTAGATCAATGGTAATATCATTGTTACAATCAGAATAATCTAATGACCAATTAACAGCATTTTCCAGGAAAGAGACAACTTGATCTGTAGTAATGTAATTTGATTCAACCATCATCGATGCTAGAATACAAACTGACCTCGAATCGAGTGAACCTTTTTCAGAAGATTTAATTGTTTCATACCAAAGTTTGGATAAGGTTCTTTCACAAAGATCCTCAGAGAAACTTGACCAATAGACCATAGCAAAAGGTAAATTAATCAATGAATCAATGTTAATCACTTGAGTGGTGAAAATGTATAACAATGAGCCAATTGTTACCTCTGCTTTACTTGAATCATATGTTAGGCTATCAGGATGAAGGATAGAATTCAATTTTGACAATAAAAGGTCAAATCCAGTGTCAAATATATTATAACATTTGATTGCTAATTCAATATTAGCATTGTTATTATCATTTGTTGTCGACATTGTTGTTGTTGTTGTTGTTGTGGTTGTACCAGAATCGGTGGTACCGTCAATGGCTAAGCTTTCAGCAGCTCTTTGGGAAGACATTTCCAACCAAATTAGTTTGTCAATGATTAAGTTAAGAATTGATTGGGTATCGGAAAGATAATCAATGGAATCAATTACATTGGTCAAATATGCAACATAACAATGAACAGTTGACGTTATATAATGAGGGAAACTGGTCTTGAATGTATTGGATATTAACAGGGAAGCTGATGGATATGTTTCAACCAATTCTTTTAGGAAAATGTGACAACGTTGAAATATTTGAGATTCATTGTAACTTAATTGTGATCCTTCCTTATCCTCACCTTGGAATATTTTTAGAACAATATTCTTTATTATAGATTGGATGAAAATAGGCGAGATGGTAATCATATCACTAAGAATATCCAATAGAATGGAAACAATTGGAATACCATTTGTATCGGTGAAGATGAAATTTCTCCAAGGTAAGATGTATAATATTTGTCCAAATTGAGTTGATCGTCGCCATTTAATTAAAATCAATGGAAGATTATGTGAAATGATGGTTAAATTGTCCACAAGTTCATTTAGCTTTTCATTTGTGGTAGAAAACATTAGAATGTCTTTCAATGTGGTTAAACGAGAGGTAATCTCAGTTTCGGTTAGCACTTTATCATTATCACCTAATAGATCAGTTAAAGATGGTAAAACCGATGATTGGGCCTTGGCTTTTGCTTTCAAATTTCGTAAATAATTCATGGTTAATTGTGATTAACTGGGGAGAACATTTAAATTGAAACAAAAAAGAGAAGAGAAAAATTATTAAAGGTAAACAATTTTAACCGAAACAAGAAATTGAGACAACGTGGTGAGAATTTACTTCCAAATCTTCAATGGCGTCTGCTCAGAAAAAAGAATAGAATAAAAAGAAAATTCTTTTCTCTTTTCAGGTAAATTCACTGATTCATCAACATTCTTAATTATCTCAATTTCTCAATGAATGAGTTGATTGTTTGATAAATTGTTCTAAGAAATGAGAAAAAAAAAGCGAAACGGTTAACTTACCTTTCTTTGTTTTCGATGGATTAACATTTGTTTACTAAGATTTTTGTTGAAACTGTAAATTGGGTTGAATTTATTGTTGATTGTCGGTTAACTGGTTCCCATTAATTGTAACAATTTAAAAACGAAATCAGGGGATTAAATTAAATTAAGTTGGTAGGGTAACAGAAATGAAATGTTATTAATCAAATATCAAGGTTGATCTGTTGAAGATTATGTTTGTATCAATACAACAAGAGTCAACACTTTTCCTTGGATTAATTAAATTTTATTTTCTTTAACTTCACACTTTGATTGAGATCTTCAAATTTTCCACAAATTGATAAATCTTAATCTTGAAGAGACTAATTTGAATTAATTACGATGAAGAAATTTAATAACAATCACGAGTTGAATGAACATGTTAATCAATTCAATTCAACTTCTTGTTTACTGTTGCCTTGGTTTCCATCAGCTGTTTGGGTTATGAGAGTTGCGGTTTTCTGTTGATCATTTTTTGTTCATTCTAATTGTTGAATTAACAATTTATTTTAATTGTTCACATTTTAAGATAAATTATTTAATCAATTTAACGTTAAATTAAGTGACAATGAGTAATATTTATATTAAAGAACCAGCAACTAATGGAAAGGTAAGAAAAGTGTTAATATTTTTTTTTCAATTTTTTCTTTTCTGTTTTTCAAATTTTGTTTTTCTAAACTTAAATCTTATGGTTTAGGTTTTCTCGTTGATTGTGACAATTTATTTAATCTAGTTTGACACTTTGATTGTTGTAAAGGTTGACAAATTGTTTACTTTCTGTTTGTATCTTGATTGTGATGTGATTTCTTTTTGTTATCAGGTTATATTGAAAACGACATTAGGTGATTTTGATTGTGAATTATGGTCTCGAGAAGCACCAAAAGCGAGTCGGAATTTCATCCAATTGTGTATGGAGGGTTATTATGATGGTACAATTTTCCACCGGGTACTTAAAGGATTTATCGCTCAAGGAGGTGACCCAACGGGAACTGGTTTCGGTAAATTGATAACCTTAAACTGAAAATATAAAAAAGTGGAAAATTTGAATGTGTAATTTTGTTTTGGTTTTTGTTTTCTCTTATGTGTTTGTATTGATTAGGAGGAGAATCGGTTTATGGTGAACCATTTAAAGATGAATTCCATTCACGATTACGATTTGTTCGTCGGGGACTTTTGGCCATGGCAAATTCAGAGAAAGATTCAAATGGGTCACAATTTTTTTTCACTCTTGGCGCTTGTCCTGAACTTCAGGATAAACACACGATATTTGGTAAAGTTGTTGGAAACACCGTTTACAATATGATCAAATTTGACGATCTTCAGATTGACCAGAACGATAGGCCATTGTATCCACCCAAAATTCATTCAACGGAAATAGTTTTCAATCCTTTTGATGATATTAAACCTCGTAAACGGGAAATCAAGAAGGTTGACAGAAAACCGGAAAAACCGAAAATAAAAGGAACCAAAGATTTTAAATTACTTTCATTTGGTGATGAAGCCGAAGAGGAAGAGGAAGCAGTCGATGAAGTGATTAAGGCATTTAAAAGCAAGAGTAAAAGCAGCCACGATTTACTGGATGATCCAAAGTTAAGCTCAATACCTGCCGTTGATCCTTCACTTGTTGCCATCAACAATAAACGTTTAAAAGGTGATGTAAAGGATAAGTTAATGGACGAAGATGATGCCAAAGGAGATTCAGATGAAAATGATAGCGAAACAAATAGAAAGAGGAAAATCGATGTCGCCTCAACAATTAGAACCAAATTCATTTCGAAAAGTAATCCGTTCGGTGAAGGAACATCGAAAGATTTTCTAGACGATCCATTGCTAGATGAAGACCCGATGAACGATAAACAATCAAGATTGTGAGTAATTAATTCAATCAATTAATTTTAGATAATCTAATCTTTGTGTCAACTTTAATTTTCCAGAGAGAAACTTAAAAGTGAATCGAAAGAATTGAGAAAATCTCTTGCCAAGAAAAAGCCAGAACCAGAGATTAAATCAATTAAATCGGAAAAGAAAACAGATCCATCGATTGCCAATCTAATGAACGAAATAGTAAAATTAAAAACTGACCTGAAAAATCAAAAGACCAAAAAATCCGACACCGAGGTGAGTTTTATATTCAATTCTATTGGAATTACGAGATTTCCCTCTAATCCCATTAATCTCCCGCTCCTCGTTCATAATCTAAATTGATTGCACTACAATCAAGATTATCTCTCATATTGTCCACTAACTTAATCCATATAATTACGTTGATTTATCTCTTCTCATTAATAGTTATCACTTAAATTGTGTCTATTCGTTTAATCAAAAGCTTGACCAAACGATTTGATCTTCAAAGTAAATATTAGGCTTTAGAAGATTAAAACTCCATAATGGTCAAAGTTAATCCCTCATTTACATAATCATCTCAGGTCAAAAACTTTTTTTTCCAATGAAAACAATTTAGATTTAACAATCAATCGTTGTTTTTATTTATCGATAATCAAATTGAATCAACAATTGACCAGAAATTTAAAAACAAACTCAAAGACAATAATATCTCAATTCTAATCCCGGATATGATAATAAGATAAACTTTTTCTCAACAGTTATTGATAAATGATAGAAAAATTTATTCACAGAATCCAATCAATTTTATCAATCAGTTGATTCCAATTACTATCGATTTCGATTAATCCAAGTGAACCGATTTGATTAATGAGTAACAATTTATCTTAAACCGATATCTAGACACACGTTAAGATTGATTAGTTAAATTTAATTTCTCCAATATTTAACTAATTTACAAGTCTAGGAAAAAAAAACATCACTTCCTTAATCTTATTTCCGGACTTATGAATTACCAATTAAAATTTATCTCATTCCAATCAACTAATTACAAGCAAAACGACAAGTACAATTTGACTAATTACAATGATAATTATTAATAATCTGAATTTACTTTTAGGTTTTATTTGAAAAGTTCAAAGCAAAACTCAAGTCAACTCAACCCACTGGTGATAAAGATGGTGGCGGTGAATCAACAACAACAATTAAATTGTTTAGCCATAAAATGATCAGTGAAGAGTCTGAACCTGTCCTGGCAAAAGACGCTAATCTAATTAAAGAAGCCGATTGGTATGATATTTATGACCCGAGGCATCCAGTCAATAAACGGAGACGTGAACAGGGTAATGAATCAACAGGAACAATTAAAAAATCCAACAATCATAAGAGTTAACAACAGACAATAATCAACATAATCGCCATGAAAATGGGGCCAAGAAACAACAATAAGCAAGTCAACACATCAGCAACTTAATGATTATTACTAAAATGATTCAGTTCAAGTTTGATGATGAACATTAAAATCAAAGATCATGGAAACATTTTCACCACCGAGCGGAATCAATGAAGTTACAATTTATCTTCTCAAAGGGCATCATCATCATCATCATCGTACCAGAAGAAGGAGGAAAAAGTGAAAAAAGGATGAGTAGAGAGGTGGAAGAAGGAGGAGAAACATGATGATAATCACTCCCATCATCATGATCACCTCCCCGGAAGATGATGATGAACATAAATTGTGAGCAAATGATTCGGATTATACCTGGAAGATTTTGCCTGTTTTCCTGAGATAAGGTTGAAAAGGAAGCCTGAAAAAGTGAGATAACCTCAATGGATCAATGATTTAAGGGACATGCTTATTACGAAAATATAACTATTTGATTGTTATTACCAAATGCACAGTAATCAATTGATTAATTGTCTAACCAATTGATCTAAATCAATTGGCTATTTCCTTCCAGTCAAAAATTATGGTTAACTAACAAATCTAAACTAAATCTAAATCAGATAGATTTCAGATTTCCTCACAAGTTATATTTTCATCTCTTGTATTCTTAATTATATATTAATACTTTTTTTTCTTCTTCTATTTAATCATAACAATCAACTAATTCTCAACAAAATGAAACATTCACTTTAAACTTTTTTTATACCCAAATGAAATTAAGATTATCCTTAATTTTTCAAATTATCCAACCGATAAACATTTTCTCATAATCAACAACAATCAAACACTGAATTAAATTTGAATAAATTACTATTCTAATAACTGATTATGATGATAATCAACAAGGAAAACATAATAATAACAATCAATTTCCTCCCTTGTAATCATCCCTTAGGTAAACAAATTGAGAAAATTGGAAACGAGCTCATCTCAGAAATTAAAAGTTACTAATCTTTAATCATCACAATGATAATAATTAACTGATTAAAAGATTATCAATGATTTGATGATCATCTTCTTATTGATCAACATTATTGGTGAGAAAATGAAAAGGTTTGGAAAACAATTTCATCTCAATAATCAACAAGACAATTTAAAAAAAAAATCTCACACAATCAGATTAACAGAAAACGTGATAATCAACAGTTGATGGTAAATTGTTATTCAACAAATCATATCAATATTATCATTATCTAGTTAACAGATTATCCTCTGGTACTTATAATATTTTTCATCTTCATCCAACAATTTATTTTAATCATCTCCCAACAATTGATTAACGTTAGGGGATTAACATTGTATCCAAATGTAAACAATTGTGACAATGTTTTTTATTTTCATATCACCAGTTGAATTATCATGTTGATTGTTTTTTAAACATCGTCAATATTATGATTATAGTTAAATAATTGGCTTTCAATTGATAAAAAATATTATCAATGAAAAAGGATGCGGAGTTATCACCATCATCATAATCTATTCATTGATGCAAAGGTATTATTATTATGAACGCGTGTCAATTGATGATGATCATCATCATGTTGACGATTATGATGATTGATAAAAAAAGATGATCATTCTAAACAATTGATTGTTATATTTATCATCTTTTATCATCATTTTCATCTCTCTCTTTTTCTCACCTTTTTAATGTTGATATTTTATTTTCTCTTTCACTCCTCATCTTTTCATCATCTTTTCAATTTTTTCTCTCTCTTCATCTCCATCTCTCTCTCTCTCTCTCTCTCTCTTTTCATCTTTCTCTCCCCATACACACTCGATGAGAATATAATTCTAACCTATAAGAAGATATTACAATAGAACTACTTTCTCATTGGTCGATCTTCCCATTGGATTTAATATGATAGGTTAATTTTCCTCATCTTCTTTATCATCCTCATCCTCGGAAGATAAACTGTTTCCTCTCTTCCCGTAAATTCATCTTTTGATTTTTCATCTTTTTAATCCAAGATTGAAAATCTTTTTCTAAAATCAGTGGATTGACTTTTCTTTCTTCATCTAATTGTTTCATCTTCTCGTCGATTCAATAATCTTAATCGTCTTCGAATTTCAAGTTCATTCCATTCAAATTCGTGACTTCGCTGAATTTTCACAGTCTCACATTGTATTTAAATGTCGTTTCTTTCAACAACTTTCATTTCACATCTTAAGTGACAAAGTGAATCAACTCAAGTTACGATCAAATTGGTTGTCAAAATGATCGGAAGTGGACTGACCTCGATTAAGCATCGTAAAGATAAACAATTAACAGAAAAATCAACAACATTATTCAAAGAAATGCCCAAAGATTCATTGAGTAGCCTTAAAATAATCAAAATCGAAACATCAACTTTAAATGAGACATTTTCGAAAAGTTTAACCAAAAAATTTTCATCAAATTCACCAAAATCAACCTCACTATCCTCATCACCTTCGACCTCACCCCAACCCAGTACAGTAATAACATCCATCCAGGTATCACCTAATGATCACCACAATCAACGATCTCAGTGCTATATTACTACTTACACACCATATCGAGATCTAATCAGGACCAATGTGATCAATATGGAGTCACCTTTAGATACAACAACAACAACACCGAAAAGGTCAATTAAATGTTCACCCACCGGGGAACAAAGTGTCACCTCAATATCTTCATCTTCACCATCACCTTCCCTGATTGGGACAGTTTCCTCTTCATCTTCAGGTGTAACTAAAACCTCGAGAAACGGACGTTCGGGAAGTAAGAAAAATGGCCGATGGACATTTACCAATTGTCGAGAGCGACAAAGACAACAGAATGTAAATGAAGCGTTTCAAGAATTACGAGCTAAGATCCCGACACAGCCTGTGGACAAGAAATTGTCGAAATGTTCAATATTAACTCGAGCCATTGAGTATATAAAATTGTTAAATGGAATCCTGGAAAAGATGGATGATGATGAGGAAGATGAAGATGAAGATAATGATCAAGATGAAAATTGTGCTTTTTCAGGGATTAGAAAACGATCTCGATATTGTTCATCAAATGAAGTTGCAGTTAATTCAGTTCATTGTAAATCATCCTCTCGAAATTCAGTAATTACTTCATCTTCATCATCTTCAATCCATGATTATGAGAGTGATGGTGCTGGTGGGGGCGAGGAAATGTTAGAAGATGAAGTGGACGAAAAGGAAGATAAAAGTTCTAATAACCATCGAACTCGAAAAAAGAAAGAGAAAAAAGTTTCATCTCGAATCTCATCTTGTTCATCTAATAACAACCGTCCATTGGAAACCAATGTTTCAATCACTCGAGTCAATACAAACTTAAAAGGCTCACAAACTTTTAACCAAATCAACGAAAGACTTAATTGTTCACCGATTGTAACAAGATCTTCAACAATTAACCGTCGACAGCGATCATTTTGCCAAGAAAATCTTTGCGATGGATTAAGTCAAGATTCACAGGAAACCTTAAGATCATCTGAAGATAAGATGATAATGGATGATGTTAGTATTGTATCTTACGAATTTGATTCATCCGGTGAGCAAAGTATTTCGTCAACAGTTAGCAGTCCATCTGATTCAGATTAGAACATTTTAGAACAAAAAGAACAAAAAATATTCTTTTCTTTTCTTCTCATTCTCCATCTTCATCCTCGTCCTTATCTCCATCATCATCATCTCTCTCTCTCTCTCTCTCTCTTTCTATTGGTTCTAATAATCAATTAGTAATTTCTTGAGAAAGAGATTAAATTGTCATAACAATTTAGAATCGATATTGTGACAGGTCAATCAACTGTTAACAGTTAATTAGTCTTTACGATTAACTAAATGTGACAATTTACTTTGGGTGTAAACACAATTAACGAATCACTAATTGTATCATATTCTTAATGTAAAAGATTGTATCAACTTCTTGATTGTCTTTGTATTAAATATCTAGTGATTGAAGAAAATTGTTCACTAATTAACAGCAATTAAAGGCAATTATTTTAATCATCTTAATCTATCAATTGATTAACAATTAACTCCTTTCGGTTTGCATAGATGACCAATTGAAATGATCAAGTAAAATGTTATTAGAAACTAAAATTTATCAAATATCAAGAGCGAAAATGTTAACAGTTAATTTACTTGACAATTAACATTAATTGTAGTCCATTAAATCAATTAATTGTTTGTTTACATGAGAAAATCTTAAACTTGTTTAAATTGTTACATTTACATCCATAAAATTTGTTGTAAATGATTAACTTTAATTTAGTATAATAATCATAACAATCAACATGGTGATAAAAATAAATTACTTGATTCACAAGGAGATTAACAATTACTAAATCAATGAATTAATTAAATGACCATGAATTTAGATGATGAGAAATTAACTAATGTGATTAACTAATGACAACAATATGAGAAAATTTATTCCAAACAATTAAAAGTTCATTTGATTTCCGTTGGCCTTTCGGGCTATCGAAAGATTAACTTCTCAAGTGACCCTTGATAGCGACGTTTTTTTTTTAATTCAATTCACCTTAATGTTGATTGTCAAATTGATTCATTGATTTGTGTGTTAATCAAATCATGAAATCAACAATTAATCCATTTATAAGGCTTGATTATCGTCTTCTCATCAATCAGATAATCACTCGAGATGAAAATCCATTGACTGGTCACACGTTTGTCTTTTATGTGACATCGATCGGGATTGTGGCCTTTAAGGTACAATGAGAAGGTTGTGTTAAGGTTGATGGTTAGAGGAAGAAATCATTTACCCGGAAATTAATTGTAACACACAATTAATTAATTTCCAAACGATTAACACAATCGAAAGTGATGATAAAGATAATCAACTAGAAGTGAATTCTCCCATAAAAATTGACGGATTAACAAATTGTTCTGATTATTTGTAAGATAATAGGAAGAAAATATTATCAATGAAAGAGAAAAATATTTATTGATTAACTCATAAATCTTTAATCATATTTTGATAGTTCTACAATCAACCGATTGATTGTGACAATTAACTATTAGAAAGTTGTCGGAATAAGTTGATGAGATTAGTGAACATTTTTTTTTGTATTGTTAATGAGCTCTAATTGTAATTATGGTTAGAGGATTGAGAACAATTAAGAAATTTTTTTCCAAAGTTTATCCAGTTTGAGAATTAAGTTTTCTATGAAGGGAATTTTCAGATTAACTTGACGCTTTTTCCGTTTTCCGGCAGCGGCGGGGAAAAATATCGATAACATGTAGATGAAAATTGGAACCAGTGGCATCATGATTGCACCGAATGCGAGGAGGGTCAAGAGTGGAAGGGCAACCACCGCGATCAGAACCAAGGGGTCGATGAAACCAAGAGAGAGGAAACTTTTCTCACTGGGAAGAAAACTTTTGGCAGGACCCGGAGGGTGTTGAATTGGCGGTGGATACTGATGGTGGAGAGAGAGAGAGAGGGAGGGAGTGGGAAATGAATATGAATCAATTAGATAACAAGGAGAACAATTTAATAATCATAATTACCTGACCACCAGGGAAGTGATAAGGAAATAGGATGACCCCACTTCCGGGAGCATCTTTGGTAAACTCAGGAGGCTTGAAAGCAATATCATCGTGATTTTGAGCGGCGGGTGCGATGGTATCGGTTAAATTACCCACCGAGTGTTGAATTGATGTTAACAGTGATAGAAACAAGTAAATTAATTTGTACATTTAATCAACGAGAATTGATTTCCCATGTCATCAATTATTGGATAAACTAAAGTTTCACTTAATCACAACAAGTTACAAATTGCAACTGATTGACAATCAGCTAATTGTTAAGCCTTTAAATAGTGTTACTTTTGATTCCATGGAGATGTAATTTAATTGTTGGAACATTAATTTCTTGGCAAACTTTAATCATTAACTGTGTGTGGGTCAGTTAATTGTTCCTGTTGGTTTATTCTGGTTAATTGTTTCAATCCTTTGATCCGGTTATATGATAAAATCTTTTCTACTTAATTGTAACAATTTACAAAATTATTTCCACTAATTGTTAATTTTTCTTTCGCTACAATTGTAAACATTTAATCTGAAATTTTTGGTTAACTACTCCACCCGAAAACTTAATTGTAACAATTGCAAATCAGTTTGAGTGTAACAATTAACTCACAACCGCTGACAAATTTGAACCTTAAACCTACGGAAGTTAATTGTTTACATTATTTCAACGATTTAATTAGGTTAATTGTTAACACAAATTATGACTATCCAATCAATTCCATTAATTGTTAGATGAGAAAAAAAAAGAAATTGATTCCAATTCAAATTATCCGGTTTTCCTATTTAAGTTTTTCTCATCGCCTTGACAATCAATTTATCTAAACAATCAATGATGAAATCTATTGATATAAATGTGTCAAGTTAACTATCAAATTACTAATTGTCTCCTAAAAGAAACAAACAATTAAGTTTAATTAACTAAATTTCTTTTAAAAATTTTCTTCCTCGTCTCTGATTGGCTGTTTTTCGTTTGAATGATTTTCCGTTAAAGTGAATTTTGTTTACAAACATCAAGAGAGTTGACTGAATGTTGGCTGATTGTTTTTAATTAATTTCTATATTTTTCTCATGTTAATCAATTAACTGGCTGATTAAATCAACTATGGACTATCTCAAGGAGTGTATTGAACAGAATAGAATAGAGTAAGTAAACAATTTAATTCTAATTTAACGATTTTCTATTTGTGTTTCTCTATAAGAGAAGCTTTTTTTTTCTTTTTTTCTTTTTCTCTTTATTATAATTGTGATTTAGAATTTTTTTTTGTCCATTGTCAATTTATTCTAATTTGTTGCTTTTTTTCTCTACTCAGTATAATCTCTGATTTTATTAGAAATCTAAGCGACATCAACGCTGTTTTAATCCATGAAGATGACTGCAATTTGAATTTACTTCATTTTGTTACTGCCGTTGACTCAATCAACCGAGATGATGTAATTAAATTAATTTTAACCGTTGATGAGCTTGATATCAATAAACACAGTGGACCAGGAAATGATTATTTCACCGCCGCTCATATAGCCGCTTGTTTCGGCTATACAACCACCCTGAAAGTGCTCCTCGAAAATGGTGCCGATCCCTATTTGTTGGACAAGGAAAACAACACAGTTTGGGACATTGCCGCTTTCCGAAACAATTACAATTGTATTCTCGTTCTTGAGAGTGAAATTAGTAAACCTGAGCCCTCACCAAGGAAACAGATCGATGAATCCATTTACTTTTCCTTGGTTAATATTAAATTGGAAGATGATGATGATGATGATAGTAAAGAAAAAGGTGATGAAACAATTAAATCATCAGATGATAGTGAACAATCAGTAGTCTGTGTTAAAGCGGTGGAAAATCATGTTATAAACAAAGTGGAAGAAAAATTATGCCAAAGGTCACCTGCAACTCCACGATCTGCACCAATCAAACCATTTACACCTCGGAAACTTTTACAAGGCCAAAGTCCACTCAGAGATTGTCCGTCTAAAAAGACTCCAAGTAAAGATAGTCCAGCAAAAGGAGGAGATACCCCAACGAAGAAAAGTCCACCACGGAAAATTGTACCAAGGAAAAGTCCACCGAGAAAAGAGCGGAAACCAAAAATTACTAAGAAACAAGTGGACAGTTTAAATGACACAATTTACACGGATGAAGATTTCAATGTAACATTAATTGAATCATGTGATTCAGCATTGGAACCAATTGATCCCCTGTTACAACAATTAACTGATCAAGAAGTTCGACAACAATTAATGGGATTAGGTCAATCTCCTGGACCAATTAATGATACCACTCGAAATGCTTACCTTAGGAAGCTGAAAATACTTAAATCGGCCTCAGTTGTAACCAACTCACCGGCTAAACCTAAACAACTTCAACCATTATCACCATTGTCACCATTGTCACCATTTAAACCTTTACCAGCATATTCACCTTACATCAATGCAATTTTACTTAATCGTTTTAAATTTAAGGAATCAAAAAAATTGGAAGAAGAGTTTGTTGAAAAATTTTTTTCTAATCCAATTGGACCGACCGATTTTTTCGTTTATTTACTTCTTGACCCTCGGAAATATTGTCCATCACAACCATCGAATAACAAAATTGACAATAATCCATTCGTTAGATTCATCAAATCAATCTTTTATATCGGTAAAGGTAAAAACAACCGACCTTATATGCACCTTTACGAAGCCGCTGCACCCGCTAAGAACAACAAGCCGATAAGTGCAAAAGTTAAACTAATCCAAGAGATTTGGGACCAAGGATTAGGGGTCATTTCTCTTCATATCGTGATTGCCATGTCTTCCAATGAAGCTTATGCACGGGAATCATTAATGATCGATGCAATCGGAATTAATAAGTTAACTAATATTCGATCGGGACAGCAAAAGATTAATTGGCCTGAGGCGAGAAGAATGACTCTTGGAACTCATTTTATCTACAATGCTTACGCAAATGTTAAAACTAATGGCGTAAGACAAATTCGACGAGTAAATATTAGATGAATTAAATCATCTTCTCAAATTAGTCCAGAGCTTATTCCATATGGAATCATTGAGAAATTTATCATTTGACTTTAAGAACAAAGAACAATTTTCTTTTCTTTTTTTCCATTTTATCACTCATCTTATTTTCCATCGAATCTTTTTTTTTCCATATAAGATCTCATCTTTCTCATTTGTTTTAATTTTTTTCACCAGAAAAAAAATCTTACTTTTTATAAATAAATATTAGAGTCGAAATGAAATAAAAGTGATCTTATTTGAAGTCAACAAGAAGGTTATGGCTGTAAAGGAATAAATTTTTCGGTGAAAGAGATAGAGAAAGGAAAGAGTAAAGAGTTTTGAGAAAAATTTTCGCAGATAGAATGATGAAAAGGATGTAACTAATTAAGAAACTGAAAGAATAAGCAAAGACAGATAATGATAAAAAGTGTGAAGACAGAAAGAGAGATAAAGATCAATTAAATCGAGTAGGATCACAATTATACATTAGTCGCTGTTGAGGCTGACGCAGTTGAGGCAGTCGTCGAAGCCGCTGTGACCGTTGAAGTTTTGGTTGGTGTTGATGGTTCCAATTTCATCACTTGGCAAACCCACCGGGCAAAATCAAGATCCTCACTTTCAGCTTTCTTAGTATAAGGATGATTCTGATGAGGTAAAAAAAAGAGAGCAGATAAATAAAACAATATAATAACAATCATCGATATGTAATTTAGTATTGAACCAATTGATCTCAAATTAAAATACTAACCATTAACGTTTTGAGATCAGGTCTTTCTACTGGATTCTTTTTGAGACAACTATCAACCAAATCTTTGAATTCAGAGGAAAATATTCCCGCCGGTATTGTTGGTTGTGGTTCATTAACAATGTAATCTAATAATTCAAAGATAGATAAACGTGGACAATCTCCGGCTCCCGAATTTGAGGCTGAATTTTGACTAAAGCTAGCCGGACGCGTCTTAGAATTGGGGCTAACTGGGGTTTTGGCATCGTTTGAGTTATCCTGTGGCTCAGGTTGATATTGAGAACCAAAGATTGCCTTAAGCTCTTTGACATCTGGAGGAGGAACAGGATATCGACCGATAGCCATTTCAACAAGAGATAATCCAAGGCTCCATATATCAGATTGAATGGTATAGTGGGTACCTTGTAATCTCTCCGGCTGATAAATGAGGGAGAAGACAAAATTTTAAGGTGAGACAGGAAAATAAAGGTTCAGTTACGAGAGCTGTCAAAATACACAGTTATATCAAGAGAGTGTACACTCTGATATAATCTAAAGAAATGATATCTTACCGACATATAAGATCGAGTACCAACAAAAGAGTTTGCCATGGAGTCGATAAGTTGTCCACTGACACCAAAATCACATATTTTAATCTCTCCTCTGGAATTTACAAGAATGTTGGAAGGCTTGACATCTATGGAGTAAAAATAGAGGGAGAATAAAAGTTGTGAGCATGGTTAGTCAAATATACGAAAAAGGTAAACGTATCAACTATGGAGATCATATGATTTTTACCTCTATGCATAATTTGATGTTTCTCTCTTAGATAGTTGAGTCCTTTGAGCACAGCAATAGTAACCTTACCAAGTACCTGTTCGGGTATTCGTCCAGCTTTTTTGAGAACCAAATCAAGGGAAGCACCATCCTGAATGATAATAAGAATTAAGATTAATATATATATTGTACGACAATCTGAATAAACAATTAAAACAGTTGAAGGTAATTACCATATACTCCATGCAAATATTAATCTCCCCATCACTGTAAAATGCACCATAAAATCCAACAATATGAGGGGAATTACATTCATGAAGAACTTTTAATTCTCGAATGATTTGATTGCGAATGGCAGGTTTAACTTCAAGATGAATGAGCTGGTTAATTGGATCAAAGTAATAATGATAAAGAATTTAAAGATGAGATGACAATAAAAATGAAAGTGAAAATGTAAACATGAAGAAGAGTGAATAGTAATAGTAATTACAAATACAAGATGAACCAACCTTTCGAGCCATAATAAGACCGGATGGTCGATGTAGAACTTTGGTAACAACACCTCCATTACCAGCACCTAATTCACCAAGATATTCAAAATCTTCTCCCGTAAGCTCACCAACCTTTTGCTTTTGGGTTAAAAAGGTTTCCAATCGTTGCCTTTGTTGATCATCTAAATCAAGGCCTTCAAGTGTCTTGTGAAGAGCTTCAATACTAGTGTCCAATGGTTTCCTGGTAAAGAAAAAAGATTCAACCAGAATAAATAAGAGAAATTAGATAAAAGATAACAACAACAAAAAAACGAGAAGAAGATGGAAATTCTCTTCAATTCTTCAAAGAGAATTTAAAAGAAAGAGAAAATTCCAAATGGAACCAGAAAAAAAACACTGTCTTTAATACTCAACTCATTTTGGTCCTGACTGGAATCACCTGAATCTATTGATCCAGGAGGAAGTTTAAGGTTAAGCTTATTTTTACTCGGATTTCGACTCATCGGAACTGTGGACTGTTGTGATGGAGATAATTGGAAAGAACAAAAAAGAGATTATTAAAAAAAGATATAATTAGTAAAGAGAATAGAAGAGAAAAACGAAAAGAGAATTCAAATCAAAACAATAACAACACATATGAGAGGAAAAGAAGAAGAAGAGAGAAAGAGAAACAGAGACAGACAGAGAAAAAGAGAAGAAAAAGTGAAGCTTTTTATTTACAATGAGAATGTAAAAGATGAAGAAGTAAAAACAGAAGAGAATAAATTAATTGGACTTGATGGACAATCGATGCACTGGTCACAATTAACTAATTAAACTAAAAGATGATTAAAAGACTCAATCAAATTGGGAACCGAACAAGTTAAAAAACACCAAGGGTAATGAGAGATGATGCATAAGATGAAGATGATGAATAAATGTTGACACAAGTGGAATTCACTCTCTTTCTTTTTCTCTTCTCTTTGTGATTTTCTTTCTTCTTCTCTTACTCTTTTTTTTTTCTTTTCTCTTTTATTCTCTTTTCTCTCTTTTTTCCCCTTTTTTCTTCTTCTTCTTTTTCTTCAATATTCTCTTTGTATGTACAATCATTTTCTATTCTTTTTCTTTTCTACTTTATATTCTTTTTTTCTTTTTTCTTCCATTTTTTCTCTGTTGTGTTCCATCCACTGTCCATTTCTCTTGACGTTGATCCATAAAAGAATATGACACAATTGAACAAATTAAAAGAACAAAGTGACAAAGAGAAGGATTAACAACATGGATTAAAGAGATTGAGAGAAAATGGAAAAACGATTGACTTGAAACAATTTTTTTCCAATTTTTTTCCCAATTGAAACAACCGGTGATTAGAATTTCATTTTGTTTGTGTTTTTAATTCAATTTACATAATTACCTTGATGATGGAGATGATTAAGGTTAAGATGATGATGAATTTGTGATTAAAATGATTACTGATTAATCATAGAGTTGATTAGTTGTCTTTTTCCTTGTGATCACAATTTGGATTTGGCTTTTGGATTTTACTCCAAATGTGTTGATGTTTTTATCCAATTTTGAAGAAAAGGATTAACACTAAGTGATTATCTCAATATGTGATTATCTGTTTCACAATTAAATTTAATCTACATGAAGATGGTGAACTAAGGGAGATATAAAACACAATGAGAATAAATAGTAAATAATAGAAAGAGAAAGAGAGTTAATGTTATGTTTGTCGACAGAGAGAAAGAAAGTAAATGGAACAAGTTGAATTGTTTTCACCTAAAAGGATGTTAAGGGTTAGGTAAAGGAAGAAGAAAGTTCAATGTAAAAAAAAAGAAGAGAAAAGAACATTTTCTCTTTCATGTTCTCTTTCTATTTTATCTTCATGGAGAAAGTAAAATAGACAGAAAGGTCAATAGGAGTAGAGGAAATTGAATGAATCGTTTGGATGAATGAATGAATTTGAGACACAGAGAAACATTTTCGAGGAAGAGGTCGATCGATGTGTCTACAATCTTAACGATCATCATCATCTTCTTCATCTTCTTCATCCTCATCCTCAGAATCATGATAATCCAAAGATGGAAGAAAAGTTTTTTAGGTCATCACCTTCATCTCCATCCTCATCTTCATCTTCATCTTCATCTCCATCCTCGAATCCAACCTTTCATTCATTAATCACTGATTGATTGTTTTCTCATCTTCTTCTTGTTACCTTCATCGTATTTGGTTAATTGTTGCTGATTAATTGATTCTTTGGAGATGATTAACTGAATAACCGATGCTAATTGTTGACAAAAATGATAACTGTTAATATTTTTTTTTCTTCTTCTTCTTCTTCCAATCCAATTAAATTTATTTCTAAATCAAATACAATCAAATGATGATCAATATATTTAATCAGCGGTTTGTATTATATTGATTATAATATAATTTTCTGATTAGTTTCATTAATTTGATTTACTTTAATATCGAGACTTGTTATTTAATTTACTCTTTTCACGATTAACCTTGATTGGTGATTTCCAGTGTAACAATTAACTTAATTTCTAATTAGAACAATTTTCTCAAGCAATTTATTAAGTTAAGATTGTTAGAAGAGAAAAACAAATTATCGTGATAATTATAATCAACGTTATTCAATACAAAACTAATCAATAAATTGTTGATTTAAATCAATGATTAAAGCGCCATCATTAGGAATCAATTGAAAGGCAAAAAGAAAGGGAAACTTGATTATCATCATCTTTTACTATTTATCATCATCATCATCATCATCGTCTTTGCATCATCTCATTGTTAGTTTTGCTTCAACTTTCATTTGATTCGTGACAATTTAGTTTAATTAATTTCTATATGACAATATTGATTTAATCTTTTAACTCTAATTGTGATTAAATTGTTTCCATTCTCAATCATTATTAATATCATCTTCATTTACTAATTAAAAGTTCACAATGAATCGTAATCCAAACAATAAGGATAATCTTAAACTTCCGTCAGGATCAAAGGATTCAGGTAGTTAATTTAATTGTTCCAATCATCAATTTTAATTTGGTTTATTGATTAGATGATTAACTTTGATTAACGAGATAAATTGTTCGATTTTTATGTTTTCATCTTGGATTCGATAAGTTGAGATTTGCCTTTTTTAATTGTTAACAATTAAAAAGGAAAATTTTACCAATCAAGTTAATTTTTCATCGCCTCGAATTTTTTATTAATCAGTTAGTTAGTTTAAATCAATTGATTTGATCAATAAAAGTGTTGTTGATCTGCGTTGATTTAATTAACGTTACCTCTTGTTGTTTCTTATGGTGATTGTTAGTTAATTAAATTGTTTGTAATCTTAATCAACTGCCTTTGGAAATGATTAGTTAATAGGTAATTTAACTCTTTAAACTAATCAATAAAGTTGATAATCACTTAATTTTTGCCGTTCTCTCACTTGTTAATCGTTTCAATCAACAATTAATAGTGATACTAATTATGATAATTAAGTTACAAGGTTACTCTTATGTGATACATATAAAAAAAATAATCTAAATTGAATTAATCAAGTTTAAGATAATTAATCAAAAAGAATAGATAAAGTTTTTCTTTCATTAAATCCACTTTTGTTTATCAATTGGATGAGCAATTGATGAATTGACAATTAATCAGTAATCGCCTAATTAAGGACCACATTGAAGAGAAAAATGAATCTAATCAGTTTGATTATATAATATTGTTCAATTCGCACTAATTGTTGGGCTTATCCAAGTTTAATTCTCAAGGAGAAATAAAAACTCTCTTGACATTGAAGATTAATTGATAATCCACTTGATTGAAATTCCAGAAGGAACCAAATACATTTCCGAAGGTTCGCTTTTATTGTATATCGCCGTTTTCGGTGCTCTTCTTGGCGGGATTAATGTCGGCATGATGATCGGTTATGCTTCCCCGGCGGTCAATAGTATGGAAAGTAACACTAGTCGACCTCATTATGATCGGAAAACAGATTCAGATGTCGAAACGTGGATTCGTAGTATCCCAACGATCGGTGCGGTAGCTGGAGGTTTAACTGGAGGTAAATAAGAGAAAAGATAATTACAGAATTGTAGAAGAGGATGAAAGAAAAAATATAATTAATATGATCAATTACAGAATATCAAAACCTATGATTAATTGATTGATTAACTTAACAACTTATTGACTGTTAAGTGATTAGGAATTACCTTTTTTGTTTCCATTTTACTTTCACTTATTTACTAGTTACACTTTCTCTCTGTTTGTTTATATTATTAATTGTAATTGATAACAATTAATATAACAATCATTGTCATATTACTAATTAATATTTCCTCAATTACAACACTTCACTTTAAATTGTTATTCAAAAAAATGGCAACAATTAATTGAATGAAAGGTAAAAGTAGATTAAATATATATTTAGTTACCTTGAAAATTGATAATTCAGATAAACTGGATTAAATTGGATAATTAATTTATTGTTTATGGCACTTTCTCTCTTTGTGTTATGGTGACTATCAACGGGATTTAGGTCCACTTTCGGGAATTGCGGGAAGACGAGTATGCTTAATGGCTGTTTGTTTACCTCTCTTTCTGGGATGGATGTTAATTACCACTGCGACCAATACGGCGATGATCATAACTGGACGTTTACTGACCGGAATAATTTCGGGAATCTTTTGCTGTGCTACTCCGACCTACGTTATTGAAGTAGCACCTTTGTCACTTCGAGGTGCTCTCGGAAGTGGTTTCCAGGTAAATTTCAAGCTAATCACTTAACATAACGGTTGATGTGATGATCCAGACGAAACAAATATCATTTATATGTCACTTCATTGTGTTAATTGATTCAATTATTCATTTGATACAGTTTTTTGTTTGACCAGAGCGTTTCTCTCTCACTGATTCACTCTAACGTCTCCCTGTTTCTTTGATTATCCAGGTTTTTGTCACAATTGGTATTCTCATTTCTTCAGTACTTGGAACGGCGACTGAATGGAAATTACTTGCATTTTTATCATCGATTCCAGTGATAGTTATGCCAATCATTTTATACTTTTGTCCAGAATCTCCGGTTTACTTGTTCAATAAGAAAGGTGCTGGAAAGGAAACCATGAACGCATTAAGATTATTAAGAAGTGAAAACAGTTCGGTTGATGCTGAACTTGAACAAATTGCGAAAACACCCAAGGAAAAGCAACCAATGATTCTTAGTTGGGAACAATTAAAAATGCCAATAGTCTATTATCCATTTTTTTATGCTTGTGGTATATTGTTTTTCCAACAAGCATCAGGTATCAATGCTGTTATCTTCAATGAACTTGACATCTTCATCCTTTCCGGTATTAAAATGAATCCTAATTATTGTTCAATTATCCTGAACGGTGTAGCTGTTATTGCAACCATAGCAAGTGCTTCCGTTTCCGATAGATTTGGAAGGAAAGTTTTACTATTCGTCTCAGGTGTTGGTAATACTTTGGCCTTGTTCAGTTTATCAGTTTGCTTTTACTTGACCAAAAAGGATCCAAATTTTGGTCAAAATTATGGTTGGATTGCTCTTCTTTCAACAATAGCTTACCTTGCCTTTTTCGCTCTTGGTTATGGTCCAATCCCTTGGGCGATTGCACCGGAAATGTCACCTTATTTTGCTCGAGGTTTTATCACAGCGATTGGAACTTTTCTCAATTGGGGAACAGCGTTTCTGGTAACCAAAGAATTTGAGAAAATGGAACATCTTTTAACACCGGCGGGTTCTTTCGCCTTCTTTACCATTATATCTTTTATTGGTCTTTTATTTACATCGTTTGTCCTTCCAGAAACAAAAGGTAAATCAATCGATGAAATTCTGGCCATTTTTGAGAAAAAAACCAAACCCGTTGATAATGTTAAACTAGCGACCATCGAACCATTTCCTTGAACACAAATCCATGGAACATGTTGACCATTAGGTGAAAAACAATCAATCGTTTGACCAGAAGATGACCAAGCCATTGGATCTGTAATAAATGAGAATAGGTGATAAGTGATGTCTTTTTTGGGGGAAAACTTTTTTTTATTCAATATTAACTATGGTAAAACCTTTTCCAATCATGGGTTAATCCATATTTGGAGTGATTTACCTTAATTGCCTCACACTAATTGCCTTAATTAACAGTGTACTTGACTGATTGATTATCAGTGAAATTTGATGAGATGAAATCAATTATCTTCATCTCTATCCTTTTCCCTGTCTCTCTCTTTTTTATATTACTCATAATCATGTAATGTTTAATTTGAAAATCAAATAAAGTCAATTGACATTAATTGGTATTCAATTAATTACAATATTAATACAAAAATACAATTTTCCCCACAATCAAATTGATATAACTTGAAATCAGATTAATAGAAACTAACTTCGATTATCTCTGATGATATGGATTAAATGTAAAGGAAGAAACATTTTTCAATAATCAATAATCAATGGAAATCAACTTACTAATTGATTTATTGAACTGATTAGAGAGAGAGAGAGAGAGAGAGAGAGTAACAAATTGTCACTTATGGATTACCAATAACAGAACCGCTGATGACCACATTCACTTTTACTCTTTGCTTTTAGCTGAGTTCATCAATTGATAATCTTTAAGTGGATCAATCACATTTTAATCATGATTCCAAATTGAGTTGAAGGTTAACATACTCTAGCAATTAGGGAGAGAAAGAGAGAAGAAAATAAAACGTTAAAAGACAAAGAGACCACCTTAAATTAAGCTTAAGCTTATCGGTAGATTAATTTAACTGTATACTTAACCCACACCAATGTCAATGAGGAAAATAAAAGGCATCGTCATTAGTTAGCAAATTGTGGTAAATATAACACCGAGTTCACAGTTTGTGTGAGAATCAAATTGAACATTAAAACTAATTGAATCACAGATTATGTAAAACAATAAACTAAAATAAATAGGCAAAGAAAAAGGAATCAACCAAAAAAAAAATCACAAGTAAAAACCAAAATCACGTCACATTGGATTAGTAATAACATTAGGGTATTTCCTTTGCCTAGACACAGGGATAAACTTCAAGTCCTCACAAGTTCAAATCTTCCAAGATTAACATTTCGAAACAATTAAACACATTAACCATAGACATAACATGAATAACAGAAACAAAAAAAAAGAAATAAAATAAAACGAAATTAAAAATCAATCACATCAAATCAAAACAAAGATCAAAATCAAAATCATCAATCAGAAAAATTTATTTTCTTCTAATTTCATTAAACAATCTCAATACTTACACATTTACCATCCCCACGGGCTACTAAGAGTTTCCGACCCATAAATTTACACCAACACCTAAATAAGAATCAGCAACTAATTGTAACAATCAAATTAAATCAACAATTAACAAAAAGCGAAAAAAGAAAAAAAATTAATTCTAAATATACAATAAATTCCACTGCCGGTAGATGGCGACACTTTTCGTTCTTTTCAAAAGAATCTTTTGTCGATCAAATTATTTTTCCCTCTTAATTATTTTCGGTCAAAATTTTGATTCTATTTACATTTAATTTAATTTATCTAAAAGTTGTTCTATTAATTGTTGACCTTGTTTTATAAATTAACAATTAATCATTTGTAGTGTCACCTGTAGAATGAATCTATTGATGGTCATTCGTTTTACTTTATCAATTGAATTGATTGATCTTCTTCCTCTTCTTGTTTGGATAAATACATTTACATATGGACGTTGATGGTAATGTTATTATGTTGAATTTTAATTATCCAAAAGGACATTACCTTGTTAATTGGTTTCAAATGAAAGCCAAAAGTTAAGGTAAGTTGATCTTGTCGTTATTAAAGTACAGTCCAATTTATAAAAGATACTGTTGAATGTTTTTACCTAACTAATTGGTAAGGTAGGGTTACTATTGATTCAATGTGATCACTTTTCTCCCTCTTCTTGTGTCATACAATTAGGACTCAAATTTTTTCTTATCCATCATCATCATCATCTCCACCTTTTCCCTTTCCCTTTCCTCATTAACTTGTATCTGTCTTCAATATGTAGACAGTAGAAAGCCAAGGTAACAAACTAATACTTTCTCTTTTTCTCATTTACTTTTCCAATAACAAATTTTCTACTCTAGGTTGGTATCAATACGTTTTCACTTATTGGATTAAAGAGAAACTCTTTTGATGATCACTTTTAATGAGATAATGGTTTTTGATCGCAATTAGAGGATATGTACTGAAGGACCTTTCATTTCCGTATGATGCCCAGATAATGATGATTGGTAAAGATGTTTAGGCTTGGCAATCGAAAGTATTATAATGAGAGAGAGAGGGAGGGAGAGAGAAATACAAAAAAGTTCAGTTTTCATTGAATCAGGAAGAGCTGATGTAATGGCAATGAGATCGTTTTTATCGGTTTTTTTTTGTTCTGATGATGGTATTAGAAGGCAGATCAAGTGTATGATAAACGATTGTATGATCTATCATTCATAGAAATTCAATTACACTAGATTGTATTCACCACGTGAGTATATTAATCATTCAGATACCTTGATCAATAATACTAATCTGTATGAATTATAAAAGAAAATTTCAATTCTAATCTTTTTGTGTTAATTGTTTCATTTCAGGAACACTTAATGAAAATGATGCAACTACTTAGGAATCACTTACCAGCCACACAATAGGAAGAGTTAAATAGAAACTCAAATAATTATAATAATAGCTAATAATTGCTGTTGCAAATCCAAGGCGTACTCACAATACTCTACACACTTATCGGAATTAAATCATAAATTGTGAAGAAAAAGCTTCTATCCCAATACAAACATCGGACATAACCAATTATAAGATTAATCAAGAAAAGTTAATCATTATTAACATAATTACGAATAATTATGTCAGTTCTCTCTCTCTCTCTCTCTCTCTCTCTCTCTGGATAAAGAGTATGAGACCTACAATGAATTTGAATTGACCACTACCACCAATCAGGCGTTGACATAATATAATCATAAATCAAATTTGATAATTATACCAACTGATAAATGCGAGGCAAGGTAAAAAAATATCAACACAATTGTTTATGAGGAGAGGGAGACCAGCAAATTGTAAACAGAAGCCAATTTATTGTTGTTGACCAGGTCAGTATAAAACTTAATCAACTTTCACTCACGTTATTATATATTGTTCACAATTGAACTGACCATCAAACCGTTCAAATCAATTTTACTTTTTTTTTATTGTTATTATTATATAATAAGTGAAAATATTGTCATAATCAGTAAAAATTGACCTCCACACACACACACTCAGTAAATTAGTTAGTTAACAGTTAAACATAAGGAGGGTTAGTTAATGATTATATTAATCATAATAATGAAAGTGATAATTGTGAGCCTGGATTAAGGCCAAATTGAATGTCAGATTAACCAACTTGATTGAATCATTATTATATTTTGAGGTTTTACTCAATTTCTCATTACAATTGAATTGGGAAACTTGAAACTTTTTTTGTTCAACTTTCTCATTTGATTAAAAAACTGAATCAAATGAATTAATCAAATGAGCTTATGTTAAATTGTTCTTGGCTTGATCAACTAATACACACTCTTGATGATTAACTTTCTTCCTTAATTGTAATTTTTTTTTTCTACTACTGAATTAATTGATGCAAGGACAACAACTAAATCAACACTTTCTATTATTATTAATAATAATAATATCTTACTGTTTAATTATTAAGGATAATTTGTTTACTCTCCCAGGAGTGTTCAAAGGCCAATTTAATTGTAATCAAAGTTATTAGTTAATTAGTAATCTTAATAACTCTGTTAATTTCACAATAAGATTATTAATAAAATGATAACCTTGTTTACCGTTTATAATTATAATCTTTACCTTTTGTTATGTATCAATAATAACAATCAAGGTTTAGTGTAACAATTAACAAATCATTTTGATCATCATCACCAAAAGGATTGATTATTTTATCAATTTTTACAATCACAATTTATAATACTAAATAATTACTGTTATTTTTAATCAATTTCAAGGATTGATTTGTGATTCAGTGATTGTATTAGTTTGTTAATAATTAAATTTATCTGACAATTGAAAAGTATATATATAAAATAGTAACTGATTGAATTGTTAACACTTAATTCACTCTAAACCATTAATTGTAATTGATTACTAATTTTGATTGTAACGTTTTTTGTTGTTACTGTTACAGGAACATTATGATTAACACCAATGATTAGCACCAAGGATTACGGATTATTGAAGGTACTTTTGGAAACATGGAATCGTGTAAATTAATCATGATGATGATTTAATTATATTGTAATAATCGATTGGTGAAGATGTTTCAATAAGAATTGCGATGAGGATGAGGATGAGGATGATAATTAACTGATGATGTACTTACATTAATCGGGTTGATTGTTAATTGATATGAAATGAGCGTAAAAGTGACGATCAAATTAATTATTTTTACCGATTCAATTGCTGTTTAAACCAGAAGAATCAAATTGGCATCGCTTCCTTTAAAATCACAGTTGGAGATAAATTGTTAATCAATTTGAAAGGAATCACGGTTCGATAATCAAATCAATGTTTTAAACGATAATCGATAAACCAAATCGCAGAAAATTTTGTCGTAATTGTTAAAACAAAAGAGAGATGATCATTAGATTAATCATATTAATCATCTTTTTCATTTGTATCAATTTAAATCTCAAACCATTTGATTGTCGACTTTTGGACAAGTTTTGTTTTGGACAAATTGACCATTGAATTTGACCGAATATTAATGATCTTCGTAGGTCAATTCGAGGAGAAATTCGAAGAGTTTTATTTGTCCGTTCGTTCAAAACAAACATTGGAACGATTGAAAAGTAACAATATTAATCTTGAGAATTGATTGAATTTCTTGCTGATTAGAAGTAAATTAATACGATGATTAATTGCTTCCAAATCCAATGAAAGGTTAATCCAAGATTAATTATGAAATAAACTCTATAACCCTGAAGATGAAAGTAAACATTGATTATTGTTAAGGTGAATCACTAATCGTGTTACAGGTAAATTGAGATGAACAAGGATGAAGATGATGATTAATATGAAGACAAATTAGTTCAGGCCACCGTGAAGGTCATTTGTAAGCAAGAATTTAAGTTGAACAATGGTAAATAATCATTAATCCAATGGTAATCATGTTAATTAGGGAAAAGCCTCGCAAGTTAAATTGTAAGTTGTTATTATTATTATTATAATGTTAACAATCAGTTGATTGTTGTGTTTTCCAATGAAAAATAGATGAAAATTGATAGTGAAATGATGATGATGATTAAAGGGCGTGAGTGTAGGGAAAACGTTGGACAAGGTTGAGGTCAGTTTCTTTTTCATTCTGCTGTTGATTAGATTGATTTTCAATTTGCAATTAGACGATGATGATGATTATGATGACCTTGATTAATTAATGATTAGCTACAAGGAATTGAATCTACTGTTTGATTTGTTTTGTTCAATATCAATTGAAATGATATCAACTATCATGGAAAATGAGATCAGGTAACAAGCTAAATATTTGAATGTGAAAAAGATGTGGATGAAAATCAAGAAAAAGATAAACTTTCAAGGTTATTTCCTTTCATTTTTACATGATGATGATGAAGAGAGAGAGAGAGAGAGAATGACCAGTTTTTATCATTATCTTCGTTGCTGTTGAGAGAGAGAGGAGAAACTTTGAAAATTAGGCCAATTTTGAAGAATTGAAATCGATCATCACAAAAGAAAGAGAAATTTTTTCATCATCATCTTCTTTCTTTATCTTCCTAAAAATGTTTCCATTCCCTGTTTGTTTACCTGGTACAAGTTTTATCCAAACAAAATCCCACCCAAAAGTGTATCCTCCCAAAAGATAGAGACTGAAACGACTCACTTTTCATCTTCATCTTCATCTCTCCATCTCTCGCTCTATCTCGCTCTCTCTCTCTCTCTCTCTTTCTTCATCAGCCCCACCTTGACTGATATCTCTCACTCTCTCACTCTACAAGAGTAACAGTAACAATCTTCATCATCTCGATTGACTGTCTTCCACTTTGAAAGAAGAAAGAAAGAGACGATAATCTCTTTTATCATCAGTGAGTCAGTGAGAATGATGATGAACATCGAGTTCTGTAAACATCGAAATGTTTTGTTACGATTATTTTCCATCAATTGAACATTCCGATCATTAGAGAGAAAGGAGAAAAAAAAAGGAAGAGAGAGAATTCGTGAAGCATTTATCATCATTCTCTCTTTTTGTGTATATGTGTGTCTCTCTCTCTCTCTCCCATTTATCTTCCTCATCATCACCGTCATTGAGAGTGAAAAGTTACACTAAGAAAAAGAGTTTAGAAAACTTTTCTTCAACTTTGTTATGTTTATCGAACTAATTTTAAGGCCATTTTCCTTTTTCTATCGATCGTCATAACCTGGTCATCTTTTCCTATCATCATCTTCTTAATTGTTAACTTAATTTCTAGGTCATCATAAGTTAATCAATAAGAATCTTCATCTCATCACCAACAACAACAATCAACTAATCATCACGAACGGATATTCCTAAATTAATGTGATTTGTTTATTTTCATTTCCATTTTAATGATCAACTAATTATTATTATAACTTTCTAATTGTTTCTATGCGCGAATCAACAATTGACAAAACTTCAATTAAGTAAAATTTGATTGTAAATTGTTTTCGCTTAATTTTTTTTTGTCAACTTAATCTAAATTTAATTGTGAATCAAGTGTTAATCTGGTTCCAAAGTGGTTTGTCTCAACGGAATTAATAACTCGGCCTTTACTGGTCTATTTGAGTTGATGCTCAAATGTTTCTCATCTAATCAAACTAAATCATCTTCATCGACCTTATCATCAACAGCTAAATCCTTTAATCCATCATCATCATTGTCATCATCATCATCATCAGCTTCATCAGCAACCTACTCAATTCCTTATCATCTTAATTATCATCTCAATAGTCAAAAACCTCAGGAAATTGGAGATATGAAAAATAAATTTGATTGTCTAAAGATAATCCCGATCCTAATCCGGTTCGGGTTAATCCTTTTTCGGGTTCAAGTGCTTTAAGGGGTAAAGTTGCTGTTGAGGGTGGAGGTGGTGGTGGTGGTGGTGATGGTGGTGGTGGTGTCACCATGAATCCCAATGGAGGTAAATCAGCATCAAAGGTTGTCGTTAATCAGCCATCACAATTAAAATCGGATAATAAATCAACTACTGGCCTTGGATTAAACTCTCGGAATGAGATTAAATCAAAGGAATCCGTTAAATTGGAAAGGTCAGTTTAATTCACCGGTTAATTGTTTATCATTGGGTTAATTGTTGGGTAGAAAGTTAATTCCGTTAAACTTTTGGCGGATCTGATTGCGTTCTGACAATTAATTGTATTATATTGTAATATTTAAATCGTTTACTATACTAATTTACTGATTGTTATTATCCATCAATTTTCATGCTTCTCATGTATTTAATCAACAATTTAATTTTCATCATTATTGTTTGATTAATTGTTTAAATGAGATTTAGGTTAGTAAATTAAAATCAATCATTTAACTGGCAAGTTTACATTTTTAATACAATTAACTTAATCATTATAAATTAACTTGATTTATTTTCATCTAATATCAGTCCAATAATAAAAGTTAATTTAATTAACCGATCCCTTTATTAATCATTAAATATTGTAATTAGTTGATTAACCTGAAAAAAAAAGTGTCGACGGTTAATTTTTATTAATTGTGAATGTAAAAAAAAAACTTATTCAACTCAATTAACTGATCAACAATTAGTAAATTGTGTTTGATTGCTCTGTTTTTTGTTTAAGGTTATAAGTTTGTTTGATCATCACCTGATTAACTGTTAATTGTTAATAATATTTTTTTGGTTGTTAATTATTCTGATGATTAAATATTCAATCTCTTAGATTGTTGTTAATTAAATGGTCACAATTAACTTGATTGTATATATAAATTGTTTCCTTGCTTAAGGAAAAGGTAAAATTAAATTAAATCAGAGAATCATCGTCTTTGCGGAAGTTTAATTGCTAATTCAAATCACGATGATCACAATTAACTAATCACTCTCAGTTTGTCCTTACAATTTAATCATACAGTTTAATTGTAAATGAAACCATTTGTACACTTGATTAGGTTGACAGTTAACAATAAGCTAACAATTAATTAATGACAATAAAATTAAAAAAGTTACACCCAGAGATTGAGATTTAGTTTGAGAAATAGTTGAACAACAATTAACTATTAACAAACAATCAAAAGTTAATTGTTTCTCATTTGATATTGATAATCAATAATCAATAATTGACCAAGAAAAAGTTACAATTTTTTTGTTGCTTCTGATTACACTAACTGTCATTTTCATTTAATAACAATTAGTAAAACTAATTGTAGTTGACAATCAAGGTAACAATCAAAATTGATTATCAATACTACAAAAGGGTAGATGACATTGATTACAATTAAGTTAATCATAAATGGTTTTTAACTCTTAAACCCAAACAATTAACCATCAGAAAGTGTGATCATTTTAAATCTCACAATCTATTGTAACAATTAACTAATCATTGATTTACTTTTTTGATTAACAGTTCACAACCTGAGATGATTAGTCGACGAGATATATTATTACGTGCTAAACAAGCTGAACAATCAAAGAGCCAAAGAAAGGTTCTTAATTGTGATTTAGATGATGAGGATATTTGGCATGATAAAGATAAACTTTGTCAGGTAAGTGACAATTAAAATTAATCGGGATAACAATTAACACTTATTAATATGATCAGAAACATTTAAAAGTGTCAAGACAATTAAAACAATATCAACAGTTAGTAATAACATGGAAATGGTTAGATGAGTTTAGTTAAAAGTTTTTAATTGTAATTGTGATTAATTTGATTGTAGTTGACCATATCAAATTAACTATTAATTGTTACAATTCAATTTTATCAAAAATAATTGTAATTTTTTGAATTAAGGTAAGTAAGTAAAAGTTAATTAAAAAGTTTACATTATATCAATTGAATTGTAATCGTTTCGAGATTATTTAATTTAATTTTCTTTATATAATTAATTGTTATTAACACTTTCAATATTGTGATCTAATTGTTTAAGGTGTTGATCTTGATATTAACGATAATTAATGTCAATATTTTGATGGTTAATTGTCAGATTAGTACAAGTTAATTGGTATTAATCATAAGAAAAATGATTACAATCTAATTGTGATTTAATCTTCTCATTAATTGTAATCTCCAGTATTAGTTAAATTCAATTGAAATTAAATTTGTTGGTTTCTCTTTTGCAATTGGAAAATAGTGTTGCTTTTGCTGCTCCTAATTGTTGAGTTAATCCAGTTGAACAATTAACAGTTTCCAACGAAGTTATCAAAGTTATTCTGTACCAATTAAGAATCAAGGTTTTGACCTAAGATTAAAATGAAAACAAGATGATTAAGATGAAAAAGAAAATCAGATTAAAATGAATAATTAAATTGAATACGAAAAGAAAAAGGTGAAAACGATTCAAATTGTTCTGGAAATTTTGTGAATTGCACTTTGACTTTTTCGTAATTGTTATTCATTAAATCATGTTAATCAACTAATTGTGTAGATGGAAAAATATTAGTTACCTTTTCTTAATCTTTATCGTTAAAGAAAAGGATTAACGGAATTTATAATCTCGATTATCATTTTTTTTCACTTTTCTTTTCATTTTCAAGGTTAAGCCGTGATTCTGTTAACATGAAACAATCGATCATTTTCACCATGATAGGTTCTTGTTCAGCCCATGATTGAATCAAGAATAGTAAATGATAATAATATTACGAATATGAAGCGAATATTATTGAAAGAGAATAAAAAATAAAAAAGAACCTTCTTAATAATAATCACCGAAAGAGATGAAGAAAGAGAATAGATTAACTCTTTTTCTTTTTCTTTTTATTTTATTTTCTCTTCTCTTTATCAATTTAATATTCGTATTGACCCAAGGTCAATTGTATACTATTACCTTTTCCTTGATTGTTTATCTGAGACAATTATATTTATGGTTAAATTGAATGACTCCGGTGGGTGGAGGAGAAATCAATTTAAATGCAATTACAATCCACGGAAAATCATGATATGTATCTCACAATTTAGTTAATAAGTTAACTTGTCATTTCACTTGTTTAAAGATGAACTATAATTTGTTGATTGTTCAAGATCACTGATTAATTATCATCATTTTCCCTGAAATAATAACATAGTTTCAAGACAGGAAAAAAAAATGAACACATAAACACATTAATCATGATAACGATTGAATATTGGAAATTTTGAAATAATTTCTCAATGACAAGTAACTGTTTCATCATTTACAACTCTTACATCTACAAGTGACATTTACTGTTTGATTGTCTCAAGCCTTCCGGGCCTTTTTCTGCCCATAGTGGCCCTTAATAGTGAAAACCTAACCTTACTTAATTTAAACAACCACAATTAGTTGAGCAATTAAGTTAATTTCCATAAGTAGCTGTAATCGTAAGCCGAAAAAAAAAAGTCAGCTGAAAGTATTATAAAAGTTGAGCTTACGGACAAATCATTTTCCTCTAATTAATCATCTTAATTTGTTGATTAGATTTTAATTATCTTTTGTTTTTTTTTGTTGTATTTTCAATTCTTTTTGGATGTGGTTAGTTAAATGCTATTCGGTGTAACAATTTATTTGTAACAAGAAATTAACTTTCCATCTCTACCCTTGAGTGTCCCTTTATTAACCAAGCAGAATGAGATTGTAAACAATTGACAATTTTGCCTTCACTTTAATTGTTTGATTGTTTTACAATTTTCTTTGGTTACTTAACTACTACAATTGTTGAACAATTCACCAAGTGAATATATAATCATGGTGATAATCTACAATCTAATTCAACTAATCAACAATTAGTAAATCACTTTCTTCAACCCAAGATTTTCAACTGAACAAAGTTTCTTTCCTACTTGTTTTAACCCTTTCACCGTTAATCCACAACAATTAGTTGATTTACTACAATTAAATCAAATTTTGTTTATTATTCTAATGATTGTATATAATTAAGACTACTGTTTGGTTCACTTTAACCTGTTGATTTACCTGAACTGTAAAAGGAGTTTAAATATAAATTTACTATTTTGTTTCAATTGTATTAGTTGATTGTTGATCACTTTCACTTGGTTAATTTGTTAACTTTATGAAAATTGATGTTGTTGTTGATCCTTAATTGCCGTTTTTAACTAAATTATATTTAATTAGTGTTGATTAGCATAAAGTAGTCGCTAATTATATTAGGTTAGTTAGTTTATCCAAAATTGCGGAAGACGATTTACTAAATGAACCGAAACAATCAATTTACAAAAACCAACAATTTAATTTGTTGTTATCATTAACCACTAATACAAATGTCAATTGGTTTAAATTGTTTAAGCCAAATCACAATATGATTAACAAACTAAGCGGATTAATTGTGTAAAGTAATTTGATCAGAGAAGTAAAAAACAATCAAATTAACTAATTGCTTCTGTTTTTTTTATCATTAACAATTAAAATCGTAATCATCATCATCAATTTAACTTGTTCTGTCTTTAAATTGATTAATCAAGATACGATTTTGATAATGAACGATTGACATTGATTTAATAAGATTAGTTAATTAATTTACTTAATCGTCATTCAATTGATTGTCATTTGTCAATGATGATTAACTTGATTGTCGTTGATTTCATTGATAATTGAATCAACCAATCAACCGGACAAAAAAATTTTGATTCAATTTTTGCACTTCACAAGCAAAATGAGACCAATTAGTAGTTAATTAGTTAATTGTCTTCATCTTATTTAGCTATCGAAAGAAAAAATTAATCTATTAACTAACTAATCAAACAATTAAATCTTATTGTCTCTTTACCGATGATAATTTAGTTTAATTTTTACGAAATTAAAGTAAATCACTTTTTCCTGTTGACAGTTGAACAGAACAATTAACTTTAATTTAGTTAAAACAAAACTGATTAATAAAAAGGTAAGTTAATTGTTGTGATTAATTATTATGATTACTAATTACTAATCATTTCCATTTCAATATTGTCTCTTAATTCAGGAATTAAAAGAATTGGTAACAATTAATGAAGAAAAATTGATTGTTAAAAGTAAACAAACAAATTCAATGTTATTAAATCAAATGGTTTTGCTTAATTAACTAACCAACAATTAGCTTGATTGATAATAAAAACGTTTTCCCATTGATTGTGATTGAAACGTAACAATTAACTTTTAACGAGAATACAAAATTTGATTTGGTTTACTAAATGAGCTTCCGTTGAATATTAATTAAAAAGAGACAATCACAATTGAATTGATTCTCATTGTTAAATATTAATCGATATGAACAAAGTTTTCACAATTAACATTTGACAATTGCGTATGTGTAACAACAAAACAATCAAACAATCAACAATCAATGTTAAATTGTTCCCAATTAAAGTTAAACTTGTTTTTCAAGTCCGAAAACTTTGTTGTTGTTACTCTTGATTATTTTTCAATTGTCAATTAACAATTAACTTGTTATTAGTAATCAAAATAATCAGTAAAAATCAAGGGGAACATTTTTCTTGATTATCTACAGACAAATGACAATTTAATTGTGATTACATTAAACTATAACAATCAACGAAGGAGGAAAAATAAATTGTTATCAACTCTATTGAAGTTGTTGATTGTGATTGTCCATTGATAGTTAATTTATATAAGGGCCAGTTTGTTTGAAGAAAGTCAATTTAAATTATCTTGATTAACTATTAGAATAGAGGTCAATTGTAATTTAGTTAATTCTCTTGATTAAGTATTAAAGAATTGATTGTTTGATTAATAAAGATGAAAGAAATTGATTGAGAAAAAGTGAAAGTTAATTTCTAATTAAACTTTCAACTAAAATATTCAACCACAATCAACATAGAAATTAAATCTTAATCATTACTAGTGATTCATTTAATTGTAACAATTTGTGGCTCTTGATTAACAATTTATATTAGTGGTTTATAGTTACAATTAAACCATTTGATTAACATTTTTCATCGCAATTGGATTGATTTGATTAGATTTTTTTTCCAACTTCCAAAAAATCAACTCATTTTGATTGATCAATTTATGATTACAATTAAAGGTTGATAATAGGATTAAGGAATTAAATTATTGATTACAATTAATTTGCTTTCTTGATTTGGTTCACTTGGGATGATTAAATGTTATTAAAGTTATCATTTGATAATGAAAAGTTTAAATTTCAAGGTTGATTATCAATTTAATTGTTGACAGTATTAATTGTTACCGTTGGTCAGCACTAATTATTGTTAAATTGTCAATCTAATTATCCATTGATTGCTATATTATATTAATGGCTATTAGTTTGTTTATGTTGGTTAATTATTTCAATGTTGATTATTACTATTAAATCAGTGGAGTTGAAAACAATTTTTGACAACAATTAACGTTTATTACATCAATCAACACTACTACAATTGAAAGGATTAAATTAAAAGTTAATTAAATACTAAATTGTATTGATATTTTCTCAACAATTAATCCAATCATTTTGATTGTTATTTTCTCAATTCCCATCATGTTAAATAGTTAATAACAATCATCACATTTCAATTAGAAAACTTTAATAACAATTAAGATTTAATGAAAAACCCAAATTAACCTTGAAAATAATATCGCTAATAAGCTGAACAATTAGGTTGATTATTAAACTAATTGTTGGTTGATTGTAGATTAGGAAAAAAAACAAAATGATTAGCCAAAAGTAAATCCGATTACATTTATAATCATATCATTGAAGATGGTGAGAAATTAATATTAATACAATTAACAGAAATATCCAAGGTAATTAACATGTATTGTAATCTAATTATTAATACACAAAATGAGTACAAACAATTAGATTAATAATTGTATTTCCTTTGCAATCAGTTAATTGTTGATAAATTGAACTTTTCCCTATGCAACCAACCCAAATCTGATTACAACAATTGTCATGACAATTTAAACAAATCAAAGTTTTTACACTTAAATAAACGTTAATAGAGATCAAACAATCAGATGAGAAACAACCATTAACCTTTTCATGTTTAATCAAAGATGATTAACTAAATTGAATAATCAACTGATTACCTTCACTGTAACAATTGAACATTTTGTATTTATTCAAATGTACAATCGTGTGTAAAAAAAACCTTTTGTCCGCCTTTTCTCATTCAAATAGAGATGATGATGTTCATCCACCTCTTCGTGTGTCTCATAGTGTCTCCAATTAAACAAATTTCGTTGATTGTTGTAACATCTTTTTCACCAAAACAATTAGTCTTTAACAATTTACTAAATTGTTGAATATCAAGTTGATCTCATTGCTCTTCATTCACGGTTAGACCTTTAACCAAACACCAAACCTTAGAACACGGAAGTTACAATCTATCGAGAGAGAAGCAGATTCGAAGCCAAAAAGCGAAAATCGTTTTTAGGTTTTCACAATTAAGGCGAAAAACGATTTTTTTATTTCCAAATTTTCGCCATTTTTTGTCATATTTCCTCTTCCTGTTTATCCTTTTCCACCCTCTTGTACTCATCTCCAAGTTGTTTTTACTCTAACCCTCTAGTCCGAATCAATCATTATAATGATTTATCGATCATCATCTAATCACAATCAATTTTAGTGTGCGTGTACTTGTTGTTGTTGTTGTAGTAGTAAAAGCCACTGGTCAGTTTAGGTCACTTCTTTTTGAGAAAACAATCAAAATGTTTGAGTTAATCATTCGCTATTGAATGTTACCTTTAACACTGGAAACAAAGCTATCAATCAAATTGCTATCAAGAGAGTGAGAGAGATTGAAAATCAATTAATTAACTTGTAATTTTGTTTTCCAATTAATATTAAGCGAAACAATTTAAGGTGACTTATTTATCTTGCTCTCTATCTCATATACGCACCAACTATTTATTTGATTGTAATCTGTACCTTGAAAGATGCTGTTGATTTAACAACAATGCGAGACAACAATTAACAGTTAATGTTGAATAGGTTCATTGTTATTGTTTCACCTTTAATCTCAACTAACCATCAAGTTAATTGTTAATCTCTTTCATATCGTATTGCTTGATAATCACCACCAGAAAGTAACAATTTTCCAGACATCGTCGATTTACCGATTCGATGTTCGGTAAAATGTTCAATCGATTATTATTATTTATTATCTATTTCCAATCATCCCCACCCCTAGAACTTTTTAAAACAATCAATTTGTTACAAGATTAACTAAATTGTCCAATCTTAATCTAAATCAGTTCGATTGTTGATTTTTCGCAATTGTATCAACTAAAAAAAGATTCCCCATCAAAAGAAATAGAGGAAAAAGTGTAATAATAATCGTTAATTGTAATTGTTATATTGTCGTTTAGTTAAAAATGTACATTAACAATTAGTAGATAAACTTAATTATCGCAAATTAAGTCTTTAAATCATTGATTAATTGTTAATTATTGGATACGGATAAAGTTTAAATTTCTTTAAATAAACAATACCAAATGGTTGACTGAATTTTGAGAAAAAAATTAAGGATAATTAAGATGAATTAACTATTTTGTAATCAGGAATTGAGAGTGATTTAAATGATTAATGATAATAATTAGACAAAATCATCACTAATCAACAGGTATAAACTTTTGCAATCAAAATCTAATTGTTAACCAACAGTTTATTGAAATTTTTTCCAATCAATTGACAATTAAAACTTTTTCATAATCTTGATTAAACTAATCATCTAATGTTGATTGTAATAAATGATTGTAAATAATATAATTTGATTGTTGCAACTGATTAACTGGACTTTTGACACTTAAAAGGATTGAGAATCAAGTTGTTTACTGCAATTAAATTGTATCAACATGATGATCGTTGATTTAAAAAGGTAATTTCATCAAATATAACCCAGACAATTAACAATTTAATCGATCACAATCAAAATGATTAATAATAATTCATGAATTGTGGTCAAAATGAAAGTGTATTAAAACATTGGCTTGAAACAATCAATAGAAAGTGTTGATCTTTGTTTATATTAAGTTAATTTGTTAATTTTTTTTGCTGTTGTTGTTGATTACTTTTTGATTAGTTGATGTAAAATAAATCAACAGGAGGTTAACAATCAACGAGAAATGATTTGATTATGTTTTAATTTGAGGTCAAAATCGTGAGCTATCAGCTTCCCACAATTGGTTTTCAATGAAAACTTGATTAACTGTGGTTATCATTGATTGTTGTTGAGAAATTAAATTTATAATCATTGGGGAGACTTTAAATTATCATGAAAAAGAAACAAAATTAAGGAAATCACAACAATTAGTAGTGTATCTTAATTGTCGAATGGGAAAAATAATTATCAATCCAACATTAACCACTCCTTTGGTTATTATTGAACTTAATTTAAATGGATCAGCAACAAATCAGATGGACAATTAACTATCATTGTAAACAATTAACTCCAATGAAATTAACAAGGAAAACAAAGTTAATTAATTAGATTTGTTTTTCCTTCATTTCTTACCAAGTCTCAATTTACCTTAATTGTTGTGTAACTTAGATTATGTTCACGTAATCGTAAACTTGGCAACAATTAAAGTTAACATATTAACGAATTGTAATCAGATAGATGAAAAATATTATTAGTACAATTGAAATTAGATTACAATTAACATAAATGTTTGTCTTTCAAGTGAATTGATTTACATACAATTAGCATAGTAAACAGAGTGCGTGGTAATGTTTTGGGTTAACAATTAACTTCGTACTTGTCATAAACACGAGTTAAATTAAAGATAAATGAATAACAAAAAGTTATAGCAATTAGAAGGTAATTAGTAAAAATAATCAAAATACTAAATGATAATAATCAGTTGATTGTAATACCAAAGTGTTTACCTGATGAAAAGGTTGATGATCAAATTTATTAAGATCAATTCAAGAAATAATGAAATCGATTGATTAATTGATAATTTATTTAAACTAAATCAACTTAATTGAGTTAGACGATTTTTGATTAACAGTATCAATTTTTCGATCAGATTAGACATGAGTTGACTATTCGAAGTTTGATCATTTAGATTTCAATTAAAATGAATTCGAAAATTAATTTTGCATTATTTTACCATTTAAAACAATGACAAAATTGAAGGAAATTTTAAGAAAATACAAGTCAATGGATTATGTTAACTCATTTCAATTCAATTTATTAGAGTTGTAAATGATCAAACTTTTATCGATAGTCTAACTATGTTCTATCTGATCTAAAATTTGATACATTGAAAATGATCGTTTCGAAAAATAATCTCAAAATTGAAAAGTGATTTAATTAATTATAAATTATCTTAATCAATGATTGTAATATTCAGTTGATTGATCTTAATGACATCAACTCGTTTAATCAATGATATCGATGAATACTAATAATGTGTTTACCTGATGAAAAGGTGGATCAAATTGATTAAGTTTCGAGCATCAATATTATTGAAAGAGTTGATTGTTATTCCCAATTATTGGTTGATTGGTGTAACCTTTTTTCCCCTTTGATTTGATTAACTAATTTTTTCGACAATTAACAGGATCACATTGAAGAAGTTATCAATAAATGGGAACAAATTGACGATGAAATTTGGGCGAAAGTAATTTGTATGGAGAAAAATCGTCGAGTGGCCAAGGCTTATGCTCGTTTACCTTTTTTAATTGTCGACGGGTCGGATATTGGTTTCGATGGAATCAGAGTTGGTCTTAAAGGTTTCGAGAATCTTGATCGACCTGATAAAACAAAAGAAATGCTCGATACCCTTGGAGAGGTAAACAACTTTTTTTTTCTTCAAATATTTGATTAATTGTTCTGGGAGAGATTAATGACTTTCAATTAGAAAGGAAGAAAAAAGTTCTGATCAAGAGTAGAAAATGATTATTATATTAATAGATCGTATTCTTTTGATAAGTTTCAACGTAAACAATCAAGCAATTGAGACAATTCTGAGAATCGATGATAATCAGACTGTAATTTCATCGATGGGAATCAGCTAAATTGCGCTAATATTATATTGATATTTGAATTACCTGTTGATTAAGAAAGGAAATAAAAAATATATTTAAGTATTTAGATCAATGTTTTTCAAGGGAAAAATATTTTCGATCAACAATTCATAGCCTATGAGAACGAAATAGTTAATTCATGAGAGTTAATTGTCCAAATTTCAAGTTGAAATTGAGAAGAAATTTTCAAGATTATCGTTCATGTGAAAATTGTGGTTAACCTGATTGGTAAATACCTTAAAGGTTAATCGTTTATTGTGATGATTAATTAATTGTTTGGAATATTTTTCTTTCTCTTTCTAAGGGAGTTAAAATAAAAATGGACGACAAGGGTAATATATTAATTAAAAGGGTCGGTCGATGTTCAGTTTATGTGAAAAGTTTGACCAATTCACCGGATGGATTAGGTTCTTGTCTTGGTAAAGACATAATTGAATCTAAAGGTAAATTAGAGTATAAAAAGGTATCAACTCTTTTCGATATCCGCTCGTTCCAGGCCAGTATCACCGCTGAACTTAAGACCACTTATCCGCAAGCTAGAAAATTGGAGTCACAATGTATAACTGCGATTACCTTTGGTAAAGAATCGGGAAATATTGACCTTATGGAATCGCCTTCGTGGATCATGATAATCAACATAGTTGCTCTTGAATTGTTACGAAGTGAATTACCTACAGTTAATTTGGTTAATTCAATTAATCAATCACTTGTTTCTTTGGTGAAAAATGGTGGACGATCTCATCATAATCATAACCACTTAAAACAATCAACTAATAGCCCAAAGGGTCGTGAGGTTATAACAAATGACCGGAAGGGTAACAATAACAATAATAATAATAATATCAATGGCGATGGTGGATCAATAATTGAAGGTAATTCTGTTTATCAATTAATTGCATACGAAGCAGGATTAATAGGTAAAAATGGTAAAGGTCAAAGCATATTGACCAATGGTAAACCTTCAACAGGTAAATCCGAGCTGAAGATTAGTAAATCATCAGTTAACAGTAATAAAGGTGATAAATTAAATCGTAATCCATTGAACCGAAATCAATTGAAATCCATTGGTTGTAAACTTCGTCTTCCTGATCCTGATTATGATTATGAATTACCACCGATTCGGGAATCAACTCTTCTTCGTAAAGGTAATTAAATTGCTAATTAGACTGAAAAGAAAAAGTAAAAACAATCAATCAAATCAAAAGTTAAATCATCAGTAAATATGTTACTCGAAATGACTACTAATTAGTCTTACCTGTTCATTTGGATTAAATTGTTTCTTTTTCAAGTTAAGCGCTGATTAAATGGAGATGATTAACTACATTGTATTAACAATCGGATTAATCAAAATTAATTAAGTTATCAAAATGTGACGAATAATATTGAATATTTTCCCCTGAGGGTGAAATCGTTTCTCTCTCTCTCTCTCTAATTGAATTGAAAGTGTCAACAAACTGATTGGAAATGAATAGAAAACAAAACTCAACAATCAATTGTAATTACAATTAAATTCCTTTTACGACAAGACCCTTAAGCAATTTAATTAAAGGTCACGTTAATTGAGATTTTTGGGAAGAAGACAATTTAAAGTCTCATAACTTAGATTAGGAATGAGATTAAAATTGTGACTTGATCAAGTCCAACGCCTGTTGGAACAATTTGTTAATTCTTTCGAGATTTGATCAATTAATATCAATCAGTTCATCGTTAATTCAGCAATTTTGATTATTTGATAGCTTTTGCTTTCAGGTCATCAAGCCTTAAAAGAGATTGATTTATTTGGTTGATTGTTGGGATAACTTGCTGGTCAAGTTTTGCTCCTTTTTCTTGTCTTATCGGTTGATTCTGATGGATAATTGTTACTAATTGTTTCCTTGATTTGATTGTTATCAACAGAGGATCCATATTATTGTGGTCTAAGTGCTAAGGTTTCTCATGGATTACGAGAGAAACGAGAAAATGGTCAAACCAATGGACAAAACAAGATTTATAAGCCAGTTAAAAATCGAAGCAAATATCCACTAATTAGTAGATTCTATTCATATTCATCTTCCGATTCTTCACCAAGCAGTAAGTGAAACAATTAACTAATTGTGGTAAAAGAGAGATAATTAATCTTGTTTATATTTCCATTTAGGTTGTGAGACATCCTACTCAACTATTTACAATAGCATAAGTGATGGATCAACCAGACTTGATATGAAAACTGGACGATATTAATTAACTGCAACAAGGACATTGATGATAATGATGTCGATGATGATGATGATGATGATGATGAAGAAAATTGTTAAAATTGTCTCTCTCTCACTCTGCTTGAGTTATGTGCGAAACATATACCGGGCGAAATTGTAACTGCCAACAATGAGAAATTAGATAAAATTGAGAGCAATTAAATTTACACTAAGATTGATTTGTTAATGATCAACAAAAACCAAAAGTGAAAATAAACAAAAAATAATTATTTCTGTCTATCAAAAAAGGGATCATCACAATTAATTAGGAGTATAAAGAAAATATATTTTTGTTGTAGTTATTGATGAATGGAGCTTTGAATTGCCTTTCTGAGATTGTTTAATTGTGGTAATTTTATCGTTTAGTTTGGTTGATGAAGATGAGGTAAATATTAGATGAATCGAATAAGTTATTATCGATTTTTATTTTCCAATGCTTTCGACGGTACCAGATAATCTGAGTCCATTGAAGAGGAAAAAGTTTCGTATGGGAGCATCTTGGTGGGTTATGGATCTAATTATGTCTTGACCAAGAGCACCTCCAATTATAGCTGAAACTGGACTTAATTCACCGTAGACATTGTCGAAAAATTGATCTTCCTCTAAATCTTTTAAACTTGATTTACTGTAAGCTAAATCGTCAGCAACTTCGTCTTTCAGTCGATTGAGTAGCTCAATATCCTCTGATCTGTGTTCGGCTTCTGGATATCGACCTTTTGCCTGGTAAAACTTGAAGAGAACATGAACTAAGATTAGAACAGAGCTTGTTCTCTTGGTAATTCCTATTCCAGCTTTTCCAGATTTAACAGCAAGAGCTTGTCTTAAAGGTACAAAGTCAAGATACTTTTGTACATAAGCTTTTTCTGGTTGCTCATTTTTCAATTTCTTTTCTGCAGGGCCTTCGGTATAGATTTCTTTTTGAGTCACTTCTCTAAAGAAATAATAAAGAAAAATATCGATTTTAGAAGCATCTTCATTCATGTATGTGTATATATACAAATATACATGTTGATAGGATTAAATGAGATTCTATCTAGATGAAAAACATAAGGAAAGGATAAACTTACTCGGATATATAATTATACTTTCTACCCAAATCAGTGAAAGAGAAACCATAGAAACCCCAATCACAAGCAGCGAAAAAATTTATATTCACATTTTCAATGGAATGACATAAATCATTGAGTTTCATCATAGTATCTGGATCATAGTTAGAGATGAAAACTACATTACAATTTTTCAATAGATTAACAAAATTCTCATCTGGGGTCTCTAGTTTCTCTTTGATATTCCAATCTAAAGCTTTAACCATAACCATTGGGTTTAAAGTCTTAATATTCTCAACGGAAACTTCTGCTCGATTAAGGCCAATTTTAACACGAGTAAAGATATTACTGAAAGAATCTTTCTCACTAATCTTGGCATCATCCATAACCGTTAAAGAATTGATTCCAGCCAACACTGTAAAAGAAAAAGCAAAAAGAATGAGTAAAAAGTAAAAAGTAAAGTATAGAAACACAAAAAGAATATGAGAGTCAAAAACATACAGAAACTGGTAGAATTCAGAGACTGATTTAGACCTTTTCTTAGAACAATTAACTCAGAGAGAATAGAGAAAATACTCACCAATATTCTTAATAACCTCAGATGAGAGTCCAGAACAACCAACACAAAGAACATTGGCTTTTCTCAACATCTTTTGAGAGTTAACACCCCACAAGCGAATTTGTCTATCATATAATTTAGCCTCATCTTCGGTAATCTCCCGATCAGAATTTGGATTCATGACATCAACTGACATTATTCCAAAAGTAACAATCAACAATTAACAAAGAAAAACTAATCAACAATTAAACGAGAAAAAAAACCGAAATCAAAGCGGCAAAAAAAATCAGAAAACTCAAAAATGTCTAATCACATGTTCGGTTAAGGGACCGATTCCTCATTACAGATAATTAATTTTCTTCGACATTTAATTTAATCGGGAAACGAATTTGTTTTTTTTAATTGTATATTTTGATCTCTTTATTATTTAATCATCTTGATTAAGATTTAGACAGTTGATTTACTCTGAGAGATTGTCACTCAATCATCTTTAAGAAATGATTAGTTAATAAACAAAATTAGTTAATAACACAGAGCGAGAGATGTGAAGGTAAGAAGAGATTTGATTAAAAATTACACTATTAGTTAATTGTCAGCAATTAGATTTGATTGTTGTTGTTGTTGAAAGACTCACAGTTATGATCATCATCTGTGTGTTTTGGTATTAATTACAATTAAATTTGATTCCGCAGTTGAAAGACTTGGTAATCAGAAGTGATTGTTTTGTTTGATTTAAGGGAAAGAAAAAAAAAAGTTAACAATTAACAATTAAAACAAAAGAGGATCATGATTACAGAGATTAATTGTTCATCTGATTAGTGATTAATTAGCTAATTCTTTCAATTCAACATTCTACTTTTGATTTGTTTACTTCGGATTTGATTTTCATTTTGCTTAATTGTTTCATTAATTGATTCTCAAAATGAAAATGCTCTAAATTGTTATTTGTTTGTTTCCATTTCATTTTGATTAATTTTAATTGTTAAAAATCAATTGTTAACAGAACTAATTAGTTCCTTTCCTTTTTCTGTATTAATTAATAATATATAATATAATATAATTATGATTATATAAAGTTTCAAAAATTAAATTGTTTCCTTGATTTGTTAAAATCAAATCAATACCAATTAACCAACATTTAACAATCAAATAATCAAATTATTTGATTTGATAAAGTTTAAGTTTAAAGTTAATTGGTTGGATTTTACTTAATTTTTAAAACTGTGTAATTAATTTAATTGAGATCCTCATTGATTCAATTTGATTCAATTAATAAAATTGATTAACAATAAGGATCTCAACTTTAAATTGTTTTCGATTTGCTTTGTAATAATTAATACAACTACTCATTTATAAGTAATTAGTTAATTGTGGGTGAGATGTTGAATTGTGTGAATGTGAAAGTTGATCAATAAGTGAGTGATTTGATTGTGATGAAATGGAGAGAGAGACAATTAAAGGCATCCTAAACAGACTGAGCTGATTTGAGAAAAAAACAATTAATCAAATCAACAATTAATGTTGTATATCCATACGTTTGTGTGATAAATATATTATATATTACAATTGTTCAATATTAATTGTTTGACAATTGTCTTGTTATTGTCGGTTGAGATTGTTAAAACATAAGAAATTAAATAAAACAATTACAATTAATAATCTACTTTTCTCATTACAATTTGATCAATTTTTATGATCGTTACCACTTCATAATTAGATATGTTTTAGTTTTTTTTTTGTTGATCCTGATGATTCAATATTATTTTGATTACTGAACTTTTCTTGCAAGTTAGTTTTGTGTGTATTGCAATTAAGTAATTACAATGAATACATAATGTGATTAGTTAATTAATAAGATGAATTTAAACTCAATCCAAGAGAGAAAAAAGATTAATGATTAACCAATAATCATTTCTTTTTGTTCACTATTAAAACACTGGTTCTGCAAAATCAATCGTTAATTGTAATCCAATTGTTGTTGTTGTTCATCTGATTTGGTTATGCGATTGTTTGATTGATCAAACAAAAGAAAAATGATTCGCAATAAATTATTTAATTAAGAACATTTTGAAAGACATTCGGTAATTGGCATCAATGGCATTTCGCTTGGGGGGCTAAGTTAATTTGATCCATTTTTAAATTGTGATCCAGTGATTTGCTTCGCGAGTTGATTTGTTTGCGTTTGCGTTAAATTGTTTCCAATTTGAAAGACTGTGGCCATTGTTTCGAGTTGATTTAAATTTAATTTCCCTTGTGCTTTTGATACCAAATTATTATTGTTAATCGTCACAGTGAATTGTTGCATTAATTAGTATTTATGGTTGTAGGTAGTATTAGCTGAATTAGTAGTTTAGTGGTATTAGTAGATTAAATGTAGATGATCATCGAAATTAACTATTATGAAAGACTTGATTAGTTTTTTTTAGTTGATGATTGATGTTGAACTTTAATTGATGAAGTTGATGATGTTTTGATTGTTCTTGTTGATGAAGATGAAGGTGATGAGATTGATGAAGATGATGAAGATGATGAAGATGATAACGGCAATGTTATTGTTGATATTGTGTGTGTTTGTTTTATGTTGTTGAAAGACCTTTGATCAGGATAGTTGATGATTAGTTGATTAGTTAATGATAACTACAAATTGTTCTTGTACTTTTTTACTCTTCCATAAGTAAATTTGAGAGAGACAAGAGTTTAAGACGGTTAATTAATAGTCTACAAGTAAATTTAGCAAACATTTCATCGTAATTAATAAATGTTCTTATGTCTTTGGTTAAACGGGAATTATTTTCTTTGATCACTTAATCAATTTGGAACAATTAATTGTCAACTGCATTTCCAGAAAACACTATCATCCAAAATTAAATGGATTGATTGTTATTAATATTATTGCTTTAGTTTTGTCCATAACTAGAAAGAAACTGGGACTTGCTTGAGATTCTGTTGTTGGTTGTTGATTGTTGGCAAGACTCTTGATTATATTATAATAGTTGAAGTAATTTAATATAAGCAATAACCATAATAATAATGGTAATAATAGTGGTGAACTTGGAAGTAGATGGAAGTAATAACAACGAGAATTTCTTTATTCTTTTGCTCTTTTCTTTTCTTTTGCTGATTCTGCTGTTGCTTTTCAATTGTGAGAAGAAGAAGAAAAAAAGGCAAAGAATGATGATTATATCGATGGTGTTGTTATTTGTTGATGATGAGAATGACGATGATGATGATGATTCCTTATGATGGAAATAAAAACAAAAAGAAAACCGGATTCCTAATTCTTTAATTTATCTCTTTAGACTGAAGTCATTGTTGTTACTCCTTTTTCTCTTAGCACTCGACGTCTTATTTCCTCCGTTATTTCAGGTATATCAGGTCTGAAGAGCTTCTTGATTTTCTGTAGAAAAAAAAAGAAAGAGAAAAAGATGACGAAGGATTAAAAAGAAAGAAAGTGAATAAAACACAAACTAGAAAAAGAAGAGAGAGAGAAAGAAGAAGAGAAATAGTTAATAGCTCGAGATCGATATTCAACCTCATTCCTCGTATCCTTCCCAGAGTAAAAACCTTCCCTGAAGATGAAAAGATGCTGCGCATCATCATCTCCATTAGAATCAATAGTAAAAAGAGAAAAGGATGATGAAGACAAAGATGAAGATGAAGATGAAGAGGAGAACAAATTGTTAAGGTTATTCAGCTTTAGCTTGAGGCTGGGATTGCTTATGCTCTCAATATTATGCCAACGATCAGTTGCTTTTCATGACCAAAATCAACGAAAACCCCAAAGTTACTTCTTTCATTACCTTCCTCATTTTCCTCATCTCCACCTCTTCCCTCCTCACTCTTTCTCCTCCTCTCCATCCTCATCTTTTCTCCTCTTTCATTTCTATTACACTACTAACATTCTCTTTTCTTTTCCTCTGTCTTTTTCTTTTCGCTGTTATACTTTTTTTTTCTACAACTTCTTTAACATCTACGTTTCTCCTTCTCCTCCCTCTCTTTTTCTTCTTCTTCTCTATTATCATCTTATACATTTTCTTCTTCTCTTATATATATTTATTTTTTCTGTTCTTTCTTCTCTTCGTCTTTTGCTTTTCTTTTGATCCTGATCTTTTTCTCTGGTCTTATTTTTTTTTCTTTCTCTCTTCTCCTACTTCCTCTCTTTCTTCCTCTCTGTCTACACACACAACACACATACACACACACAGTTATATATAAATGTGTAATCCATTACAAGTATATGTATTTTCTGAGAGGTATAAAAAAGAAAGCACAGAAAAGAGATGGTAAAATTAGTTGTAATAGAAAATATTTACCTCTTCAGTTGTTCCTGGTGTTACCCAGTAAATGTAGATAGCATAACCAGGAACACACAACATGGATGATAAAGCAAGAAGCCAACCAATCAGTTGACCCCACCAAGGGTAAACATAGTCCATATATGTTAATGGTTTGTATTTCATAAGGCTATAAATGAAGATTCCAACACAAATGATTGGAGTAGTTATTGTCCAAGATATTTTCCACCATATACTAGGCTCATAGCCCATCATATCTCTTAAATTGTCGTAATATCGATTCACCCCTACAGAAAAAAAAGAACAAAACAAAAATCAAATCAAATAAAAAAAATGCCAACAAAATAAAACAAAAAAAACATTAATCAAAATGGAACAACAATTAAAAAAAAGAATCGAAAATTTTTATTCGAAAGGGGTGGTTGTTAAATCTACATAAGAAAAACATATGATTTCTTTTCTATAGAAAATGTTGATTAATTTTTTTCTTTTTCCTCTCGGTGAAGATTAACATGGAAATTTATTATTAATTGTGTTTCTTTTTTTTCTTTTGGTTTTCTAATTAATAGAAATTATTGTTACTTAATGTGTGTGAATAAGTTGTTACCCTAAATTCGTTAATTGTGTTTAAGATTAACCGATAATTCCAATGATTAATTAAATATTTTTGTTGGAAGGAGAAACATGAAAATTGAAACAAAGGGAAAGAGGAAAAGTCAATCAATTGGATTAGTATTTTCTACTCACCGTAACTCCAAGCTATTGAAACAACTTCACAAAAAACAAGGAATAACAGTGCGAACCCACTGGCTGCATAGTAATTAAAAAGTTCAAACCAATATACGCCACCCTGTAAGTAGAAATTAATAATTAGTTAAACTAATAAGGTTTCCAATTGTGTGTGTATGTGTGTTGAGATTATAACCTGATTTCTAAAACCTAAAACATATTACAAGTTAATCGTAGTTAATCTTGGGAATATTGATACTGCTTGTGGTTTATTTTACCATGAGAAAACTTTCATGGTTTTTAATATGGTATAACTAAAATGTTCTCATTTTAATATGATTAATAAGATGTTAATGAATATTCATCTCAACAGAATTAATTCCATAAATTAATAGATACTAATTCTTAATTTTTTTTCTTCTTTCTCTTCTTCACATTATAGCCTGACGATTACTTTCCTCTACTACAAGGTTAATTATGTAATCTTTTCCATTTTCAATTGATTGGTACTTTTTCTTCTTCTCTAATCATAAATTCAACTTGATTTCATGATTATTTAATTTGTCAATGAGCAAAGTAATTGTAACAACACTTACATGGGAAAAAAAAGAAATGAACAATTTGCTTTATCAGCCAAATACAAGCAGAAAAAAGTGTTAACCAAATAATGGAAACATTTTCCTTAGATTATTGTTATGCTTTGTAAGCAGTAATTTGAATTATACATTTCAAGCCTTTTCTTTTCTTACGCTGAATTGAATATTCACTTCTCTCTCTCTCTCTTTTTTTCTATTCAAATAATATATCAAATGAACCATTGAATGATTAAGTTTAACAATTTACAGGTAGAACGAAAAACAAAAAGTAACGGTAAAAGAGAGAGAAACAATATTGATTGAAGCAGAAAACAAAAAAAAGCTTATGTAAGAAAAATAACAATTTAAAGGTAATGATAATGATGATTAAAAAATTTTTATGATGACAAGAAAATGATGATGATAAGAATTGAGGTAAGTTCACCTTAGTACAGGTAAAATGTTTTAGTATTCTTAATATTTCAAGGTTTATATCATTTTCAGTTAAACTTTGAGCTCTCAGGGGAAAAACATATCATGAAACATTATTCATGGTTAACATAATTCCAAGGGTAACTAACCATTTAGCTCAACTTTGTTTCTAATACAATTTTTTTCTTTCTCTCTCTCTTCATCTTTTGCTATTTCAGGAAAGAAAATAAATTCTCTGAATATTTCCATCTTCTTCTCCATGATATACATACATACACCTAGAAAAACCTTTGGAAATCAAATCTGAATACAGTGGCATTAAAAAAGGAAAAAAGAAAGGTAAAAGATGATAAAAGAAGATGAATTTAAATGTAAATCTTTCATATTATCATATTTACAGAGAAAAGAATTGAAAAAAAATTCTATTCCAAATAATATAATATAACCTTTAGCGATTTTTATCATTCCTTCCCTGTAATAATATATAACATTCTGTACATACACTAACCTTATTATTTTTGTTTCTTTTTTCAGTTATCAAAGCAATCAACTAATTACGATAATCAGTGTGCATCAATTTATGGTTACAATTCAATTGGATGGTAAAGGTTAATCATATGGGAAAAATGGTTTATTTCTCTGATATTTGGACTCTAATTGTTGTAACAATTAACTTACCTGGACGACAAAGAAAAACCCAATAATATATGAGATAAGACAGATAAATGCAATGAAGGCTTCTTTATGTTTCCTCAATATAGTTGGCCATTCATCTACAACGGCAGTGACAAAACCTTCCATGGTACAGAACTGGATTTAAAGACGAAAATCAACAATTAGAACAGATATAAAGTCTTGGACTTTTTGATTTTTCAAACAATCAAAATTATTCATCTTTTTGGTAATATTCAAAGATATTATATACAAATTCAATTAGATTTAATATCCAGCATTCAAACGATTGACACTATTGATTTTTTTTCCTTTCCTTTAAACTTTATTTTGACTGTTGTTGTTGATAAATTTGACATTATCTCTTGTCAAGATACTTCAACTCAGGTCACAATGTTTGTCTCCGACTTTCTTATATTATTGAGGGAAAATTTTGAAATTCTTGTCAAATATTATCATTTCTCAGGTATTGATAAATTTTACTTGCATCCAGACAATTTAAAGTCCATTTTCTTATGATATAACTGTCAAGTTATATAAATTTTACATTTGATTGATTTTAGTTTCAATGTGGTAAACTTTTCAATCAGTTTGGACGATAAACTCACATAAATAACACACAATTTAAATTGTTTGGAATCAAAGTGAATTAATATTCAACTTGTACTTACTTGACTGTCTAAACCTAACATAAGAATCATAACAAAGAAGAGAACCGACCATAAAGGTGATATTGGAAGATGAAGAGTCGCTGAAGGGTAGGCCAAAAATGCGAGTCCCGAACCTGGAAAAATGAAACAGAATCAAAGGCGAACAAAGAACAACAATTAGAACAATCAATTGGAATAATTTGGAACAAGAGAAAACATTAAATCGGTAAGAGATTCGTTTGAATTCAAGCCAAATCCTCCTCAAGCTGAGTAAAGTAATTAACTTTAATTGGTTGTTTAACTTTTTAACATCATGATAATAGTTAAAGGGAAAACTTTATCATTTTATTTCAATCATATTTTCACCATGAAAGTTTATACGATAATATTCAAAGTCGATGGTTTTTGACAGAATCTAATATTTGCCTATTGTTTATCGATGATAAAATTTACTTGTTAACTGAATTAAAACTAACAATAAATATCTTATCATCATTATCATGACCTTTCTCTCTCTCTCAAATTTCAGGAACGTTTTTTAGACAGAAAATATTAATATCATGATGAAGAGAAGGAAAAAATTGACCTGAAAAAAGGTATCATTTGATTGGAGGAATTCAAAGCTCGACAGGAATCTCTGAATTCTCAACAAGGATAACATGGTAAAGATTTAATGTAATATTAAGTGAAGACTTTTGATGTTGTGATCGATAAAAAAAGGATGAGGATGCTGATCATCATGAAGATGGAGGCAAAAAAAAAGCTGTAACGATCAATAGCACATTTATAATGATAAAGTTGCAAAGCTTAAGTTGAAACAATGGATGATTTTGATCGTTCTCCCAATGTAACTTACAATGATACTTTTTTTTTTATACTACAAGGAAGATGAAGATGATGAAAATGATGATCATCACCATCCTTAGTATCATGATGATGATGATAATGATGATGGAAGTGAATAAGTGAACCGTTTCTTTGATGCTCTTTTTTTTTGATAAGGTAACTAGTATATTAAAGGTCTTCCTCTTATATCAATTGACTTTTGGGATAAACCATTATTATTATCATCATCATCTTCTTCATCTTCTCATCTTCATCATCATTATTAAAAAATATAATTCTCAAGGTATTATCAGGGTATAAGGTATTATTTCAGTGGACACTTTAACCCTTATTCGTAAGTCTAAAACTAAATATTGAACTTTTCTACCAATAAAAAAGGTTACCCTTTTCTCACCTTTGTAAGTATCATGATTGTAAATGGTGATGATGATATTAGAGTGATAATAAAATGAATCAGAATTGATAATGTTTATGTTTACCTGAAGTTGCCACCTCATCAATGGGTCGATTCTGTTCATGAGCCATGAACCCAATGATACTGAATATCACGAATCCAGCAAATATTGAGGTTCCACTATTGATAAATGATATAATCAGTGCATCCCTATAGATGAATAAACAAAATTCCAACAATTAGTAAACAATTTAGAAATTACAATCAATGAAAACCCAAGAGATTATAAATTTCGTTTTAATCATTCAATATGTAAATAGCTCTTAATTCATGTAATATTCACATGATAACTTGACGCTGATGATTAGTCTAAATGGTTAACACGAAAATGTTTCATTTGTGATTCTGTTGATTAAGTTAATCACTCAGGTAGAAATTAAAATTTACCTTTGAACATTGTTATTGTATTTATTGTAACTTCCTAAAGCAATTAGAGCTCCCAATCCAAGACCATATGAGAAAAATATTTGGGTCGCTGCATCAATCCAAACCTTAATTAGTAATTAAATGCAATGATAAACAAGAGGAAAAGTTAATCCTCTGATTAGATATTATATTGAAATTGAAAATTTATCATGAATAATTGGAATTGTTGATTGTTCCTTGTGAATATCTATCATGAATCTAAATGGTTACTCATGAATGACAATCAAATGAAAGAGTCAAGGTAACAACATTAAAAATGAGAGATGAAAAAAAAAGACAATTTGATTGACAGAGTTGATGGTTTGTTCATGTTACATGAATAAGAGGAAGGAGAAAAAAATTCAGAATAGTAAACATTAAATTCTCTCTCCCTGTCTTCATCTACTGAGAAGATGATGGAGATGAAGATGAAGATGAAGATGATGATGATAATATGATAACTTGACTTCTGTTGACGACAACCTTAATTTAGTTGAGTTGATTCTCCCTCTTCCCGCCATCAACATCTTAATATTAAATCACAATATTTTCATGAATCATGATAATACTCACATCAGATTCTGTTATCCTATCAATTTTGGGTCTCAGATAATATAAGATCCCATCTCCGGCTCCAGGTAAGGTTACACCTCGAATCAATAAAATAATCAAAAGTACATAGGGAAATAAAGCAGTAAAGTAGACAACCTGTGAAAAACAAACAGAGCAATTAGTTAATTGTTTCAAATTGAACGGCAATTTTATCAATATTATTGAACAACAATCAGAAACTTTTGAAACTTTTGAAACTTTTCTCTTATAATAACTTATCATTATATTTATATGATGAATGATGAATAAGGATCTTGGAAATTGATTCCTCACTCTGATTCTGATCATTTTATCCACTTGATTCAATTAAATTGATTACAATTCTTATTAGTATTGTTTATTGATGTTATTATAATTCTGATATATTGTCATGATGATGGATGAGACTGAATGATGATGATAAGTTTGATATTCAATTTGATGTTTGGGTCAATTTTTTTTTTCACTTCACGTTTGGACTTGAATTTGTTTCCTGGTTGATTTATTTGTAACCTGAATAGAATGTAGGTCAAATCATCCTTTTGTCATCCTCATCATCATCCTCATCATCATCCTCATCATCCGCATCCTTATCATTTACAAAAGCTTTAAGTCCATTAATAAATCAATTTATTCAACCAAACAATCAAATCAAACATTAAACAGACACAAAAGTTATTATATATTGAAATAATCAGTTTAATCAAATGATTTACCAATACAATTAACTAACTATCAGAATATTAATTGTTAAACATATTAGACATTAACAATTATGATTACAGTTTTAGTTTACCTCATGAGGATTGATTCTAATAGTAACAATTATGCAAATTGATTTGTCAGCATTTCTATTGATCAGTTAATTGCTACTTAACAATCAGCTAATTACTGTTCCTGTAATACAAAAAAAAGTGTACAAGAAAGGTAACAAATTTGACCACAAGATCTCCAGGGACAGAGGTCAAGTCTCTTCATATACCAATGAGACTATGATCTGAATTAACCTTGAAAAAAGGTCAACTCGTTATCGAGATACCGATGGATTTGATTACTCAGTTTAATCATTTCGATGATTAATTTTTGCTATCATGTTGGTGAAACACGATTTTGATTAATCATATCAATCATTTAGCAACTTAATCACTACATTAACGATCAATGATTTAATATTCACGGAACGAAAAAAAAATATGACAAAATTTCATCACAAACATGATGTTTTTTCATGATGATTCTGAGTATCATCTTTCTGACAATTTGATGAAGATGATGATTTATTTATGGAAGATACTTTAAACTATTAACTCGATTGGATTATCTCACTTTACCATGAACATTTTCACCAATTTCTCAACATCTCTGAACTTTTTTCCTCCTCTATTCACCTTGATTCTTAATCTTCCTTTCCATTCCCTCTTCCATCATCTTTTATCATCATTCTCATCTCATAGTTTATCATCTTCTACCTTCAAGCATCATCATCATCATCTATTGTCTTCATGTTACCTGATTTTTTCTCAATTCTGACTTGACGTTATATCATCGATACGATGATGATACTTATTGAATTACAATGAAGAGAAACGATTGAATCAAAAACCCAAGATGATTTATTGATCTAATCATTCTTAATTATCACAATTAACTAATCACATAACAGGATTATCTGCCTTATTGCTAATCAGCAAAGTTTTTTAATCCACCATTCAAATTGGCTTCGTTAATCCAAATGTTAATCTAACCACAGAGACTCAAGTTATATGATCATTTTGCACGATGAGTCTCATTCAACATGTATTAAAATCGAACAATTATTGATTTTTTGAATATTAAAATTCAGTTTATTGATTGAAAATTATGATGTTGATCGATTGAACATTATTCAAAATCGACAATGATTGATCGTTAATTGATCTATGACTTAAATTGAATTTATCATATGATAACAATATTTTATATAATTGAAAATTTTGAAAATTAATTAATCATAATTGTTGATTAAATTTGAAATTTCATCTTTTTGTTAATCAGAAATTCATCATGGAACCAAAATTCCATCAATAATGAAAATTTTCTTGATCATAAATTTCTGATTTTTCACAAAAAGAGAAATTTCAAATTAATTTTTCCACAATAGTTAATTTTCAAAATAACAATTATAGTAAAATATTGATTTTATCATGAGAATGATTAATTCGATTAAAAATTAAGGTCATTTTAGATCACCAACAGAAGTGATTAAAAATTTTTTCTATTATTTTGTGATTTTCTGAATAATGTCCAAAATTTTGATAACATCATAATTTTCAATCAACTTCAAATTTTAATATTTCAAAAACTAATTTAATAATTGTTCGAGTTATTATTTTGAATTGAGACTCACTTTTCGTGTGAATTGATCATCTAATAATACTTTTGGATTAATATTTTTTTTATGGATTCTTAATCTATTAGTTTAATCATCTCTAACAATTTAAACTGATTATTTGATTGTGTTAATCAAATAGAATGAAAAATGTTAATATTTACAATGGTTTGTTGATTATTCCAATGGATGTGAAATATTAGCTAATTTAAATTCAGACAATTTAGGTTAACGATGTTACCATTTGTTTCTTGTGATAATTTATGATTAAACAATCAGTGGATTGAATTGATTAATAATGTAAATTGTAAATTGTTGTTGTTACAACGATCAAGTGAATTGTATTCAATTGTAATGATCACAATTCTGTTTTGACAATCATCAGCATCTTTGTTTAAATCAACATAATCATTGATTGTTAAACCAATTGAATCAACCAACAGAACGAGAAAAACTTAATCATTTGCTAAATCAAAGGTGATTAATGTTAATCAAACTGCTGAACAATTTGATTTAAGATGAAACTTTTTTCATTCTTGATTTAATCTTGAGTAAAGTTAATCAACTAATCAACAGTTTAACCAAACACTTATCCTTAAATCATTTGTATTGTTGCAATTGGTTGATTGTTGATAAAATCAAATTAGATTTGCATCAACAACAACAACCAAATAGGAAAAGTTAATCAACAGAAATAAAATTTTTTTCTTTACTCAATTGGAATTTAATTTAAAAGGCAAACCAACAATTAACAAATCGATGTAACAATTAATTAACCAACCCAACATATACAAGAATAACAATTAAGATGATTTTCAAAGGAAGAAAACTTTTTTATTCCTTAAAACAATCGTACCCTAAATGGAAATGAATTTACAACAATTAACGTAAATAATTGTAATTGTTACGTTTGTTATTGTTGTTCATGATTCATTGTAAGTGAAAAGTTTCCCTCAATGATAATGATAATAAGAAGGTGATTCTGATCAAATTGTTCAACCGAGAATGAAATTGAATCATTTCTAGATGAACAATCTCAATCAGTGCTTGTGTATTAATAATATATTTTCATCCGCATCTCCATCATCTCCATCCTCATCCCATTCTGATCCAGTCAAGCTTTCTATGAATATAATAATATCCAAAGGTTTTCATTTCCATTTGTGAATCGATTTTTTTCATCATCATCTTCATCCAAATCTCTTCCCCATCCAACATACAGATACATTCATATTATTATTATGTATCCATGATGATAAATAATATATATGAAACTGTAAGATGATGTATCTTATCATGAGTATTGGAGCAAAGTGAAATTGTTTACTTTTGAAATATTAATAGTTAACAGAAAACACTGATTGAAATTGAGGGCGAAAATTTGAAAATCAAATCAATTGGTACAACAATTTACTAACCACAACATTCAATTGTGTCCCTGTAACAATCATCATTATCAATAGATTTAAAATCACTTGTGATCCTCTCATCACTTTACAATTTAATCGTCATCATCATCATCTATGATCATCAAAATATCACCATTTTCATTGTTATTATTTGGTTATATCATTTTGATTGTGACTTGGTATTGTTATTATTATATGAAGATTAGTTTGTTTTTGTGGCAATAGATTTAGGATTGAGATTATTGTTGATCTTCAGCTGATCATCAGAACTTTTTTTCTTCTTCTAAGTTTGTGATGATAAAATATTTTTCTACTTCTCCTGGTAAATAATATGAGAGTGATATTATTATACCAGAGTAGTAGTTGTAGGCTAGTTAACTGAGTGTCTACGATTTATTGATCGTACGAAGGAGCGAATGAGAGGAAGAGAGAGAGAGAAAGATGATAAAAGATGAGGATGAGGATGCAAAAAGAGAGAGCAAAGATGATGCTTCGCTGAAAGAAAAGCTCTCAGCTTACAAATTGAGACACAATTATGTGTAAATGTTGAGAGAGAGAGAGAGAGAGAGAGAGAGAGAGAGAGAGTGAGAGAGAGGGGGTTGACTTTTTATCCTTTTCCATTATTATTTTATATCGAAATACAAAAGTCCAGAAAAAGGAAGATGATAATGATGATGAGGAAGAAGATGAAGATGAAGAGGAGGTGATGATGATGATGATGGTGAATGGGTGGGTGGATGTTAATCATGAGAAACTGTTTAAAGTTTAAACTCCTTTTGTATTTAATGAAACTTGGCATCGAAACTGTAACATGTATATTACATAAAAAAGTATTGATTACAATTTGAACGCAACTCGGGATGAAACTTAATTGTTTAGTTTTTTTCCTCTCTCTTTGGTTAATGATTAACTTTCCTAGTAGATTGATTAAAGTTTAACTTGGAAATTAATTTTCAGTATATTGTAATTTACATAGGTAACAATTCATAATAGTGATTGTGTTTATATTGATTAGTTGATTGATTGATTTGGAAATATTTTCAAAAGTTGAATATTAATTTTTTTCACTTTAATTTTTAGCAATTTAATCTTGAAACTTTGACTTGATTGGTTTAAACTAACGATTTACAATCAATTTATTGATCAAATCATCTAAATGTAATTATTAGAAAGTTTTATTCGCTCGACAATCAGTTAATTTTCAATTTCTTTCTCGATTCTCTTATAATAGTTTGAATGATGTAAAGATTATCGACTTGATGGTGATTAACTTAATTGTTGGAGTTTTGTTTAATTGAGGAAAAGATAGATTGAGATTCTGTCAACCTATGGGATGGAAAAAATTTAATTCTATCATTTAATTTGATTATATCGGAAATTTCCGATTGACTTTAATGAACCAGAAATCACCGAAACCGTGATGATGATTAGAAAGGAAGAACTAAATTAAACACAATTGATTGATAGAAATTTCTGTCAATCAATTCAATTAAACACCATGATGGTGAAATCTAATGAGATCCAGGATGATTATTATTACGATAATTAGTTAACTAGATAACAATTGATCAGAACAAATTCTCATCATCTTTCAAATAATGATAATAAACTTGATTCGGAAATATTGATTAACTTTGGGTTTCGATATTACTACAAATATATTAACAATTTAGTGGTGATTTATTTTTCACCGGAGAGAAAGGCAAAGATTTTGATAATAATAATAAAGATAATTAAGTTTTGATTGTTGTTATGAAATTGTGTAAAATATTTAATGATTAACTGAATCAATGTTTACCTTTCCAGTCCATTTAACTCCTTTCCAAATGCAAAAATAACACCCAATCCATGAGACCGCCAATGTGACCGCTAACGGCCAACGAATCTCACCCAGATCATGTAAACCCGTTGTGACCTGAAGTACCTGACGTTCCCAGTATTCCTTAACTGGACTTCGATAGTATGTACTATTTAATAGTCGACAATCTTCGGTAAATGTTATCGGATCAACCCGACAATTGGACCATTTTTGCTTTAAATCAGAATCGGTGATACAATTTTTGGTATTCCAAGAGTTGTTACAATCGCGCCAAGGTACATCCAGCCCGAGGGAAGACCAAGCATAATATAAAGCCCAGGCCAACACAACGATGTAAAATGTATTCAACCAAAAGGCCATTACAGCAGCAGCATAACCAACACCTTAATTGCGAAAAATTAACAGATTGAAAACAATTAATTAGTCGACCCAAAGAAACAAACGTTGCAACGAAGACGAAACTTAGTATTATCTCAATCGGGCGAAAGTTTTTACTACCGATCGAATTTATATTGATATTGAGATTTAGTGGACCATTTTTGACCTTAATCGAATATCGTTGGAACAATCAACGAATTTAATTAGCTACAATTACCTTTAAATATTGGACAAATTCGCCAGACTCCGATTCCTCCGATTCCAAGAAATTGTCCCAAAGAAATTTCCAAAAAAAATGCTGGGATTCCAGCGAAAAACAGGCAAACGCAATATGGAACTAAAAATGCTCCTGAACAACAATTAAAAGACGAATTAAAAGTTAATCATTAATTACTAGAAGTAAATTAATTCTCTCATTAATCATTGTACACACAAATAATAATAACGGTTCTTGATTGTAATAGATACAAAAATAACATCAAGGTTAATTTAGGTTAACATGATTACTGTTATTTTCATATGTAAGTTGATAACCTTTTTTTTATATCATTTTCTTATGATTAACATATGATTATGATTAATTTGATTGTTACAATTACTAATAATGTATTTTTATGTAGTCTAACTATTATTCAATTAATTTATTGACATTGTTATTTGATCATATTATTAACATTACCATTGAGTATGAGATGATTTAACAATCAAGTGAATTTTTTTCCCTCACATTTGATAAGTTGACAGTTTAATGGATTTAGTTTGTGCTGTAACAATTTAGTTAAATTGTTACAATCAATTAATCATTAATCATGAGAGAAAGAGAGAGGGAAGAGTAAAAGAATATAAAACTTAATTGTTAAGAAAAAATATTGATTCTAATTGTTTAAATATGTATAAATTATATTCTGTTACCAAGTTAATTGGAATTGGATTAAATTGTTATCAATCGTATTTCTGGTAATCAACTAATGTATTAATTACTGAATCAATTGTTGGATTAAATTTTTACTTTAAAATAAACTTAAACAATTAATAAGTTGAAAATAATTAAGAAACCAATCAAGTTTTCAATAACTAATTAAGATGAGAGAGCAATTAATTAATTTGTTACATTGTTAACTATTTATTACCTGGTTAATTGTGATGTTAAACTTTGATAATTATAATTTTCTTTATGGTAATTTATTAATTAAAAACAAACAGTTGTGTCAAAATTTTGCGCATATTCTGATAATCATATCAACTAATTAATTAATGAGAGAAAAATTGAACAATTTAATTAATGAATTAAATTGTCACACATATAAAATTTGCAAAGGTTAACACGTTGCAAAGGTTTGTCAAGATAATTAGATAATCCTTTTCTTGCTAATCAATTCACAATAGGAATCAAATTAAATTGAGAGATTGTGATTAAATTTGGTATTCAGTTAATTGTGATTAAATTGTGATTACTCACCTCCTCCATTCTTATAACAAAGGTAAGGAAATCTCCAAACATTACCAAGACCAATCGCATAACCAATACAAGACATTAAGAAATCCAGTTGACCACTCCACTGACCACGTTCATTTGCTTCATCACTCAATAACTTCACCTCCGTAGGCACCAAATTGCTATTTTGAGCCCCACCATTGGCCCGAACCGGACGATTACCCGAACCCGAATTGTTACCACCACCGCCACCACCAGCTCCCGAAAAGCTATTCATTTCAACCTTATCGGCCATTTTGATTCCAATTAAATTCAATTAATCAGATCAACGGACCAAACTGAATCTCTTATTTCCGATTAATTTTTGTTTCCAATCTTTTAAATGATGAAATTGTTGTTCTAACAATTAACTGATTAACCGATACCTGGAAGATTTTTTTGATAATACCAATTGAAGATGATGATATGATGATGAGGATGATAATAGGAAGATGAATCTAATCTTGGCCGTTTTTGTTCAAACAATTGATTACCAAACCATAACCACAATTAACAATTATAATATATATAATTAGATATTAATTGTAAAATTAGACAACAATTAAAAGGCTGTTAGATGATATGATTGATGTTAACCCAACACAATGAGACACAAATTAATTAGCAAAAGACTTTGACTGAATTGATTTCACTTGAAATAAACAGTAATTGATAATGAATTTGATTAATTGATTGATTGATTAATCAAAGAAAAGGTATTTGTGGTCCACGAGGCAGAAAGACAAAAGATTTTAATTAAGATGATGATTAGATGATTAGATTTGAAAGACAATGTTGTTTACTGAAAGACTGAAAGTATTGACACAACGTTGAGCGTTTCGATTATATAATCAATTGATTAACGTTAATTGTTGGCCTGATAGAAACAGGGAAAGCACTAGTAATTAACAATTTATAATAAATAGATAATATAACAATCATGTATGGAGAAAGTTAATTGTTGGTAATTAAAATGAAAAGACGATTTTCTTGAAACGGGTTAACACATAATAAGAAAATTGGAAAAAATCATAAATAACAAGAAAAAGAAAAGAATATTTTTTTTTCTTCTCTTTCAAAGATTAAGAAGATGATGAAGATAATTAGAAAGAAAGAAAGAAAGAGAGAGAGTATATGTGTGTATTAGTGAGTATGTATATTTGTGAGAGAGAGTAAAGGGGGTGAATTAGTCGAAATGATGATATTCGAAAGAGAGAAAATGTTCTTTTTCTCCTTTTCAAATGTTGACAATTTTTACACAAAAAACAGAAGAAAAAATAAAATGACTGAGCAATCGAGAGAAAAATTGAAATCCGGGAACTGAAGATGATGAGGATGATGGAGGATGATGAAGATGAGGATGAGGATGATAAGATTTCGGGTCTTTTTTAACAGGGAATCAAATAAATATAAGACTTTTTTTTCTGTTGAGGTTTAAAGATGAAGAGGATGAGGATGAAGATGATGAAAGGCAAAGTAACTGGCAATTGGAAAGTAAGATGATGATAAAATGAATCACGCATCGGTTTTTATCATCATCATCTTCATCCTTTTTTTATCATTTGCTATTGGAAAAATTCATGCGCCATCTTTACCTCCGCATCCTTTTTTTTTACAGTTACTTTCATCTTCATCTTTTATCATCCGTTTTAAAGGTAAACCAGGAAAAAAAAACTTAGTTTCGAACTTTGTTTTTCTCCTCATCTTCATCAGAAATTAATTCCTTCCCATTAATTGTGACAATCAAGAGTAATTATGATGATTTAAACAGCTGATTCTCAATCAAGATCATTTTAAATGTCACTTTCGGTGCAATTGATTAACCAGTTTGTCCATTTGTTTGTCCATCAATTGGTCAACCGTCTTGAACCTTCATTTTGATTCTCAATTCATTATAAACTTGCAATTAACCAACAATTAACTTGATTGATTGTTGTACTTAATTAACATTAACGTGTTGCAATTTACTTTTTTCGTATTATCCTTTATTAATTAAAGTTATCAAAAAAAACAATTTATTAATCATAATAATCGTAACCAATCATATTCCAGATCTTAATTTACAATTTAAATCAGAATTTTTAATCATTGAGATGAAATATTACAACAATTAATTGTTTATCTTTGGTTATCAATTGTTAATTAGAATTATAATCAATTAATTAAGCTCTTTTTCTCATCTCATTCAGCTAAATAACAATTAAGTTCACTTTCAATTTAAAATAATACTCATACTTGTTTAATATATAAAAAGTATAATTAACCTAATTGTTAACATTAGAAAAAAAGTTTTAATTGTTGATTTGATGATCAGATTTGATGGATTGGCGATGATGATGATGAGATGGATGTTAATAAATGAATTTGTTTTCATTTCTCCCGAGAAAATAATTAACCGAGTAAATCAAGTTGATCGCAAGTTGATTGATTTCAAATCAACAATCAACAAAATTATAATTGATAATTTTGGTCTTAATTGTGATTCTTTGTGATTATATTGAAATAATTTACTAGAAAAACAAAAGGAAAAACATTAATGATCTTAAATCATCAAAATTGTTGTTGATTTTCAGCTGATTGTTGATCAACATTCATTTTAAACACAAACAATTGAAAGTTTTGGTGTTGAAGAAGATAAATTGATGCGAGAGATATGATGAAGGAAGATGATGATAACTTTTTTTTTCTTCTAAAATTAACAATTAGATTTAAACATAGAAATTATTTACATTATATTGACTTCGAATTTTTGTATCATCTTTTTTTCTTGTTGTCTTGTTTTCTCAATCTTATACACCTTTTTGTTTTCTTATAACATTGATTTTCTTTATCTCTTCACATATATATATATATTTATATTTATATACTGATTAACTTAAATTGTTGATTTCTTTTTTATCTTCTTGTTGAGGCAATTAAATGGTGATTAAGAATTTTGCATCCATGGGACAGTTTTCAGGTGGATCATCATCAACAGCCATATTCTCAATAAAGCTATTGCTATTATTTATAAAAGGACTAATACTCCGACACTGATTAGTGGAAAGATTTTCATCATTTGACTGTTGATCATCAATTAAATTTGAATCTTCACCCATAGTATCAGATTCAATGGGTGTTGAAGGCATCATTCTACTGCTACAATTAACATCATCATTTACAATTGTTGTTGTTTGTTGGGTTGACGTTGACGTTGTAGATGTTGTTGTTGATGTTGATGATGTTGTCGTCGACGTCGTCGTTGTTGTTGTTGTTGTTGTTGTTGTTGTTGTTGTTGTAGAGGTTGAGGTTGAATTTGTCGGTTTAAGACTGGGTGACATGGAGGTCGTTGGATTTTGGTTTGGGTCATCAGGCTTAGTGTGGTCATCATCATCAGGCTTTGGTGGGAAGAGCTTCAATGAAACCGCCAGGTCAGCAAGAACTTCAGTTTCTTTCTCATCGATCATCGTAAATTGATCATTAAAAAGCATAAAATGAGAGAATATGCAATTTGTCTGCGGATGGAGATTCAAAAGTTCAATCTCTTTGAAATGTGAATGGTAAATATGAGCCAATACGCGAAAAAGAAGTAACATAATCTTCTTAACAATTGACTCAAAGGAACTCGGGAATTCTTTATCTATAGAATTGAAAGAAGAGAAAAAAAAAGATGAACGTTAGTGATTGAGTATTGATCAAAAAATAGGAAACAATTGAGAAGATATTGAATATAAGAATTTATCAAAATGGAAAAAAAGAGATGAATAGAGATGAAAAAAGGGGCATATAAAAAAAGGATAGAAAAAGCTAATCAATGGAACTTTAAACGGATTAGAACACAATATGAAGCCCAGTTCAATTCATTCACTTTTGCGAACACTAAATGGCCTAAATAAAGCGGAAATGTACCAATGAAATAGCCTGAAATAGGGTTACATTAGTATATCAACAACAGAAGAAAAAAAATGAGATTCAACAGAAAATTGACCCAAACTGATCAATGAGAAAGGGAAAATAGAAAGAGAAGATAATCATATCAACCGGAACTTTATAGATTATTTGTTTCCTCGAATAAATTGTAATCTGTAAACATAGAAGAGAGAGAGAGAGAATTCTGATTATTCTAAATATTGATAAGCATGGACGAAGTAATCGCTCTTATAATAGTGGAAATAACTATTCCAAGAGATTGGGATTAATTTCTTTCATTATTTGTAAACAAACAAAAACCTATTATCATGGATAAGAAATGAAATCCCTGTGATCATCTTTTTGCCAATTTTTCCTTCATTTTCATCATGGAGATCGTGAATTTCCCATGATTTTTCATCCATGACTTTGCATTAACTAGAAAAATGGTTAATTAATTCTGATTAACTAGAAAAGTGGACATTTCTTGTTATTCTTTCATTGATTTTCAACAAAAGATGAAAAAAAATCTCCAATTATCTTCTTGTCCTTCTTCTCATCCTCTGGGATTTTCTAATACAAAAGGAAACAAATTGAAACAATGGAATAAAATATTTTCTAAATGAGTTGATCATAATTATCTCCATCTATTCTCCTTCTCCTCTGCTTACCTGGTGAAAATAAATACAATAGATATTTAAACACATGATACATCAAGTCAAGGATTATGAGCTCTCATGAAATGCTACTTAATCCAGAAAATCCAGTCCAAATTTCCTAGTGACCTTCTATTTTGTCTCACTCTCTCTCTCTCCCTCTTAGTGCTTTTAAAGAACGATCTTGTCTTCAATGAATGTCTTCTGTTCATAATTATCAAAAATTATCATCACTTGAGCTGAATCATTAGCCATTTTTCATTCATGTTTATGTATTAATCGAGTTTGCCAGGAAACCAGGTTTTCTTCATCTTCTCTGTCTTTCTAGTTTCTCTCTCACTCACTCATTCATTTCTCTAACCATGAAGTATTTCTACACACAGTCTCTTTCTATTGTCGCTTATTTTTTCCAAGTGAAGACTCGAAGCTATTGAATGTATATATTTATCTCTTTCTCTCTTTCTCTCTCTCTCTCTCCTTTCCTTTCCTCTTCAACTCACCTTTTACATTTCTAATTCAAAATACTAACAAGCTATTACTTATTAATGATATACATGTTCTATCATTTCTCATCTCTTTTTCTCCTTTTTTTTACTTCTTCTAATTAATTATCTTATAATGTTCAATAGGCTTCGCAACAGTTATGTCAAATAAGAGACAATAATGATGAAAGATTATTGAACTAAATGGTTATGATATCGATAAAAGGTATTGGAAAATAAAGAGAAAAGGCAAATTTTACCGAATTTAGTTGGAAATATTGATTCGTCATTAACCGTCCGTTGTGTGTATGTCATAACATAGTCAATATATTGTGGAGCAGGTAATTTACAACGTTTACCTTTCTCATCAACCCATAAGTACAACCTAAAAAGAGATACATAGTGAGAGAGAGAGAGAAAAAAAGAGGAAAAGAGATAATTAGAATTAGTTAGAAGGAAAAAAAAAGGTAAAACAAAGGCGTATCAATAGAAGTAAAATTAAAAGTGGAAGGGGTTGGTTACAATCAAGAATGTTGAGAGTAAATGAAGAACGAGGACAAAGATGACAAAACATGGTTTCCTTTAGAACGTCAATAATTTAAGATCAATTGTGCTCTTCAATTGATAATACAAATCAATGGTTTCTTACCTATTATTAGGTCCTATCATATCAGGACATCCTGAAGTATTACAAAACTCTGAAATGGTTCCATAAATGAGATTTATATGATCAAAGAATGCTAAACCTGGATTATCAAGGTGATTGGTTGAAAAAGGAGAGAAAAAATAAATCAATGTATAAGATGAGAGTTGATCTTGTTATGCGAGAAGATGAAAACAAAAAATCCAGTTAGTTTCCTTTTTTTTTCTTTGTTTTCTTTTTGCCAACGTTAGAGGGAAAGAAGAAGCTTCATCATCATCATCAGGTATTGACATGAACAATTGATTTAGAGGAATGACCATGATTACAATTAACTTATGGTGTATTTACTTCCATCAAAATAATCGACAGAAAGGAGAGAGGAGAGAGACAGAGACAGAGAGAAAGTGGAAATAGTCATAGTTGGTTCTGATCAATTCAGGACAATGGAGAAAAAGAGCATGCCAAACTGGCTTCTTCTTTTCCTTTTTCTGGTATTGATGATAAGGGGAAAAGAGAGATGATGATGACAATATTTCTTTTTCTTCTGAAGGCAAAAAGAAACAACAACAACAACAACAAAATGGAATGGAACATCATTGATGGTAATTATTTTTAAAGGACACTGGTTTAGGTTTGTTTCTATCTTTTGTCTGGTTACGTACAGTGTGAGGCCAACCATTCATTGTAATTAATACCATCAGGTAGTTGGATAATGTCTCTTAATCTGTACTCCGGTGTACAACATTCAAGAAGCTCATGTTGGAGGTATCGTTTAGATTCTTGAGATGGTGGTGAACAGGTGGCATCTTTTTCTTTGCGTCGACCTTTACTGTTTGGTTGAAGAAAAATTTCCATCATGAATAATTATGGTCACCGGATAAGAGAGAAGAAATAAAAAAAAAAAGGTGAAAAGAAAATGAAAACAATGGAAGTTGCAATGGAAAAGGAATAAAAAGAGAAAGAGAGAAAAGAAAATAATGAATTACAAAGAAAGAAGAAGAGAAATTAATTACTTACCCCATAAACCAATCAACCAAAGTATCTCTAAAATATTCTCCTAATTGTAATTTATCCATTAATCCATTAAACAGTTAGAATGGATAATATTAATAAACAATAATATGAATTAAAAGTAGACGTCGAAGTGAGTGAAGATTTTGCTGACTCGCTGAAAGTGAATATTTTGAGATCGGCTCACTCACTCAGCTGGTTGGAAACAAAATTCGATCACTGGCTCACTCAGTCAATCACTCAACCAATCAGATTAGAATTACAGTCAGAGCTCTTCATCAATAGATGTCACTAGTAGTGATAGACGATCATCGAATCTCTGATCGATCGAAAAATCGATTAAAAACTGAAAAGATCGATTGATCTTCGATCAAATTTTTCTAAAGGTTCCATTGATTTTTGAATAGAAAAAATTTCGCGCCACCAAATGTGAAAGAGAAATTATCTAACTTACTTTTTCCCTTTCTTTTCTCTCTGTAATCGATTTTCTCACAAAATTGATCGATCAATTTTTTTCTCAAAAAAATCGATCAAGATTGAGGACGAAACTAATATTAATTTACCAGTGATGATTCACAAAAAAGAGGTTGACAAGCTAATTAATTGTTCTAATTAGAAAAAAACAATACCAAAAATGAGAGATGAAGGTAAAGATATTCAGATGAAAACAATAAGACACAAACATTGAAAGTTAAGGTAAATTTTGAGTAAATGAAGCCAATTGAAACACTGAACTTTACTGAAAATTACTCAGTAACTAATCTGATTTGATTGTCGATAATCACTAAATTACTCGACCTGTACAATCAAAATGATCGATAACCCCATGTAATCATTGACCACAAACCCACTGGTCAGCTCAATTAGCCCCTTTTCCCTCATTGTTTTCACTCATATCGATAAATGTTCATGTTAAAATTGATCATTTCAAACGATTGTTTTGTGAATTAACTAATTGTGATAGACTCAAGTTAATCTGAAAATAATAAACAAAAAGGTTATTAGACTAATCACTTAATATAATTAACTTTTACTTATCAATAATTAGAAACTTTTCCTTTTAAATTAACATTATTTGGTTAGCTAATCAACTATTATTTACAATCAAACACAACAATTACATTTCCAAGATAACAATTAAGATTGTCATAAATGAAAAGGAGTAAACATGAAAAAAAATCAATCAACCAAATCAAATTATTCAAAAAAAAAACATCAAATAGTTAATTATAATCATTTACCTGTGAGAACAATTCAAACAATTAATTTTGATCATCATTTTGAAAGGAAAATTGTAAATAACAATTAAAATTGTCGAAAAAGTTTCTCCATCATCTAATAATAATGCGACGAAAAACTTTCGACATGAAATTAAACAATTAAATTATCGTGATTTGTGTTAATTGTCAATTTGAAATGTTAAATTGATTCTCTAATCATTGATTGTTATGTAACAATCAATGATTACTGGTCATTGATACTGACCCTTAAATCATAAAGGTTATTTAACTTGTAATAACTGCAAAGTTAATCAAGGGTTAATTTGATTACAAAATCGTCTTAATTGTTTTCACTATTGTTAATTGTTGCGATCTACTCTTCCCTTTGATTTGATTGATTGTTTTTGTTGTTATTTAACAGCAATTAAAGGTTCATTAATTTTGGAGTGTTTTTTTTACATTGATTACTTTTGATTGTGAACTTGATTGTTTCAAATTTTTTTTGATTGTCTTTGTGTCTTAAACAGTAACAATCAAAAATTGATAATCAGTAGCACACTTCAATTGTTCAATTGAAAGTAAAGTCGACAATCAATAAGTCAATTGATCAATATTGATTGTCGATAAAAGTTAATAATAATCAAAGGTTGTTATCTATTTGGTCACAATTAACTTTGATTAAGAAAAATTATAAATAATTAACTTAATGAAAAGGTGATAATTAACTAATTGTTCAATTAGTTGACTTGAGATATTTATCTATTTTTAAATGATAATAAATATGCTTTTACCTAATCAATATTAATTGTTTGTATGTTTCAATGTTAAACTAATTTAATTTTGTAATGTTAACATAATGATAACAATTAAGTTTGATTGTTAACTGTCAAAACGGAAAGTGTTCAAATGAAATTTGGTTAATTATTTGTTGACAGTTAATTAACTTAGATAACAAAATTTATTATTAGGATTAATTGTCAATCAATTGTTTAAATAGTTCAGGTAAATTTAATCATTATAATCAAGTGAATAATGTTTACTAATTGTTACAATTAACTAAGATAGTTGATAGAAAGTGAATAAATTAACGATGTAACCTTGCAGTTTAATTTAATTAACCTTGACTTTAATTAGAATTAGTTGATTAGTAAAATGTTAATGGATCATTGATTTTGATTGTGATTACAACAATTAGCAAGAGAAACAAAATCAAATTAATGAGAAAGTAAAAAAAAACCGGGAAATTTAAGATTCGACCGGAAACAATTAGTAAACTAATTTAATCGCTGAGAAAAAAAAAGTTCAAGAAACATGATTAAGCTAATCATGGATTAATTCAGTTAATTATGATAGGAGGATTATCATCACTTTTTAAAGTCTTAATTTACTTTGAATTTGATGAACAAGAAACAATTAACAAGATAACAAACAATTAAAACAAGTTATTGGCTAAACTACCAAAAGTTATTAATGATTGATAATCAAAAGTTGATGTTTATCATATAGCAACAATTAATTTTGATAACAGGTAAGAAATGGATTAACAAGAGTATGAGATGAACAGGTAGCTAATCAAATCAGCTGTAAATGATATTGTTATTTGATCAAATGATGATTATGATGAAGATAAAGTTTATCTATCAAGTGTAATGGTTGATAGATCAGTTTAATTGATGCTGATCAACCCTGCTAACCAGGTAAAGATTAGGATGATAAAAAATCAAACTTGAAACAACAATAAATGTCGATGATGAAGGTAAAAGAAAGGAAAGTAAGAAGAAGATAAAGAGAGAGAGAGAGAGAGAGAGAGAGAGAGAGAGAGAGAGAGAAGGAGGAAGAGAAAAGTGGGAGATAGTAAAGAAAGAGGGAGAAAAATCTTATTCTGAGATTTGAACATTTTATGGAAAACAGTAAGTGAAGTAACTTGAATACGGTTTGGCCTCAGTCGCTTCTTGCCAACTCTTCCCGTCGACGATCATCTTCCATCCTTTTATCATCATATCATCATCATCATCTTTTATCATCTTACACTAATCTTCATTCATCTCATCATAATCCGATTGACAAGGTTAACCCTTTTATCCTCAGCTGATTATGTTTTTCATATCCTTTCATTTTTATTATTTACTTTTCCCTTTGTTTTCTGTGTAATCATAGACAATTAAATTCTGTAATTTAGTGACAATTCTGATTTAGTGTCATCTCATTGATTAGTGATTAATTTTGTGGACACAAATCCTCACCTTTCTCTCAACGGATTAATCTATTTTACCTCTAACATACTCCAAAGGTAAGTTAATTGTTACAATTTGATTGTTTTTCTTTCTCAAATCAGGTGAAAGTTTTACATCAATCATTAAACACGATAATTGAATTTTAACTGTGATTAGTTAACTTGTAATTTCTGATTATCTTCCAAACAATTAGTATGCTTATCATCCTGCCTTCTATTTAATAATATATATGTATATTTATTGAAAAAACGATCTTAATTGTTAATAACATGAAATTGATTGTTATCGATTGCAAACAATTTAGATTCTATCTTTTTTTAACTTTCTATTTGGAAATTTTTTCTCATACTTTGTTAGCTGATTGGTAATAATATATATTTGAATATTGAATTGAATTAGATTTTGAAACAATTAACACGACTGAGAATTAGATAAATAATTAGCAACTTTTTCTGTATCTTCTCCTGTGTTAAAGAAATAATTATGATCAAATGATTAACTGATTATCTCCCATGCTCATGTTCCCATAACAGAAGTGAAAATTGATTCTTATCCTGAACACTTCTAGATGACAGAATAATTTGAAACCATCATGATGATTGTTAGATAATTATGATGGTGATAATAGAATCAGTAGTGAAAAAAAGTGATAAATAATTGATTCCCATCATTGAGATAACCCTGTTGATCAGAATTTATTTATATCACCATGAAGATGAAGTTAAATCCAATTAGATTTGAATCCAAATTCCCAAGATTAGAAGCAAAAAGTTTGTCAGATTAACATGAAAACTTTTTGCTTCTAATCTTGTTCTCAACAATTAGCTAATTGTTTCATTTAGTTGGTGAATAATTTTTGACAATTTAATTTCTCAATACCGTTAATGTTGATGAGAATCCTGTTTATTTGTTAATTGTTGCTGTAATTGTTTTAACAACAATCTTATAATAAGTTGATCAATTGATATAAAGTTTTTTTTCATTCCATCGCTTTAGTAATGATATTGTAATTAAGTCACATTGAAACTGATTAACACAATTAATCAGTGAATAAAAGTAATCAAAACTTCAGACATCTTCAAATATACAAACAGTTAACAATTTAAATTGTTTACCTAATGTTGATTAGCAACAATCAACAAAGTGATGGATGTTTATGATTAACCCCATTGATTTTAATCAATGATAATTTGGTAATTTGATTTGTAATCATTACGATTATTATTATGAATATAACATCAATCAAATTATTTGAAGAAACGTTTTTTTTTTAATCAATGAACTTGACTAACAATTGATTGTGATTAAAAGTGTATTCATGTGATTCAAACTGATTATACAAATTCATTCATAGGAAAGAAAAAGTTAATTTTATTTCCTTAATCAAACTTTGTGGTGATGATAATAGTAAGCAAACCGGAAGCCTTGGGATAAATTTTTACATAATGATGATGAGGAAGAGAAACAATTATCATCCTTATCATGATTATGATGAATTAATGTTACATACGAATGGCTGAGAAAGGTTATATTCTTGAGGGTTCATGGTAAAAGTTAATTTTCATCAACAATTTAATTCTAACCATTGTTAGTATTATGGTTTTCCATTGACAATTTTCATGTTTATTGTCATTAGAATCATTATCTTCATCATCATCATCATCATCTTACATCTGATTAAGGAAATGATCTTGATGAGGATGATGATGTTTTCACTAACAGTGAATTTCAATGAACAATGAATCTCATCTCATTTTTTTTTCTTCTATTCTGAATTACTCTTTTTTTGTGTATGAACTTCATCATCATCTTAATCACTTACCTTTTTCATGATGATCATGATGAGGATTTATCGTTTATCTTGTCACAATTAAGTTGATTGGCCTTAGATTCGGTCTTCCATCAATTGAACTTGAATAGATGGAAGATGACAAAAAAAACGTCCATAGATTTCAAGTGAACAGAAATTCAATTAAATTGTACTTCCTTTGATTATTCAAGTTAATCTTAGATAATTAGTCAAATCAACTTGGGTTCATGGGGGTTTCTGAGTTAATTAGCAAGTTGATTAAAATCACCAAGAAAATCAGATATCAGAGTAACAGGAATACAAAAAAAATCACCGTTAATTTGTCAATCTACTTAATCAGTTTGGGGCTTGATTGTTGATTACTCAATTGCACTAAGCTAATTAAATTTCAATCAGTGTGTGAATTGTCAAGTTAGTTGTGGATTAAACTAATCATTGGAAAAGGTAAATGATTAAATTTCCCAATGAAAAATCAATTAAAAGTATTAAACAGGAAGAAGTAGATTAATTTCCTTGAGAAGAGTTTCAATTAAAAAGGTGGAAAGATTAATGGATTAATCTAAATTGTTGGGTGGAGATTAATAAATCTAATTGTTACTCTATTCACATAATACAAATTAAATTAAATTAAATTGTTATTATTAGTAAAGTCTCTTAGTTTGTTTATCAATTGTTTCCAAGTTAATTTAGTTTTTGTTTCATTTCTTTTGTTTACCAACAAAACCAAAACCCCTCCCTTTAAGTTCATTCATCACAATCATCATGTAATCTTGATTTTCATCATCATTTTCATCTTCATCTTCATCATCATCATCATCATCATCATCATCATCATCATCATCATCATCTTCATCTGTATCTTATAGTTAATCAAATCTATTTGTCTCATTTCAAAGTTTAATCTTCAAAAATCTTAACTTTCAATAGTTTAACATGTAAACACTTGAGAGACAATACAAAAAACTGAGTAACCGTATCAGTCTAATAATAAACAGTTAAACTTTAATTAATTGTGTTTATCTTGATGATCAACGTACCAATTTACTAATTATTAATGTTTATTCATCATAGATTAACAATTGACCAACTAAAACTAAAATCTAAACTTGTGTATCGTTACTGATAATGATTAGTTCAATTGGAGATCCAAATTTGGATTCAATTTCTTGGATTTTTACAACTTATTTGCTAATAAGATGATCTAACGGATTATGTTAATCCAGTTAATACCTGTTACAAATTAATCCTAAGGATAAGAGAGAGTGAGAGTGAGAGAGTGGGAGAAATGATTAATCTATTAATTAGTTACCTTTTGTGTGCCATTAGACTTAATCAAAAAATCGGTAAACGATTTTTTGGAATCAATGATAAAATTGGATTAACTATTTTCCTTTACCTTCAATGGATCTTATTAAGTGCCTTAAGTATAACAACAATTTCATCTGAGATCGTCACTGATTATCCACAATTTACATCAAATTTAAGCCCTCAATCATCATCATCATCATCATCAGAATCATCATCATCAACAACAACACCGACAACAACATCAACAGCCACAAAATCAACAGTAGCAAACTCACTTGCTCGTAGACCTTTAAATGACCCTCGTTTAATTGTCTATCCTGGAGATTTAAATATCGCCCTATTGGTTAATTCCCATCAATCACTTTCTTCTGGTCAGTGTAGTGACCAAGTTAATCTATCTGCTGTTAGATCAGCAATGGCAGCGATTTGGGCGATTCATCAGATTAACGTTAATCAACAAAATGGAAGCCAATTAAAGTTAGGATTATACCTTTACGATACCTGTTCAGATGAATTTGTTTCCGAAAGACAATCAGTCAGAATATTGTCACATTTAGATGATATTCAATCAAAAACATGTCTTAAGGATAGAGAATCACCTTTAATAGGTAAGCAACTAATTAGAATAATTATTTACTCAATTAATTAACGAAAACGAAAATTGCTTCATTTCGGCTTCTCCTCTAAAACCCTTTCAACCAACGACAATTAAAGCCCATAAATAATTCAACTAATCAAAGACCAGAAAGTTGTTTTCTCATTACAATTTTCTAATTACTTAATTGTTGTCATTTAATTCCACTTTTTTTTAGCTATTTGTTTTCTTAAATCAGTTCGAAGGTGTTTTAATAACTATCCTCTAATTGAGCTTCTCTTTTCGCGATTGAGGTCAAAGCATTTAGACGAAATTCATTTTTGGTATCAACAACATTGAAAAAGTAAAAACTATCAACTGTCATTTCCATCAATTTCTTACCTTTTTTTGCTTTTCTTTTTTTTTCTCCACCAAAAACCATCAATTGTTTTTTCTTACCTGAGCATCATCATCATCATCATCTCTTAATCGCTTTTCAGAATCTTCTTCTTCTTCTTCTTCTTCTCTTTCTGATCTGACACACTCTTCTCGATTGATTACTCTTTTCAACGGAAAAGCTTCTAACGGTGACAACAACTCACGTTCACCCAACGTGCTTATTTTAAAGCCTCTTTGTATGAATCACTTTTCAGAATCACTTTATTACCTATCATCAGTTTTCATTCACAATATTTACCTGTTCGTTTCTCTCCTTCATTTGCAACATTTTCATTCATCACAATAATAATAATAATAAATCTATTATTGTATTATACATGTTATCCTTTCTGATGAGTATACAAACTACATACTCTTCACATTGAACTGTCTCTCTATCAAACACCCAACGTCCACTTTTGGGTCATTATAATTATCATTACCATCGCTACTATTATTATGGATGAATCTACATTCTCATCATTAAAGCTCATCAAACTACCATCACCATTATAATGATGACCAGTCATCGCTAATTTGTATCATTATCATTCAAGATTAAGAGAAATGCTCAGGCAATTTGTTTCCTTTTACTTATGTTAGTATATTAAGGATTCTAAAAAAAACAATTTAATTGTGAAAAATATTCACAATTAAGGTTTAATCACAATTCTGTTTGACCAGAAAGCGTTTAATTGTCCATGGTAATGATGATAATTGTTATCATCTTCTTCCTTAATAATAACTTTAGATAATAGGTTGTCCTTTTCTTCCGGTAATTTAGTAATTAATTTCATCAACAACAGTTAATCAAGTGAAAGTGTTTCTCCCAAATTATTATCAAAATTAATTATCTCCATCTAATCAATTTATCTTTAATTGTTATAACCATTCCAACGATATGTAAATAACAATTAAGCTTCAAGACTGTTCATTTAAATGTATCATTCCTATTACGATGTATTATTAATGATAATCCACTTAATTGTGACAATAAGATGCAAAACAATTAACCGTTTAAACTGAATAATATATCTAACAATTTAATATATTATTTTCATGATATTTATTATTATGACAAAAGGCATTTAAAAAACAAATTAGTCTATTTGAATGATTATCATGATAAATTTTTTTTTTAAAATTGATTTTGTCATGAATTACAATCAACTGGCAATTGGTTTAAGGTTGAAAGGGTTAAGAGTGTAAAAGTTTAATTTGATTTGACTTTGAATTTAGATGATCAATTGATTGTGATCTTGATTTTCTTTAGGTGTTATATCATCAGGACAATTATTCCGATCAACGTTGAACTTGTTCACCAGTTTCCAAGTTTCAGTTATCACAACAGAGGAAAGAGATCCCATGGAAATACCTGGAACCACTTTGTTCACTGTGGCCTCATCACTGAAATACTTATCGAAGGCCGTTATGGGCTTACTGAATAAGCTGAATTGGTCTCAAGCGACTTTGGTTGTTTCGGATGAGGTTCCGCTCTATTATACCAAAGTATTGGAAGAAATCGCTTCCAAGGTTAGATTTAATGTTCAAAATTCACCGATCGAATCGACTATCGATTATCCTAACGAAGAAAATAAGAAACAAGATTCGAATAATAATAATAAGGTAAGTCACTTTTTCTGTTGATTTTTTTTTTCGAAACCGGAAATTAGCTCGGTTCTTCTCAGTCTTGATTAGTATTTCCGATAATCAATCAATAAGTTCAATTTGCTATCATATTAAAATAAAGAAAAACAATTAAATAACTTGAGCAATAATCTGAAAGTTAAATATTGATCATTTGAAAAACTAATGATTTATTTACTTTTCTCATTTTTTTTCAATAGTTATTTGATTGTTGACTTAATTGTTGAACATTTTCATGATTATACAACTTGATATTTCACCTTTTTCCCCATTGAAACATTGTAATACCTTTTAAACATTCAATAGGCTATTCAAACTGCGAAACAATTAAATTTTGACAGAAAACTTGATTGTTTACCAAACTTATTACTAAATTACAACTTAACTTAGTTAACTAATCAATCAACCGACGATTAATATTAATAATTTCACGAAAAATTGAATGTTATCAAAAAGAAACTGTTGTTATTATTGTTTGTTGATTGTGAACAATTAATTTTTCCCATGAAAAGACAAAAGCAACGAAAGATATTTATATTAATCGTCAATACGATTTAATGATTATCGTTAACTGTTAATATGTTTATCAAGAAGGGAATCTTCAATTAACTAATAAGGATATTGTCTCGGTTGAAATAACTTCCCTTTACAATTGATTGATTGTCTTTTAATATAATGATCATTATTGTAATTACTGCGATTGAGTTGATGATTATCATTATTATTATTTGAATCAGTATTTGGATAGTAAACAATTAGATTAACAGTCGTTAAAATTTAAAGGAGAAGGGGAAGATGTTAATGATTAACTTAAACAATTAAGAAAAACCGAAAATAATGGAAAGTTTATTTCAACTAAATTAACTTAATTGTTATCGTGTTTTTTTCAGTGAAAGTTAACTTAATTATTAGTTTCTTGTCATACAATTAAAAGTAGTAACTTTTTTTTTCATCATTCACTGATTGTTTTACTATGAAAGTTCATTATCAAAATCAATTGAGACTTACTAATTAATCGTCCCACTAAATTAGATTACGATGATACCAGTTAATACAATTGTTTCATCGTAATAATTTTAATTCAGTTTCAAGTTTTTACCTCTTGTTTTGTATTAACAAAGTGTTGGTAGCCTTCAACAATCAAATGCTAATCTAATTGTGATTAGATTTGATTATTTACCTTTCAAATTGTATTTTTATTTTCGAGTGTCAACTTGTAACAATTATTAAGTTCTCAATCAATCAACAATCAACAATCAATAATTCAATGACCAATATAATACTTGTAATATCTAATTCTTAATGATGATTACCTTGATTGTAGATTTAATTAATTTCAATTACAATAGATTAGCCTGAATTTGCTTACCTACAAACAGACCTAAAGTTATAATCAATTGTGATTATAAATATTAATCTATTCCCAAATAATCAAGAAGATTATATTAATAATATATAGTGAGAGAAAAAAAATTAATAATAGTGACAACAATTAACTAATAACAATAGAATAAGAAAAATAACCAATTTAAATTACCAATAGGATTGAATATGAGATGATTTTAAAATCAATGATCAACTGTTGCTATTGTGTTGAGTTAACAATTGATCAATTTCATGATGATTGATTTCAATAAGCCGATGATTAGTTAATCATTATCTTCTCATACGGAATTGTTGGCACCGAGTCACAAAATTGAGCACCAACTTTGATTGGTGTGCACTTTTTTGTCGGTTCCTGTCACCTTTGCCAACAATAACAAAGTGATAATATTTTAGGTTCATAATGATTAATAATGTTTATTAATTAATTTCTTTTCCAGGCAAATGTTAAGAATACGATTCTATTCTTGAGTCCAGAAGAAACATTGAAACTTTTCTCTAGTCTACAAACTGTTGTTCCTCCCGAATCCGAAGATTTCGATTGGATTGTGGTCACAAGTCAAGATATTTCGAGTCAAATCACAAAGTTGTACAGTCCAAAAGGATCGTCAGGTTGTCACACTAAACCCGTTTACCTGATTTTACCTCAACATGAAGCAACACCAGAATTACATGGCTTTCTATCAGCTGAATTATCTTCAATGGGAGATTCAATTGATCCACTATTTCGTGAGCTCCTTGAGTCTGCATCATTTTCTCAAGCATCCAATGATTCATCTTCATCTTCATCATCTCATAATCTTTTCTCATCGATAATTAAATCCGTTTGGTCCTATGGATTAGCATTGAAATCCTATGAAAGGAAACATTGTTTACCAAAAGGCTCTTCATATGATTGCTCACCTACCCAAGGAACATCATTAGTTAATTTAATACAATCTGAATTGACTTCTCTTGATGGTAAAATTAACGAGTCTGGATTCGCATCACTTGATGGTTTCAAGTTAAAATTTGATGAAGAACATTATTTACAAAGTAATCGTTATGGATTAAAAGCAATCACTTCTAATTGTCAGGTAATGGACATGGGATATTTTGAAGATGGTGTTTTGTTCAATCGAGAGCCGAGACAACAACAAACCGACCAATCAGCTGATAATGTTCCTAGACCAGCGGCGGGAGGACAATTCATCTCAGTTTCTCGAGATGAGGACTTTTTCGAGCCAGAATCTCCAGCTAGTTCACCAAATTCTGGTGCCAATCATTTACCAGCATCATTGATTGCTGAGGTATCGAAACTTAATAAAGGAGTTGTTGGTAATAATAATAATTCATCATCAAGTGGACAATTACCAGGATCATCTTATGGACGGCCTTACATTAAACCTCTGCCCTCTGATTATGTAATGAGATTGAGACCAATGGCCTCAGGGGTTGAAACAAAATCATCTTCAGGTGATAAAATATCATCACCTCATCATCATCGTTCAATAGAACCGGGTAATAGTAAACAAATGATTGAAAGAAATACAATTATCCGAACTAATCGTTTATCAAGCGCCAATGATGAGATTGTACGAAAACGATACAGTTCATTTTATTCCTGGTTAGGACATTCATGGACGGTGACAATTATCTCTCTCACCATAATTGGAATCCTAATTTCTTTATACACATTCACTTATATCCTCATGAAATCATGCGAAGGAGCCTTCAAGAAATCCAACCAAGATCTGGCCACTTTTCACATTCTATCAATAATAATTGTTTATTTCGGTGCAATGTTGTAAGTTGATTGAATTAGAATTTACTTTCAAATCGATTAATTGTTCAACCTTCTTAATTAACAGGTATGTCTTTCCACCAACGATTTTAATGTGCTCTCTAAGGACAAGTATTCACAGTATATCATGTACCATGTTATTTGGAAGTCTACTTCAACGGGGAATGTACCTGAGAGCCCAAAAGTGGATTGGACTCGGCGGGAAAATATCGAAGCTCAATCAATGTTTAACTTTATTGTTTATTATCGGAATCCAATTAGCATTGGAGTTACAACGCTGGGGGTAAGTTGTTTTATCCTTGAAACCAATTCACCTCAGTTTCGTTTTGGGATTAGAAACAATTTACTGATTGTATTGATGATTTCTAGCTCAATGTTACAATCGATAACTCTCTTTATTGGTAAATTGGGTTCATGATTAACTTTTAACAACTTTCTTCACCATTTAACTCTTAATTGCTTCTTATAATATAAATTTTTTTTTACAATTGAATCTTCGTTACCATAACCTTCATCTTTTTTAGGTCTTGTAATAATTTTTTAATTGTGTTACGATTGACATGGTTAATTTATTATCGATTAAATTTTAATATAAAATGAATGAAGGTGATAAATTAAATGACGCGATTACAGTTATTATACAAATGGATTAAGCTTAATCCCATTAATAGAAACAGTGACACAGATTATTGTTACTTAATCATATTAATAAATCATCATTTTTATGGGCAATTAGATAATTTAAAATGTGTTTACTTTTGAATCTTTTTTTTTCTTCTTGTTGCTGATTAACTGGATCACTTTTACTAATTGATTTTCTTTAATTATTTTACAGGTATGAATCTCCTTGGTCTAATGATGCTCTTTACCGTTTACCTAAGGAGTGTTCACCCTCCTCCCAGGAGTATATTTTATCACAATCATATTTAATTCTCATCAGTACATTATTGACCTTAGTCTCTTGGTCAGCTCGAAATCAACCTTTCGCCTTTAAGGATGGTAAACATATTTTCATCACAAGTACAATAATATTTCCTGTTTATATTTTTTCAGTCATTTTAATTGATAATTTAACTGAGACCAGTGAATCGGCCTTTGGCCTGCCATCTTCAATACTATCGGATGGTTTATCAACGGATACTTCTGGTCATCCTCATTCTCACCATCATTCACAATCAATTTCCACCTCATCATCTGTATTACCTTCATTAGCATCAACAAATTCCAGATTACCTGGAAATCGTATTAACCTTGAAAACTATGCCATTTATCGTGATATAGTTACATCTTTCTCGATGATCTTAATGGCCTCCGCCTCTTTGTTTGGTATATTTGGGCCAATCATTTATACTATTCAAAAATACGGTATTTTACCACCGAAAAATGGTTCGTATGCTGAATCATTATCAACCGCTTTTACCCTTTTCCGTGGGCTTGAAGGTGGTGGAGGCGGTGGCGGTGTTGTTACCAGTGGAGGTCGAGGCTCTGATCATCGAGAAAATAGTCTATTAGATCACTTATCGAACATCGATAGCTCAAGTAACACCACTGATGGATCACTAAGCCGTAGTGGAAAAAATAAACTTACCAAAAGATCGGACATTTTCCCTTATATAATTGGACCGACGGCTAATTTTAAGTTTGGCCTGAAACCGGGAATGCGTGAAAGAACCAGTTGTCCATTTAATCACTGTCATAATCATCTTAATTGTAATTTTGGCGAATGCTCTCATCTGGAAAAAGGGTTAATTAAAAATCCTCTTTACGATGATCAAGGTTTTCGATCAGCTTATCCATAGAATCCCGCAAATTGGATCTAACTGATTGGTCGTTATGTTCATTTTCCGTCTCGATTGTCTCTCAGTGGACATTTCTTGTTACTCTTTCATTGATTTGCAACATCATTTTTTATTAATCAGCACCTTTTCTAATAAAAATTCCCATAAACACTCATGTTAATTAATACTTATGATGAAAAACATTAATTTTCAATCAATTATAATTTTGTTGTTCCAAGGGATAGAATTGCGATCCATCAATCGATAAAGTAAAGTTCAAAAAATAAAAAATCGAAAAAATTAATTATCTTTTCGGACTAAGGCCATTTTCCGATCAACGAAAAATTTAACACAAGTTTCGAGAATTTTTTCAAAATTAATTCTAATTTAATTGATATTTCTTTTCTAATTAAATTTGATACTATTTTATTCATCAAAGTTTCGTTAACGAAAAATCGTCAATATAATTATCTCTCTCTCTCATTAATAGTACAAGTTTACTTCTAACTATTTTCTCTATGCTCAAAGTTTAAAACTTTCCAATAATTCTTTTTCTTTTTTAAACTCGAAATGAATTATCATAAATTGTGCAAAAAAAATATCTTCACCATTGCTCCAGGGATTCTTAAAAACTTTGTTGTAGTTTGTGATTTAAATTTTAAATGTTCAATATTAAAAAATCAAGTTTGAACATCAAAAGTTTTTATGCCCTTGGAGAGTTCATCGTTATTGACCAGGATCTTTTTATCTTTCTAACTACTGGTAAGTAATATCTTTAATCTCAATCGTTACTCTGAAATTTAACAAAGTGTTCTTTTTCATTAGTCAATAGAAAGCAAGATATTACATGTTACGCGAAAACTTCAGAGCTACCTGAAAAGACAAAAAATTTCGTTCGTTATCAGATGAATTATTTTCAAGAATCAAAGCAATTAACACCGCCTCACCTACCGATAGGAGCAGAAACTGCACCTTATTCATTGGAACCCAAATCTGGACCCGAATCCGAACCTAAAACTATACCAGAACAAGAACCAGAACCAGAACCAGAACACAGTCTAATGTACGCGATATTCAATCGTGGAAACCTCAACCTAAAAGATTGTGATCGATTCATATTCGAAAATTTCTAGAAAATTTCTATAGCCGGCAAACAGAAGTAATAAATAACTACAAATGTTTGATTCACTAAAATTCCTTCAGCAAAAGTGTCGATTGAAGATCATCTATTTTCTAACTTTTTCATTTGTAATTTGCTTGTGGAAATATTATAAATAGTCATCGGAATATACGACGACACATAAATAATAATAGACACTTTTAATTCAAATTAATCATCGGTATGGAACAAAACGGCCAAAAACAATTTGTGAGAGAAAGTGAGAAAGATCAATTTCTATCTAATTGTTGATCAATTGCCGGCTGATAATAAGTCCAATTGGACAAATGCATGAATTTGAATTTAATTGTTGATCAATTTATGGCTTCATATGTTATTATAAGTCAGAGATTGATGAAAATCATGCATGTATTCACTCTAAAAGGTGTTTATTAGCAATATGTCTTCTTATATTGCGGTAACTATTTTTCGTTTCACCGCAAATACATTTCAAATAAAAAAATCCAAAAAAAGATGCTCTTCAACATTATACTTTTTCTTATCAAAGTTACACACTGATCTCACTGGAGATTCATAGTTAGGTGGTGCTGATGTGGCTATTCCAGATTTGCCCATAGCACTCAGAATTTCTTTCGAAATTTACACTTGCGAATGTGCTAGAAAAATATCCACATTTCATTTGCTTGAACTTTTTGAGCCTTTGAAATTTTTCCAACCATCGCTTTAGTATTTTTTCTCCATATAAATAATCAAATTCTGGAGGTAGGCTCTTCATCAATAAAGCCTCTTTGAACTACCTGAAAATAGAAAGATGAAAGAAAAGATGAAAATTGGTAACCCATTTACTCTGTGAGATTGAATCAAAATGTACTTACCAGTGGATAAATAAATGCACTTTTCTTTTCCAATCATTAATTTGTCTCCAACTTGATATTTTTCTTTGTCAAGTTCAACTGCTGAAAAAACTTTTTTTTGCTGTTTGAATCTAAGAATAATATGAAAGACATTTTAATTTCACAGATAAGTAAGTTTATAATGGCGGAGAAAGATAGTGATAGCCAGCAATTGATATACTATGCGGCAGAATTCGTAGATTGATTCAAATAGATTGTGCAATTGGACTATTCATTTAGCCGGAGTTTGTACAACAATTAACGAAAGTTTCCATTGGACAATCAATTTATTTGAAACTTTCGTTAATTGTTCATCAATTTAAATAGATTTTAAATTAATTGTTGATCAATTGCCGGCTAATTGATTAGTCCAATTTCACGATCAATTCGTTTAAAACTTTCATTAATTGTTGATCAATAACTGGCTTAATAATCAGTTCAATTGGACTTGTATTTACTGATGAATGATTATTGCAACAGTTTAATCAGATTCTAGCAAAGTAAAACTTTATTTATCCATTGCCATAAGAAATTTCACAAAAAATTCTGGATAAACAGGTTAATACAGTTAAATATGTTAGAAAAAAAAACATTAAGCCTCATTGTTAATCATTGTTATCATTTAATTTAAATTAACGAATTTAAAAAGTAGCTCCAAAGTGTTCATCTTTTGTTTTCCTGTTGCTTTGATTGAGTTTCTGTCTTGAAATTTTAAGCAAATTTGTTGTTTAACCAAATTTAGGACCAATTGATGAGGTTCCACTGGACAAATGATTATTACCACCAAGGCTCATGGTTGGATTATTAGCAAGTGGATTTAATGAACTCATCGGACTGATCACTGGAGATACATTTGGCTGGATTGATCCAATTAAATTTATATTTCCCATATTGGCTGCTAATTGGTTCATACTTGGTGCATTATGTTTCTCGTATTTAGCTGCTAATAAATTGTCAACATTAATGTTGACATTTGAGCTGTAGCTGGACCAGGTATTGTTACTATTACCTGGTCCAGTAGTTGAAGTTAATGATAAACCTGTTGGTTTATTAACACTTCCAGGAATGTTATTAATTAAGGGATTCGTTGGTGATAATGAATTAATTGGTGTAGGCTGAAGTAAAGGTAATGATGACGGAAATTGTAAGCTTGCATTAGTAGATATATTAACATTGGAAGATGGAGATGGACCAGTTAAGAAAGGATTAATTGGATTGAGTAGAGGATTATTAATTCCACTTTGATTCAAACCAATAGTAACACCACCAACTCCACCGCCGAGTAAACCATTATTGGTATTAATGAGGCCAGAAGTTGTTGTAGTTGTAGAACTATTGTTAAATAAATTAATTCCAGTTAATTCGCTATTTAACAAATCAATTGAGCTTAAGGGATTATTGTTAACATTTGATGGTATCGGTGTAACAGTAGATGCTTTTGATTGAGCTTTCAGATCAAAGGAAGAGTTTAAAAGAGCATTGTTTACACCCGAAGAAGGCGTTGTTAACGAAGTTGAGGCCGAATTAGCGGTTGGTGTAAAACCGAAAGCAAAATCTGCAAATTCATCAGTTATTTTTGATTCTTTTTGAATACTCGTAGTTAAGGTTGCTGCTGGTGCTGGTAAAGTAGTTGCTTTATTGTTATTTCCACCAAAACTGGTGAAATCTGCAAATTCATCAGTCATTTTCAATTCTTTTACTTGGTTAGTAGAAATTGTTGTTTTTATGTTTCCATCACAGTTTCCAAAACTTGTAAAATCAGCAAAGTCATCAGCTGTTGAGTTAGGGATTGTTGTTGTTGTTGTTGTAGTTGGAGTGGTTGTTATGCTTGAAGCTGGTTTACTTGGTGAATTATCACTGATTCCACTAAATATATCATCCAATAGATCTTTACTCTTTTGATTTGATTCGTTTGTTGTTTCAACATTATTGCTAATTACACTGCCTATTAAACTATTATCATTAGAGTTATTGATTGTTTGGCTTTTACCATAATTCGCTGCAGCACCGAGATCAATTTTACGGCTTGGCTCAGTTTTACCTGATCGATTTGATGGACGACTCTCACTAGATGGTTTACTAATAGTCGATGGAGCAGTAATAGTGGTCGGTGAAGATTCACTACTACCACCGCTTCCAGATTGTGGTTGATTTGATTTAGAATTAGTATTGTTACTACTTTTGTAGCTATTGAATTCTGAATCACCATCTTCCGGTTCACTAGTATCATCATCATGGAATCCACCTGATTTAGATTTGGAACTTGGTTTACTACTTTCGCTTTCCTCGTAATCATCGAACGATCTTCTTGGTGTATCCGACCAACTATCACTGAAATAATATTCAAAATAAAAAGAGAAAAAGTGAAACAAGATTAAATTAGATCATTCAAATAATTAGATAATTGGTAAATTTACCAAACAGATATCAAGTATCATGTTTAAATAGGGGAAGGAGTAACAAGTTAATATTTCATTAATCTAAATTAAATCAGAAAAAAACAAAACAAATAATCTAATCATTGTGACATTGAACTAACAAATTATCTCAACCTAGTTTTGATGAAGATACATTGATTAATTGTAACATTATATATATAATTAAGCAAGAGTTATTAAAAAGAGGGTGTTGTTAGATAATCAAATTGCCTTCAGAGTGAAATGTTAGTTGGAAATGGAAACTAGATACGAATGAAAAGCTTAAATAATGGAAACAATTAACACCTATTGAGATAAAAGAAACACCAATTTCAAAAGTATTTTTCTCTCTTTTCATCATGATTTATCATCCATTCAATTTTGTTCAGTTCTTCCTCTTCCACTTGAAACTCCACTTACAATCCTGTGTTTCTCTCTCTCTCTCATTTAACATGATCTTTTGTTTCTTGGTTAATTTTGATTGTTGGTTACTAACTAAATATTAAATTGACAGAGTGATAAACATAATCCAAAATTGATACGACAATCAGATGATTACAAGGAACAATTACAAGTTGATTAACTAGGTAACATACACAATATACTATAATTATTATAACTATTAAATATCCTTGAGAATCTCAACTGAACACACACATAAAGGGAGAGAGAGAGAGAAACATTGAGAGGTAATAACGTTAGCAGGGGATAATTAGGTGTCTTTTGAAATGAGAAGAAAATCTGAATAACTGATTTGTTCAATTAAGTTATGGATTAGTAGTGGTGATGTTGATTGAATGAGAAGATTAGAAGATTAAATTTACCGTGAGGGAAACATTGATCCAGATGAGACACCAATGTATTTGTCTTTAGCTTTTTTAGCCTTTTTTCGTTCATCTCTTAATTTATCATCATCTTGGATGAATTCAATCAATGACTTAGCTCGATGTCGAATATTTATTCCCATATCTTTACCATGTTCATCGACAAAGGTATAATTCTCCAAACTTCTCAGATCATAAATGTGCTCCCTTGCACTGGTTATAACTCTCTCAGATCCATATTTGATGAGATAGTGAAGTAATATCAACGATTTGTATGTTCGCCTCCAATTACGACGATTATCTTGTAACATTCTTTTCCATAGCATTCCCATAACTTCGGGAAATTGATCGTATGAGAAGGTGTATGAGGCCAATTCTTGCATCAATGATCCTGTTGGACCCCAAGCATCATCATTAGTTGCTTCCCTTACTTTACCCTCAATCTCGGTGTAATTCATGACAACATTGGTCCTGTTTAAAAGGAAATAGAAACATTAGAAAAAAGGAAAAAAAAAATTAGCCAATTTCTTTTAGTTTGTAAGGACTAATTACATAAACAAACGAAGCAAATAAAACAAGCTACATATGAATCAAGGTCTTTTTAAAAAGCAATTTACTTGTAATGTAAATCATTTTTCAAATGGTTTGCTAGGCCAAAGCATATAAACCGGTAATAACATCATCACTTGAAGAAAGAGCGTATCTAGGAGGATTGATTAGCTGATTTTAACTAATTCGCCAATCACTGTAGAGGTGAACACTATTAGTTGATCTAATTTTTTTTCTTCTTCTTCTTCCTTTGCTGCTTTACCATTTTCACCATCAAGTTAGAGTGAAAATGGTCAAGTTACAATAGAAAAGAACATATCAAAAGCTCTTTTTTTCTCTATACCTTCTATCTTTAAGGTGACGACGACGATGATGATGATGATGATGGTGATGATGAGCTAACAAAAGAAAAGCTACTTACATTTTATCAGCTATTTCTCTGATTTTCCACATACTGAGAGACGTTTTCTTTTCAATCCAAAGTGAACCAAGGGAAGAGAAAAACGAAAAAGGTTACACGAGAAGGTTCACTTTAAGCCGGTAGATTTAACCACAGAGAGAAAACAAATAAATCCAACAAGATTTGAGAGAGAGAGAGAGAAAGATAGAGAATGAAAGAGAAAGAGAGTATCAATATTATGTAAAGAGAGAGAGAGAGAACAAAACAAAAAAAGGAGAATCTCAATTAATCCCTTGAAATAAACAACAATCAAAACCAAATCAACGATAAATATTACAAGATGTTAATTGTGATGATGAAGATGATTAATTAATGGTGAAAATTATAAAAATATATTAAGAATAATAAATTATAAAAAAAAAGACCTAAACAAAAAAAGAAATGAGCTTCAACAATCAAGTATCAGAAAAGAAGTAAATGAAAATAAAGAGAAAGAAAGAGAGAAAAGATTATGTAGACAGAGAAAAAGACAGAGAAAAAGGTAGAAAGAGAAAAGAAATGAGAGAGAGAGGAAAATATTTGGTTAGAAAATGTTAACAATGAGACTTGATTACAATTAACTTTGTCAACTTTTTTGTTATGATTAACCTGCGAACAATTAATTTATCATTAATACTGAATAATTGATAATCTTAATCAATCAAGAGAAACAATCAATTGATTAGTTAATCAATCAGAGGGAAATTTATTCACATCCATATAAGTGTTTATCTTTTGTTTTGAAAGAAAATTTTTTACTTTTTTTTTTTTTGTAATTGTTACTTTAATTCTGTGACCATTAATTGATTAATTATGACAATTTTAACCTTGATTCATTTTAATTGTTCTGTTAATTGTGAATCTATGGTAAGTTAATTCGTTCTAATTGTTGAAACAACATCACTTGTGTCACTTTCTTTGTTTACATGTTGAGTTGATGGCGTTTGTTTAGTTTGTTTTTTTTTCTTTGGGTTTCAAAGTAATTAAATCGCAATTTAACTGTGACAATTAACTTGTTTTGTTTTTTCGTTGATGTTCGTTTGAATTTTGACCTGGTCATATATCAAGTAATTGATTTTTTTTCTAATTGATAATCGTTGGTATCAAATGTTTTCACTCTTTTTTTCTTGTCTACATTGGAGGTTGTTGACAATTTGTCTTCTTTTAATTGTTGATTGTTCCACTATCAATGACAATTTATTTCTCCTCATCTACTTGTCTCCATGAGTAGCTGTTTCTATTGTGTCTGTGAGAAGATGATGAAAATCACTTGAGAGAACACCAATTGTTCAATTCATATTGATAATCATCTTAAAACATTCTCGTAGATATTAAGTAAGAGAGAATTTTTTTTCTTCTTCTTTTCTCTTTTTCTCATTGAGATGAATAATTGATTCCTTGGGTATTCCTCAGCTTTTCATTTTCTCTCGTATTCCATAACATTTAACAAGATAATCTACTGGATAATCGTTTTCCATTTCAAACAATTAATTCTTATTCACGGAAATGTTTCAAATCTCAAGGTGAATGTAAATGATGATTGTTGTTGTTTTCAAGTTTCTCTTTTTTTTCTCCATCCAAACAATCAGGTCAAATTCAAACTGATCTTTTACCAACACTAACAGGTACAAATCGACAAGGTCAAATTAACTTGATTCTAAACATTTGAAACATTAAATTAAAATCAACTAACAATTTAAATTGAACAAACAAACAAAAACTTTCAACTCGTTGAAATTTATTTTCACCGATAGGTGATGATTTAACATTCGACTACAGGGGAAGTACTGTAGCTCCTCCAAAAGGAGGAAAGTCGTACCAGACGACTTGGGGAGGGAAAATTACAATAAGATTGAAATACAAAAATTTAGGTAAAGATAAACCATCAAGTGAGAATTTATACAATAGAATTGATGATTATTTTGCTTATCCAAATGTCCAATTTGATGATTGTAATTAGGTACCAAGTGTTGAGGTGAAATTAAGATAGTGTCCAAATGGTTAACTCATTAGATTTGATATGAAAAGAGAAAATAATATTAGAATTTCAAACTTTTAAATGACTTTTAAAGGTATATGTGCAAGGTGGTTTTCAGTAGGTTTATTGTTGTATTTTAAGTATAGTATTTAAAGTGTGTATTTAAAGTGTGTATTTAAAGTATGTATTTGAGATAGAGAAGAAAGTTGTATCAAATTACAAATAAAACTTACCAAGAAAACAAAAATGGTTGAGATTATTACGACGCAAAAATAGCTCGGTTTTAAGAGTAACAAAAACAATAAAAGAAACTGTTGATGTATCACAATCCTGGTATCAACTTGATCTGTGTGACAAGATGAACAACAATAACATAAAATTCAATTTTAAATTCACTGGTAAAATTAATTAAATTAAAATTTATCCGGAGCGAAAAAAGGTAAACTATTTGAAACGAACAACCAAAGTGGCGACATCTACATTTCTTGGAACTTCTCTTTTCCCCTTTACTTTCCCCCTCCTACTTTTTTCCATTTTACAGTAGCGACACTTAGCGGTTTTCGTTGTAAGAATTTGAGTGTTTTGGTTTAGATTTTTAAATTTTTGATTATCATTTAGTTGATGATTAAGATCATTGATTGTTTTTTATTTCTAATCATCGCCAGTTAACTAATCATTTGTGTGTGTTTCTCTTTAACAGTTAATCATTTACTGTTAACCTTTTACATTTCTTATTTACAATTTATTTCTTCTCTTCCAAAATGATTCTATTCTTGTTTAATGTTCTCATCTTTGTCTTGGAATTTTTTCAATTAATTGGTAAAGTTGGTTCGGCTCTTTTTGAGAGATTTAAACAATTTATATTCGCCCAACCTAAGAAATTAATTAAAGGTCAAACTGTTCTGATTACTGGTGGTGGTGGTGCCATTGGAAGACAATTAGGTAACATTTAATTTGTTCTCTTAAATTGCCTTGTTTTCTATTCTTTTTTTTCTTTTCTTCTCTATCTGTTTCTATAGCTATTAAGCTCGGTAAAGAAGGAGCCAAAATAATTGTTTGGGACATAAATGCTGTAAGAATAATTCTATTTATCATGTTTATTGTTCTATTTATGGTTTTATTCTGCTTCTAATTGTGTGTTGTGAATTAATTTACAGTATAAAGGTGAAGAAACCATTAGAGAAGTGAGGAAAAAAGGAGGTCTAGGTTTCTTCTATCAGGTTGATGTGAGTGATTTTAAGGCTGTAGGTGATGCATTAGCCAAAATCTATGAAACCTTGGGATCCATTGACATCTTAATTAACAATGCTGGTATTTTAAATGCATTACCACTCACTCAATTGGGTGAACGTGCCATTACTGATACAATTAGAATAAATCTTTTGGCTCAAATTTGGACCACCAAACAAATCTTACCAAGAATGATCGCTTCTGGTAAAGGACAAATTGTCGCCATTTCGTCAAATTCTGCCATCTACGGAAAAACCTTCCTGACAGATTATTCGTAAGTAGCCTTTAATTTTCTTCCTGGTTTATCAATCAACCATCAATGTCACCAAACAATTTAATTGAATATTTCCACCTTCTTTTCTCTCTTTCTTTATTTTCTCTATTGTTAGAGCCTCCAAAGCCGGAATTATTGGATTCATGAGCTCATTAGAGGAGGAATTACGTTACCTTAAGAAAGATTTCATCAAATTAACTACAATCTGTCCCGCAGCAATTGATTCTGGTCTATCTCAGGCCGTAGAGACCCGTTTTCCTCGACTTTTACCCATTCTCGATGTTAACCGAGCCACCGACATCATGGTTGACAATATTTTACGAGAAGATGCTTTTGTCATCATGCCTACTGGTTACAAAATACTCTATTATATTCTCAGGTAATTAGCTATTCATACACATGCGAATGTAAATACCACTGATTCTAATAATTTCCAATATTTTTTTCAAGGAATTTACCTCGAGAAATTGAAGTTTTAGTCCGTGATTTCATTGGCAATACTGTTGAAGCTAAACACGTCGATTGATTTCCAGCAAATTACTTATGATCAAAGCGAATCAACCAACACAATTAATTGGTGATTTGATTAAAGTCTTTCACATACTCTCTTGATTGTACAGATTGTTTTTTTCCAATTTTAATTCCATTTAAGATGATCAGCTTTTTATTTCTTTTTATAAAATAAAAAATTACAAGTTTCAAGTTATAAATTCTGAAGGTGAAAATCATATTACTTATTAAAGAAATCGTAATGAATGAGACGATGAATGGTGGAACTTTATTTCTAATAAATACAATATTCGTTTGTCGAACATTATTGTTACAATTGGATCGACTATTTAAACCGTTAACTTTTGTTTTCTCAAGTGAAATTAATGATCAATGGGATCAAAAGTTTCCATTGTTTCGTCTGAACGATTTCGCAGTCGAAATGTTCAATCCATTGATCAGATCCATTCGATTGGCTGTTGTGGTTTCATATTCATTTTCAATCCATTGACAGAATTTACTTATTACAATTAACATTTTAAGCGTTTAGACCCATTGAATTATCTTCCAATACATAAAACAATTAAGATAAACCCGGAGATTAAATTCTGAATCAGTTTATGAAAAAATTACTGTATGAAAATCACTTTTAATTGTAAGTAATGAAGGAGAAAGAAAAAATTAATTTAGTTTCAATTGTGTCGCGATCCTTTTTTGTTAAACCATTTCAACTGTTTTTACTAATTAATTGAGATTAATTATGAAAAAATTTCAATTCTTGAATCTATCTAACTTATTGGATTTGCAATATAATAAATTACTAGTTGATTTCTTTAAATTTATTAATAATTACTTTTAGTTTGTGGTTATCGACGTTTAGATCGGTGGGGTGAACGTGATCGTCTTCTGGGTGAACGTGAGTGATGATGTCGCTTATCCCGTGATGACCTGGGAAAATTAACGGAAACAATTTAAATTTAAGTTCAAATTGTCGGAAAATCGTAAGTCTAATAGAGGAACTTACCCTCGTCTTCCCTTTCCGTAGGGTGACCTTGAACGGGACCTTGATCTAGATCTTTTTGAACTTAATTGCCGACGATCGTGGTGATATGAGTGATGACTCGACGGACTTCGAGAATGGCTTATTCTAGGTGAATGAGATCGTGAACGTGAACGCGATCGAGAGTGAGAACGTGAATTAGAACGAGATTTAGATCGAGATCGAGATCTTGATTGACTATCTTCTTGTTCATTTAAATATTTTCGCAGCAATTTAGTTCTGTATTCATCAACCTGACTCTCAATCGATTGACTATTTTTCTTTGATTTTCTACTCGATTCAAGTTCATCTTGAAATTTCAACACTTTCAATTCAATCTCACGTAACTTAACTCGCCTTCCATCATTTTCATTAACAATCTCAGGTTTAAGTGAATCCATTACATTAGATCCACTGCTAAGTAAACATTGATTAGTAATACCAATAAATGGTGAACCATCAATTGGTTTACCGTCGATGTCATCGTCATCATCATCACAATCACAATCACCGCCATCGCCAAGTCCACTTGAACCACCACCAACACCACCACCGGTACCATCATCATGATTTGTTTCCAAACTTTCCCATTTTGATGTTGTCATCGCTGATTTTCAAAATTAAATCAGATTATTTAGAAGACAAAATGATTTGATTGTTTGATTATGAAAAGGAAAAAGTTCTAAGTTAATTAAATCAAATTAATCACGTTAAAAAAAACCTTGAAGACAACAGTTTTTCTACCTTGGGATTCCACTAAGTCAGGATCTACTGTTTCCCACTTTGATGGTTTGAATTTAGTGGTTGAAATGTTAATTGTACTTTCAAAAGGTGTACCATCAATAGTATCAATAGGAATACCATCGATGTCTGATTCTTCAACAGGATCTCCATCAATTTCTTTGCTATCAACTGCTTTTCTCTCCGAAGACTGTAATAATGCAACACACATCTTATTGAATTAATATCATTTATATATATTTCATTTTCCAAATGATAAAAAAAGTTATTTTCATACAAAATAAAAGTAAAAAGTTGATTGTAATTATTAGATAATTGACATAAAATACTTACACAATCTCGAAGATTTAAACCTAAAAATATATTTTGAAGTTTGATAAGAAAATCACTTGTGTAAATAGCCCAATCTTCCCAGGCTTTGAAACAATTCATAACTCGATGCTAATTGTGAAAGATATACAAGTTGTTGACAGTTATTATTAATTGTTCAATAGAATACATTTTGGTTATATAAAAAATATTAATTAAATAGTTTACAATAATTAGGAACAAAATAAGCCTAATGAGCAATGATAAAAGGCTTACCTTAAATTGTTCAGCTTTGAGTCGACCCTCTATTGCATTGAAACATTGATGAATATCTGAGAAGATGCTGGTTAATCGAGACTGAAATCTAAAGAAAAAAAAATAAAACAAAAACATTATGATTAGTAAATTAAAGTCTCTTTTTGGACAATTAACGGTGAAAATTTGATTACCCTTTTCGGTAGTAAGATGCATTGGAAACTTTTACACAACAGTTATGAAGAATATCAGAAATTAAGTAAAGTCTCGCGATTTTTTTATACAATGGTGTCTCTAAAATCGCTAAAGATTCCGCAATACAGTCCACAATTTCACCAGCGGCATCGGCATGTTCAATGCAATAAACCATTCCCTCGGAAATTTTGACTCGTTCAGGAGTTAAATCTCTCAAAATATCTTCAAGTTCTTCTCTTTGAACATCAGTCAAAATTCCTTTCTTTTGATTTTTATCTTTAAATTCTTTAAATCCTCTTTGCTCGTGTACATCATTTTCTATTGATCGGGATCTCGGTTTTTTCCATGGTTTCTTGGGTTCCGGTTCGTGTTCTTTTTCTGGAGATTTTTCTACAAGATGTTCAGGCATTCCCTCGAGGAATGGGTTCAATGGTGGTGGTTTCCATTTTGATCCTCCTTTAAATAATCTGAACTCTTCTGTTCTCCATTTACTTGGATGTTCACCCTGTAGAATTGAATAAAGTCTCCAACGATAGTATATATGAGCTGGACTTTGATTGTCAAATAAAAATCTAAATATTGGATTGTTAATCTCTTGGTTCATGATCATGGCTTCGAACATGGGACCTTCTTTAACCACGAACTCAATCATTCGATGAATTAGACAGAGAACAGTTCGATCTGTTGGAATAACCACTTTAACGGTTGCATTGGCTAAAACTTTCTCAAAATTTTTCCTGTCCTTGGGTGTAACCATTGGATATGCGACACCGGGAGGAGGAAGTTTATCCAGATCACTAGGATCAGGTTGAGCATTAAATGGAAGCCCTGACGGTGGAGGAGGCATTGTTAATTCCAACAATTTAGGAGGAATATAGATTGGGTGCGGAGGAATTGGCACAGCTTTTCCCCAGCCAAGTTTCATCTCATATCCTTGAATTTCTTTACCTAAAAATAGAAAAGAAGAATAGAGATAAAGTTTAAAAAAAGACGAATTTGGATTAAGAACAAAATTTTAAAAAAGAATAATAAACAATTGATTGAAAATTGAACAAAAAGAAAAGAAATTGAGTTTACCATTTAAAGCTTTTAAGGCTCTTTCACCATCTTTTCTACTCATAAAGGCAACGAAGCCACAATTACGATTTCGAGCTCGTTCCTCGTCCGATCGAGGCCACATAATCTTCACACTTGCCAATGGTCCATAGACACCAAATATTTGCATCAACTCTTTCTCTGACATCTTATAGTAAGAAAAATGGTTAAATAATGATTACAACAGAACAAGCGAATCAATTAGATCATCTTACTTTCGGATTGATATTTCCGAGGTAGATATTTGTTGTATTTGGATCACCAGTATCGAATGACCCATAATTTGATACAGTGGAACTGGAAGTGCGAACTTCCTCTGAAGAAAAAGAATTAAAGTGAGAAATGATAAGAATAATTAATAATTGATCCAAGAAAAGAAGAAAAAACTAACCTGATTTGGGGGCCAATTCGATTTCTTTTATTTCTTCCTTGACCATTAATGTTTTTAATCGATGTCTCTCTTCTCTCTCTTCTTGAATTTGTCGTAATTCTTCTTTGAAAAGCTCTAAATTACTTTTCTTTTTCTCTTTCTTTTTCCCCTATAAAAAGAATATAAAATATAAATAAGATTTAATTGTAACAGGAATAAACAAGTTTCTCTTGTACTTACCAATTTTTCCATTTTGGGTGGAGTAATAGATGTTGACTCGCTGGAGTGATAATTGTCATTTCTTTTCTTTTTTTCTTCCAATTCTTGTAGCTTATTTGGTTTGTAAACTTTAAGAGAATCCTTTTCCTCTACTCATTTCAAATTGATTTTGTTTTTCGTTCAAATCAAATAGTCAAATGAGTAATTAACAAGTTATCATTAAAATATATAAACATGGTTGAATAAAGAGTTACAAATGCGTTAAATTATCATGGAGTTAAAATTATTTAGACGATTAGTTTAAAAAAAAAGGTGAATACGTATAAATATATGTAAACATGAATCATTTTTATCAGATGGAAGATGAAAAATGAAGAAAATGAAAGATTAAAGAGAAGAGGACAGACTAAGACAGGAAAAGGCATAGAAATAAAAAGAAGAAACTAAGAAGAATACGGAAAATGTGGCAAGATGATGAGACAAAAGGATGGAAAAATAAAATCTCTCTCAAGACTCTGAGTGTTGGAAAAGTTGAAAAGCCTGACACTTAATTAAAGTGAGAATAGAAATGATAGAAAGCAGAATATTTGGAGAATATTTTTCATCAATACCTTCATGTCCAGAATTCATGACAGATCCAAGAACAAATAAACGTCCAACCGTCGGTGGTTTTTCAAAGGTTTCAACGAATTCTTGGTAAACCTTAGCAGCATCTTTTTCCTCTTGTTCCTTTTTATGTTTTTCCAATTCTTTTTTAGATAAAGGCTTTTTACTCACAAGATTGAAAGATTTTATCTTCCCTATACTGTTATCCGAATTCATGATCAACTGAATTCACATAGATAAACAAAATTGCAAATCAAAACGAAAATCAAACAAAAATTAGAAAGAGAAAAAAAGAAAAATTAATTGTAAACAATTAACAAGAAGCAATTAAGAAACATTTTCTCAATTTTGTTAAAAGCAAAAATTAAAAGAAAATAGAAAACCAAAACAAAGAAATCGAATTTGGAGCGCCACCTGTTGGAACAAAGTGTAACCTTTGGATTAGAACTTCTTTTGAATGAAAAAAAAGAGAAACAATAATTTTGGAATCAATTGGATAAATTGTTTATCTCTCTTGTGATCAATTAATTTACAATTTAATTTGTTATTCTTTTTTTTTTGTTTATTTCCAGTAATTAGTTACTTGTTAATTGTCTTTCTTCATCTCTCAAGTGCATCCAGCACTTTAGTTTGAGCTTGCGGGTAAAAGGATGGGCGGTTTATGGACTATGAATCACCAACAAGTAATACACTTAACTAATATTTACAATTAGCATAAATTGTGAGGTAAATTTAGTTACTTATTACTGATTGTCATGATTTTGTAACTGTCGTAATAGCTTCAGGTAAGTGCATATAAACATTAGTGATCATTTTATTACAACAAGTGATCTCCTCTTTTTAGCTAAATCATATAATCAATCTTATAATTTTTTTCTTTCTTTTTTCTCATTGGTTCCAATTATATAGATACAAATGTCCTTGGTGATTTTCTTAATGATTGGAATTAAAACAAAATCTAATCCAATCTGTTTTTTTAATCAAGGTTAAACTGATTAGAGTTTATATGTGTGTAAGTGAGATGTTTCAAAACATGAATCAAGTGCGTCCCTCCTTTCAAATGATCTTGATGATCAATTTCTGGTTCCAATTCCAATTTATACCTGAGTATAAATACATTTCTTTCATAATCAACAATCTTCACAATTACATGAATTACCGATCACATCACAATGTCACTAATTAAATATTTCTCTTTATCTATTGTTATTCTGTGTTTAGTTTGGTGTAATCTTTTCTACTCATAAAGGCAACGAAGCCACAATTACGATTTCGAGCTCGTTCCTCGTCCGATCGAGGCCACATAATCTTCACACTTGCCAATGGTCCATAGACACCAAATATTTGCATCAACTCTTTCTCTGACATCTTATAGTAAGAAAAATGGTTAAATAATGATTACAACAGAACAAGCGAATCAATTAGATCATCTTACTTTCGGATTGATATTTCCGAGGTAGATATTTGTTGTATTTGGATCACCAGTATCGAATGACCCATAATTTGATACAGTGGAACTGGAAGTGCGAACTTCCTCTGAAGAAAAAGAATTAAAGTGAGAAATGATAAGAATAATTAATAATTGATCCAAGAAAAGAAGAAAAAACTAACCTGATTTGGGGGCCAATTCGATTTCTTTTATTTCTTCCTTGACCATTAATGTTTTTAATCGATGTCTCTCTCTCTCTTCTTGAATTTGTCGTAATTCTTCTTTGAAAAGCTCTAAATTACTTTTCTTTTTCTCTTTCTTTTTCCCCTATAAAAAGAATATAAAATATAAATAAGATTTAATTGTAACAGGAATAAACAAGTTTCTCTTGTACTTACCAATTTTTCCATTTTGGGTGGAGTAATAGATGTTGACTCGCTGGAGTGATAATTGTCATTTCTTTTCTTTTTTTCTTCCAATTCTTGTAGCTTATTTGGTTTGTAAACTTTAAGAGAATCCTTTTCCTCTACTCATTTCAAATTGATTTTGTTTTTCGTTCAAATCAAATAGTCAAATGAGTAATTAACAAGTTATCATTAAAATATATAAACATGGTTGAATAAAGAGTTACAAATGCGTTAAATTATCATGGAGTTAAAATTATTTAGACGATTAGTTTAAAAAAAAAGGTGAATACGTATAAATATATGTAAACATGAATCATTTTTATCAGATGGAAGATGAAAAATGAAGAAAATGAAAGATTAAAGAGAAGAGGACAGACTAAGACAGGAAAAGGCATAGAAATAAAAGAAGAAACTAAGAAGAATACGGAAAATGTGGCAAGATGATGAGACAAAAGGATGGAAAAATAAAATCTCTCTCAAGACTCTGAGTGTTGGAAAAGTTGAAAAGCCTGACACTTAATTAAAGTGAGAATAGAAATGATAGAAAGCAGAATATTTGGAGAATATTTTTCATCAATACCTTCATGTCCAGAATTCATGACAGATCCAAGAACAAATAAACGTCCAACCGTCGGTGGTTTTTCAAAGGTTTCAACGAATTCTTGGTAAACCTTAGCAGCATCTTTTTCCTCTTGTTCCTTTTTATGTTTTTCCAATTCTTTTTTAGATAAAGGCTTTTTACTCACAAGATTGAAAGATTTTATCTTCCCTATACTGTTATCCGAATTCATGATCAACTGAATTCACATAGATAAACAAAATTGCAAATCAAAACGAAAATCAAACAAAAATTAGAAAGAGAAAAAAAGAAAAATTAATTGTAAACAATTAACAAGAAGCAATTAAGAAACATTTTCTCAATTTTGTTAAAAGCAAAAATTAAAAGAAAATAGAAAACCAAAACAAAGAAATCGAATTTGGAGCGCCACCTGTTGGAACAAAGTGTAACCTTTGGATTAGAACTTCTTTTGAATGAAAAAAAAGAGAAACAATAATTTTGGAATCAATTGGATAAATTGTTTATCTCTCTTGTGATCAATTAATTTACAATTTAATTTGTTATTCTTTTTTTTTTGTTTATTTCCAGTAATTAGTTACTTGTTAATTGTCTTTCTTCATCTCTCAAGTGGATGCACTTTAGTTTGAGCTTGCGGGTAAAAGGATGGGCGGTTTATGGACTATGAATCACCAACAAGTAATACACTTAACTAATATTTACAATTAGCATAAATTGTGAGGTAAATTTAGTTACTTATTACTGATTGTCATGATTTTGTAACTGCCGTAATAGCTTCAGGTAAGTGCATATAAACATTAGTGATCATTTTATTACAACAAGTGATCTCCTCTTTTTAGCTAAATCATATAATCAATCTTATAATTTTTTTCTTTCTTTTTTCTCATTGGTTCCAATTATATAGATACAAATGTCCTTGGTGATTTTCTTAATGATTGGAATTAAAACAAAATCTAATCCAATCTGTTTTTTTAATCAAGGTTAAACTGATTAGAGTTTATATGTGTGTAAGTGAGATGTTTCAAAACATGAATCAAGTGCGTCCCTCCTTTCAAATGATCTTGATGATCAATTTCTGGTTCCAATTCCAATTTATACCTGAGTATAAATACATTTCTTTCATAATCAACAATCTTCACAATTACATGAATTACCGATCACATCACAATGTCACTAATTAAATATTTCTCTTTATCTATTGTTATTCTGTGTTTAGTTTGGTGTAATCTTTTAAGGACAATTGAAACACGATCAGCTGGTAATTTAACTGAATTAGAAAGTGTAATCTATGAGGAAGACATTTATGACATCGACAGTTTAATTGATTCATCAAATTCTACCCTAATTGTTACCAATGTCAAGGATAGAAATGGTAAAGTTATCAAAGAAAAGCCAAATTTGGAGACCTGTCGTGCAATGGAAATCGAAGCCGATAAAAGTTTCAAAAAGCTATTCATGATTGGTGATAATTTTGTCATTCCTCGTAACGAATCAGAACTTCAAGTCTACTGTAAACGAGGTAAATCAGCGTTGAAAACAGTTACTCATTTTGGTAAATGTCTCAAACCATTTCCTCGTCAAGTGATGGGAATCATTATCCATGGAGGGAAAAAAACACTCAAAGAATATTGTAATGCCACCAAGGGTCGAACAGGTTAGTCTTAATTACTTTCCACTTTTCTCTCTCTCTCTATCTCTCTTGTAACACTAATTAACTTTCGTTCTCTGATTTGATTTGACAGAAATATTGAAACATTTAGAATGTGTCACACCGGAAACTTCTCAAATTTTCTACACCTCATTGGAACATGGTTTCCGTCGATTAGATTATATTTCGGATCATGTTAAAGATGAAGATTTATTGTCAACAATTTGTTGTACTTTCCATTTGATTTATGGTCAAACATTAGATTTGGTTCGACATCATTGCTCTAAATCACCTGATTCAACTGTTAAATTCATCAGGTAAGAAAGTTTATTTGATTCAACAATCATTCAACAATTAAAGGTATCGAAAACACATACAACCTTATTACTCACTTTTGTTTACCTTATTAATTGTTGAAAAATTAATTGATTACTTTATTACGTGTCCAGAAAGTATATTATGTGTATGGTCCATGATCCAATTCGATTGATTTTAAACAATTTAGAAAATCAAGTTTTCCCTCAAAAAATTTAACCCTTTCCATCAGTAAATGTCTAGGCCATTCAACCGTTGAGGTTAATTGGAAATAGTAACAGGAAAAAAAAGAGAGAGAGAGAAATGTTAAAACTTCCTTACCCTTAGGGCTTTTATTTTGATAAACTAATAGATACGTAACATGTTATTAATTAATCTCTTTTTATTTCAATTTATTTACTTCCTAAATTTCCCATCAGGACAATTGTTGACAATATCGCTAAAGACGTTCTTGATCTTGGTTGTAGTAAATGGTCATCTTTAAATTCATGCGATGTCCAATTATCTCAAATAATGGCGACCTTAAGGTCAATCCAACCACCGAATAACAATGTTGCTCAACTTGAGAAAAGATTCTTAATTGGACCGATTGTTTCAATTGCCTCTCGACTTGTCGCTTAATTTTAATCATTTCATCGAAATCAAAATTCTCACCACCGAAAACAAAATTAACGAATATAATTCCTCTTTCCACAAGAATAACAATCATTTTCTCCCTCTTTCTCTCTTTTCTCTTAGAAAATTCTCTAAACATGGAAAATTCGAATTTTTCAATATTTTTCGAATTTCGATTGAAAAAAAAATTCCATTTTTAGAATTCGAACATTTCAATTTTTTCTACACTCAAATTGTACGATCTCTTCCAAGGTCATTTATATGTATTCCAATAAATATAAATATCTTTCAACATTTCCAATTAATTGTTTCTAATTTGAAATAATTTTCTTTTTATTAATTACGTCTTTACTAAATTGATAACGACAATAAAACAATTATGGAAAAATATATTATAAATATATATGGAAAGAGAGATAAAGAGATTGCGATATTTTTTTCTTTGGATTTGTGACTAAGAATTTTGATTAAAAATTCTAAATAGAATTTTCAGATTTTCTAAACTGTGTACAGTATATATGAGTGTTTTTGTGGGGGGTGAAAGGTGAGATTATGACATTTGAAGGTATGATGATAAATATATATAAAAAGATGAGGTACGAAAATGGGTAAACAATGAAAGTGACCATGGGACAAGTGACAAAAGTTACATAAATAGATAATCGCTCTATATATAATTCAACTAATTAATAACATGTTGATTGTTTTTTTTTTAAATTGTTTTCTATGGTTTTGAATTAATTCAACGACTCAGAACCTGTTGATGTGTTTGCGGTGCTGGAAGAAGATGATGAAGTAAATGTTGGGGCTATTTTCTTAAAAATGGGTAAACGATCATCATCTTCGGCAAAAGCCATGGTGATTTCGTTTTCCTTATCCTCTGGATTCTCAGGCATGGGAATTTTAGGTAAGGTGGTTAAGACTTTTTCTAAAAGATCAGCGGGATCACCCTTTGAGTGAATAAAAGAACACCTTGGACCAAAAGAACAGAATCCTTGTTCATGGAAAGCGGAACATTTTTCAGTTTTATATTTGGGATGACGATTGGGTAAACATTTAAGTTCAAAGGCACCATGAGCAAAAAGGCATCGATCATCGTACTCACAATAGCCCAATTCTTCCCATTGTCGACATAATTCTGTCTTATAACGGGAAGGATGGTACATGATGTGTCCTTTTGGTGGTAGAGGTGGTCGACGTTTATCTTTGTTAAAAGAATCATTTGAATTCAAAGATGAATTAGATGAATAAGATCGGGAAATGGTAAAAGGTGTACGAGTTGTTGGCTCATTGTTGTTGAGGTGAGAAGCAATTTTATTAAAATTATCATGATTGATATTAAGATGGTGTTGTTGTTGAAGAGTATGTTGAGGTTGATGGCTGTACATTGATGTTGATGGTAAATGGTGGTGGTGGTGGTGAAGGTGAAGGTGGGAAACAATGTGGATAAAAGAGAAACGATGAAATATATAAGATTAAGACGCTACAGGGTGAAGGTGATAGGGAAATGAGAGAGAAAGAAAGAAAGAGAGAAAGAGAAGAGATTGTAAGAGTATGTGACACAATGGTGAAGATGATGATGATGACGATGATGATTATGGAAATGGTGGTGGTGTGGGGTGAAAGATATAACGGGTGATAACAAAGATGGAATTGAATTTTAAAAACTAACAACAGGGAGGAGGAAATGGAATAAAAAATTTTAGAATAGAAAAAAAGATGAATAATGGTAAAGAGAAAAGAAAAACACCTCAACAATTAATAAAAATAAACTCTCTTTTTTTTTTTTTTGTTGGTCACTTTTAGATGGTCACTTTGGATAGTACACTTGAAGAAAAAGGTGTTAAAAAATTGGACAACAACATGACAGGAAACAAAAAAACAACAAAGAAATTAATCTAAAACAAATGGTAATTAGTGTTTCAAGTGAATCGCAACCAAAGAGAGAATAGAATGAAAAAAAAGAACAATTTTCTTAATCTAAAATAAGAAAAGGGGAGAACAAAAAATTCGTTCTTTTCTTTTACCCAATACGAAATCAGCTGGTAGATTTAATCTTCTCTTTCTAACTGATTACCTTCCAATCAATTAATTGGTTTATTTATTGAAAATTTAAATTGTTCTTTTTAATCATCAACAATCATCCAGTTAAAATTGTTTTCGACATTTTCTCGCTCACACTTTTCCTCTGTCACATTAGTAATCAAATACAATTAAAGTGATTTGATGATCTAAGCAATGGACCAGCTGATGGGCGATTCTCTTAGTACCTTCTCATTTTATGGTTAACATTTAATTGTGATTTCGTTTTCTTTTTTTTCTGTTTGATTGTCTAATTGTCTTTATTATTACAGTTATTTGTGGTGTTCTCAACTTTCTTAATCTTTGTTGATTAGGATAAGATATGTTGATCAGTTGATTCTATAATTTAATTGTATCTCTTTTGTTTGTGTGCTTCAAATTACCCACCAGTTGATTGTCCGATTACTCATCGATCCTTTGTTTCTTCATTTTGTTTTATATTTTTCTCTAATCATTTTGGTTAATTGATTGTTTTTCTGGTTGTGTTTTTATTGTTTTTAGATAATCGTTTGAGATTGGATTTTGTATCTTTCGGATTAGACGGATGAAAGGTAAAGGTCGTGGTCATAAAACTCGTGATTTTTGTCGTATCTGTTTGGTCACTGGTTCAACTGTTAATCCTTTAATCCAACCATGTAATTGTGTTGCTGATCTGGCTTATTGTCATTCTTCGTGTTTATCTAAATGGATTTCAACTACCAGATCAATAAGATGTGATTTATGTAGATTTGCTTTCATCACTTCAATAGAAACATTTTCTTTCTTTGATTGGCTTTCCAGTGACGAAGATGAATTGAAACAATTTCTTGGGGGAATTTTTATTCTTTTTCTTTCCTTCTATATGGTTCTACTGGGTGAGGTGACATGTTCTTCTATTCAAGGTAAAAGAAATTAATTCTCTTCTAATTGTATAGAAAAAAAAAGAAAAACTCATATTTTATTCATATTCTCATCTTTTAATAGATTCTGATGGTATAACTGGTATTCTTTTATTTTTGATCACATTAACTTCTGAACTTGGTTATATAGGATGGATCGCATTTTTTACTCATATTACAGCAAATCGATTTTTCTCTTGGAGTGAAAATCATGTTAAAGTTTCAGTATTTGCTTATAAAAGGAAAAGTTGCCTAGTCAAACCTCGACAAGAACCGATTTCAGCTCAAAATCCTAAACATGGTGAAGCGAAAATATCAAAACCTCCTTCAAAACCAATTGAATTGAGTTCATCAAAAGCTCAAAAATCTGATAACCCCAACAATCAACAAACCAAATCTACTGTTACTGAAGTTTCAAGGACTAAAGAACCCTCTGGAAATCGTAAACGTAAATAGATTTATTCTCTTGATTATTACCAAATTAATTAATTTTATTATTTTTTTTTTATTTCCACGATTAATTAGCAATCAAAAACACTAATGTAATTTATGATAGACGAAAGAAACGTGATGATCATCGTGGAACCGTATGGGGTTTCAAGGTAGCTCGTTGAGCGAGAAATTTGATCTAGAAAAATCTAGAATAATAATAACTTTAATCATTCGAAACACCGACCAAAAGAATATTAAAACTTGGATTTGTAAAATTCACATAAACGAATGGAAAACAAAAAGAATCCAGAATAATCAATGGAAAAGTAAATCATTAACTTGATTTCTCTTTAATTTATGTGACTTTTTTTACGTTTATAATTGAATCAATCAATTTGAAAAGTTCACTTTAATTATTGGTCTAAATTGTTATTTAAATATAGTTTATGTCAGTGAAATTAGGAATATTCGTTGTGCTTCCTTCTATTGCACTATTATTGTTGTTTACATTTCGAACTGTTGAAGTTCTATTTAGATCAGTTTCAAATAGTCCAAGCCAAGCAAAAGGATTCGAAGTGACCAGAGGAGCTACAGGTGATGGTCGAGATTCAAAGTTAATTGTATAAGAAGATGGATCTGTAATGGATGAAGAGTCCGGAGATGAAGATGGAAAAGATGAAATTGGTTGAGAAGATGAAAACAACGAAGACGATGGCGATTCTGAGGATTCGATTGGTGTTGAAAGCTCATAAGCTGAACTGGAAATTGGTAAGGGTGAAGGTGAAGGTGTAACTGAATCAGTTGAATTCAAAATATCATCAACAGAATCAACGGAATCTATTCGAGCCAGTTCAATAAGAGTAACATTAGAAATAAGTTCATCATCAGAAAGATTTACAGGTAAATCAGATGCACCAAAGTTTGAGCTTATGGTGCTTGTGTTGGTGTTGATATTGGAACTAGTGTTTGTTTCAGTATTTCCTCCTGAATTATTATTACTATGATTTTCATCGGTATTAGGACTAAGTTCATCATAACCAACGGTAATTGGATCTGGCGTAGTGGACGGAGTGGTGGCCCTAATCGATGGTGTTGATAAACTGATTGAATCTATTGGTGATTCAGTTATATTTGGCACTGAGTGTTCATAATGATCGTGAACAAATGGTTGATCAATAGGATTGTATAGACGATTAATATCTGTGGTGGGAGGTGTTGTATGTGCCGATGATGACGATGGTGGTGGTGTTGTAGGTGATGCTGTTAACCACCATGGAGATGAAGTTGTTGGTGGTTGAATTGATCCATCGGAAGATGTGAATCGCTTTGGATCAGCGTCAATATAACCCGTTGGACAGCGTTTACAATAATTATATGAAATATCACAGGTTTTATTATGGAAACACCAAGGATCCGGAAGACATTTCCAGTTATCTGAATCAAATGGTGTCTCAAAGTAACAATCATCATCAATGAAACAGGTTCGCCCTTCCTGTAGGATGATTTCCGGTTCATCGGTTAAATTACAATCAGCAATAGCGCATAGACCATAATTACAATTAAAATTGATTGGACAATCGTGATCACTAAGGCAAGGTGATGGTGCTAAACGGGTCAACAGAAAAGTAAACAATTTGAAAACATTAATCAAAAGTGAATATCATATATTTAATCCAGTTGATTAGTTAATCAACATGTTCAACTTTTTTTTTAAATGAATCTAAATTTGTTGCGTGATTTAAATTATTCCTCTTATTGTTTTCAATTGCTTGAAACAATTAAACCAATCCTTAATTTTGTTTTTACTCTTATCCTTGTAATAACAATTAACAGAATTGTTATTTTAACCTTTAATTACATCCATATTATGTAATTAACTAATTGTCATTTAAATGTCTTTACTAAGGCGCAACACTTTCATGGTTAATCTCATCATTATCTTTAATTGTACAATTTATGTATCTTTTTTTTCACTTAATTGTTGCTAATTAGGCAACAATTAATGGTCAAGTTTTATCAATCCAAGGTTTTACTGACCAAGACCCAATTAAAACTTTAATCAAATCCAATTGATAATTAAAAAAGTTTTCATATCAATCAGATCAATAAGATTGATGTTAAAATTTTAATTAATTAAATAGTTTTAACAATTAATCAAAACTCAAATAACTTTCAACAATCAGAACTGATTAATTGTCTAACTGTCTAAATTGTTTTAAACGCTCAGTGAATGTAAATTAATTGTAATTAAAAATTCCGTTGAGATGAGATTTGATTAACTAAATTGTGATTAAAAAAAGCAAAATTTTTCTAATTTACAAGAAATCAAATCAACTAATAATTAATGATGACAATTAACTAATTGCTTTGAAATCGTCATATAATTAGTGGTGACTTGACAATCCAAATGATTTATGTTATCTGACTGATTTTATGATTTAAATTGTTTACAATTTGCTTTCTAATTTTGAAGATGAACTAATTGCTTCCGTCTAATTGTCAACAGAAATTGATTTAACTTCAATTAACGATTAATTGTTGACCCAATGCTCAAGTTTTAATCTGATAATTTGAAATTAAATTAATAAATTTAAATCAATCAGAGGATCTGTTTGTTTGGAAAAGGTCATAATGTCACTTCCGAGTTAATCAACTTGAAAGTTCAATTGAATTTAAATGATGATTTAAAGTGAATCTTGATTTAAATTAGATTGTAAATCAAACTTGATTCAAAAATCAACAAAGTTTTTTTGTTAAATTGTGATTCTCATTTGATTCAAATTGATTAACCTTTAAGCCTATTGAACAGAAATGAAATTATCATTTGAATAATCAAACCATAAATTTAATCAACCATTTGATTGAATAATAATAATGATAATTATTCAATTCAATTCAACAATTAGATTTAAATACGTATCTGATCAACAATCAGAAAATAGATTAGCGTGAAAAAAGTGTGAAATCAAATGAGGATAAGAAAAAAAAGCAAATCAGTTGATTAACAATCTAAATTGTTGGCGAAATAAATTGTTAACCGATCGGATTGACAAGTGATTTTCAATTAACTTTCCATTCAATTAATCAGCTGATTAAAGAGGGAGAGAGGGATTAATTGTAATCACTGGTTTTGAGGTCAATCTGATGAAAGCCATTTCTAATCTGATCACAATCAAGTAACAATTAAAAGCAAACAAAAAGTTTTGTTTGGTAAATCAATTGAAAACCATTGGTAATCATGGTCAAGATCATGAATGAGTTGAAGTTGAGAAAAAGTTTCAATGTTTTAGATGCAAACAATTAACCTAATTATTCAATGATTTCTGGAGATTTGATGGATTATGGATTAGCTATTGGATTAATCAACTTACCACAACAATGAAAAGTAACATTGAAAATCAATGGACCCGAAAATTGGATGATCTCTAATGAGTAGTCGATGATTTTTCCACCTTTACCCAAGCACATTGCTCGAAGGAGATCGGACTGTTCAAAGGAAGATTCGATTTTCTCATGAAATTCAAATCGAATACACTCCGATGAACTAATCGGTACCAACGAAAGTAAACCGATCACCATAAGAATATAACATAACATATTTCTCGAAATGTTCACTTAAACATCGTTGATAGAAACGAACACACAAATAATAAGAATTAACTTTAATTTGGAAATTGAAACATTGAAATTGAGAAGAAAACTTTCTAATAACATATGATTGATGAGAGAAAACGATCAAGTGACTTGTCTTCCATTTTCTATTTTGAACTGTTCAGTTGTTTCTCGAATATTTAAAAGTAGCCGTTCGTTAGGCACTTCGAGTGGAAGACAAGTAACAACTAAACAACCAGTTCGACGAGAAGAAAACACTTTTATCCGAATAATCTGAGAAGAAGCTCACTTTCTCTTTTTATCTTCTCTTTCTTTTTTTCTCTTCATGTATATTTCTCAATCATCTTCTTCGTCATCATCATCATCTTTAAATCGTAAAAAAGTTTACCCTTAATAAAAGATATTCATCTTAATCCAATCGCTCATTTACTAACCTTTTGCTTGACCATCAAATTGTTTTCTTTTTCAATGATGATTATGATGATGATCCTCATCTAACTTGCTACCAATTGCGATGATGATGACGATCATCATCATCATCGCCACAATCATAATCATGAGAGAAACAATTTAAATTGTGAAATTATTCAAGGTTAAATATTGTCCAGAATGAGAAGAGTAAATTGAAAATAGTAAACAAAAGTGAGAATCACAATTTAGACCTTTACTTAATTACTATCATCAAGTATCAGGAAAAGGTAAAATCCATTGACAGCAATTAAGCTCATCAAAAGCCCAAAACAATACAGATAAATATACTTTGATTACAACAATTTACCTGAATCACCAATCAACCATCAGGATTAAATTTGATTGTTGAAACAAAATCAACATCAAAAAAAAGGATTAGCTTAATACCTTTCAAAAAGGTAAACTCAACTTCCTTATAATGTACAATTCAATTGTATTAACAATATTGTGCTCAAAGATTTGTAGACTGATTAATGATTAAGAATTGATTGTATTCCAACAATTGAAAGTAATTCATTGAACAATCTGATTGCTTGTTTATCAATGATTAACAATTCAAATCTAAAGTTATCAATGACAATGATGAATATTTGATTTCCCTATTGCTTGAGGCGATCTTAACTCCAGAGTGGTAAATGAAGACACCCTGATGATGGTTAAAATTAATCATTACGAATATTAAAAAAGTCACAATTAAAATGATCTCAATTATATGTATTGAAGGTCATCAAGATAATCAACTTTAACAGTAAATAATTAAACGATGATTACAAAAGTAAAAGGTATTTAAGTTTAGTTATTATGATGAACTTTTCTTGTTTTCATATCATTTGATTACTGATGATTTCAGATGAATACTATGATAACTAAATGATAATTAATAATGATCATCATAACAGAAAAACAGTTAATTAATCAAGAAAATTAAACATCTCCAACATTTAATCAGCAAGTGAGATTAAATTGTTGAACCTCGCGGCAATGTGGTTAATATAATTCAGTTTGATAAAAAGTTCTAACCAAATATTAGAAGTTATCAACTCTTATTGATCAATTATTTGATGATGATTCTTAATATGTATTGATTAGAATCTCTGGTAGAAAACTAATTGGCAATTAATGGGTGATAAATGAACAAGTTTAACAAGTTTCGAATTGAAAGAAGATCGAAAATGTCAAATTCGAACCGATTTCGAAAAGTATTTGTCAAACACTGAAACTTTCGAAACGAATTTAGTACCAATGTTGTTCTATGAACAATGTTAACAATTAGATTTAATTGTTTTCTCTCTCTTTCTGCTCATTCGTTTTATCGTCAATTTATTATTATCTAATCATCTTGATTTCCTGTTAATCGTAATTGTGATTGAAACAAAGTGAGAAAAGTTTAGTCTCCATGGAATCAAGAATTGGAAAGAATCACGAAGACATCAAATAGAATCGGAAATTAATTACATTTTTCTGTTACACTTACAATCAACTAATAATTTCCTAACATTAATCACCTCAAATTCAAAGGTAACAATCAACAAATCATGATTCAGTTAATTATCATCATCATCATGATAATCAATGTTCATTTAGAATCAACAATTATTAATAAACTTGATGGAAAAGTTAATTTTTTTTTCTTTCTCTCTCCTTCTAGATTATCATCATCATCAACAAGGACAAACAATTAACCCAATCAACATCATATTCGTAATTACAATCAACAATTTAGATCTTATTAAAACAAAGAGAGAGCAAATAAATTGACAACAATTTACTGATTACTTTTTTCGAGACACTTTTTTTTCCCAACAAAACCTGAAGACATTTGAATATAAATGTAAATTAATGTTTAAGATGATTAATTCAGTTAATTGTTATTCCTATTTACATGATTACCATGATTATTATCATCATTTAAAGCCTCAAGGAGATGATGTTAATTGTTATCATCAAGATGCTTTTAAATGATTATGTTGACTTTTACCTATTTAATTGTGATCATTTAATATTCTGATTACATAATTGTGATATGAAATTTTTCAACAATTTATTTATTCCTGTCTATTGTCAACAATTAACTCATGTACTCAGCAATTTAATCAACTTGACAATGTTTACACTTGTTGACATTCAATTGTCATTAAAAATTTATTTTCATCTCAAACCTTGAAACTGTGAAGGTGAAAAGTTTTTCTTAATCACAATTAAATGTTACACTTTACTAATTGATTGGATATTAAATAGCAATCAGTCAATTGATTAATAAGGTAAACAAACTGTTAACTGTTAACTTTTAATGTGTTTATAATTTACTAATCAATAATCAATCGACTAGAATTAGATTTTTGTTGATCAAAAATTTTCATTCATATTTTTTTCAATCATTATTTTTCACTTAAATATTAATACAATTAAGTTAATTACTATACTTTCACAGATTAGAGGATTAAATTGTGTCTCGATGATCGGACTTGATTTTAATTTCCATTTAATTGTAGCAAGACAAATAACAATCTAATCTAATTATTACCAATTAAGATTAGAAGTTAAGATTTTCCTTTATTGTGTTCACATTTAAATAATTATATTTTATATAATTCCATATGATTAGTTACAACAATTAAGACAATTAATCACTTATTGGTTATAATACATTAAAGGTTAATTTGTTTGGACACAATAACAATTAATAACTCAATGGCTAATTTAAGATTAGCAAGTGAAACTTGAACGTTAATTGTTGGTCAGTTGATCGTAGATGATCAAATGGATAATGATCATAATTTACAATTGAATTAACTTGATTGTTGTCATTGAAATCACTGAATTAATAATGAATCGGACGATGATACTGATATCTGCTGGTAGATTGATAACCAAATTGGGTTTGATTTGAATGGATAAACAATGAAACATTAAACAGAATGACCATTAAGATGGACATTTAATTGATTTAAATTTGAGAGAAACAGTGACAGCTAATTAAATGAAACGAATTATATTTTTGCACGCTAATTAAAAACTGGAGCTGATTGTGATTCAGGTTCGATACCATGAGGACCTCTTCGAATGGCTAAGGCCTTGGAATTTTTTCGAACTGCTTCCATGTCCTTTTCGCTGACCGATGAGGTCCGACGTCTTCCAGACACAAACTGACCTTCCTCGTTGATTGTTTCGTCCATTGGTTTACCTGATTTATTTGATTTCTTATTGAAAAAAGGTAATCTAAAACGTTTACCTTTATCCTTTGATGTTGATTGTTGACAATTAGTTGAACCTTTTGAAGTACCGTTATTATTGATAACTGGTTTACTTGACGATTGATGAATATTATTATTAACACAATTAACTTTATTATCATTGTTGTTAATATCTTTACCTTCAATATTTTCAGTTACATTTTGATTATCAGTTTTTGATTCACTTTTATTGTTGACTGTTGACATATTGAGACTTTCAATCACTTTGTCAAAGTTTTCAGCTTTTCTCTTTTAAAATAATTAACTTAAATCACACAATTTGTATAATGAATGAGCCAAAAAAAAGTTAATCTAACAACAAACTGTTGCTCTAATCGACTGATTATCAAATCTAACATTTACCTGGAGTAAATTCTGGGAGTAAACTAAATCCCATGGAGTTTGCGTTCGCTATGGATAAATATTATTCACCTTTGGGCTCATGAGTTTACATGGAGATGATAAATGTCAAAAGGTCTTGATTATATTTAGAACTGAATCCATTCTTACCTACTAGAAGATAAGTCAAGGTTTTTCTGAGATAATTTTTTCATTTCAATGTGAAGCAAATGATTCCTAATTTGATTTCGAGTTTTTCTCTCATGTGTGGCAAAATATTACATATCTGGTGACGATCTTATTATATTAATATATTATTGGATTTGAAATGGACCTGAACAAGTAGAAGTTGCAGAAGATTTCAAGTAAATTATGCCAATAACTGTAATAACACAATTAAAAGAACTTGTGTCGTTATAGAGGCTCCAAATTTTCAGTTTACCTCATGAAAATAAGAAAAATTCAGCATTTCAAGAATCGAAATTTGATCTACTGTTTTATCCGTTGACTATTCCATAGTTTAAAAGTTTCGCTTAACTGTCCATGTAAGTCGATGTCCGAAATCCATGACATTGTCTTTTATCAGGATTGTCAGCATTTTCCATCTGAACACTAATTAGTATTTGAAAGATTAAGATTGTTTGGCGAACTCACATGTTTCAAGGTCATTTTAAGGTGATGAGTTTTCTCATAACAATGTTGCCTTCTTGAAACCAGGTATACTTGACGATATTAATAACTAGTCTTATAATCAACGAATATTTTTCTATTCATATTTAAAAAGACAATGATGAGTAAAACCTCACAGGTAGAACTAGAAAATCCTTCAAATAACCTTCAATGGCTTTGCTGAATAACCTTTATAACCGCCATCCAGTTATATCTAAGTTGCATCCGAATTCAAATCATTCAGGACAGTAATTCATTAAAATCCCTAATTTTTGTAATAGTAAAGAATTGATTGAAACTTATCAAAATGCTCTGAATTGCTACTCAACATTATTATAAAATTTTCTTTTCAATTTTGAAACTTACAATTTGAAATAACATATTTGTGAAAAGTTTTCAATTTATCTCAATCAGAACTGAAATTACGATCAATTGATATTCGTCCTTAATTTTGACGAGAATTGTATTTATTGTGATAACAATTTGATTGCCAAATTATGCAAATCTATGGTAGTAATTAAAATCATCGTGTTGGTTTCATTTTTCCCAGTATGATTAATTACCATTCATGGATAATTAAACTAAAAATTGACTCGCGAAGGCGTTTTTTTCAATTAAACTAGCGCAGTAACTGTATCAATGTAACACTTAATTGTGTTGAGCTTTTATTTAAATTAACTTTTATTTGTTTAGTTACTTTTCAAACCAAATTTTCATCATGTTTCATAGTTTCTCATTCAACAGGTTAACAGTTTCATTATTGGCCAAAGTGATTTGGTTAATTGTTCAGTCAACGATTGTAATCAGTTCAGTGCCAAAGGAATCAATAAGAAAAGCTGAAATTCTAACTAGACAGACAATCGAAACGTCCGATTTGTACAATCTTAGTTACGTTAAACTGAAAACCCATGTTAATAGTTGTTTGTCCAACAATCAACGTGCATTTGCTGATTGTGTTTACAATTCAGATTCCAAATGGAAACAATTAATCAAAAGTGATGAGATTAAATTATCATGTTGCTCTTTCTGGGAATCAGATCAATGTATTAATCAATTGATCACAGAATTGTGTCCAAAAGACAAATCAATTCTTTACATCAATGATGATGATTTAATTTTAGCTCGACAATTTATTCGTGATGGTTATTGTTCATCTTATCAACAATTAAACGAGTGTATTTACCTAATGTCTTTTTGGATGATAACATTGGTCGTGTTAATTGCTTGTCTAATCTTAATCATCTTAATAATCGTGTTGATTACTCTTTGCTTACGACGGCGTGGAAGCTTGAAATTAGTTGATTGTGATGATAAAAAGTCTAATTTACCTCAACAATTTACCAAAATATCTTCATTAGCATGATCACTACCTCATCACCATCAACAATTTAACAACAATTAACTGAGAACCAACAAATTACCAATATTTTTTTCAGAATCCATGTGATTATCACTAATTTTTTTTTCTTTTCAGAATTAGTTTAATTAACATCTAATTTCATCAATAAATACCCATAAAACCAAGTCTCAACAATTAACCAATTTAAAATTAATCAATCATTGACCTCAATCATTAATATGATATCGTAAACAATTGTAACTGTCAACAAAACAATTAATTTAATCATCACCAAACTTTCATATTCAATTATCAAACTAAATTACTTTAATTATCCTGCAAACCTTATTTCATTCATATTATCAATTAATCAACACGATAATCAATAATTATGCAATACTAATTATCTGTAAATGAAAATTATTTCTCCTCAACAATTAGTACCAACAATTAACGTCAATGTTATAATAAAACAAAAGTCTTTGCTTTTTGTTTACTAATTAAAAACACCCAAAAGACTCTCAAGTTGATTAGATTAATTTACTTTTCTCTCTCTCTCTCTCTCTCGATAATTAATACTATCGATGTTAATCAACTCACATAACCATATTCAACAATCAACGGTTAATTATCGGTTAATCATATTAATCAGATTGATGATCATTCAATGAACGTACACTTTAAACAAAAAAAAATGAAAAACTAATTAGTAAACTATTAACCTTTCCAACTGATAATCTATTTGTTTTTCAATTACAATCATGATTACAATTAAATGGCATTTGATTAAATGATCATCATGAAGATGGTTCAAGTCGGAGTATCTTATCAATTATATTTAATTCTTGTAAGATGATTAAGGATTAGTGTTGATTTCTTTCATTCTCTAGTCTTAATTGTCGACATTTACCTGTTACCATGATGAGGAAAGAAAGGAAGATGAGAGAGAGAGAGAGATTTATTTTCTTTTGATAAGAACAAGGTAAGACTAATGATGAGAAGAAAGAAGAAGAGAAATTAATTGTTTAGTTAGTTAATTAAGTGAATAACAAACAATAGAAATCAATATGTTCCAATTTAGTGTTGGCTCATCAAATTCAACACCATGGAAATGTAAACTCACCTGTTCACCGTTTCTTGTGATTCTGTTCATTTTTTACTCAATCAATTGTTCATCAGTTTCATGTGATCATCAACAACATTATCTACATGTAAGTCCAAAGGAACCAAATATAAATGAGATTAACCTTGAGGTTAAAAGTGAAACAGTGGACATTCATTATCTTTACAATATAAGTTTCAATAAACTGACCACGAACTTGAAAAGTTGCATGAGCAATAAGAATCGAGCTTTGGCCGATTGTGTTTACAATTCGGAAAAAAAGTGGGGGCCACTTTCCGATGATGATATTAAATCGACCTGTTGTTCATTCTGGGAAGCCGATGAGTGTCTAATTAAATTGGTACTTTCATCGTGTTCAACTAATCAATCAAAACTTTACGTTAACGATCAAGAGTTAACGGTAAATAAGAAATTACTTCAAGATGGTTACTGTTCATCTTATCAGGAAATGTCCGATTGTGATTTCCCTTTCTGGTTAGTGGTCGCCATTATCGTCTCACTGGTCATCCTTTTCTTCATCTGTGGTTTTGCAGTTCTCAACAATTTCATGAGACGTTAATTAGTTTTACGACTAATTAGTCAAATTTACGAGAAAAACGTAAACACATCCCATTCAGGTTTCCATTAAAATCTCATTGATGATGAGATTTAATCTCAGCTGATTGTCAAAAATCATTTTCCTTTCAAATATTGTATTAATTAACGTTGATTAAAGCAATTGATTAACTATTTACAATCTCAAAGGAGAGGAAAAAAACAAAGTAATTAAGTTAATTAGCATTCATCAAGTTGCTTGGCCTCATCATCTCCAGTTGATTAACTTTTTTTTTTCTTCATTTTCTTTTGGATTGATTATATAAAATAATAATTATATTGTATCTCATTTGGATCCTTTTTTAATTGTAAATAATTAACTTCCCTTAATTATAACTTAATTGTTTTGTTTTTCTTCTCCCTCTGTTAATTGTCATTTGTAAATCATCATCAACTTACAAATCTAATTGTCAAACTGTTGATTACTTTTAATTTAAGGTGATAAATGGCAAAAGATTTTTGTCTACCTAACAATTAATATATACTCTTAATTGTGATAAGAAAAAAAAGACTAGTGATTAACTTAATCATTGATTATTTTTCATCAACATTATGTAATCAATTGATCATGTGGACATCTAATTGTGATTAATTGATTGCTATTAACGTCATGTTTTGTTTCACTTTTATTATCGACGATTTAATTGAATCAAGGTCTTGAGATTGTTTTTTTTTCTCATCATTAATTGTAATAAGTTAATTGTTGTATCGGTAAACCAACAATCAAGGTAATCATAGACCTCATTATCAGGGCTTTTTCGTAGCAATTAATCAATTGTCATATTTAGAGTTCGAGGTCACTTTGATTGACAATTGAATATCAATCCAACTCTCAGAACTCGAATGGAAAGTTCTAAGTATCGAAATCGAAAAAGAAAAATTTTCGAAAAAAGTTTTTGGAAACTGAGCCAAATTCCCTGTATAATTTTATTTTATATTCGTATCAATTATTAATAACTACAAACGTAATTTACAAATGTGATTACAATTAAGTTTCGAGTTGTTGATTAACGCAATTGACAATTAAAAAGTCAAAATGATTATTAATGTACATTGACATAGAGAAATAATTAATTTCTAATACAATTAAACCAACAATCAATAATTTAAATGGTTTTTTAGGTTTTTAATTAGTGACCCGATTGACACCGAAATAATTTGATTTAATTGAAGGTTAATTAACTAGGCAGAAAAATTAATTCTATTGCTAATTAATCAATATCAATGATAAATAACTTTCGCTGTTAAAACTAATATCATATGATAATTATCATGATAAAATGATGAAAAACTAATCACAATTAATTTAGATCATTATTAATTATATAAGATTGATTTTTTTTATAAAAGAAATTATTTCTTACATTTAATTGTATTGCTGATTAATTGTAACAATTTAAACTAATTGTTTCTTTCTGTTGCTCTTGTTGGTGATGTTTGATTGGTTTAATTAAAAGATTTGCTAATTGGTAGTTGATTGAATTTACGTTAAATTGTTTAACTGGATTAAATTTAATTTCTTTCGATTTTGATTGTTTACCAAACTGAACACTTTTTTTTCGGATTCATTCGACTTCCTAATGGACAGTTATATGCTCTAGCGAAATCGTAAGAGTTTGACAAAGGTCCAAGAACTCTGAAGAAATTAAGGGAGAAAAAGTTAATTTCGAAATGACAATTAGTTGATTGTTACGATCAATCAAATTACCTTATTGGTCCAGGACTGTGAGCTGAGGTACGAATTTTACTCAAAGCGTCTTGATATCTCATAGATCCACACCAGATCTAAATTAAAATCAATGAAATATAAAAATTAAATCAATTCGATTCGATTGTGTTGATAATTAACTTTGTCCAAACTCGTGAGTTTACTTTTCAATCCGTTAGATGGAGTAAAGAGTCTAAACTTTAATCTTGAAATTGTCTCATTAAATGAAAGCACTTGAAGAGTTGACAAGCAATTAGATTAATATGATCACGACAACTTTTTCACTTCTAATTAGTAAATTCAATTAATTCTTACCTGTGCATAATTAAGAAAGAAAAGTTGATCATGATTAAGATCTAAGCCTGGTAACAGTGGTTCTTTTCCATTGTGTTTCTCCCATTTTTTAAAGGCCTAAATTAGATAAATATCAAAATAGGAAACAAATTTAATTCCATCAACTCGAAACTCTAAACTCGAAACTTTTGAACGTATCAACTCACTCTATATGCCTGTTTTAAGCCACCATTATCTGCGATGTTTTCGCCTTGGGTCATTTTACCGTTAATGTTAAGGCCAACTTCTTGAAGAACGTAACTCGAATACTGATCAATGATACATTGAGTTCGTTGGTAAAATGTCTGAACTGTTGCGTTGTTCCACCATTCTTTCAGATTTCCATCTTTATCGAACTGTCGACCCTTAGCATCGAATCCATGAGTAATCTCATGGCCAATGACCACACCGATTCCTCCATAATTGAGTGACCTAGAAGGTTAATTAAAAGGAATAGAAAAGAAAACCAATGAAATAAATTGAACAATTCGACGAATCAACTTTACTATGATTACTTTGGATAAAAGTGACTATAAAAATTAGGTTGTAATATTCCCGCCGGGAAAACGATATCATTTTTATTTGGATTGTAAAATGCATTGACCACTGCGGGTTCGGTTGTCCATTTGTCCTTATCAACGGGTTTCCTTAATTTCTCAAGATTTCTCATTGATTCAAATTTAAGAAGTAGTAAAATATTTAACAAGAATTGCGATTCATAAACTTGAAGCTTAAAAGAGAAGAAGAAGAAGAAGAAAATTGTAACAGCAATTAAATTAATTGAACAGAACAATTAAGAGAAATTTTCCAATTTTATTAACTGATTTACCTTTTCATATTCTTTGGATACTTCAACTGAATTAGTTAATGTTTCAGAGTAACCAATACGTTCATTCATTGCATTTGCCTTTTCTTTTGCAACTATTTTCGTCTCATTGTCCATCCAATCATTTTCATCGATTAATTCATTAAAAGCTATACGAATATTATGAATCATCTCTAATGCCTGTTAATTAATAAATTAAACATCAACATCAACATTGAATCGAGAATATAAATTGAATTGAAACAATTCAATTCTAATTTTTTCTCCTAAATGAATCGAGAAAAATGTTTCAGTCTACAAAAGAGTGAAAAATAAACTGAGAATCAGAATTGATGATTGATACAAATGATGTAACATCGGATTAAGACCTGAGGCCAAAGTCTGATTCATTGTTTGATAATCAACAATATGAGAAGATGATAAAATCCGATGATAATATCAAAATCTTTAAGCTTAAATACTATTAGAAACTATTGAAAATGAGAAAACATTATTACACTTTTGAAAGACTGAAAGTTAATTGTAACAACTTGTAAATCGTAGGTATTAAAATAGCCTGAAGGGTATTTTGAATTGACCCTGTAAATCAAAGTTAATACAAATTCAATACAAAGAGATACACACTCAGGTTAAATGAAAAGGAAATCAGATCAACAATTTACCGTTAAGCTTAAACAGAAACAGTTACAAACTACTGATGATGATAATCTTTCAATATCGTAGCAAGAAACAAACAAAAAGATGATGATGAAACTTGATAAGAAGCTTAAAATGATTAAAGATTTAATCTTAATCCATGAGATTAAGAGAAAGCGAGAGAAACTTAATTAAGACTAGAAAAAAAAGTGAAGATATTGAGAGGAAAAGTTTCAATCTAAAATTGAGGTAATAAAGAAAAAGGAAAACAATGAGAAAAGAAAAACGTTAATCTGTTTTTAAGCCTCAGGCAATTAAGATAATCTGTAAGTGTATGAATTAGATGAGAGGATGGAAACGGAAACATTATCAATATGGAAATAGATTTGATGATCGATGATATTTACCGTTCGTTTACTTTCATGGTCAAAATTTTCTCGAATGAATAAAGACCCAACGGCGGTTCCAAGGCGCTTGTTGATCATTTCTACACACGATGACCACCTTAATCTCTCAGCGGTTATACCGGCAATTACTTTACGAAATTCACCTCGTCGATTTTGATAATCACCTCCCATGTAAATGGTGACATAATTAACTAATCTCCAAATGGCGTAATTGTATAATACATGAGGCTCGGTTTCAATTAGAATACTTTTCAGATTTAAAAGGTAGGGCATACAGTAGACCACAAGGGGCTCACTTGAGTTTACCTTTACAGGTAAAAAGGTATTTAGATAAAGTAGCCAATTAAATTCTGGAATTAAATCAGTTAATTGTTGGATTGTTAATTTAGCGTAAATTGCGCTTGTATCTTGACGCTCGGATTCGGGAAGACTTGCCTGGTTATTATTATTAATTGTAAGGGAAGAAAATTTAAAACAAGTTATCAACAATTAGCAACAATTAAATTGATTCAATAATGAAAATAAATACTCATCAATAAATGAGTTAAATTTTGTAAGTAACAGACTTTTGTTGTGCTAAGTTAATTAATGAATAGTTATAACTACAAATATGATAATTTAACATGTTATATATTGATTAAATCAATGATATATCATCATCATCATCATCAAATTAGTAATAATAGTTAATCTTGATTAGCATAGTAAAGTTAAATTGTTGGAAGGAGAAATTATTATTAATGATTAAGTTAGAAAGTTGAACAAATAACTTGTAAATCAGCATAAATGTGATAATCAAAATAAACATACAATTCAATAGTTTAATCAGATAATAACAATCAAATTCTAACTGTTTATTCATATTATTTACCCTGGAAAATTCAGAATCAGAATCAGAATCAGAATCTTAAAGATATTATTTATACGCATAATCATTTAGTCCTAATGTAAACATGAATATATCGAAACGATTGAAACACTTAAATTGTTTTCCCCTTGATAGCAATCAAATTCACCCAATAGATTGATTGACCAATTGTAACAATTAAATGACCAACTATTTACTCACATTGGCAAGTTTAGTTTCAAAGGTTAAAACTTGTTGCATTTGCGATTTAGCATAATCAGAATCAGCGCCAAGCAAAATCGCAATATCCACCATTAGTTTGAGATAAGCTTCCTTATCCTTTTTGCTACTTGGATTAAGATAATAATCTTGACTTGGTAAACCCAATGACATTTGATCAATCTACAATTAAATCAAGGTAAATAATGATAAGAGAGAGAGAGAGAAAAAAACAATTATCAACGATCAAATCTCTGTTTCAGTGAATCAAATCAACCATAATAATCGTAATCAAAAAGGTATAATATCAATAGTTTATTAACTGTTGTGTTGAAATGCTAATTGTTGTTATAAATTGTTTTGATTGTTGTGGTGTAATGAAAAATATATCACAAGAAACAATATCGACATTGAATTACAAATGATTGTTATCATGATGATGTTTCAAAATTGTTTCCAAACAATTGGAAATCACAATCAACTGATTGCACTCTGGTAACTTGTTGTTATTAATAATTTTTTGTTTCTTTCTCCTCCATATATGAGTTTCCCTCCCGATTTTTATCCTCGAAAGGTAGATATTATTTTCTAACATGTTATATCATTTTTGGGAATATATTATTGAAATAGAATACGAGAAAATCTAATATCAGGGAGAAAAAGTCGATTTCTCTGTTGAAAGAATGAATTTTTCTTCTTGTTTCTCGTATTCTTTTCTCTCTCCTCGATCATGTAATTTCTTTACCTGGTTGATTTTTCTCAGGTAACAAGAGATTCCAGAAGTCTAATTTTATATTGAAATTACATTCGATTCCGTTTTCTTATTGTAAAAGAAAGAGAGAAAGACAGAGATGATAATTTGCTCATATTTCCGTATCCATCATCATGTAATCATTTTTCATCAATGTTCATGTTATTGGTGATGTTCAGTTTGATTCATTCATTCATATATTATATTTATTTAAATTTTGTTCATTGTGTGTTCATTGTCCTTACCTGGATTATGTGTAATGATGAATTACGATCATCCACCCCAACCCATTGTTCAATTATGATTCCTTGATTGTAATCACCTCGTAATTTACCTAACAACTCCTCGAATGACCAACTGGGCTTTGTCCAGCTCTTATTGGTCACTGGCCATCCTCCAAGTCCACTGAGTGTCTTTTTCAATGGGACATCAGCCACTTTATCAACCTCCTCTGTCAACAATTAAAAACAATAACAGATCAACTAATCAACTAATCAACTAAATCAACTTACGAACTTACCAATATTCATACATGATTTGTAAAAGATTTTAGCCTTAATTGTTGCACTATTATCATGACTTGAAGCCGGTTCCTCAAGAAGATCTGATAATAATAATAATAATTTATGTATTGATCATTTTTCTTGTTAGAATCAAATCAAATAAAGGAACAATTAACAAGGTAAATTACTTCTTAAAATAATTTGAAGATTTTCAGCCAGAACTTCAAATGTACTGATCGATGAACGATCTTCCGGAATTATGTGTTTCTTATTCCAACTTCCGCATGCATATTGAAAGAAATCATTACAAGGGTCAGCCGAAGTGTCCATTGAACTTAATAGAGATGAAGCTGATTAAATTGATTGTGGAGAAAGAGTAATTAATTTCGATTAGCAATTAAATCTATTCAATGTTTACCTGTTTTCACACAATCAGCAGTTAAACATATCGTATTCTGGTTTCCAGTAGTTGATTTAATTGGATCACAATAAAGGGAAAATGATATTATGAATAATAATATAATTCCTAATGAGAAAACTGTTCCAATCCAAACGATAATTGACATTTTCCTTTCAGGATTCATTTAATTGTCGATTGATTGATTACTTGATTGTAATCAAAATCATCAGGTTCATATTAACTTGAAACATTTATCGAAACACTTTGACAATTAACCATTAATTGTGTTGATTTGTTGACAATTCAGTTTCTAATTGTTGATAACTACATGGTCGTAATATTTATTATTAGTTAATGAAAATAAAATTAATTGTTACTATTTGAAGATGATGAAGATGATGATTATTATTGATTTTGATCAATTTAACTCTAAACAATTTATTTTTTAATGAAACAGTTTTCATTGGGTTATTATTGTTGAACTTATATTATGAAAATTATGATTATTATTTGATCACTTTCCGGGTTAATTTAATTCACTGATTAAAAGTTAATAGTATCATTTTGATTGCTATTGGAACTCAACTAGTTTAAACTGATTGTGTCTCGAGTTGTAACTGTTCAACATTTTTGTTCATTGTTTGGTGAATAATCAGCAACATGGCGCATGGAACTTGATTCAGAACTTTTTTTCCCTCGAATACACTTACATGTACTTTCTTAGTTATCATGTTGAGTTTTTATTCTGACAATTTAAAATCGTCGTAGTGATTAGTTAATTAGTCATTGGAAATCAACCTGATGCTTTTAGAGTCTTGACAAGTTAATTGTTGTTGTTGTTGTTGTTGTTTTCCTTTGGTAGAGGTTTGATTTTTAATTGTTCACTGATTGTGTTGAGTAAATGTTGTGCAATTGGATTGACATTGATAAGCTTAATTGTGATTAAATTCACTTTCAATTTCAACATCGAATTGGAAATAAAATTGTTAGTTTGATTCCCGATTCTTATTACATCAGATTATTTTCACAGTTAATTAAAATCAGTGTAAATATTTGATTAGTCTTATTATTTAATTAGATTTGTTTAATTATCGTTTTTCTTTTTCAATAAGCAATTTAATTTTTATTGATTATTTTGCTCACAATTGACAATCATTGGAACTGATCAACAATCAGTGATTTAATTTTCATTGTGAGAAAAAGTTAATTGCTGCTTTTTGATTGTTGATCAGAATTGTTAAATCAAAGGTTATTTATATCATATTATTAATCTCTCTTGAGACAATTAATAAATTCACAATTATTTGATTAGATTATCAATGAATGAATGGTTAACGTAACTATGGTAATGATGAGGATGGAGATGAAGATGAAGATGAAGATAAAGATGATAAATAAGATGAAAAGAAAGAGAAATGAAAAGATCCCAGATTTTGATGAATTTGTGAGATTTAACCAATACATTAGACAGAGAATCAAATTAAATCAATTGTAAGTTAATTGTAACTTAATTGTAACCCGTGTTTTCAAACAATGAGGAAACAAAAGTGAACCAAATTAAATTAAAGGATTGACATTGGTGATAAATAATTAAGTTAATTGGTTATACATTTGGAAAGGGTTGAAGGTGAAAGGAAATCAAAGTTAATTGAATAAATTTTGTTTACTTATTGATGATCAATGTTAATGTTGATCAAATTAAATCCTGGTCATTGATTAATCCCAACTGTTGATATTAGATTAAAATGATAATCATCATGATTAAGATGATGTGATCATGTTGATTGTATATTTTTTGTTTGTCATTCAATTGATTGCGACGCATATTCAACATTTAATCATCAAGTATTCAGCTTATTATTAATATCATTTGTTAATCATGTCCATCAAAATGAATACAATGAACATGAATTGGATGATGAAAAGATGATCTATCATCCATTTTAATCTCACTGGTCACTCACTGACCATCTCCATCAGATGATCATCGTCATTCAACTTCCTCTCAAGTTTTAATCCTCCACCTCCTTTTATCATCATAATCACTTTATCATCTGATCAATTTAACTAGAAATCATCAAATTTAATTGTTGACAAAAATCAAAAATGTCCATCGAGTTGATTAACTTTAATTGTTTCACCTAAAATTGTTTCCAAATTGTGTTGACCATTTCTAATTAGTTACATTGTGTCTGTGTCTTGTTTGTTGATCATATCAACAATTTATGCTGCAATTAAATAAATTATTTGATTGTTGTTATCATCGATTATTATTATATTTAATCTCTGTAATCAAGAACGAATTCTAACAATTAACTTAACCATCAATTCTGATCACAATGCCTTATCTACGATTAATTGTACTAAATTTATTGATTGTCAGCCTATTTTTTGATTACAGGACTTTTGCGTAAGTTTTAATTTTCTGTTAATTGTTGATCATCCAAACAACAATCAATTCTAATTGTTTTTTTTACTTTTCCAGATCAATTCGCAAGTACCTTTTACCAAGTACTTATGATTTAATCATCCCACCCAAACCGAAAGGTAAGTTAATCAAATTAATATATTAACTTGTTGGTTAATTGATTTTGATAGAAGAAAATAAATCAATCAACTGTCACAATTAACAGTTTAATTAATTGTTAATCCCTTTGATTAAGGAGGACCCATAAATGTAGATGTGGAGATTACTGATCTTAGACTGATTACTGTAAATGAAGGTGAATTGGTAAGAAATTAAAGTTAATTGTTCCATTTTTTTCTCTCTCGATTCTAATGAATTAATTAACTTAAAATCATCATCATCATTAGATTATAATGTTAACCCTAAATAAATGGATTAAATTAACATTAGAAAGGAAGAGAAATTGAAAGTTCTAAATAAGCATGACAATAATATTAAGATATATGGTTGAGATGATTAAAGAGAAGTGGTCAAGACTATGGTCAAGAATAATATTATTAGCATTTCTTTTATATTGTTATCAGTCAAAATTAAAAGATTCCTTTGGGATCATTGAGTTTTACTCTGGAAACCAAGAGAAAATATCAAGTTACATTGGATAAGTTCAAATTCTTGCTTCTATTATCAAGGTCACCATTAGAACTTTTTTCTTCTTTCATGTTCGACGAACCAAACATTCAACCATAGTTACAATTTAAAGAAGAAGAAGAAAAAATATTCAACAATTTATTAGTTGGATATCAAAAATGATGTTTGATGTTTAAGATAATTAATTGTCAATCATATTGGTGTTTGTGTTAATCAATGAATTAACTATTCTCATAGTTAATACTCAATGATGAAAAGTCACTAAATTGTTGTCAGTGATTAAGTTGTTTGATTATCTTTCGATTGATTTTTGTTTTTCATCTTTTTCTCATCAAAGTCCATTACGATTGATTTGTTCATTAAATTAAAATGGTTCGAACCTCGATTGAATATAACCAATATCACATTATCGGCGATAACTGACCAGTTGATTTTAGATAAAACTTGGGATAAGAAACTTTGGTGTCCATCGGTTTTCTTTAAGAATGGAATTCGTGGTGACATGTATCTCGAAAAATCACCAATGTCCTATTTTGAAATTTTCCCAAATAAAAGTGTACAAATGACCCAAAGGTAAGAATAGAAAACTGACCATAAGAAAAACTCGATGATCAAAGAAAAAATTAATATTCTTTTTCGACTTGACCAGAGTTTCAGTTGTTTTATTCTGCCACATGAGTTTCCGTAAATATCCTCATGATAAACACTCTTGTGCCATCAACATTGGAATGAGTTGAGTATCAATTGATTAATCAAAATTTTTCTCCAATTAATCAACTTAATTTGATTCTTATAATGTTGCTCTCTCTTTCTCTTTCTTTGTCCTTGTCTATTTATTGACCATCATTAGTGTCTCATAGAATCAAAACTGTCCGATTAAAATGGAGTAAAACTGAATTATCTTCAGATCTTTACAATACGGATTATATGGTCAGTTTGAATCAAAGTGATTCTGTTGATTGTACCAATTATGATAATCCAAGTAAGTGTTGTCCATATTGTTTTCTCATTAGTTGACCATTACAAGAGAAATATCAGAAAACGTAAGGTAGAATAAGAGAAAAGTATTGATAGAAAGAAGAGAAAATTTCAAACATTCTAATCGATGTTGTCCAATTGAGGATCATCTGATTGACCAACGATTAAATTAATTGGATTCCAATATAAATCTACGATTGTTACATGTTGATTAATGTGAGGTGATTAAGAAAACATTTACAATCAATTAGATTTGTGGTTATCAGTTGTAAGCAAGTAAAATAACACAAACAAGTAAATGAATAGCCAAATGATCATTGCTGGTATTATTATAGAGTGACCAATGGTCAGAATCTAAAGTCGAATATGTTTTCATTATCAAATTTTGTTCTTCTCTCTCAAATGTGTCACCTATTTAACAGGAGCTTTTGCTTGTCTTCAAACTGCTTTAATTCTTGACCGTGGATTAGGATATTTTGTGTCCAGAAAATACGTTCCCTCGTTTATCATTGTGTCCACTTCATTCATCGGATTCTGGATTCCATCTCATAGTTATCCTGCTCGAGTTACCTTAATTGTTACCTCATTACTTTCATTAATTACCCAACAGGTTCAAACTGTTCACATTTATGCTTCTTATATTATTTCAATTCACATTTGGAATAATATTTGTACAACTTTTGTCTTCCTTGGATTAATTGAGTTTATCATTGCGACTTGTTGGGATAATAGTAACATCAATCAAACGGTAAGATTGATTGATTGATTATCGAACTCTTTTTTTCATTTGTTTGACTTGACATTTTTGTTTAATTGTCATGGTGATTAATTCCTCTGCCATTATTATTCACCGTTTATCTTATCAGAAAACGAACCACAAATCTTTGGAAGGTGGAAGAAGGTGTGATGTCCATAAGCCTTCGTGTTTCTTTGCAAAATTGTTCCGAGGATTAAGAAAATTTGGCCAAGAAAATAATCAAGTTGATGCTTATTCCAAGATAATCTTTCCAATTGCATTTGTTTTAGTGGCTTGTGCTTATTATGCTTGGGTTGATTCAATGGAAGATTTTGATTCTCGAGTCCATAAAACACCATGAATACATTCAAATGATTAGATTGTTGGTTTTCATCTTCTTCTTGTTATGTAATCCGATGACCAGAAACTGTTGATGTCCAGTAAACCAATCAAACCATCAAACAGCCACAAACTTTGACTCTTTTCATGTTTTTTTCTCAATTTTCTCAACCAAAATAATCATCTTTTTCCTCTGAAATCAGCATCTTGTTAAAAAATCAATTCGATTCCAGTCCAATTGTTGTAAATCCGATTCATAATTTAATTTGAATTCTGAAAGAGATGAAATAATTTTTGAAAGAAAAAGTAAAAAAAACAAATGTTAATCATAAAATATACATAAACTTCATCTGTTTTAAGGTGAATCAAATCAATTGTTTAAAATTATATAATTACCATGATCAAATGTTTAGTTATGATATTAATGACAAACAATTGAATCAATATTAATGTACCAAAGTTAATTATAACTACAATCAAACAATATTTTAACTTACCTTGAATCTATTTGATTGTTAATCTCCTTGTGGATTCATCAATCCACCAAAACATCAGATTAAAGGAACCATGAAAACAGAAATATATGACCATCAATGGAACAACAATTAAAGAGTATCAATTCAATTGTACCTTAAAAGAAGAAGAAAAAAAAATCAATACAATTAATCAAATTATTGAAAATCTAAATAATTTTCTATATAAAGAAATACAAACAATCATGTCCATAGAGATTAACAGGTGAACATTGGGTTAGCTTACATTCAACAGGTTGGGTGATTAACCGAAGACGATGGAAGTTAATTGTTGACAATCAAAGTGGTTTAACAGTTAAGTGATTAACGATTAACGATGAAAGATGTGAAAAAAATTGCGAACATTTGAAAAAAAAACGAAAAAGAGGTTAGAAGAGGAAAGATTTTTTTTCTCTCTTCCACCTTAAAGGTAAGGAGAATGAAGAAAAAGTGAGATGATGATGAAAAAAGAAGATAGAAAGACAATTTAGAAAGAGAATTAAATTGTAGACAGTTGATTGAGTAAGAGAAGAAGGAATCAAATTAAATTGTAGCTTAATTAGTTATCCAATTTTTCCGGTCTAATCTGAAATCAAGTTTTCACCAAATGAGAAAAACAAGAAAACAGTAAAAGTGAACAGATAAAAAAACGAAAACATTGAAAAGAAAGAGAAACTCAATTTTCTTTCTTCTCTGTCTACTTTTCTCTTTCTTTCTTAATCTCCCTTTTCAACAATTAGTGTCAACGATCAAACGTTAAACTGATTTACTTTCAATTCGCATTGAAATTCTCACTGATTAAGGTGAACAATTAGAATCTCCCATTGATGATTACACATTTTCTTTAGAATATTGAAATTGTCGCCATTTTGATTATCTCTATTTTCCCTCTCTTTTTTTTATTCTTTTCTATTTTTACCTCTTTCTTTTTGTTTCCTTCTTCTTCTTGTTAATCCTTATCTTCTGCATCTTCTGTAACATCATTTTATCGCCGTTGAGATCATCATCTTCTAGTGGATTACAAGTGGAAAATCTTCAAATAATATAAACCAAATTTTCTCTCTGTTTTGGAAATTTTCCTGTTCGTTTCTCTTATGTGTGTCTCTTGGTGGAAACTCGTATTACAAGGTGAAAACCCGTTCCAGTGAGAGTCACGATAAAGTGAAGACTAAAGAAAGAGAAGATAAAATAATGATGATGATTAAAAGAAAGTGAAAATAAAAAGGTTAGTAGAAAAGTGAATCAAATGTAATCATCAACATCGTCAATCGAATCTCAAACTCACTGGATATTTGAGTGTTTTTTTTTCCTTCTCACCACCACACTAATACATTTCACTTTCTCTCTCCCTCTCTTCCAACTTTTCTAATTTTCTCTTACTTTTCTTCTTATTTTTCAGTTTCTCCACCATCAACATCTCCATCATCATCCTCATCATCCTCATCATCATTTTAAGAAACCACTGAATGTGCCCGCAAGTCTTTTGTATGTGAATAGAAAAGTAACCTTGTTTTGGGGAAAAGGAAGAGAAGAGAAGAAAAAAAAATTCTCCAACCTCTTAATCAACTGTTCTCTCTCTCTCTCTTACTCAATAAGGAAAAAATTATTCATTTTGTCCACCAAATCACATTCCAAATTCTCTTTCTTTTTCTCTTTGTATCGAATCACCACCACCGCCATTAACCAGGATAACCTCGTGTTTAATAAACAATCGGATTAACGCTCAATGTGAACATCATCACTGTTTCCCAGGATTAATTGTACCATCATTGCCCCTTGTCAACCAAATAGCAAAGAAACGAACAATTTTTATTAACTTTTTTTTCTTACCTGATTAATGTTTCAAATTGTTCACATCCACCGGTAATTGTAAACATAATTCAAGTGCTTTCATCTAATCATATGGATTTATAATTGTTTCCAGTTAATTGTTGCTTTTCTGTTCTCTCCATAAACAACAAACTCATCATCATCTGTGATTAATAACATAACCATAGCGTTAATCTGTTCGTGTGTCTGTGTTTCTGGATTTATTAGTTAATCTTGTGTTTATGTTTATATTTTAATCACTTGATCAGTTTACACTTTTAATTGTGATTATTAACTGTGTCCCTGTTTCTATTACAATTTATTAGAAATTAACTTTACACAATGGGAAAAAAATGGGTCTATGCTATTTTCGCATCTTTAGTACTTTTACTTCTGGTCATTTTATTAGTAGCCAAATCAGGCAACGAAAATAGGAAGATAGGTAATCCATTTATCCGTTAATCCATTCATCAATTGTCCATTTTAATTCATTATTTTATCGTTTTCTTTTTTTCATCTCACCAACAGGTATCTGCAGGTCAGAAGGATGTAAAGCTTCCGGTAAGTTATTTGGATTTACCTTTTTTAACCTGATAATTTACTTACAACAATCAAGGAATTGTAAATATACTTAATTGTTGATAGTTTATTATGATAACATAAAATTGTGAAATTATTTTCAACTTGTAATCGTTTTAATCATACTAATCATGTATTTATTTATTTGAGAAACTCAGAATGGTTAACAAGATTATCCTTTAAGATTGAATATTATGATTAGTTAATTGATTTTACTTGAAATGATTAAGTACGAGGAAAAGTGGCCGCAAGAAATTTTAATCAATGTCTTTGGAGAGAGAAAATGATTAAAAAATCTATCAACAATCAAGGAATTAAAATGTTAATCATTTTCCTCCTCAAAGTTAAATATGTTTACTATTTAAATGATTGTGTCGTCACAATCGTCATCTTCAATTAGTTAATCACAATGACATTGACCAGAATCTCAAAGAACCAGTTTTAGTTAATTTAATTGCTATTCCAATCCACTATCGATAATTTAATCAATAACTTTCACAATTTGATAAAGTTAATTCAACTTTTCTATGGTGAAAAATTAATCCTTTCGTTACAACGATTCAACTTTTTTACCAATTGATTAAAGGTTAAGGTTACAATTAAGTTGATTCAAACTAAATTGTTACATTTACTTAACCTTTCATCAACTCTATTAGAGTATATGTTGTTTAATTTCATTATAATTAAGTTTATATGAATATGAATTAACAATTAATGATTAGAGAGAAATTATTAAAGAGTTTTATCAATTAGGTTAACTGTTAATTTTGTGGGTGATTGGGGTTCTTAATATTTTTCAATATATCAAAGTTAATTGTGATTAACTTGGTGCGTTTGTTGAAAATAAAAGTTAAGTGATTAAGGTAAATTACTAATGGTTAGATTAACCATGAATTAATTGTCAAATTGTTTCACTTGATTGGATATGGTTTTTAGAAGTAAATTTTTCTTTCTGTGCCAAACTAATACTGTTTTTTGTTGTTTTTCTGCTGATTATTGACAACAATTAATCAACGTAAACAACAATTACAATCAACAGGTAATCAGTAAAATGATTAACTGAAACAACAAAAATTCCGACAATCAGTTAATCATCAATCAAAATCATCAAGAAATGAAAACTAAATCCAAGAAAATCAGTTGAACTTTTTTCCTTAATTTCGTTTAATCATATCAATTTACAATTAGACAATTTACCCTTTAATTGACTTGTAATAGATAAATTGACCATTGGTCTAAAATTTTACTCGATTGTCTCGATAAGTTTTGATAGAATACAATTTAAATTAAACAATTAAGTAAATCGATCAAATGAGTCGCTAATTAAACTTCATCAATCACCAATTGATTGTTTGGTATTCAGCCACTGATGCGGTTGAAATTTCATCATTTTGATTGATAATAATAATGAATATTTATTTGACATTGATTCAAGCTCTGTCAACTTTGATTGCAATTTAATTACGAGCCTTAATCCAATTTAACTGATTAATTAATTCAATTATCTTTAAACAGGTAAACAAATGCTTAAATATCTCGATAAAGACGCTGATCCTTGTAACGATTTATATCAACTCGCTTGTGGTAAATGGATTATATTAGAGAAGCCAAGAAATTATTCAATTAGAGATGAACTTGAAGAAACTTTAATTAAGCAAGTGAAAAGTAAGTACAACAATTAAACTAATTAATCAATTCGGTTAATCATTTTTTGCTTCTCGAAAGTAAAATGTTTCCAATCGATGAGATGAAAAAAAAACATTAAGAGCATCTTAATTGTTACTCTCTTCACAATCTCTAAACTGGATTTAGTTGAACTAAATTAATCTAATTACTTGGAGCAATTTAAATTAACTTTAAAATCCTCGAGCTTTTTATTTTTGATTAATTGCTGTTAATTAAACTGATCAATTGATTATCACAATCAAACAGATTTTACACTTGGTGAATATTAAGTAACTTTGATCTAAATCGACTTTGATTTGTATAGTGATTAGTTAATTCTGATCAACAAATAATTAGTAAAGTTATTAATAGTAATTCATAATTAAGATTATATTTCAGATGAATAATTAGAAAGTGAAAATTGATTGTTGCAACATATTATTGATTAGTAATTGACAAAAGTAAATTTTTACAATTAAAGTTTTTTGATCATTTAAATTGATTAACTTATTAATAGTTTAGTTAATTAACCAGGAAACTTAATTTTTGTTATCACTTAATTACCTTTCAGTAAATCAGTGATAATGTTAATTTTATGAAAATCAACTGCAATTTAATTGTCAATTTAATCAAATATAAAAGTCTACAATAGTTATTAGTTAATTGTTACCTTTATCTGTGAAACATTCAGTTCCTTATGGGAATCTTAATTGTTGGGAGTTTTTTTTTCACCTTCTTAATTGAAACAAATGAAAGGAACACTTTTAAATCAATTCACAATCAACAATTAACATCTAATGGTATAAATCATGATAATCAATTGCGGGACAATTTAAACGTTAATTGTTATTAGTGTAAGAAAAAAAATCAATTGTAAGATTGATTCAAGATAGTCAAGGTTAACTAGTTTTTATGTAGTTAACTACATAAATGACAAAGTTAATTGTTAATCACTATGATAGTGATAATATTGATGATTAGTGTTAATAGTTAATAGTAATGATCAAGGCTATGCAAACAATATAATCAATTGCATATTTGGTCAGTCAAACAATCAACAGCATTTATTATCCAAGGTTTTGATTAGTTTGTTTATCTGTCCTAATCATTGATCAAGGAGTTACAATTAACCTCTTATACTTTTTGATTGTTGATCATTTAACTTACCATTCAATTGTTGTTCAACTGGTTGATAGTTAATTTGATTATTCAATTGACCAATTGACTTGTAATTACGGTGATCTCATCACCTACAATTAACAAATTATGCAATTATTTTTTCACTTTTTGCTCAATTTATTAATATGTTACATTGTAAATCAAAACAATTTACTAATTGTTGCAATCAATTACTAATAATTTCAATTTACAGCTCTATTAGGTACAAGTTTGGTTCGGAGTCCAGTTCCCGTTCAACTTGCCTCAACATTTTATAAAAATTGTTTGGATGCAGGTAAAGTTAATTGTTAATCAATTGATTTAAATTATCCTTTAATTTGGTGTTGCAATTGATTAGTTTATAATTAATTAACTTTTGTTTTTAGCTCCTTATTATGCTGCCAAATGGCTTGATGAAGAGCTACAAGATATTGGAGGATGGCCTTTAATTGCTAACAATCAGGATGAAACCACCACAATTAGTGAAGATGGTGAAAACAATGGTGATTCTGATGAAACAATTAACACAAATCTTAATTGGACTGATAGTTATGTTAAAGCAAGAACTGAATGGAATGGTAATTGGATAATTGGAATGCAAGTTATAGTCAATCCAAAATATAAGACAAAATATATAATCAAGGTGAACAATTAAGAACCAGAATGAGAAGAATAATTATAATTTTGTTAATTAAATTAATATATTTCTCTTTTAACCTTCAGATTGATTTACCTGAAAGATCAACCATTTGGGATACTTTGATTAATGAAGATAATTCAACAGAGATTAATAATAAAATCGATGAATACAAGAACTCAATTCGAGGTTGGGTTGAAAAGATGGGACGAAAACGAGGTCAAATGGACAATCAATTAATTGATGAAATGATTAAATTTGAAACTGAATTAGCAAAAGCTCATAAGAATTCAATGTCAGATAAATCTGAAGATAAATTCATGAGTCTTGGTGAGCTGATTGAAACTAGTCCAGACCGAAAGGTAAATGATGTCAATTTGTATTTTCCATCATTTAAAACCTTCAATTAATATCAAACTAATTACCTTGATTTAATTGTTTAGATTCCATGGGAATCATTATTACGAGATGTGTTTGCAAATGTTAATATTACTCTGACAAAAACCGAGCCCATCTTATTGTCCCATCAATCATATTACCAAAGACTTGATGAGATAATTGCAACTACCTCTAACAAGTGAGTTTAAAACTAAATTAATACATCAACTGAATCAAACTAATTGAATATTATCTACTTTTCTTAACAATTAACAGAGTAATTACAACCTACATTGGCTGGAAATTTGTATCACAATATGGTGGACATTTGAATGATTTACCTGTTGATGAAAAGGCTCGAGAATCTTATTGCCTTAGGGCAACATTTCAACACTACAGTCATGCATTGAAAAGACTCTATGTTGAAAAGTATTTTGATTCAACCTCAAAGAACAGAGTTGGTACAATTGTCAAGACAATTAAACAATATTTGATCAATAATTTAAAGACACTTTCAATGGCTGATAAAGATCGAGAAATGAGGAATCGAATCAAAAGAAAAGTAAGATTATCATGAAATTTTCTTTTTCTTGATAATTTAATTGATTGTTTACTTCTAAATTGTTTCGTTAGCTGGAAAAAATTGAGACCTTAGTTGGTTACGATGATTGGATCGCCAAGAAAGATAAAGTCGAAGACTATTATTCAGATATTCCTGATTACGCTGATCGTAAATATCTAGGAAGTATCGTCGATGTTGTTACTGGACAAACGTTCAAAGAGTTGAGACGATTAAGACAAAAGTTCAGCAAACAAATTCCTAATCCGTAAGTAGCTTTAATGTAATTACAATTAAAAGTTTTATCGACTATAACTTTTGATTTATTGTCATTGTTTAGTGATGTTCCTGGTATCCTTTCAATGGACGCATTTTTTGATCAGGAAACTTTGAAATTAGGTAAGTTTTTTTCAATTATAAATTCAAGCTCAAAGTTTGGAAACGGTCAACAATTTGATGTAACTTAGTTACAATTAAAGGCAACAAAACCAAACCAAGGTAACAATTAGGTCTCACGGAGGTTGATTGTTTACAAACGGATCAATGTGCTCATCCCTTACCAACTGAATTAAATTAAGTAATTAGTTGATTTTTGGTGTTTTTCATTGGCTCAAGTTTAATCAAATCATTTCTATCTTTTCCAAACTTTTGAGCTTGACTGTAGTATAAATAGATTTAGGTTGATTGGATGAACTAATTTGGAAACTTTTCTTAATTGTTTACAGTTTACTCTCCTGGTTTATTACAAACACCAATATTTAATGCTGATGCACCATTGCCAATAAATTACGGAGCAATTGGTTCAATCATTGGTAGAGATTTAATTTCCTCTATTGACCTGAAAGGCTCTGAAATCGACGAAAGTGGAGCTAAACGTAATTGGTGGACCACTAAAGCTTCAACTAATTACCACAGTTATGCGAGATGTTTTGACAATGTTTACGATTCAATTGTCGGCTGGAATAATCGATCGTTAGAACAAGTAATTCGAGACGTTGAAGGGCTTCGAATAGCATTTGAGGCCTTTAACGATCTAGTTGCAAGTTCGAGGGACGTTCGTATACCAAAGGACATTAAAAATTACTCTTTGGAGCAAATATTTTTCATCTCTTATGCTCAGGTAAGAGTTGATTGGTAATTTCTCTTGACAATCATAATTAACTTTCTGTTTATCAAATACTAATCAATTGTCCATTTCTTTAATTATCAGATGTTCTGCGCCAATGATAAAGCCGATAAAGTACCAATTAACTTTATAGTCAAACAATTTGCTCCATTTAATGAAGCATTTAAATGTAAAAAGACCAACAATATTAAGAAATGTCGTCTCTAAACAATTAACAAATCACTCCAATCAGCCAACATCAGCCTGATCTTTTTTTCCTCCGTTTTATTTTAATTTACTCAAATTTTTGTCCATTGACAATTAACTCTTTTTTTTTATTCCTCCAATAATTTGAAATTGTTAAAATCACAATCAAAAATTGTCAAACTGTAATTTAATTTTAATTGTAATTCTAAACTGTAATAATAAAAATCTGACCAATAATCTGACCAAATCCACCAAATGATTTAATCATCAAATTCCCAAATAAAAACCATCAATCCAATTTACTTAATTTCAATAGTTGGAATAATATTTTTCCCGATCAACGGAAACGGAAAGAAATTTTCAAAAGTGACCTTTCCCTTTGATCACTCGAAGAAACAATTTACTTTTTTCTCACAACTACTTTGACGATGTTTGATCTCAACATCGAAATGAAGTCGAAAATAATCACCAATTAATTCATTTTCTTAAAATTAAATGAGTTTCCACCATTAAAAAAGTTCAATTGAATTTGGAAAAAACGAAAATTCAAATGTTTGTTTTTGGCGCTTTTCTTCAATCTGTTTACTATTTCAACCAATCAGAGGCGAACACATGTAAGTTTGTTTTGTTTGCTTGATTCTTGGGATTTTAATTCATTGACGGTGGATTAAATTGTTTGTCATTTCAATTGATTTGTGTCCGCAAATTAAATTGATTATGAGTGTTTAAGGATTTTGGTCATCACAGTGTTTTATTGTGGACATTGACAGTTATTGTAAATAACAATTTCATCGACCCAACAAAAGGAAAATCTAAAACTGAATTTTTTGTTTTTTGTTTTGATTGTTTATTTTGTTGTATCTTTTTGACAATATGTATATACATCAAATACCTGTAATTAATACTCTACTTGAAAGAGTTTATCTCAGCAATTTACTATCTGTTTGGATAATTCTTATTTTAAACAGTTTCGATGGTAAGTGTAAATGAATTGGTTCAATTTTTAAGATGATGGATTTTCTGGTTCTTTGATTTAATCTTTTTTCTGGTTTTCTTTTAGGTCTTGATTGTCTATCTAATGATGAAATTGATAGTCATCTTGAATTGGGAAAACAAATGGTAGCCAGAGGACAATATAGTGATGCATTGTCTCATTATCATGCTGCTATTGGTGAGTAATTTTCTCATGTAATCGGATGAGTGTTGGTCATCTTTTTGTTTGCTTGTTAATTGTTGTCATTGTTTCTTTTTTTTTTAATTTTCTCTTTTCTCTTTTATTCCTCAGAGGCGGATCCCAAGAACTATTTAACTTACTTCAAACGAGCAACCGTTTATTTAGCATTAGGCAAATCTAAACCAGCTTTGGAAGATTTAAATCAAGTCATTCAGTTGAAGCCAGATTTTCAATCAGCTCGATTACAACGAGGTGGAGTTTTGATGAAACAAGGATTCCTTGATGAAGCTCATATTGATCTTGAATGGGTGTTGAGAGCTGATCCTTATAATGAAGAGGCAACTCGATTGTACACTTCAATCGAACCAGTGAAACATGATCTTCAAAATGCTTACTTACTCTATAACGATGAATCTTGGCCAATGGCTATTGACGTTTTAACCAAATTAATCCATGAATTACCTTGGGATGTTAAACTTCGTGAAATGAGAGCTACTTGTTTTGAAAATGTTGGTGATTATTTCAACGCAATCAGTGATTTAAGAGCATCAACCAAGTTAAAAGTAGATAACACTGATGGTTATCTAAAATTGAGTAAACTTCATTACAATATTGGTGATGTTGAAGAATCTCTAACAACAATTAGAGAATGCCTTAAACTTGATCCAGATCATAAACAATGTTGGGAACATTATAAGAAGGTTAAAAAGTTAGCCGGACATTTTAAATCGATGAATGAATTTTCACAAACAGAACAATTTAACGAATGTGTTACCAAAGCAAATGCTGCTCTTAAAGTGGAATCACAAGTTATCAACATTGTACAATTAATCAAGAAAAAATCGTGTCATTGCCTTTCAAAGGTAAATTTATCATTCTCACTCATATAATTTTCCTATTTCACTAATTGTCATTCTCATTCTCATTCTCTCTCTCTCTCCCAGCTCGAAAATCCACCCCAAGCCATAGAAGTTTGTACAGAAGCTTTAGAACTCGATCCAAACGATGCAGCTACTCTCTGTGATAGAGCCGATGCTTACCTTAACAATGAAGATTTCGATCGAGGTAAAACAATATACTTTCCATGGATTAATGGGTTAACTGTTGTACTAATTTTCTTTGTGAAAAAAAAACTTTCCTTTCCACAGCACAAGCTGATTTCGCTCGTGCCCGTGAAATTGATCCCGATCTTAAACGAGCCCAAGAAGGTTTGAAAGGTGTCAAAGGACGTCAGCGTCAAGCTAGAGACTATTATAAAATACTCGGAGTTAGAAGGTAATTTTCAATCAATCAATCAACCGCTGATTACTTAATTACGAATAATCTATTCATCAATTGTAACCTTATATCCTTTTCCTTTTGTTAACTTATCGTTTTTACCTTTCTTTTCAATATAGAAACGCCGGTAAAAAGGACATATTAAAAGCTTATCGAAAATTGGCCCAAAAATGGCATCCTGATAATTTCCAAGGAGACGAAAAAGTATCAGCTGAGAAGAAATTTATCGATATTGCTTCAGCCAAAGAAGTTCTAACCGACCCGGAGAAGAGAAGAAAATTCGATGCCGGAGAAGATCCATTAGACCCTGAGTCTCAATCTAATCAAGGATTTAACGGATTTAATCCATTCCATTTTCAACAATTCGGTGGAAAATATACTTTCACCTTTGGATAGTCTCTCACAATCAAATTAATTACCTGTGTTATAATTTAATTTGGAAACAACAAAACTCTAGTAACAAAAAGAAACACAAGCAACTCTTTCCCTTACCAATCATTGAATTACTGCTGAATCAATAAGATAATTGAATGATTTGTGCAATCAGAGAGATTCAAAGCAATTAACTTAATGATTGTTCAAAAAAAAAGAGAAACTAATCATTTTGTATTGAGATGAGCTAATCATCACAGAGATAATCACTAATCTTGTAAGATGTGTAAATACCTTATTTATCAATAACTAAATGAATCTTTATTTAATCAAATTGTAATAAACTTTATTGTCTCATTTTGATGATTTTCATTCATCTTTTCACTGAGCCAATTGATTTAGATTAGTTGACTAATTGTAACCAAACCAATCTACTCAATTTACCTTTAAAAGTTTATGGTGAATGAAAACTTTTGTTTTCCAATTAGAACTCGATAATTAACCATTTTCTTAGAATAGAAAACTAATATTTGTCCAATGTTTTCTTTTTATCTTTGTTGATTTATCTGTTGTTTATCTTTCCATCCGCTAATTAACATTTTCTATTAAGATTTTTAAGTGATTAAGAAATGGTTTAAATCTGTTAACACCTACAATCAGTTTCCTTATGTTGAAATACTTGCAACTAATTTCAAATGTTTTCCGTTCCCATCAATTATAAATTAGTTATTCTTAACTTAATTGTTTGCATTAACTGTATTCACTATTATAAACAATATTCTCTTAAAACTTGGACAATAAGTTTGGACAATTAACTAAATTTCAAGGTGAGTTTTTGATTAACTCTTATTTTCTTAGTGTCACCATTTGTGTGAATATGTTTTCAATTGAGTGACAATTGAATTGAATTGAATATTTTTGTGTAAAAACAAAGAAAAAATGATCAATTATTTAATTGTGTGTCTTAATTAAGGCTCTCTGAGTGTAAGTTAATTGTTCCAATAAATTAATTGTATCCTTTGCCATCATGTTGTGTCAAAAGTTTGTTGTTGTTGTTGAAGGAAAAACTTTGTTATTGTTTACCTTTACCTTTCACTTTCTGTTCAATGTTGGTCAAGAAACAACAATTGTTCATGATGATTATTGAATGTTGAGTAGTTGATTGTTAACTAATCAACTAACCTGTTGTTGTTGTTAATTTGATTGCCAAGGCAGCTGTCATATTGAGGTTAACCACGAATTCATAGTTAAATCATTTTTCTTTCAAATTAGTTCAGTGTTTCAAATGTTTATCTCACTTTCCATTTTCAGTGATTCAGATAATCGACTAAATTAACTCAATCCTATTTCCATTCATGCTGATCAACACCATGGTAATTGTCTAATAATAACTATCTCTTCATTTTCCCTGTTCTCTTTATCTTTCATTTTTCTCTCTCTTTCCTTTCTCTCTTTCTTTTCTCACTTTCTTTTGGTCTCTCTTTCCATTCCTCTCATTGCCTCAGTTTAGATGGAGTCAAGCTAAAGACAAGTTCATTTACTCTGTGTTGTTATTGTTACATTTTCTTGTTTTCTTCATTTCCATTTACAATTGTTGGACTACAAAGTGGCCTTTTTTAAATCTCTCATTAACACCATCATGACGAAAACAATTAAGGTTAAACGTGACCGTTGTTTAATGACCAATGGCCGTCAACATATTCCACTTCCAACTGGACCTTATCAGAATATTGGAATTCGTGATATAATGATTGGTTTCTCTCGCATCTCTGGAATTATGGTCAGACTTTACTATCCAGCGGCAAACAGTGTTCCAATTAAAGGTCAACACCTCATGTGGCCTAACTGGTTACCCCATGAAAATTATCGTGAAGGTTTAATGTCCGTCGGTGGTATTAGATGGTCACCTTTTAAAAAGTTACTCCGTTGGTATACTGGTGATTCCTTTATTCCTGCTTTGACTAAAGCTAAACCTTTGAGAGATCGGAAAATGCCGTTGATTGTTTTCTCCCATGGTATCGGCGGGTGTAGGTCAAGTTACTCAGCCCTGTGTCTTGAATTCGCTTCACATGGTTATATTGTCGCAGGTAAACACTCATAACAATCAAATTACACCCAAACAATTGTGATGCTTTCTCTATAATGACTATTGTTGTTTTCTTTTGGTAAATGTTCATGTCCTTCATTTAGTTGTTTCTCAGGTTATTAATTGTCTTATTTAATTGAAAGTGCAACAATATTTTTCAAGGGCGAATTCATGAAATCATGGTGATTTCAATTTCTTTTGAGAAAATTACAATATCATCAATATTTGTCTTCGGAAGAAAAGTGTTTCTCTTTCAACCAAATCGATTAATTTTTTCTTATTTTCTTGTGATTTTTTTTTCTCCAGCGGTTGAACATCGAGATGGTTCAGCTTGTTGTACCTTCTATGCGAAGGAAACTCGTATGCCCATTTCGGCCTCTAATATGAACCTTCACGCCGTTGATGGGCCATTAAAGTTCACTGACGACGAAGAAGATGGTTATGATGAAATAGATGATCCAAATTATGTTCCCCCTAAAGCTTTATCCAATTCAGCGATAATCCCTCACATAACAACGGACTGGATTCCCTATTTACCCGTTAAGGAGGGTCGGTACAATTTACGGAATAAGCAAATTCACCGACGAGTCAAAGAGTGCATTAGAACACTAGATTTACTTGAAGCTTTAAACGCTGGTTACGAGGTACAAAATCTACTTGATCCACTTTTAGATCCAACAGAATTTGAAAATTTAATCGATATTGATAGAGCCGTGATTATGGGTCATTCTTTTGGTGGTGCGACAACCCTGATGAGTTTATCAACTGAATTACGATTTAAACTTGGAATTTGTTTAGACGCTTGGATGTACCCAATTTATAAGGAAAATTTTGACTTTGTCACTCAGCCCGTTCTCTTTATTAATACTCAATCTTTCCATACAAAGGAAAACCTTAGAGCGATGAAACAATTACTCAAAGTGTCCAATTATGATCGTCCAGATGAATTTCCAAGTCGCCGTGGGTCAAATGCTGAAGGAGAAACAGACAATCAACTAATTGAACGGAAAGTTATCACAATCAAAAATACTGTTCACTACAATCAATCGGATATACCTTTCGTTTTACCTTGGGCCGTTCGAGCGATGATCGGGGCCAATTCATCTCGCAACTTTTTCACCGCTCATGATTTAACTTCGGCACTTTCACTTAATTTCATGTTTAAACACTTGAACATGGAACCAATTAACATCGAGAAAGAGGTTTATCTGAGTATTCACAAGAAGAAATTGAAAGAAGGAATCAAGGATAAAATCTAAATCAAATTAAGTGCACTTTCTACTTTTCATCAGCCAACAATTAACTGTCCGATTATCATTTATCTCTCTCTCTCTCTCTATTATCACAATTCCATTATATTCGTTTTTTAATTGTAATTCTCAATCTTGATCGACAATTTCATTTCTGCTAATTGTTTATTTCTAATCTTTGCCTCTCTGTCTCTCTGCCATTTATTTGACAAACAATCAAATAGCCAAATTCAATTTTATCAAAAATTAATCGATCAACACTTGATTCAATATTATAATTAGATGAAATCTCTTAATTGTTGCCTAATTACCACAAGTTTAGGTTTTTTGAAATCTTGTGTTCACCTGATTAACTAATTGTGTAATTATAATGATATTATTTTTCTGTTGCTTTAATAACATTGATTGAAATTTTTGATTATTGACATGAAAACAACAATTTACTATTGTTTGATTTAATTATCCACTCATTCATTGAACAATTACAATCATCATTGTAAAGTAAATAAACTCATTAATCTGATTAAATTAATTATATTTATGAACAAAAATCGCAGAAAAAACTGATTATACATGTAATTAATTAATTGTATCACCTAACCAACCAGTTTACTAAATTCAATGAACATGATTAATTAATGGGGTTATAATTGAACACTTAAAAATAATGTCAAAGTCATCGGGAAATTAGTGAACAATTAGTGAAATGTATCATATGATTTGATGATTTTAGATTGTTGCGTTTAAAAATGATTAGATAAATTGTCACAATTAACAGCAGAATGAATGTTTTAAATTGTTGGCAAAGTTAATCATTTGAATGAATTGAGTACTAATTGTAAGTACAATTGAGAGACAAAAAGAGTTGTAATAATCATAATCAAATACAACAATTAGGGCGATGGTTCCCAATTAGGGATTATTATTGTTACAAATTCGGTAAGCGCCATTTAAGGTTGAGGTAAAATTGATTCGGTTGTTTATCCAAATTAACTAATCAGATGAAACTTTTTGAAATTTCACTTGTCGTCTTTTTAGATCCTTTTTTAGGCCTCATACAGGTTCGGCCACTTGGTTCAACAGTTAAATCGGGCAGCGATGGTACAGTTGTTGGTTCAGATTTAGATTTCCCTTTGGTAACGGTCGATGTTGCCCCTTCAAGTTTAACGACTGCATCTTGGATTCCCGATGAAAAGAAGCCGGTAGCCTGTTGACTGATTGGCTCAAGAGTTTTGGCCGATAAACGGGCCGTTGATTTAGTTGGTAGTTCACTTGAAAAATCGTTTGTTAATTTTTCATCGAAAATTCTGACCGGGGCAGCGTTTCGTTGACCAGAAGCTTCTTGCTGCTCTAAAACATGGACAATGATCTCATTCTGTTGCTGTTTAGTTTCAACCCACCGTCGAAATGAACACCAAACCATCAAAAGAACAAATAAAACCATAATCAATAGAGTAAAAAAAAATTCTCCAAACGAATTAACCGAATGACTTGGTGGAGACAAAGGAGTCGTTGAAGGAAAAGATCCATTTGGATTTTCGGTAGTCCCACTGGTCGTTCCTTCCGATTGTAGTAACAACGCAAATCTAGAGACCATGGACAATCCATATTCCAACCTAATTAGAAGAACAATTAACACACAAAATGGAAACATTATTTTAACGAGCAAATACAACCAATACAATTAAAAGAAAACCATCTTCTGATTAAGATTCTTTGTCTTTACAACCGTTTGATTAAGCGAAAAATGGACTGACAGCTGATTTTTGACTTCCAATGAAAGGGAATAAAAACCATTTGGAATTGATTCTATTTTCTATCAATTAACTTAACTATTGGAGAAAAGGTAATCGAATAACAATTTAATAGCATCCCTTTTGTTTAATTTACAATTTAAGATAATTTAATTGTTAAAAGAAAAGAGATAAACTCAATTTGAATTGCCCGCCATTCGAAAAGTTTTGTTATCTTTTTTTCTTTTTTTCCAATTTGTCAACTTGAAGATAAGAAAATGTTTTTTAATTAATTGTTTCTATTTTTTTCCTTTTGATTTAATTATTTTCCTTATCTTCTTGGGTTATTATTTTTATTCTTTCTTTAATTTCATGATGGCTTTTGTTGGTCATTCTATTAGAAATGCTCTGCGTACATTTAGAGTTCCAATGGTTGCGAAATATCATCAATCAATTGGTCATTTAAGTGATAATTTTGTTCATTCAGGAAGACGTTTGTTTTCATCTTCTTCTGATTCATCTGTTGAAGATACTTTCAAAATGGCCGTTACTCAGGTTAATGGTCTTCGATCTGAACCAGGTAATGAAGTGAAGTTGAAACTATACGCTTTGTATAAACAATCAACCGTTGGGCCTTGTAATGCTACCAAACCAGGGATGTTTGATGTTGTTGCTAAGTATAAATGGGAAGCTTGGTCCAATTTGGGTGAGAAAAGTAAAAATGATTCCATGAAAGAATATATCAACTTGGTTGAAAGTCTAATTAAATCAATTGGCCTGGTTGAAGGTGAACTTGATAATAATGTTGGTAAAACAGATTCCAATCCATCGGCACAATCATCATCATCATCAACTGATCCCTTAGTGATTACCAATAAACAAGGAGTACTAACGATGAGGTTAAATCGGCCGGATAAGAAAAATGCTCTTCTAACTGAAATGTATCATCAAATTACCAAAACTCTCAATGATTCTGCTAATGATGATAATGTAAAAATGATTATCATCACTGGTACTGGTGACTACTTTTCTAGTGGAAATGATTTAAGTAAGTTACTCATATTTACCTTTGACTCTTTCACCATTTTGATGCTCTATGTTGACTTGGTAAATTGACTGATTAGTTGATTAATATAGTTGATCATTTTTGCTCTTAAATTGCTCTAATTGTACTAAGGATGATTTTATCTCTTTACTTTGATAAGAATAGCAACTGATTTTCTTTGTACTTTATATCGCAAGTACAAAGATCAAGTTATGTTATGATCAGTTGATTTGTTTTTGATTTGATTGATTAACGATCATCCTAATTTCTTGTAGAGAAAGGTCTTGGCTCAAAAGTTGTTTCATCTCAAATCAAGACTCAAAATAAAGATGAAAGTAAGTCTTCAACAGCATCGAATATTTAATTTCAATACAATTAACATTTTAGACCTAAATTTTTCTCCATAACTTTGAAAAGAATCAGCAATTAATAAATTTCTCTCTCTCTTCTATTTTACAGCAAATTTCCAAATTAAACCAACTGATGATATTGTCAAACTCGCTAAAGATTCAGCCTTATTATTGGAAAACTTTGTCAATTCTTTCATCGATTTCCCTAAGCCCTTGGTCGCCGTTATTAATGGACCTGCTTTCGGAATCATGGTTACAACTCTTGCTCTTTGTGATAATGTGATTTGTTCCGATAAGGCCACGTTCCAGACTCCATTCATGTCGACCTCACAAACGCCCGAGGGATGTTCAACTTACACCTTCCCTCGAATCATGGGAACAGCTAAAGCCAATTCCATGTTACTCTTTAATCAGCCATTAACAGCTCAAGAAGCTTTACAAGCCGGTTTCGTTTCTAAAGTGATTCCTCATGAACAATTGAACAATTATCTTGATTCTTGGTTATATGGTGAAAAAGGATTACTAAGTTTCGGTTCAACAATCACTTGGACCAAAGGAAAACCCTTAATTAGAACTGAAGAGGAGAGACAACAATTAAAGAAGGTCAATAAAATCGAATGTCAAATCCTCGCAGAAACTTGGTTATCTCCCGATTTCACCCAGGCCATGATGAAATTTTTCTCTCGTAAAAAGTAAATTTCAATTAACTCAATTTACTTTTTTTCGAGTTGATCAAAAATGAGAAGAAAAAAAGTTCTCTTCAAAGCTAATTTAAATCTCTTCCAATAACAATCATGGTACAATTAGAGAAGAGCTTTTTCAGTATGTTAACTGTACTTTTTACTTTTATTTGATATTAAAGATTTTATGATTAATTAGTTAGGTTTGTTTTCTGTGGTTTATCTTGATGAATTAAAAGTATTGAACATTAGGTATTATTCATAAATTTATCGTTTTGTACTCTCACTTGTCCATCAAAAAAGATACTACACTTTGGTTCAACAATGGACGATTATTAGTGAATAGTAACAGGCTTTAAAAGGTGTGTCGGTGATCATAATAATTTAAGAATAAAATTTATCCACAACGAGATTAATTGTTTATCCTCGTTGAATCAATTTAGATATACATATGTATATGATTTTGAAGAGAAAGAACGAAAGAGATAAAGAAAGAATAATTTTGTCTTTAAATTTAAAGATCGAAAATTATTAACTGATAAAATGGAAGTTTTTTCATTTCTTTTGGTTTGATGTTTACCTTTTAAATAAAAAACATTGATGAGAGTATATTAAGGAAATCCAATGATGAAATTGATGATGATGATGAAGATTGATGGTGATTAATAAATTTTGTCCTTCTCATTTGTTTTTACAATAAAAAAAACAGTTAATCGCTGGTCAATGGTCATCTAGAGTCCAAAGTATGAGACCAGTCCAAGAATTATTTTTTATATCGAAAATGAGGTTTAATTAATCAATCGGGTGAAGATAATTTGATTGGCTTCGGAAAAGCAAGTTGATGATTGTCGCAGGTAGAATTGGATTAATTTTGAAGAAGTTAAAAGAAATGCAGAATTTAATGGTGAAGAGATTAATTGTAAATGGGATTTTCTATCACCAGAACCTAACAAATTAACTCTTATATTATAATATAAAGTATTGAAGAGAAGTGGAAAGTTTTTTGTTTCTATCTTTGTTAGTATTCAATTAGAGGTTAAGTCTTGCACTATCCAGACAAATTAGTAAAATTTACAATCAATCAAATTTATCTTTAAATCTGATTGAACTTAATCTTGTGTGTACTTTTCTCTGTGTCAACGAAACTAAATAGATATTAGATAGAGAGATGAACTTTTCAGGAGAATCCCTTTGTTGTTTGATCGTAAGGGTTAAGGGTTAAGGGTAAAAATGAAGATAAACAAGAGTGAAATGGAGATAAGAAATGAGACTTGATGATAAGATGTCAACAAGGCATTTGTTTGGATGATGTTCAGATTAAAGATGAGGATGATGAGGCTTCATGACTTGGACCAGGCTCCATAGAGTCATCGTCACAATTAGATGTTTCTGGGATTGTTAACATCGATGCTGAGGTTTCTTCTTTAATTGGAGCAACTGGGGATGATATTGAGGAAGATGATTTAAATGTATCCGAAGAGCTGGATTCTGAAGAGTCGATGTCACTATTGTTATTAGTATCATCTAAACCTCTACCTTGTTGTCTTTCGGATGATGAGGAAGCTTTAGAATCCGATTCACATAAATTTAACCAAACTCCACCGAGTTTACGACTTATTTGCTGTATTACGTCATCACAATCGCCGAGAAGTTCAACATCGAAACAAATATGTTCCAAAGGTTCTCGATTAATTAAAACTCGTGGTACATCGGGTGGTATTGCATTAGGAATTAAAGCTACTGGTCGTACTTTCATTGAAGATCCCATAACAATTAATAGATCACATTTATCTTTATCCAAAGCCATAGAATCATGAAACTCATCAGATAAACCTTCACCAAAGAAAACGATATCAGGTTTGATTACTGGCAGGGGTTCAGAGTCTTCGGGACATTCGGGGCACAGTGGTAAATTTTGGGCGAAAATATCCGCCTTGATTGCATCAGAATTTGTTTTGTATCCACATCGCATACAAGTCGCTGTAGCAAAAGAGCCATGGCAAGTAATAACTTTTTCAATACCAGCAGCTTTCTCCAAGGTATCAATATTCTGGGTGTAATTTCGAAGTAATTTGTTCTGTTCTTCAATCAATTTGATGAATTTGTGAGCAATGGAAGGTTGAAATTGACCAGGATAAATTTCCTTGGCAAACTTGAAGAAAGGTCTAGGATCTTCTTTGAAATATTGAATATCAAACATTGCCTGAGGATCAGGTAGATCAGGGAATACTTTCCTCAATCTGGCATAAACACCATTGGCTGACCTGAAATCAGGAATCCCACAGGATACGGAGACACCGGCACCAGTTAGTACAATGATGTTACTACAGTTTCTGATTAAATCGACAACATCGTCCAAGGTATTAACATGGGGTAGCTTTTTACGTGGTGGAGGCTCTGAGAACAAGTTAAGTAGAATTTTCCAAAGAATTAGATTGTCAACTCGAGGAGGTAAATGTTCTAAAGCTTCGGGTAAAACTTCTCGTAAAACGTTTCGTGGATCAGTGCCGAGTATCATTTGTTGTTGAAGCCATTGCATTGGACCAGAGGTGGGTCTCCATTTGTCTTCACTTTCACTCGAAAATGAGCTTCCACAAGATAATTCACTAACTGGTGATTTTGGTTGATCTCCACTTCGACTTGATTCACCGGTTTCTCTAGTATCTTCAGCTGATGTTGCTCCATCACATACTTTATCACTATCAATAGTAGTCCAACTATCCCTACTATTATTACTACTACTGGCTTCATTCAGTGATTTAAAATCGTCATTCGTAGTAACAACAACATTTTTACCATTGATAGTTTTGTCGTTCAAGTTACATCCTAATAAATTATCGTTATTACAATTATCGCCATCACCGCCTTCCGAAAGCATAGTGGGTAATTTACGAGACGATTCTGAAGACATTTCAAGATAAAACTGCAAATAAATAAAAGAGAAACGAAAGAAAAACAATTATAAGAAATCATACATATAAAAAGGAAAAAAATTTAAATACCAGAGAGCAATTTAAAAAGAAATAACGGTACAAAATTAAAAAACTTGATTAAAAGTAAAACAAAAACAGAAGAAAACAAATGAGAGGAGTTTCCAAAATCAATAGAATGAATTAAGGAAAATCTTTTAAAACAAAAGAGACACCACAAAATCACAGAATAACAAAGAGAAGAATTTAAATTGTAAACTTACCGTAATCAAATTAAATTAATTGGAAGAATAATTCAAAGTGATACAGAAAATGGCCGATACACTGAAGGTATAACAGGATCAGGTAGCTGATCCCGATCCTTGAAAGAAGATGAAGAAAGAGAAGAAGAAAAAAGAAAGAGAGTAAAAGAAAGAGAAAGAGAGAAAAAGAAAGAGGCAACCTTGAAGTAAGTAAATTGTTGAGGCCTAGAGAAAAACAGAGAAAATGTTAACCCAATAATCAACTGGATGGTAATTAATTGATTAAACGATGAGTATTAGATGAAAATGGTCCAAAAACATTAAACTGGTCGATCTAAATTAATAGAACAATTAATTGACCCTATCAAGACAATTAAATCTCTTTAAAAAACCAAAACATCAACGTCTAGGATTAGATTTGGTAGAATTTGAGAAAGGGGCTTATACTAATTTCGGTCAGAGTTTTTCTCTTACTGAATGGAAAAATTTTCCTTTTGTTGATCCGATTTGAGAATTAATTTAATTGTTTTATTCGGCTTTTAATTGTTCCATTGTTGTCAATTAGTGAAATTTAGATCAACTATTAATCATTTGCAAGGTTAATTCATGGATGTTGGACTTTTTTCTTCAAAATATTAAGAGTAAGAGTAAGAAAGAGAGAGAGAGAGAGAAAAGGATTTTTACAGTGACATTTGTTGATGTTTTTCTTAATCAATCAAGAATTATTTTCTAATTTAAATAAGGAAACGAAAAAAGGAAACAGAGGAAATAGATTTTGTTTTGTTTCATCTCAAAAAAGGGAATGATAAAGTTACTAAGTTATCAGATATATAGTTAAATATATAATTGGTTTGATGGAATATGAAATGTTCGGGAAAAGAGGATCAGATGATTACAGGTAATGGATTAAAATTGAGGATTTGAAGAGGACAAGGAACAGAAAAAGCTGTTTGATTGTTAGTTAATTGTTGTAGTTCTTGTGAAACAGAAAACAAAAAAAAAAGATTTTATAATAAATAAGAAAGACGTTGAGTTGTAATCATCACCTTAATTCACCTTAGAAGTTTTTTTTAAATTTCTTTTCATTCATAAGAATTTGTTTGTTTGTTTTCTTTTTTAATTGTTTATAGTTGTAATTCTTTAGCACTTTAGAGAGAAATTTTCACCTTTGAATTTCTTCGTTGAAGTTTTGAGTTTTGCGTGTTTCGAGTTTCGTAAAAAAATAGTAGCTCTTCTTTTTGTAGAATTTTTCTTTTTCTTTTCTATGTGAATTCGCACGTCTTTTTTTCGCCAATTTTTTCGTTTGTGTGTTTATGTGTATGTATTTATGAGTGTATGTGTGTGTGTGGGGATGGAGATGCGGTGGTTACTTAAATTGTTTTGTTTCCATCAGTGTTTTCGTTTGATTATTTGTCTGTGTCATCAATTTGCTTCCTTTAATTTGGCCTGAAGCGATGTAACCTTCAACCTTACCAGTAGTAGATAATTTTTTAAATTAATAAATTCATTTCCACGTTGAGGTAATTTATCTTTGGTTATTGCATGAGCTTTTCTCTCACGCTCTAGATCATTTCACAGGCATTTAATTGAACTTCGAGCAGTTTCAAGGTTTACCTGTTCATCTATTGCATCACCATATTTCTTTAAAAAGCAAAATAAGAAGGAAAAAAACAAAACAGATCACAAAATTGAAATACAAATTCAATCAATTAATTAATCATTATCATCATTAATATTAGAATTAGAATGATCGGAATATTCTGATTAATATTAGAATGAATTAAGGAAAATCTTTTGCAACAAAAGAAATTGTTTCTCTATGAGTTTACCTGATATTGGTTCACTTGATTTTCCAATGTCCTTTAGTGACAAGGTTACCAGTTCAATTCTTTTTATTGTCGTCTCCATTTTGTCACGTTCTTGTGTCTTGGTCCTATTGTACTCGTACTTGTAATCACTGGAATTGGTCACTTTAATTAATTGACCCTATCAAGACAATTAAATCTCTTTAAAAACCAAAACATCAACGTCTAGGATTTGGAATTTGAGAAAGGGGGCTTATACTAATTTCGGTTTAGAGTTTTTCTCTTACTGAATGGAAAAATTTTCCTTTTGTTGATCCGATTTGAGAATTAATTTAATTGTTTTATTCGGATTTTAATTGTTGTCAATTAGTGAAATTTAGATCGACTATTAATCATTTGCAAGGTTAATTCATGGATTTTGGACTTTTTTTTGCAAAATCTTCTGTTCAACAAAAATCACCAAAGGATTTTCAATGTAACTTTATTCATTTGTTTATCTAAATTGTTTGAGTTTTTTCTAATCCATGATTAATTCAATTGTGTGATTTGTTTGAATTTTCAATTCAATGTCACCTTCACCATCTTCTGTTTTAAAGTAAGTCTCTTAATTCTTGTATTTTAATGAATTTTTAATCTCTTGTTTCCAGGAATTTTTAATAATCCTCAACAACGATGTAGCAACAACTCATATTCAAGGGAATTGTGGTTTCCATTTTTAGTTTTTTTTTTCTAATAACTTCTGAAAATCAACTAATTGCCCGAAACTGAGACAATATTAGTTATTGGAATATGTTAATTGTCATCTTATTTGACGGAAAATATTCCTAGTTACTGATAAAATGCCGGGTTTTAGATTAACCCAATCAATCAGCTGGACACTTACATACACTCACAATGTGAACAAAAGACTGGATAGAAAGAGTCAATTAAACACCAAGTTAATTGCTGGAGACAATTTATTATTCCTTAATGATGTTTACCAAGGTCTACTTACCATTGTGATAATTGTTTAATCAAAGAAAAAAACGCTCAAAAGTACAATCAACAACAGATCAATCATTGTTACTTTAAGTGTGATAGAAAGCAAAGAAAAGGCCTTGGGGTTGATGGTTTAAGGAAGACGATCATTTTATTTTCCCTATTCACCATTACCTGTGAATAAAAATTCATCTAAATGAACAATATTATTCAATGTTACATGTAACAATCAATGAGTCACCACCACCATTATCACCAACAATCAAATCACAACTCGAAGAAAACAAAAAGTGAGAAAAGGATTAAACCTAATGAAAAGTGTTAAGGTCATTCAATCATCGCCATTATTTTCATGGGTAAGTCTTAATTTCTTGTTAGTATATTAATTGTTTCTATTACAATAGAATCGTTTTTCCAAATCATAACAATTACAATGATGGACTCATAGAGAAGAAGAAAAAATGATTAATATATTTACGTATAGAACCGGTTTGATTTAATTCGGTGATTACAAGTCACGATACTAATGATAATGGTGATTAACTTACAAATTAACATTAAGAAAAGTGTCCAATGTAATTACGTATGTCTCTCTTGATTGCAACTCGATTTCCACTAGAATATATTTGGTTGACAACAACAATTTGTTTTCTTAAAATAACAATTTCTTAATCATCGACACCATCAACATCAACATCATCATCATCATCATTAGAATTAATTTGATTCCCTTTAATTTCCAGTCCGTCTATTACTCGGACCATAATAAATTCAACTCTTTCCTTTATTATTATAACTTTTTTTTTCCTCATCATCTCTCTCACTTTGTCTCCCTCTGTCCTAAGCAATCAAACCTCAATCCTGATTGTAGTTTGAACACAATTACGAACTAATTTAACTTTCATTTGAAAATTTTCTGTCAATTAGTTAACATCTAGTTTTCGCAAGTTTCCATTCACTTGATTTCTTCAATTGTTGTTACTCTTGATTATTCACAAAACTTATTGATTATGATGAAGAAAGTTTTGATCGCCTTAATTGTGATTACTTTCTATCTTACCTTAATCAGTGCCGCTCCCGACAAGAAAAAGGCCACAAACAAATTTCGAGGAAGACGACCCAAAGCTAATTGTCACCTGAAAGAGTTACAAGATTGTATTGAAAAGTTTGATCGTTATACAAATGATTCCCAATCATACAAACTAATTACATCTTCCAGAGGAATCGATGAGATTTGCTCGTAAGTATTATAATTAACATTGATTCCAAAATTAATCGCCAAACTAATTGTTAATTTTATTCTAAAGTAATTCATTGGAAGGTGTTAATTGTTTCAAAGATCACATGGACAAATGTGGAACACCAATTCAGATTGAAATGTTTTCCTTTGTTCTTAATCAATTTGAAAAATCAATCGATCGATTCTGTAAACCTGGTGCCTTAAGAGACGGTAAGATGATGTTAATTACAATTATCATCGTTCAACAATTAACCTAATTGTTATCATTTCTCTGTTCTTTAGATTTCCTTAAGCATTCACCTTGTATCGCCGAGAAAGTTTTAGGTAAAGATGAATACAAATCGAAATGTAATCAACCCTATTTGGCCTCAGTCGATAAGGTTAACAAGCATGAAGATTTTGACGATCGACTTGATCTTACCTGTTGTTCATACAATCGATGGGAAAATTGTCTCCTTCAGTAAGTAAATTGTTACAATCAGTTCAAGTGAATTAATCTAATCCACCGCTACTAAATCCTAATCATCTCTCAACAGAATGACCGGTGAAAAATGTCAAGGAGCTGGAAAACAAGCAATGAACAATTTCATGGAAAAAGCATTCGCCGGATTAAGTGATATGGTTTGCAAACAATCAGATTTCCAATTCTCAAGTGACCGATGTAAATCCTTATATCCAGCCAATGGAACCATCGTTGACCCCAAGAAGACCAATAATCCGATCACCAAATATCTGACCTCATATTTCCGTTTCTTATTGACCAGTTAGATGAATTTGGATTAAAGAAAATATCAACAACGATAATTATCACCAAACATCTCAACTTTACAATACAAAATGAACAATCAACTATATCATATTAATCTGATTCAGATTATTGCAGATAAAAAAGAGGATTAAGATTATCTTGGAACTGATTACAAATTTGATGACTGCCTCTGAATTAACTAACAAATAATTAACTCATTTTGTTTTTGTGATGAAATTATTTTTTGTGTATCTAAATTTTCACATTGTCTTTCACAATTAATTTTATTATTACTCATTAATTAAAACTCCCGTTGCATTTGACCTGATATGGATTAACAATTAACTAACAAAGGAGAGAGAAACTTAATCATCATCATAATCAACTAAACATGCAAAGGACTTTGAATGAGTTTAATAATCTTACAAAGTTTAATTGTTATTTTGTCAATATGAATACTGATTATTATTATTAATATTATATGATATTAACAATTAGAGACTCAAAAGGTAAATTAATGATTAAGTTAATCATTATGATGATGATAATGATGGTCAAGTCTAATTTATTTAATGATAAATGGATTATGCATAATCATAAACATAAATTTACTTTACAATTAAACTAAAGACTTAATCATCTTCCTCATCATCATAATGATGATCAAATTAACATCATCTAACCAATTGAACCAATATAATAGCCACAGTTCATTGATCTTAATGATTAACTTGATTATTAACATGATGATGATTTGATTGACGAGCCTTCCAATCAAATAGTAACCCAAACAATTGATGAAAAAAAGGTAAACTCACCTTTTCATTGTTAACAATTAAGATTAACCAAATCAACTAGAAAACTACGATTAGTTTATTGAAAATTGATCATTGAAATTGAATGAAAGAAAAAGTGACAAAACAAATGACAAACAATTAAATTGTTACGAAAAAGTTTCCAACGAAATCAGAAAACTTTTAATATGATGAAAGAAAAACATTGGGACATTGAACGTATTGTTTTTCGGCTTTCAAATGTTAATTAAATTAATTCTTCAAATTGATTAGCATATTCATGGAAGAATAAGAAATTTAATTTAATCTTAATCATCTCCAAGTTAATGATAATTTACTAGTTAGTTAATTTCTACACTTGGGTTAATTTTCACAATCAATGAAAAGTGTAGGTTTAAATTATTGACAATCTTAACCACAATCATGAATACAAATTAACTCACATTGATTGTCCATCTAAACCCACCAGGTAAATAGGAAGATGATGAAGGGCGAGTGAGTGAGAGAGAGAGAGGGAGATTATCAAAAGACTCCCACTCATGTTTAATTCTTAATCATATGTTGTGTTGTTGTCTCTTGATCATCTCTGTGTTGGAGTCAATTTGTTTCGCCTTCACAATTAAATTGCTCTTTTCTTTTAACTTGATTTGTTCAACTAATCGTTTAATCATCTCAATGGTTTTTTATTACTTCTACTTTAACAATTTATTGATTGTTACAATGTAAATGGTTAATTTAGTTGTATTTGTTTCTCTTGGGTGAGTTGATTCACTTTTTTCTCTTCGCTTTTTTTTATGTTCCCTCGCTTTTTGTTTTTCTCTTTCTCTCTCTCTTTTTCTATCATTTTTATTTCTCTCTTATGATTTTCTCTCTTTCTTCATGTTTCTTTTTTTTTCTTTCTCTTTCTCTTTCTCTCTGTTTTGTTTCTCTTTCTTTTTTTTTCTATCAGTGTTTATGTGTTGTTTTTTTCTTCTCATTTGGAATTAGCATAATTTATTAATTATCATTGGAGATTATTATTAATATTAACCAACGATTTTTTCTTCTTCTTCTTCTATTCAAGACAAAAGAAAAGAAAAAGGTAAGTTGATAATAATAGTGAGATGATGAGAGAAGAAAAGAGAACGATCATCAGTAAATCTTCCAATCTCATCGCCCTCAGGCAAGTTCAACCTTCTCTCTCTCTCTCTCTCATCATCTCTTCCTTTTCTCTCTTTCTTTCTCTTCTTCTATCATCCTTCATTTTCCACTGTTTCTCTCTACATCCTCACTCTGAATGAGAAGAACTTTCAAACTTTTTTCCTTTTTTTTCTTTTCTACTCAACATTTACCTTAACTTCCAATGTTTGTGTCTTATTGTTTCACCTGAATATCTTTTTCTTCATCTCTCATTCTCCGTATTGTTTTGTTTTTGCTAATTAGAACAACTAATTAGCCAGTGAACCTCTTTTTGTGAATCATCACTGGTCAGCAGGTGAACCGGAAATGGCCTTCCTGTGCTCTGCTCGTGTCAGACGAAATAAGAAAACCAAAGGTTTGTTTATATTCATTTCCAATGTTTTTCTATTCATTTTTCTCCTTCAACATTTAATCAACAAGTTCTTTCTTTACTCTCTCTCTCTCTCTTCTCATTGTTTCCCTCTATATTTCGTCATGATTGTTTACTGTTGAAATTGAATTGTATCTCTTTTTTTCTCAATCGTTTAGATTTAGACAAACCACCGGTTCGTCAGCCGATCCTTGGTCGTATAACTGGAAGTGCTTCCATTGAGACACTTGTGCGTGTTGGTATTGAAAAAGAAAATGGTTTATCACCTGATTCCAAGATGGTTGTTCTACATGATTTTAATCCCTGTGTTGATGATGAACTTGAAGTTAAACGAGGCCAAATAGTTGATATTTTATATCAAGAGAAAGGTTGGATCTATGTGATTGCCGAAAATAATCAGGAAGGTTTCATACCTCATTCGTATTGTTCACCAATTGGCAGTCATCTTGCAGATTTAGCGTTAAATGTGAAACACAAAAAAGCTCATAGACTGGAAAACACCACAAATGGTACCACATTTGAGTCAACTAATGAAATTAATCATAATAATCACCATTCAACTTATCTTAATATCTCATCTCATCACAATCATCACCACAATACCAATAACAGTAGTAGCACTCAGAATCTAAATAACAACAATAATATCATCAATAGCAATCTAAATGTCAATAATAACCACAACTCTAGCAATTTTCATTTATCTCATCATTCATCTAATCACCACCATCATCATCATCATCATTCATCCTCTCATCATCTAAATCATCATTATTCCAATAGTAACCAAAGCCATGAAGAAGATATTAAAAACTCAAATCGTTGTCAACTCGCCGATAACAAAAGTTCAACGCCAACCATTGAGGTTTCACCATTTAACAAGGATCCTTCTGGTCATTATATTGTTTTATTTACATTTATCGCTCGCGATGAGAATGACGTTAGTGTTGAAAGAGGTGAATCAGTGACTGTGTTAAATAAAGATGATTCTGATTGGTATTGGATTGTCCGATCAGATGGTCAAGAAGGTTTTGTCCCATCAGCTTTTCTTTGTCCCTTCGAAATGATACAAGGTAAGAATGTCTCTTATTCGAATTAATCTCAGTTAATTACTAGGATGCAAATAAATTCTCTTTTCTTCTCTTCCCTCCTCTTTCTCTCACCAAATTGCGAGAAAAAATGAAAAGTTTTCCATTTCAAACATTGCGCTCTTTTATCTTTTTCTAAAGAAAAAAAAACCGCGACAACGATCAATGAGAACTTTTTATTTTTTAAATGTTCAACATAATCTGACAATCAACGAATTGTCACTAATAATTGTGTCTAGAATCTTTTATTTATTACCTTGTTTTCCATTGATATTTTAAACATTCACACGTCTATCAATTAAATTGGACAAGAAGATAAACTTAAAGATTAAAAGGTTGATTTAATCCTTTTAATGGATTGATGATTGTTTCTTTTATTTTTTTAGTGTTTTAAGTTTGCGTGCAGAACGTTTTTTGTAAAAATCTCATCTTAATTTCTACCTTTCTCTCATCATCTCATCTTTATGTTTGTCTCTCTCTCCTCATCTTTTGAATCATCCTCATCTCTCTCTCTCTCTCTCTCTCTCATTTGATTTGAATCTAGTTTAAACACCCACTTAGCTACCCAGATTTGAAACAAGTGCTTTTTTGCTGCTGATGCTTGTTACCGTGAAGATGAAGATAAGGATGAGGATGAAAGAGAGACAAACGTAAGGTCAACTCCGTTCTCCGTTTTTTACTACCCAATCTTGACCTTGTCTTCTCTTCTTGTGAGACTATCTCATTTTACGGTCTCACAGTTATTTACCGCTGTGTGTGTCTTAGGCAGGTCTTTTTAAGTCAAATATCGGTAGGAGAAATCTTGAAGAAGATGAGAAAGAGAGTGAGAGAGACAAAACTAGTAATTAAGAGCGTTTCTCTCTCTCTCACTCATAATTCTCCTCCCTTCTCACTCGATCATATCGTAATAGTAGCGTTGGTTGTCCAAGATTTATGTGTGATTGTAACTTAAAGAGAGAGAGAAACAGATAAAAAAATATAGAGAAAAAGTAAACTTTTCCTGAGCATCTTTCATCCTCATCTCTTTATCTTCTCCACCCTCCAGACTCTTGATATTTACCTTATACTGACCATAATAATAATAAGATTCCCGCTGGTTCAGTCTATATATATTCTCTGCTTCTGATATTTGATTATGGTGAGAAACAAAATCAAACAGAGTAGTTGATGATAAAAGTCTGACAAGAAAAGTAATGAAATGATCATCCCGATCATCGAATCGCTATTATGGTGTTTTTACCTTTAATCCTCGCCCAATTTTCGTTGTTTTTTTTTTTTCTTGTTTCCTCCTTCTCCTTTTCTATTCTCCCTCCCTATTTTTATTCTCTCTTCTTTTCCTAACCAACTATCTATTCCTTTTCCATTCTCAGCTCTTTTTTCTTCTCCACTATCATCAAAATCATCTTTTTCTTTTTCTAGTTCTTGTTTCTTGTTCTTCTTGTTAACCATCATCATCATCATCTTTTTCTCTTCTTTATCTATACATACAATATGGTTTCAATCAAGAAACACGCCGGTTACATAAAAAACTTCACTGATCCGCCCAGAATGTAAAATTTAACCTTTTTCAAGTTTAGTGTATTAAATCAACTGAGGATAAGGTGTCTGGGGTAACGTATTAACGATCCGAAGAGAGTTTACCTGAAGACGAGACAAGGCTGTAGCAATTAAATGAGAATAAGATGAAGATGATGGTGATGGTGATGAAGAAGAAGTAAAAAGAGAGAAAAAGATGAAAAAGATGAAGAAATAAAAAAAAGAAGAGAGAAATCCAAGTTTCAAGAACTCAACTAATGATCTTTTTTTTTCCTTCTACTCTTACCTGTGCCCTTGATATTCAGACCCCAGTATGGTTCATCAGCAGGCAGCAAACTCCTCAGCGCCCACCTCAAATGGTAATTCATGTAGCTCAATAAACCGATTGCCCAATGGAAATGGAGCTGAAAGTGGTGCTGGAAGTGGAGGAGGAGGTGGAGGAGGTGGTGGTGGTGGTGGTGTAGGTGGGGGAGGTGAAGAAAGTGTTGGGATTCTTGGAGGAGTAAATTTAGGATCATTTGGAGTTTTAAATCATCAACATAATAATAATAATAATCATTCATTTATTAATCATAACTTATTGAATGGTGATCATGATGTTATCTCATCCAGTCCTCCACCTCCACCTCCATCTCAAGATGATGATGGTACTTATGGTGGTGGTGGACTTTTAATGACACCGTTGATTGAAGGAGGTCGTCCTCATGGAACCGAGTTGGTCATGTTATATGATTATAAAGCTCAAGCACCAGATGATCTTAGTGTCAGAAGAGGTGATTGGATTTACGCTAATTACAATAATCAAACAGTTGATGGTTGGCTTTGGGCTTACGCACCCAAAGTGCGTAAATATGGTTTCATACCCAAAGCCTACGCGAGACCTCCCGCTATTACCTCATAACGAAAAGCAAAAAGAAAGAAAAAGAAATTAATTTCTATTAATTGTTGTAACTCATTAATGTCACAAATCATCGTCGCAATCTAATTAAGGATAACCCTGATTGATTGAATTCTGTTTACATTTTGTTTGCAAAAAAAAGAGGGGCCATCAAACATCATCATAATCATCATGATCATCATCATAATCATTTTTAATCACATCCTCTTAAGATGATAATCAAAGTTAATCACAGTTTCTACTTTATAAAAAATGGATGAAAAAACAGTTACAAATCTTAAAGTGGATTTAATTTGTGTTTTGTTTTTTTATTTTCTTTATCCGTTGATTGACGATTAACACACACACACTCACTGGATTTAATTATAATCATAAACATGATTTAAAGCAAGATAATATTGGAGATTTAATCAAACATCTTCTCATCATAATCAACTTTGATACCTCTTTCTCACATCAACCATTAATGTTTATCTTTATTTCTGTATTTCTTTATTATTTTAAATGACCCAATCAACATTTTCACATCAATTTCATTCACAATTATCATCATCATCCTAATCGTCAGTTTATAACTGTTAATTGTACTTTTTTTTTTACTATTTAACTTAATTTTGCTAACTGTCTTTTCCTCTATTGAGTTCAATTGATCTTTTGATAAGAACACTTTGTATCAAATGATATTAAACAAAAGTTAAATCTAATTTTGATTTTCTCGTTTTAATCAATTAATTTCAACTTAATTATAAGGAAATTGTTGTTGAGAAAAATAATTGTGCGGATACAAGGATAGAGAGCAATTAATTGATCGTAACATTAAATTCTGAGAAAAGATTAACAATTTTCGTAAAGATTTTTGGTCAAATGGATGATAAACTTTCAATAATTAGAACATAAATTATTATAGATAATTGTAAATTCTATTAACTAATCACAACAAGTGAAATTTATGGAAGTAAATTGGTGATTTTTTATGGAAATTTGTCAGCTTAAAGTTCATAATTACGAAATTTTCTAAGAACTTCGTCATCATCATAATCGCGTTCCCAAGTAAATTGATTTGATTTAAAAGTTTGACTATCATCAGGTAAGGAAATCATTGGGTTGGTGGTTCGTCGATTCATCCAGTGGAGCGAAGTGTGAACATTACGAGAAACATTAGTCCATTTATCGAATGGAAGAGAAATTCCTGAATCGAGCCATTTATCGTATTGTTTACGATTCTCAGCATCGGTTAGAACTTCTTTGGCCTTTTGTAGTTTCTCAAATTCTTGAGTTGCTGTTGCGTCGTCAGGATGTTTATCTGGGTGACATTTAATTGCTCGAAGTCGATATTCTTTCAAAATTTGATCAACCTGTAAATAGACAAAGAAAAAAATAAAACAATCACAATCAGTTGAGTTAATTGTTGGATAAAGAAAACAGGAAGATAAATTTGCTTGGTGAGACTATGTCAGTGATATTATTGCAAAACCACTTGATGAGCACTTATTGTTAATGTATCTTTGTGATTATCGTTGATGGTGACTGTTTATATAATCACAATTAAATGGTTCGATGTGAATGAAAATCAATTTTATAAATATTGTAAAATTCACTAAACTGGATCAATTGAATAAATTGAATTTCAAGGAGAAATTCATACAGAATCAACCAGAATATCAGATAGCTGGTCAACTCTATCAACGAGATGTTTAATCACTTTCATCTTTCAGCAATTTGGTAAACTTATTAAGAATTAGTTGGGCAATTACAATCTTCGACTAATTAATATTAACATACATTGGATAATCGATCACACCCAAGAATCTTGTAGTAATTGTCATCGTGATTTTTGTCAAACGAAAAAATATCTTCCATTTTATTCGCTGGTAAGTAATTGATTCCAATAGAATTCCGATGGAAACAGAATGGACACACCTGAGATTAGAAAATCACACAAAAGAATCAGATAATTAGAGAAAATAAAGAACAACAATTAAGAAAATAGAAAAGAACCAAAATAAACCAGAATAAACAAAGGAAAACATACCAACTGTGGCTCCGAAAATCAATCAATTTATTGTTTCCTGATCTCTTTGAATTTTGAAACTATTTCATCAATTGATAAACAGATTATGGTGATGGTGATGGTGATGATCAAGTAATCACAATTAGAGTAAATTAAATCAACCTTGGAAATTGTTATCACAGTGAGAAAAAAAAAACAAATCAACAAGTGAAGTGAATATACAAAGTGAGAGGTTTTCACTTCTTTCTTTAAGATTAGATATTAATCGAAACCAGTGGTAAGAATAAATGACTTTCCTTCAGCCGTTCAATGTAATTCGGTTAAAATAATTCACAATTAAACAAAAAGAATAGAATTTAATTGTAATTAATAATTAAAGTTCTAATTTGTTGCTACTCAAAAACAGAGAATTTGTAGTTGGGGGTGGAATTGGAATTTCCCCCAACATCTGAGCAGGTGAAAAGCTTTTAGAGGAACCGAGAAATTTTGTTTCTTTTTTTCTGTCGGTATTCATTCATCATCTTTACTCTTGATTTTTTTCTCTTCTTTTAATTGTCACCTAAATTTATTAACTATTAACAGTCTGTGATTAAATTGGTTAACAATTAACCTTCGTTCTTAATTTTGTGTTAAAACATTTTCAATACGATACAATTGTTATTCTTTTGCGTTTTCTCTCTTTCTACCTTCTGTCTTCATTATTTTTTCTTTTCTTTTTTTCTCTCTCGCTCTCTTTCTCTTCATAAAACACACGCTCTCTCTCTATCTCTCTCTCTCTCTTTCTCTTTCTTTCTTTTAATCTTCTTCATCTTTTCATCATTTTGTTTCAAATTCTGTAGAAAATTCTGGTGTTAGATATTCTATTCTGTTTTCTGAGTGACTCTCTCTCTCTCTCTCTCCCTTTCTCTCTTTCTCTTTCTCTTTTCCTTTCTTCCTCTGTTTTCCACTTCTTTTGGTCACATTTTCAAAAATCTCTCCATCTCTCCTTCTCTTCCTCTCTCTCTCTCTCTTTCTCTCTTTCGCATTTTCTATCTCTATTTACTTATCTAACTATCTCTGTGTGTTTACCTTTGATTTTTTCTCGTTTTCGTTTTAATAATGGCCAATATTGCGACCCAAAGGATACAACGTGAGTTGAACGAGGTGGCCAAATTTGACGAAGCTCAGCGAAAATCAATTTCTATAGAACTAGTAAATGGTAGTTTATTAGAATTCACAGGAAAAATCACAGGTAAGCTTAATCTCTCTCTCTCTCTCTGCTGATCAAACAATTTCTTTTTCCCTTCTACATTACTTGTTATGTGTTCTCTCTCCCTTTCTTTAATTTAACCTGCAAAAATTGAGTTCTTTAGTGTATTGCTAATCCAAAAAGGCTTCTCTGTCTCTCTCTCAACTCTTACAGAGATCATTGATCCAAGTCCTTCTCTCTGTGTTGATTATTTTTAAGCACACCAATTGTATCAATTTAACCAACAATGACAAGATAATTTGTTGTTTTCTTGATACAATCTTAAATCCATTGTCACCTAAACTCTCAGTTATTAATCTCTTTCTGATGAAATCTTTAACCTTAGGAAGATTCAACTAACTTGATATTTTCTATTCTAATATTTTCTTCTTTACTCTTCATCTCCTTTAGGTCCTCCTGATACTCCATATGAAGGAGGTGTATTCAATTTAGAAATTAAAATACCTCAAACTTATCCATTTAATCCTCCTAAGATGAGATTCACAACCAAAATTTGGCATCCAAATATTTCATCAGTTACCGGCGCAATTTGTTTGGATATTTTGAAAGATCAGTGGGCAGCTGCAATGACCATAAGGACAGTTTTACTCAGTTTACAAGCTTTATTAGCCGCAGCTGAACCGGATGATCCTCAGGATGCTGTGGTTGCCAAGCAGTTTAAGGAAAATTATCAACTGTTTGCTCAAACAGCTAAACACTGGACCTCAGTTTATGCTCGGCCCGAAAATGATAAAGAAAAATGGTTCAATCCTGATTTCGATGCTAAAATAGCTAAACTATGTGAAGTCATGAGTTGTAGTGAACATCAAGCTCGAGTTGCATTATCATCAAATAATTGGGATCTTGATCGGGCTACTCAATCACTGTTACCTTAACAATTCCATGTTCAGCCTAAATCATTAATTTAAATCCGTCTTCATCATTCTGTTTGTGTCTTCACTCATTTTTCTGCTGTTGTATTTGAATTAAGGAAAACATCAAATTGTCGGGTATCAAAAGAAAAGATCTTTAAAGACTGATTGGATATTCTCAATATATATTCTCAGTATTATGATAAATGATATCAACTTATCATTTATAGTAATTATCAGGGAATCCAAAAAATCTTACCTTTCTTCATTTGCAACCGCAGAACCTTATATAAAGATACATCATTCCAGTTACTACAAACACCAAATGACGGACATACAAAACAACTATTAATGATAACTGTTAATAATGATTAAGATTGTTTAATTATCCATTGATTGTGTTAATAATGCTGATAAATACCCATGTAAACAGTTAAATTTTTGTTTCTTTTTTTTGACAGTCTTCGGGTAAATCAATGGGGTAATTGTTTAGGTGAACTAAAAAAGGAAAGGATATTCAATGCAATCAAACAAATTACTTCTAATTTACCATTATAATTACAATTTCTACTACAATTGAAATCATCATGAACCACTAATTCCTACAATTGAATTGCTCACTTTTCTGGACATTTCATAACAAAAATTGTTTTCCTCCTTCCCAATCAGCTGTTTACTTACAAGAAATTAATTTTCTTCTGCCAAAAACAAATACAAATCAACCAATTGTTACTTTGCTGCTGTTGTAGGACGATCAACTGTAAACAATTAACTAACAATTTATCTCGATAAAAGTTTTCCCATCAGAATACATCACAGCATAAAAAATAATCCCAATCCCATAGTCCTAATCCTAATCCTAATCCTATTTTGTTTTTTTCCATTCCTAATCAAAAGTGAGAATCAACAAATAATTACGAGAAAGAGTAAAATTATTTACAATTAACCTTTAATTGTAATAATTGCCGATTTGATTTAATCCCATTCCCACTACCTTTGATTGAGAATTGGATCAAAGGCTCAAAAACAAATGAAATTATTATTAAAATGGTTAATCACCATAAAACTATAATTAATCATGAATTTTTTTTTCCAAAAATCGTTCAACAATTTAAAGTGTAAACCATTTATAAATCATCATCATTAACAAAGTTTATACTCTTAATTGTATTTTCCCTGTTAAAATCTATCACATTTTATTAGCTACGATTCTCAACAATTAATAGTTTAACTTAATAGTTGGAACTTAAGTAATTAATACCTTAAACGATGTTTTAATTGTATCACAATAATCAACTCTTCCGGTGAATCTCAAACGATTTAATGTTCATCCGGAACTAATTAGTTTCTTGATTAGTAACGAAAAAGTTAAATTTAAAAGATCCAGTTATTAGTTTTAACTGTTATCAATTATCATCATCATCAAGATAATATTTAGTTTCGAAATCAAAATAATTAAGAAGATACAAATTGTACAATTAACTTTTGATCGCTCAGAAATCAATTAAAAACATTTCTTTGTTAATTCACTGCTAATTATTGAATTGGATTGAGGAAAAAACTACAATTAACCAAACACAATTAAGGAGCACATTTTTTTAAACATTGACTTAATCTAAGAAATGAAAACAAATCAAATCAATGATAACAATTAACTACTCAAGTGTTATTAATAATTATCTTTTTGATTGGTAAGTCAATTACAATCAAAATTATTAATAGTAGATGTTAATAACTTACTGATTGTGCTACTTAATTGTAAACAACTGACTCAATTAAATTGTGAATATGATTAAAGTTTCATGGGTTCTGATTGTGTTTTTAATCACTTTGACCATAGGTAAGTTCAATTGATTGTAAAGTTTCAAACAATTAGTACTAATTGTTGGTGTTTTCTGTTCAGGTACAAGTTCATCAATAAAAGAGGCTGATTTTTTGCGAAGTGTAGTCAAGAAGTACAGTCCGTCGTTGGTTGTATCATTTTTGAAAACTCGAATCAATTATAATAAGGAAATGATCGGAAAGATTAAGAATCTAACTGTTAATTTGGACCAATCAAGACGCGATTTGTTTGATTTGAATGAAAAATTTTACTCTGTGATGGTTAATCAACTAATTACTCTGAAAGATGCTGATTATTTTGACACCGATGGTTCAAACAAGGTTAATTATTTCATTGAACAATTTGTTTTACAAGATGAATTGTATCCAATCGGATTTGGTTCCTTTGGTATGGTTAAGGTTCCGATGACTCCTGATGAGTTAATTAGTCAATTAAATGTAAAACCAGCAATTCATTTAATCAACGAAACCAACATCTTAATCAAAAGTTATATCAACGATACTGAATCAAAGGAGTTGATTGTTGGTAACAATATAATTCAACAATTATCTCTTACTATGACAAAAGCTAAATTAAAATCGTTGCTTGAATTTAATTATGTTTCTGGATCGGAAAATCATCAAATTGGAAACAATTTAAAAAAGTTGAAAACAATTTCTGATTTTTTTTACTCTCAATATGATCAACTATCAAATGAAAAAATGTCTACTTAATTGTGAAAATCAATAAAAGATTAAAACCTAATTATCAATCTCGTTATTTGAAGATCCTGAGTTGATATGTTGATAGATCATAGTTGATTGTAATTAAGTGTTTGTCTTAAATATTATCCTGATTAAAACTCTTTTTGAGTGTATTGATGATCAAGATTGGATTGATTCAGTATTAGTTTATAATTGCAACTGCAACTCTGTTAATCCTAATTGATTAACTATCAATAGAATTACTTTTTGATTGAATTTCTGTGATTTCTGTGTATTTAAATCGGTTATTAATCTGATCCAACAATGACAATCAAAGTGATTATCCTTTTAACTCTGTTGGGTAAGTGAACAATTATAAACTGATTTAATTCAGTTTTCATTCAATTTCTTTGAATATTTTTCAGGAGTAACAACATGTCAATCAGTTTTATCACTGGAGGAATCAACTCTCTTAGATGAGGTTCTTGATCAATATAGTGTATCGATGGCAATTAACTTTCTACATGAAAGGATTAACACAAATTTGGAAACAATTAAGAAAACTAAAAGTAATCAAATCTATTTGGATAAGTCTAACCGAGATACATTAACTTTAGCTGAGAAAAGTTTATCAATTTTGGATCAACATTTAACTGCAATGGAAAAAGCTGATTACTTTGATTACGATGGAACCGAAAAAATAAAACAATATATTGAACAATTTACCATGAATCTTGAGATGTTTCCAATTCAATCACAATTAGACTCAAAATGGGAACTGGAAATGGCCAATAATGTAGATCAGGTAATCGCCAGATCTAAAAGTAAAGACAACGATCCTTTAATCATTGAAACCAATCAGATGATCAAAAACTACTTGGATGATTTGGAGAAAAAGGAAACTGATCAAGACAATAGTCGATTACAAAAGTTATCAGCGTCTCTTGCTAAGGCCAAATTGGAACCATTAGTAAATTACCGATATAGTTTACCGACGGTTGAATCAGATTGCCAGAATTATCACTATCACTATCAACCGTGTCCCCAGAAAACTATCGATAATAGAAAGGATGAGATCGAAATTGTTCTGAAAAAGTGAAAAAAATTGTCGATCTTTTTTATTCTAAATTCAATTATCTTGGAAATGCAAACAAGTCAAGCCGTTCAAAAATCGTTGTAAGGCCACAAACACCCTCAACGACTTCAGCACCAATCGAATTAGAAACACAACTATACAGGTGGGAATTATTGCCAAATTAATGATTTAGTTTCTATCCACCGATCGTACCGAACTTATTTTCCCTACAGAAGAAACATTTATGGAGGTGATATCGCTTAGAGAAAGTCGATTTTCACTGAGTTGATTTGTTTTTATCTCTTTTTTAATGTTGTATTAATATCAACATGATTGGAAAATGAATTGAAAATATTTACAATTAGAAGAAATAAAAAGAAAAACAATTAAGAAATTACAATAAAAACGATTAGGAAAATTGATGAAATCCAAGTGATTAAGTTGATGTCTAAAGTGATGGTGATTTGATGAAGATTGATTCAATGATGAAGATGAATGATTGATTAATTAATTTAATGACTAACAATTAAAATGAATATGGTGATAATGATGATCTCCTTTTGAACATTTGCTTTGATAACATTGATGTTGGCATAAGAATTGGATTTGAATCTAAATAGGATCGGTTGATTGTTGCTGGGAAAACAATTGGTCTTGATTGTGAAGATGATGAGGGTAAAGCAATTAGTTGATTAAAGGGAAGCCCTTGAGTTGAATCTAAATTTGGTAATCTGATTACTCGAAATTTGGATTGATTTTTGTTCTTTTTGCTTCTCGATTTTGATGATCGACGTCGATTTGATTTATTTTTACTTCGATATCTTCGTCTTGAAACCCAACCATCTCCAAAAGCTTTCACTGAATTAATCTTCGGATTAGTTAATTGTTCATCCCAATTGTAGTTAATTGGGTCACCATTTCTGGAATTACTGTTCGATTGTGATTTAGATTTTTTTGATTTTCGATTTGCTAGTTGACTTCGATTATTTTTTCTTGATTTTTTCTTATTAACAATAATCGGTTCTCCAGTGATTACAGTTGATTGTTTGGAACCAGTTGATTGACTTTCTTGAGCCTCTTTTTGATTAAGATAATCTAACCAAGGATCGTCAACAATTTCCACTGATTCTTTAGGTGATTTAACAGTTGATCGTTTAGATGAGCCGACTATTAATTTACTCGAATTAGTTGATTCACTTTTAATTGTCTTGACTGTAGATGAAACAGTTTTCGTTGTCGTCAATGGAATGGGACTGATTGTCGTTGATGAGGAACTTTTTCTCTTTGATTTTTTAATTGAAGTTTCGGTTGTAATTTGGTTCACTTTCGGGCTTCGTGTTGTAGTTGGGGCTGAGTGGTGGTTGTGGTTGGGGTTGTGGGTGTTGAGGTGGAAGAGGTTGGAAGGGATGTGGTTGATTTAATTGGATTCTCTGTAGAAATATCAACTTCTTCTGTTGAATTTTCCATTCTGATTACATGGGCTTGGGTTGATTCGGCCATTGCATGTTCACCCTCAGGGTAATTCGGTTTGTAGCCATATTTAGATGATTGTGGTTCATCATCAGTTGATTTATCTTTGTATGTGTAAACTTGTCGCTTGATTACTCGATAACTGCGACTTGTATCATCTTCATCATCTCCTGTGTATTCATCATCATCACTGGAATCAGTTGATTCTTTAACTCTAACAATTTTCACTCGTTTAGAAGTGTCCAGAGCTTCAGGTAAACCATAATCACTTGAAGATCCACTTGAATCTAAGGTTGAGTATTTGGTTTGAGTTTCACTCCAAGGAGATGAAAATTCTGGTCCAAGTGCGGCCATTGCTGATTCTTCCAGCATACTGGGAATCAAATGACCACCGGTCACCGACATTGAACTCGCTGGTGGACCAAGAATCTTATGAGAGATCACAATGTGTTTAACTGGTTTTTCTTTCTCTTTCTCGATAATTTTGATCTTCTCAACTTTCGGTGATTTATCACATTCCGAGGACTCACAAGACGATCCATGATTATAACCTGGCCTTTTACCACCAACGGCAAAGGTCACACTTAAAGGTGAAACACCGTCCCAACCACCAGCACCCCAAGGACCCATAAAGGGACGACGAAGGGCACCAAATAGATAACCAGAAATAACGGTCTTAGCAATGGAACGATAAATTTTAAGAGAATCATCGTCACCTCCGTCCATCAGGTCATGTTTACCAAGAACAATTTTCGGACGTAGTCGGATGATTGGCCGTAAAATGGCCTCACATTGATCGGTGACAATTATGAAAACAATAAAAGCACAGAAAAAGTTGACAAGTCTCATTGTTTGGACTGATATTTACACTGGAGAAACAAATTGTCCCAAATCTTATCTTTACCTTTAATCGTTATTAATGTTGATTGTTGTTTACAGTTATGATTATGACTCGTTGATTGGTGAATGTAAAATTAGATTTGATTAAAAAGTTAATTCCAAGAAATCCGGAAGAGTTGATTCTCGATTCTGGTGGGTTTGGTGTATCAAAGAGGCGGAGGCCACTTTTACTTTTTACCCGAATTTTCAATTAATCAGTATCACTGTTAACTAATTGAACAATCATCATCAATCTGATGATGATGATAATATTAAAATAGAGTTGATTTAAGTGACCGGATTTAATCAGGAAGTGCCTCGGGCTAAAAACTGTCCAATTAACTTATTAACTGTAACTTTCACTTCTTCATGTTCATCTTATTCCAGGAAGACTAATTTTAGATGATAATAAGACATTGAAAGTGATAGAAAAAAATTTTTCATTCATAATCAGCGATAATTTAACAATTTAAATGATTGAAAAGGTAAATTCATTGATTATGATTAAATTTAATTTTCTTGTTTCTTCCCAATTTTTTTTTTCATTACTCAAAGAGAAACTTTCATGATAATTTTATTCTCAAATCTGAAAGTTAACCTGATCCACTGAGATTAAAGTTCTTGTCTCAACAAGATTGAATATTAATCGCAATTAAATTTGATTGTTACGATTTTTGGGAAAATCGGTTAACCAAAAAGCTGCAATATGAAGACAGCCCCTGGAAAAATAAACAAATGTTTTTGAAATTTTTTCAATCATTTGATTTGATTGTTGTTATTTTTTACTCCTCTTAATTGTTACCGTTTTTTATTCATTTATTTATATTTGTTTACGATGATTAAGGTTACTGGAAATCGTGTATTCCTGTTGGACATTGAAGGGACCACAACATCACTTTCCTTTGTCAAAGATATTTTATTTCCATACGCTGAGGACAATTTGGAGTCTCATGTTATTAGTAATTGGACCAGTGAGCAATTACGAGAGGACATTGAGTTAATTAGACAACAATCAGTTGATGATTTTAATGATGGATTAATTGGTAAACCTTTAACTGGAAGTGTGGATGATAAGGAGCCGAGGTTGTTCAGAAGAGAATTGGTTAATTATGTCAGAGGTTTAATCTCTGCTGATAGGAAGTGTACTGCTCTCAAACAATTGCAAGGGCACATTTGGAAAAATGGATTTGAATCTGGAACAATTAAAGGACATGTTTTTGATGATGTTCCTAAAGCTTTGGAATCGTGGAAAAATGATCATCAATGTGATATTTACATCTACTCATCTGGTAGCATAGAAGCGCAAAAATTACACTTTGGCCATTCGGTTCATGGTAATTTGCTGCCGGTAAGTTGATTTGGATTAATCAAAATGATTCTTTCTTATCTATTGAGATTAATCATATTCTTTGTTTTCTTTTTCTTCAACAGCTCATTTCTGGTCATTTTGATACAACTACTGGACCAAAACAAGAAAGTTCCAGTTACACCAAGATTGCAAATGTGATAAATCGTCAGCCTGATGATTTCTTGTTTCTAACTGATGTCCCCAAAGAAGCTGTCGCAGCTCAAGCCGCTGGATTTACTTCAATTATTGTTTATCGACCAGGAAATGTTGAGGTTGATTCAGATACTACTTTAAGATTCCCCTCAATTGAATCATTCGATGAGATCAAATTTGTATAATCAAATTGTGTGTGCGTGTGATATAAATTGTAAATACAACAACATTCAGTGTAAAAGTGGAAACAATCAAATCGTATCAGATGAAACTTGATTATTTGTTAAATCACCAATTCAATTAAAAAAGTAAACAATATCTATCATATTTATCATAACACTGGTTTGATAGATTTTCAATTAACTATTTAGACTAATTTCTTTGTGAGTTTTCATAATCTTAATAATTTTTGGTTAATGGTCAAGAGCAATTAACCAAATAAAAGACAAACCAACAAAGAGAGCAAAGAAAAATCCCACAATTCAAAAGGGCCACACCTTAAACAATCAGTTAATTATTTCTCGAAATCAAATATTCATCCATATTAAGATCTACACTATAATGGATCAATTGGACTAATCAAAGTCCGAAAACTGTTCTAAATTAGTCTTGAATAATCAACGAACTGAACATTTGGATGACCTTTAATTGCTTTCAAATTTTCCAGTAAAAGTCAATCAAAGTACAATGAGCAACTCAATTCACATTCAAACTCACCAATTAAATCAATTGCGTAACTAAATTTAAGTTTAAATGGTTACCGTAGTTACCGAACTGTTAATCAGCTGATTGATTGTTATTGTTTTTGGTTTTGGTTTTTTTAGTTTTGTTTATTTGTTGACAACATGTTAATTGTCGGGGTTAAATTGCTTCGTTCACATGGATCAAACAATTTATTGACTATTTCCCGAAGGTAAGTTGACTGATTAACTAATTACTCTTGATATCTAATCATTTGTTAATTGTGTCCAGTTGGCATTCAAATGTGTCCAGGCTTATTAAACCTTCAAAAGTTTTCCAGTTCAAATCAAATGTTGGTCAACAATTAAAAGCCCATGGACTTAAATTGAGTTTCGCTTCCACTTTAATTGGTCTTTCTGGTTATTCCCTGGCCAATTTAGTTCGAGTTAATTGTGAAATTGGTCAACATGTCGAAACTGATGTAACTCAAATCATCGAGTCCAAAACTGTCCCCGAAAAGGATGAAACGAGTGACCACTTTAGATGGTCAAGAATTTGGACTTTCATAGCAAACGATTACATTTTACTAATTGTTTCAATTGCTGTGAGTTAATTAACTAGCATAAAAACAGATCAATATCACTAATCAACTTTTTCTTCACACAACCAGAGTGCGTTTTGTGTCGCTATGCTCAACATTAAAATCCCATTGGCACTTGGATCGATCATCAATGACCTGAGCAAATACATTAATGGAACTAATCAATGGTCAATTAGTGAATTGTTATCCGAAATTAAGAGTCCAGTTTATACTTTACTTTCCTTTACATCTTACAGGTTTTGTTGATAATCTTAATTTGCTAATTTAAATCTTATTCTAATTGTTATTTATTATTTTTCCATTCCCTCAGAGCTTAGGTACATTCATCAATCTATCGACATTATCAATTATCGGTGAGCGAATGGCTCTTAATCTAAGAATTAAATTGTTCCAATGTATTCTTGATCAGGATGTTGAATTTTTCGATCAACATTCAACCGGTGATATAATTAGTCGGCTAACAACTGATGTCCAAGAATTTAAAAGTTCATTTAAATTGATTATTTCTCAAGGAATCAGAAGCATAACTCAGGTAATTCAATTTCTTTTCACGAACAATTCACTAAATTCATTGATTTCCAATTAATTAGGTTGTTGGTTCAGCGATTTCACTTTATTCACTTTCGTCTAAAATGACGCTCACTTTGGGACTAGTTCTACCGGCGATGGTTTCGATCGGCAGAATTTTGGACTCTATTTGAAGCAATTATCAAACGAATGTCAAAAACAGGTCATAATAATAATAGACTTTTTCTTAATTGTTACAAGAATATTGTATCCGCTTAACTGATCCTTTGGTTTTGTATTGTTCATCAGATTGCAAGAGCCACCGAGGTTGCGAATGAATCAATTGGAGATATTAGAACTGTTAAAGCATTCGCTTTGGAAGATCAGGAATTTCAATCTTTCTCTCATGAGATGAGTTTAACTAATCAAATGAACGTTTCTCTTGGAATTGGAATCGGCATTTTCAGGGGAATCACCAATTTAGCTCTTAATGGATTAGTTCTTGGGACACTAATGATGGGAGGTTATCTTGTTTCGATCGGCGATGTTACTCCAGGAAGTTTGATGTCTTTTCTTGTAGCGAGGTGATTTAATCTTCTGTCGAATGGATTTTTTCAACTTGTAACATTTAATTGTTTTCATTTTCTTTTTAATCAGTCAAACTGTCCAACGGTCATTAGCTCAATTGTCTCTCCTTATTGGTCAATATATTCGCGCTTGTAGTGCTGGTGAAAGGATCTTCGAGTTTATTGATTCCAAGCATAAAATTCCAGCTATTGGTGGATCAACTTTAGCCTTTCCCACCGGTGACATTCAATTTGAAAATGTCCAATTTGCATACCCCACTCGTCCTGGTCAAACTGTTCTAAACAATTTCAACCTTGACCTTCAACACGGAACCGTAACTGCAATTTGTGGACTATCAGGATCTGGTAAATCGACAATCGCTGGATTGATTGAAAGATTTTACGATGTAAATGGAGGTTCGATTAAAATTGATGGTACTGATGTTAAATGTTTAGACTGTCGCTGGTTACGAGGTTCCTTGATTGGTTACATAAATCAAGAACCAACTTTATTTGCAACAACAATTAGAGAAAATATTAGATTCGGAAAACCCGATGCATCAGATGATGAAGTTTACGAAGCCGCTAAATTAGCAAATGCCGATGAGTTTATAAAACAATTTCCCGATGGTTATGATACTCAAGTTGGCGAAAGAGGATTGGCCGTTTCGGGTGGACAAAAGCAGCGGATTGCAATCGCTCGAGCGATACTCAAAAATCCAACAATTTTAATCCTTGACGAAGCGACAAGTGCCCTTGACGCTTCGGCCGAGAAATCAATTCAAGAAGCACTTGAAAAAGTAATGAAGGGAAAAACAGTTCTGATTATTGCCCATCGTCTTAGTACAATTCAAAATGCCGATAAAATTGTGGTCCTATCGAAGGGTAAAATAATCGAGACAGGATCGCATTCAGAATTGATCAAAAAGAAAGGAGTTTATTTTAATTTAATTATGCAACAAGCGCAAGACAAATGATGAAATTGTTGTAATTGTTATGTATTAATACTTATTGGGAATGATTGTTGATTAAATGTTTATTATTATTATCGAAGTGTAAATGATGTTTGTGTTGATCTTTGTTGATATAAGTTATCAAGTCGATTAAGATACAGAACATGAAATCGAAGGTGTTTGACAAAACATCGCTTCAACTTGTTCGGGTGTTTTTTTATTATTCTCACGGAAAAAGTTGATCACATCAGTAGCGAAATTGTAATCAACATGTTTACTAAACTGTTTGGTTAATCTAACGAATTTCATTTGCATATAATTAACCACATCACTTGGATGACATTCATTTCGTTCTGGAACCAGCAAAGGTAATCTTAATAGCGATTTGTAATAATCAACAATCCAATCAGGAGGAAAACCTTGATCACTTTTCACAATCACATCAAAATCATGATCTTCATCATGATAAGTATCAATTTTAACCTGAGAATCAACTTGAGCGTCAATTGTCAGCCCATTGAAAGTCGTAATCAGGTAAGCAAAATCAATATTAATTGCGAAATGTTTAGCAGCACAATAAATGAAACCTCGTTGAAATATATTCGCATCATCGATGAAATGATGAACAACCGGATGACCGATGAAAGTGCCCTTGTAGAAAATGGCCTGGGCCTCCCTGGGTGTTACATAAGTTTCTCTATGTAATTGGAATCCACTTAGAACATCAGCCAAATAATTAAAGTCCAAATCTCGAAACGGAAAATGTATCAATGTAATTCTAACGAAAGCATTTTCACATCGTTTGATTACCTCGTTCGAGAAATTTGGAAAAGGTAATATACACGATTGGAATTCTTTCTTTGAATCGAAGTTAATTTTACCTTCTCGCGAATGAGATGAGCATAGTTCGTACATAAACTTGACTAATCTAAGCGATTTAATTTCATTTATGTCGACAATTAAACTATTGTAAACTTCAGCGAAATATGAAAATCGAATTGTTGGTCGAAAGTGTTTCTGAGTGAGTAGAAAAAATCGCCTCTGGAAAACATTGGCTCTTTCGGAAAGAATATCAAAATAATATGATGGAATTTTATAATCACTCATGGTGTTAATTGTTGGCCGATTGCGATTAATTTTCTACACAATTTAAAGTTTAACAATAATCGAGCGAGCGAGAGAAAGACACAAACACGAACAATAAAATGGCTGAAAAAAAAGGTTCACTTTTAAAGGGAATTCATTTGGTCAATTTTTCTCGTTTACTTTTAATTATTAATTTAATTGAAGATTAAGCTGAAAAGATTAGAAAAGCCTGCAGGGAATCAGGGAATTAATCCTTTGAATGAAGGTAAAAAGTTATCTATGATTGTGATGATTAGTAGTAGTAAATTGTTACAAATGAAAAATTGACCAAATGAATGAAAGTCTAAAATACAATTCACTTTGTTTGGACTTGCAGTTCTAACCAGTAACCGGTTTTCATTGTTTACTTGATAAAATGACCACTGGTCAGTTGCTAGAGAACGTAAATTGGACCAGAGATTAACCAAAACAGGTCAAAATTAAACTGGCCAATAATAAGAAGCCTGAGAAAGTGGTATATGTATTTACTTATTGTCGTCCATTTAAACCCTTTATCTAATCAACATATTGAAAGAGTTGGACATTTTCACTGGACAATGTCCATTAGTCGCCTTAGTGACCATCACGGCTTCGTAATTTGAAAAATAAACACGAGAAGAAAAGTTTTTTTTCCAGTTAAAACTTAAACTTACCAATAGGTTTATCTAATAATAAGTTTGGAAACTTTCTTGTAATTTGATTGTTGTATTAATAATTTAATTCAGTTTGAATTGGGTGTGAAAAAAAAGGTTAATCTGTTGATTAACAGATATAATCAAAGATGCTTTTACTTTGGGATTAGAATATAATTTTCCAGCTAATGTGCAAATTGTTTTGTTGGGACTTCTAAATGAAATCTTGAAATTCTCGTAAATTTTGTTGCTGCTGTTGTTGTTGTTGTTGATGATGATTATGATGATGCTGATTGAATGGACCAGATGAACCACCAGGTCTTTGGGATTTATTGAAATCAAATGGATTCCTACAGAGTGGACATGATGATTGGTTGCTTTTCTCAAACCATTTATACTGTTTTGAGGAAGGAGAAAAAAAGTAAACAATTAGTGAGATTGAAAAGGGAATCAATCAATTGATGATTAGTTAATTGTGATAATTACCAAACAAGCTGAATGGAATTTCTTTTTACAATTTCTACAAGTTAATTTAGGAACTTGACAATTAGAACCGTGTAAGATGAAGTAACAGATTACACACTCTTCTAGTCCCTCGAATCTTTTACTCATATTCCTGTTCCAAAGTACTAATCCATCCAAAACTGTTCCATTCTGTAATTAAGATTAGACAATTAAAATATAAGATATGAAATATAATCAATATTTAGGAAAAAAGAAACAATAAAATCAGTTGATTGTTACCTGATGAGTTAAGAACGAGGTAACTTGAAGAAGCCAATTCCTCCATTCGGGTACACTAACACCAACTCGTCTTCCGCCATCAATTGTAACTGGTGTTAATGGATGATTATCGGCTAATTTAATTGTTAATTCTATGGACATATCTTCAATCTCGTAAATTGTTACAACTTCACGAGCTGAATGACGAGCTTTAATTTTGATGTTCTTAAATTTATCCGAATCAGCATTTTGGATTGCAAGAAACTCCTCTGTACGTATTAGTTCACTCATTGTGGAGATTGTGAATCGATTGACAAGGTCAGATGTCCGTTTGTCCAGTTTACTTAACCACATTCGGACACATGCCGGCATTTTACGTAAAATATGAAAGTAAACTAAACATGAAATGGCCTGGATATGATTAGTCTCATTGATACGATCAAGAGTTATGGATAAAACTCTTCGGATAAATTTGTATTCATCAGGAGCAATTGGCATCAATTTGAATAAATTGTTCAACAGATTTGAAATATACCCTGAATCAGTTAAATATCCAGCTAATGATGATCTATTTTCATCATTTAATTGACTGAAAAACGTTAATATTTGTAACCAATTAAGCAGATAAGCAATTGTGTAACAAAATGAATCGGTTCCTGGTTTGATTAAACAACATGTAGTTCCCAATGAATATTCAGAGAGTAAAGTGTCAACAATTAGATCAGTTTCTTGTAATTTGATTAAAAATGGTTTAGGTGGAGCTCTGTCAATAAATTGGAAAACAATTAAATTAATAATTAAAATTTAAAACAAACAGAAAAATTGACTTATAATAATGATTTACTTACAAATAATCAAAAGTTGAATCAAAAACGGAACAAGATGAAACCATCATTGGTATTAATCTGTTGATTATTTAAAGAAATGAAGGTTAATTGTTGATCATTGTGGAACAATTTAGTTAAATTAATTTTACCTTTGAGTAAATTGATGTGCACATAAATAGAAAGCTGAATATTTGTTAATATAAAGATGATTAAGCTTTGAGAAAAGTGATTCGTACTCTTTGGGAAGTGGACATGGAACAGTTTTCTCATCGAGATCTTGAATAGTTTTATCTTGATAATTAAATTGTCGCAATTCATTTTCTAATTGAGCAATATCAAAGACTGAGAGACAACCAATTGTTGATCCAAGACGTGAAATAAAATTAAGTTGATAACCAGAAAAATCAAGTCCATTAAGGTGAAATATTAGAGGAACCAAAGAATCAGCAATTCGGATAAGATGAAAATCAGTCCATTCCCGGACAGAACTGAATTCATCGCCTTGCCATTCAATTATTTCCTGAACGGAAAGGAAAAGGTCACAATATGAACAATAAAGTATCATCTTAACTGGATTAGTAAATGATTTAGGATCACTTGTGGCTAATGATATTGACCAAGCGGTAATTGAGATGACAATTAAATCTTTCTGTTCGGAGGTTAGATGTTTATTGAATTTGGTAATGATTGTTTTGTAAATTTTCATCACTTCGATTGTGAAAAGTATTGCTAATTCCTGTTGATTGTCCAACGAACTAAAATAATCGAAAAAAATAGAAAGAAAATTAAATTTAATCAAATCGAAGGAAAATTTTTCTTTAAATGCAAAACTTACCATTCTAGTAAAAGAGCACTTTCGGATTTTTCCTTAATTGTGATTAAATGATCCATTAATTGGCAAACCAAATCATTTCGAGGGAGATCCACTGTCGAGTAGTTGAGGCAAGTGTTCAAAATGGACAATCGACCATAACATTGGTGTAATTTATCAGGTTCTTCCTGAGAAAGTAAATATTTCAATGTTTCTTGTGATAAATCAATTATATAATCTGAATCGCAATAATTATTCAACAATTGAAATATTGTTATCGATGGAACATCAAATCTGAAAGTGAACAATTAATCCCGATTAGTACTGATTCTTTTCTTCATTAAATTGTTGTTCTTACTCTTCAAGTTTCCAAGGGTTAACTGTAATTAATTTTGACGATGAGTTGAAGAGCAATTCAAGGCCAATGATTAATCCAATGACACCTTTAGATTTACTGTAATCAATTATATCTTGGAATATTTTGACCATCGAATTTTTATCCAATTGGTCAATTGTTTGCTTAACATAGTCGCTTAATTGTTGAACAATTAATTTTTTGTTATTTAAGTTTAAATCTTTTGGAGCCAACTGTAGTGTTGATAAGGCATAAATGATGAATGGTAATTGTTTGATTGTTAATTCAATTGGTATTGGATTGATTTTAGTATCTTTGTAATTGTAATTATGGTGAAAGTAAATTTCTCATCAAATCCAAATTGATCCGAGGTGAATTTTAATCCAGTTGGAATCATCATTACCCTTTTAATCCATAATGGATAGAAAACTTTAATTCCAATTGCTGAAACTTTCGCAATCAAATAATCAGTATCTGGAATAATTTTCAACAGAAAGTTAATTGTAAGCGTTGATTGTCCGTCTAGATTTCTTTCATTTTCAATTGTTGTAATGAATATATGGACAATTGATTCCAATCTTTGAGACCTTAAATAATTAAAAGGATAAAAGTAAATTAATTGCTCGTTAATTTTCATTAGAAAAAGTTACTTACATTTCCCATGAAATATTTTCATCAATTATTTTGTTCTTAATCATCTGAGCCATATTATCAATCAACTCTAACAATTGAGATTCATTATAATCATTAGATTTGAAGATAACTTTTAATCCAGAAGATAATGTTGATTGGTAAAGTGAATAAGATTCATCTGAGATGTTTAGATCAAGGGATAATGAACCAATTTGATTAATTAGTGTTGAAAATGAGTCAAGTTGATCCGAATGTGGATATTGATCAAAAAGCTTTTTGATTATACCAACAATTAACAGGGATTGATTTTCCATTGATGAATTAATCAGACCATCGGCAAGAAGAGTTGTAATCATGTTAATTGTTGGAAAGTGGATGTTTTCAATTTGAAACGAGAAGTTGATAAAACCAATGTAAGAATCATTAACAATCGGTTGATTGTTACCATCGTGTTTAAATCCACCCAATATACTGATTATGATTGAATCAAATAATGGAGTTACTTCTGGAGTGGTAAACCATTCCTGAAGAAATGAATCTTTCTCAATTCTTGTGGGTAAAATTTCATAGAAATTACTCCTAACATAAGAATCATCATGAGATGATAAATAGAAGATAATTTCACTCTTATTGCGTGGAAGTGAGTCACAACAATTAAGCAGCATGCTGATTATATGCTTGTAGTTAATGTTTCGAGTTGACACCGAAGTGAATTTTGTTTGACCATTTAACAGTTCCTTCAATTGGTCAAGATATTTGTGAGCAATGAAACAACCGGTTGATTCTTGGTTAACGGTTATACACAATTCTTGAAGTTGTCGTAAACAATTAAGCCATGAAGTTTGATTTTCTCGTTTCAATGACAATTCCAATGATCGTTCCCAAATTTTGTACAATGAATCTTTGAAAATAATTCCGTTGATTTTGATTTTATTCATTTCCATTGGTGATGATTCCTCATCTTCATCCTCTTCAAATTTCACCCGACGAGATGATTTATCATTACTTATTCGTAACATTGAGGTTAACAATTTAATCAACATGTCCAATTTGTTTCCATCATCAATTGCTTCCTCAATTATTTCCAATATTTTAACCTCAATTGAAGTAATTAATCCACTCGATAGTTCAGGATCCTTTGAATTAGTAATGAAAATAGTTAATTCATTGAAATATAAACCATAGATATCAGCCCATTGGTGTAACATTTGATCAACAAAATTTATAATCTGAAACAGAGAGACAAAATCAATCAATTAGACAAAAATTAACACGTTTCATTGATTACTAATTACTTACTCTTTCAGGAACGGTTGAGTTTAATTTCTCCAATGATTTATCCAATTTTCTATCAATTAGTAAATACTGAACACACTCGAAGTAGGATTTAACTATACTAGCATATTCTTTAGTTGAATGATTAGGATTGTTAATGCTAAATGATAATTGTAAAGAATATGAGAGAATCACAATTAGAACTTTGAATGATTGCATTTGTAGTAATCGATTACTAACCAGAGTTCAAAAGATTCGATGAAATCGTCGCAAAATTTGGCCGTATTATCGAAATGATCGAATGGAAATTTACTCAGCATTGGTAAGAGATTGGGGAATATCGAGGAAGCGTTTCCGTATCCGCCTTCTTTGATGTATTTACGAAGATGCGGAAGAAAACCTTTGGTTAGATTTATGTGTTTCCACCATTCCTGTCATTGAAAAAAAGTTGACAATTAGATAATTGTTTCTATCATACATCGATTATTAACTAATTACTTCAACAGTTACAAGAATCCAAAGGACATTATCCCAAATAGCTCCTGATAAAAGTTGATCCTTCTCAGCGATTTGAAGTAAAGTTGATGATACAAATTTTGCTTCATTCGTTTTAATTATTGTTGGATATTTTTCACAAATCGTTGATTTAAATCTGTACCAATTAACTTTAACCTGTAATGAGAAATAATCAGTAATCAAATTAACGAGCTTATATATATTGTATTGTAATAATCAGCTTACATTAAGGTCTTCATATTTTGCCAATTTCCAAAAATTATCATGATTGATTAATTTTTCAATTTCATCTTTGATTGTATCTGGTTGATTTAAAGATGCTATAAGAAGGGTCAACCCTTGTAAACAACAACTGACCAGTCGATGGTATTTTGATTCTCTATCAATATTGTTCACACAACTTTAAATGAAGAGGTAAACCAATAATCCGTTAGTCAAGTTTACAAATATACAATTAACCATAAATCACTTACCTTGGATCATCAATGGTTGCAATTGTTTGAATTAAAAGGATATCTTTACAATACTATTGAAGGCAAATAGATTAAATGAATTAGTGGCTAATTTGCTGATGATGATGATGATGATGATACTTACGTTGATTATTTCATCCTTACAGAATGTTAGAACCTCTGATTGTTTGGCTGGCGAAAATGATGCAGCGAAAGAGGATTTAGCTGCGCTCGCAGAAACGACGTAGGTGTCATGAAGCGAAATCACCCAGGTCGCAATGATTTGCTTGAGAATTGGGGCAATATTTTTACCTAATTTCTTTACCAATGCCTCCTGAGCTTGAAAAGTGGTCTCTCTAACTCGGAAATCGTTATCCTATCATGAAGGAAGAAGATAAATAAATGGAGACAAGGAATTAGAATACAAATTGATTCGATCAACTAGACTTACTATTGCCAACTTGTTGAAAACTCTAGGCCACATTGACAGGACAGATTTGACTAAATTATATTCCTTTTCATTACAATATTCAGCAAATTTCTGTAAGGCCTTGATCTTGGTGATAGAATCCTTCTTATACATTTGCTTAATTGTCAATTTAAAATCTGAATCAACCTCTTCTTCAAGATCAGGTAAAGATCCAACATTGGAACTGCCAATTGTAGATGAATCATTTGGCTCTTTTAAAGCATCAAATCCAATAAATGTATTAATCGGTGCACTTCCAAGTGTAGAAGATAATAATTCAGCAGATCTTAATGAATTAGCCGGCTAATAGAACATAATAGAAAAACAAAAGAAAAACAAAAGAAAGAGAAAAGAAAGAGAAAAAAAATCAGAGATAGAAAAACAAAATTATCAATACATAACAAAGAGAAAAAGAATAAGAAAAAACGAAAACAAATGACATTTATATTCTTACCCGAGTATTTCCTTTGGTTCTCTGACCTTTACCCATGATTAAGATCAATAAATTGTGAGAAAAATTTGCGAAAATTAACAAATTAAAATAGAAAATAAAATATAAATATTAGTCAACACGAAGAAGTAGAAATCAAATGTGAAGGTAACATTTGCTTTCTCAATGCTGTCGTCACCAAACCAGCTGATCTCCGACTCTCTCATGCTGTTTGTTTATTGTTTTAATTCATCTTTGTGGTTGATTTTGTTTCCATTTTCTCATTTATCCAAATGGATCCCAATTCCTCATTAAAACCTGAGTTAATTGCTCTTCTAATCCGTTCGGCAGTCGCTGGTGTGATCACTTATTATGGAATTAAATTAGCAGTTAATCTTATGGATCCAACGATGTCACAGAAAAAGAAAGCCAAAAACAAGGCGATTGAGATTCTCAGGAATCTTGGAATTAGTGATAAAAGTGATGATCTAAATGAACACGAATTCACCATTGCCAGTGATCTGTTAAATCCAACGGAAATTGATGTTACTTTTAATGATATCGCAGGTTTGGATAATATAATTGAAGAATTGAATCTTCAGGTTATTCTACCGCTGATCCATCCAGAATATTTTGAATCGAATCTGAGACAACCACCAAGAGGTGTTCTATTCCATGGGCCCCCAGGGTGTGGAAAGACAATGTTGGCTAAAGCGATCGCTAAACAGGCAAACGTCAGGTAATTAAGAGCATCTTGACCTAATTTCTTAAATTTATATATGAATCAACTTTGGTTTCTTTTGATTTTCTGTTTTCCTTTAGATTCATGAATTTGAGTGTTTCCGCTTTGACCGATAAATGGTATGGAGAATCACAGAAATTGGCCCAGGCTGTTTTCACTTTAGCCATGAAGATACAACCTTGCATTATATTCATTGATGAGATTGATTCATTTCTGCGATCAAGAGATTCCCATGATCATGAAGCAACAGCCATGATGAAAGCTCAATTCATGACACTTTGGGAAGGAATTTTATCTTCAAAAAAATCTCAGGTAAGAAAAGGTTAGATTACAATAGTTTTATCATTTGGAATAAATTTTTCTTTTCAATTTTCTTCATTTAATCGAATAGATTGTTCTAATTGGTGCTACTAATCGACCTCAGGACGTTGATAAGGCCGTTTTACGACGAATGCCTTGTATGTTTCAAATCGATTTACCTAAAGAAACAGAACGAAGACAAATTTTGGAATTAACCTTGAAACATGAAGATCTTCATGAAAATGTTGATCTCAGTGAAATCGCCGCGCTGACCCATGGATACTCTGGAAGTGACCTAAAAGACTTGTGCCGAAGAGCGGCCATGAAAAGTCTTAAAGAACTAAATAGAAACCTTTTCTCTCTTTCGAGAGATGTGACCTCCGAAAACAGTTCCAATTCCAATTCGGTTGAATGTTCACCTACCCAAGGCTCAATTTCATCGAATGCAAGAGAAATTCTATCGCAAACTCCAGAGTTAAGATCGATCACGATGGAAGATTTCATTCACGCCGTTAATTCAATTGACAAATCGCGAACAGGAATCAAACCAACTCTATCGAAAATGCCTCCATTGGATTAGAAATTAATTTAACCATTTGAAAATTTTTCTTCATTTTCTTTTCTTCCCCGTAGAGTTAAACAGTCACAATCTTTTCTTGTCGCAATTAACGTAACAATTGATTATAGAAAAATGTAAATAAAGGACTGGAAATCAATTAGATTTGATTTTCATTGTTATTACACTGGAAGAGGAATGATAAATACATTTAATGATAAGTCACAACAAATTGATCAAAATAATTATCATCTTTGTTTTTCTTACAACAACATTGGTCGTTTTGTTACCTTGGCTTTTGTTTCATTTCTTTGATTTTTAGTTTCTTCTTGCGATTTAAAATCAAAAACATTGGATAAAAATTAATTATTTGTAAAAAAAAGTTGGCAGAGAAAAGGCAATAGATATAGACTATTAATCTAATTGTTCGGTTGTGTATAATAATAGATTAATTTTATATATTGCAACTCATTGTAAAATAAATTGCATTTCAGGTTTTGGCCTAAAGATCGGGTGCTAACCAGTTGAGTAGTTTAATTGCAAATTCGTAACCCAAGAAACAGGCAGCATTGGCTGGGAAAGCTCTGAGGAAAACCGGTGTCGCACCTTTGTAAAGGGCTTTAGCTCCTTCCTCTTTCATTAATTGTTTGAAAACATCACGAATTCCTTTGGGATAAGTACCTTCAGGAGCGGTTTGTAATCTTGATTTGAGTACATCAGCAGGAATTGCGACCATCCAATTGAATATTCCAGCCATTCCACCGGCAATTATGGTTCGACCAGCGCTCAGGTCACTTCTTGATTTACCCTCTGGAGTAAGAACTCTTTGAATCCATTCATAGCCCATGAAATAAGCACCACTAGCAGGAACATCTCGCAATAAAGTGGCTGCAGTTCCTTTGTAAATACTACGAATTCCACCTTGACGATAAAGCGCTTTAGCACAATCAACTGGCCCTTTAAATTGTTGCACAGCATTTGGATTAGCAGCTTGAACTTGTAGTAAACATTTAATTCGTTCACCTAGAGATTAAATTTGATACATTCGAATAAGGAATTTAATTTTTTTAGACCTTAATTTTTCTTTAAAATTAATCTTACCAGGAGCCATAATTCCAGTGGTAAAAACACCGGCTAACATTCCGGCCTTAAATAACTGAACAAGAGTCAATTCCTCATCGGGGTGGGTTTGCTGTAACTTTTTACCAATTCCAAAGCCGAAAAAACAAACAGCACACATTGGAGCTACTCCAGCAATAGGAGCACTCATACCACGATAGAGACCAAGAAAACCCTCTTTGTTAACAATTTGCTTAGCACAATCAAGAGTTCCTCGGTACAATGGAGCTTGTCCCGGAGCAGGTTTAGGCATAGTTTGAAGACGAACCTTAATTGTATCTAAAGGATGACCAGCAGTTACCAAACAAACTCCCCCAAAACCACCAGCAATAAAATCTTTAATTGGACTAATTCGCCGAGAATCAGACATGATAAGAAAATTAAACTATCAACCAAATCAGAACAAAAATCAAAAATAGAAAACGAAAAAAAAACTACCAAGACAACAAAACAACCAACAAACAGTCCACCATATACATAAACGAATGAACAAAGAAAAAAAAAGAATTCAGTTAACAATTAACAACCAATTTAAACAAATTTCTGAAACAAAATCAATTTAGGAAATAAAGGAAACTCTCAACAATTAATGTTGACAAAAAGACTTTTAATAAACATAAACAAACAAAAAAGAAAAAGAATAAGAAAAAAAGCGGTTCTTTCAAAAAAAGAAAATCAATCAATAGAATTGAGTTTTTCTCTTTTTCTCTCCAATAATTAGAATTAAATTTATTCTTTCTAATTAATGAATTGGACAATTAAACTCAATTAATTGTCGAAATGAAATTAAAATGGAAAATAGTTGAAAGAAAAAAAGTAAACAGAAAAAACGTTAAAAAGGATTAGTGAAAATCATTTGGAAATCAGATTGAAACTGTCAAGTTAACAATCAACTGGTGTTTTCATTTGATCACAATTAGTTGGGCGAGTAATTAATTATCGATTTTAATTTGATTAATTGTTCGGGTTAAATAATTTTCTTCTCTTTTCCATTCACTGTCTCTTTCCAATAGAAACTAAAACTCTGCTGTCGTCACCATTCAACATTCTCTTTCTTTTCTCTGTCTATTTTTGCTTCTCTTTCTTGTCAAATTCTGCCAACTGGTTTAATTTACTTTACTATTCTGCCTTTTTTATTTTCTGTGATTTTGATTATTCTACGTTGATTGTTACCATTTAAAGAATTAGTTAACTATGGCTAGTCCACGAACAAGAAGAATCCTTCAGGAATTACGTCCAACTAATGAAAATAATGTAAGTAGAGAAAAATTTAATTCTTTTTTTCTATTATTGTTTTTTTTATTCTCTTCTCTTTTCTCATATGTTCTCATCAATATGTTTTCTTTTCTTCTCACAAATGATTCTCTTCTTTGACAGACCAATTTCTAATATTTTTCTTTAATTTATTTTCTCTTTTTTTAGAGTTGTTTTGAGTGTGGAGCTTTAAACCCACAATGGGTCAGTGTTACCTATGGTATTTGGATATGTTTAGATTGTTCCGGAAAACATAGAGGACTTGGTGTCCATTTAAGGTACATTCACATTCATGTTGGTCAATTGGATTTTTTGGCTTTTATGTTATGTTATTTCATTTTTTTTTCTATATTAATTTGGCCTTTCTATTTATCTTCTCTACTCAACGTTAGTTTTGTCCGTTCAATTACCATGGATAAATGGAAGGATATTGAATTAGCCAAAATGAAGGCTGGGGGTAATAAGAAAGCAAAGGAATTTCTTACCAGTCAATCTGATTGGGATCCTAATATGCCAATGAGTGAAAGATATAATTCAAAGGCTGCTGCTTTGTATCGTGATAAGGTAAAGGTCTTAGTAATTGATGATTAAATTCAGATACAATTTTGTGTGTGTGAGAGAGATGGATCAGTCTAATCAAATTGTATGTGTAACTTTGTTTTTCATTGATTGATTTCTTATAGATTGCAACTGAAGCCACCGGTAAAAGTTGGTCCATTGAAACTTCTCAAGCGAAAGATTATGTCTCTAGAGCCATTCCTAAATACTCGGCGGGTTCATCTTCCAATTCATCTTCAAACACAACTAAACAATCAACATGGGATGAAGATGAATGGGCTTCAAGCAGTTATCAAAGGTACTAAAATGATAAAATCTTCATCAGGCATCTATAAAACAATGATAACGTTTTTACATTTATCAGCTTCATCAATCATCAATCATCATCATAAACATCGAATCTCAATTTTATTTATATTTCCCAACAATATATTTATACTTAAATTGTACCGAACATCTCTTTTTCTCTATTTCGCTATTTATGTTTACAATTTCATAGTTATAATCCCGAGAATGTATCTCGTCAAAAGGAACAGTTCTTTGCGAAGAAGCAACAAGAAAATGCTTCTCGACCAGAGTAAGTATCTTTCTAATATTACGTGTACTCTTTTGCTTGTTACACCATTAAATTTGATTTCCATTAATTGAAATGGTTAATTTGCTTTTGAATAATGACATCTTCCAATCTTCAAACAATTGCCTATTAAAAAGTTATCCGTTCTCTATTTCTTTCCAGTGATCTCCCGCCAAGTCAAGGAGGAAAATATTCAGGGTTCGGTTACAGTGCTCAGCCCACTAGAAGTCAATCTGATTACGGAATAGATTCTTGGGGTTTCTCAATTGTAAATATTAATTGTCACTCTCTCAATCTCTAACCAATCTAATCATCTTCTCATCATCACTTTCAGACTTCTCTGTCATCGATAGCAAGTACAGCAACTAAAGTCGCATCTAAAGCCTCTGAAAATGTAAGTACTAACGATTGTTTCGTTGATCAGTATCTTAACTCTATCATCATGATTTGATTTCTAATTACAATTAGGCTTTGAAAATTGGATCCATAGCTTCACAAAAAGCTGCTGAACTTGCAGGAACTCTGAATGAGAAGGTAAATCAATTTGAATTTTTTCTCCACATCATAAGCACTTCATTATAACCTATCGATTTTTTTTTCGATTTTTTTTCCTCATGTTAATTTCTGTTTTTGATTTGGTTACATTATCATTATTTTTCGTTCGATTTCCGATCCCTAAACAAGGTGAAAGAAGGCACCTTAGTTGATACTCTATCCTCCCAAGCAACAACAATTGGTTCTAAGGTTGTAATCATCTGGATTGACGACTACTAATATTTACTAATTTCGAGTGTTTTTTTTTACTCTTTGACACATTTTAGGTCGTTGATGTTTCTAAAAGAGGATGGACCGATTTATCGACTCTCTTCAATAACAAAGCTTCTCTCTATAGTGATCCTAATTCTGAGAGCAATTATTACGAGTATGGAAGCGGAGAGCAAGGTGCAAGTTACCAGGAGGGTTATAAAGATAACAATGATTATCGAGACGAAGGAGCCGGAAAAAAGGAATCATCGACTCTCCTTTCATCGTCAAAATCGTCGCCTAATATTCAACATAAACAACAAAATAGCTCTTCAAATGCTGATGAAAATAGAGAAACTAGTAAAAGCTCAACGAACAATAAAACAACGAGCAATCAGATAACCACTACTCAGAAAACAACTAAATCATCAACGAGTAGTATTAGTAGGGAGGAAAGAACACTAATCAACTTTGGTGAAGGAAATTCTAGTAAAAAAAGTTCCAAAAAAACCGAGGAAGATGATTTCTGGGAGCTACTCAATGATTCACCGAAAGCATCGAGTAAAAAAAGTACTCGTCGCAATCAAAATTAATTGTCTCTACTGTGATACGACTTTTAATTCTGATAGATTTATAATTAACACATGAAAGAGAAAAGGCTAAATAAGATTATTTTTATTCCCATCCTCATCTTTTACTCCAGTTTTGAACTTAATTATCTTCTTCCCGTTTCAATGATAAAATCAATTCGTAACAATCAATATTACAACTTGATTACAACAGTTTAAAATAAGAGATAATTAAATTCACTATTTATAATTTTCCATCAACTTGAGATTTAAGTTGATCGAAATCTCTCAAAATTGCGGAAACAAATTAAATTGTTTTCTCTCCTCCTAATTGTTAATCACTCTCTTCCTAATTGTCAATGTGGACCAATATTTCTCATGATTAACTATTCAATTCAATCAGATTAATACGTTTCTTTGGATCCAAGTAAATTAAGACAATTAATCTATCGAAATTGTTGTTAATGTAAATTCAATTGTTTCTTTCACGATGAATTTAAATCAGTAAAACAATTTGATTTAAAATTAACTCAGGGAAATTAATTCGGTTAATTAAACGATTTTTGATCAACACAAATTGTTGTCGTTAAAAAATCAAATTGATTGATTGTTTAGTTGATTGAATGAAAATAGTCTTTAGATAATTAACAAATTAATCTAATCACTTTGACTTAATGTCCTTATCACTATTAACAGATTAACTGATAATTGTCTGGAAATAATCAAATTAGGATAATCAATGATAACCAAACGTAACAAATTTTCCCAAACAACAATTAACTCAACAATTAGCAACTTTAAACATGAAGATTGAAACAATTAAATCAAAAGTAAAATAATGAAAAATACAAGAAATTGAGTCAATCAAAGTTACATTGATTTACTTGTTAGATTTGGCAAATTTTCACCTTATTTGAAGTATTATCTGGTAGCAATTAAGAGAGAATCAGCAAGATGATAATTAATCAATTAAATCTCTGAGAATCAAAGATAATTGTAATCAGATTGAAGATACAATTGCAAATTGATTGTGTCCTTGATGAGTTGAATTTCATTTGCTGTTTCCTTCAACTAGAAAACATCACATTGGAAGTTGTTGTCTAAGCCTCATAGTAACTCAATCTCACCTTGTCTCTGGTTGATTAATCTTCAGTTAATTGTAACAATTTAGTCCAGTTAATTAGAAAGAAATTTACAATCATGTTCACATTACGACAAATAGTTAAATCAACTGCCAATTCACTGAACCAAGGATTTTATTGTGAGTAGATTTTCATTTTCATTGACTTGTTGCTTTTTCTGTCACAACAACAACAAAACCTTTTGTTTGTTTATTTTTCAATCTGTGATTTAGTAAATTGTTGTTGATGTTTTCTCAATTTAATTGTTGGTTGATTTTTGTGTTTTCCTTTAGTTCAACGATGTCAAGCTCATGTTGGTTGGATTGGTCTCGGTTTCATGGGAACTCCAATGGCGACTCATTTGATCAACAAAGGCAATTCTTTGGTTGTTTATGATGTCAATTCATCGGCTGTTGAATCTTTCAAGGCTAAAGGTGCCATTGTCGCTTCCAGTCCTGCCGAAGTTGCCGAAAAATGTGACCGAGTGTTCACCATGGTTCCCGCTGATCCTTACGTAATTGAAGTTTTCTCCGGTTCCAATGGACTCTTGACCAAAGCCTCTAAAGGAACCATTCTCATGGATTGTTCAACTGTCCATCCAAACACATCGAAAAAGTTACTTGAACTAAGCAATGCCGCTGGTGTTGATTTTCTGGACACTCCGGTCGCTGGTGCTGTTCCTGCCGCTAATGCTGGTACACTTACCTTTATGTGCGGAGGTAAAGCCGATGTAGTCAAGAAGATTGAATCACTTTTACTTTGTATGGGTCGTCGGGTTATCCATTGTGGTGACGTTGGCGCTGGATCGGCAGCCAAAATCTGTAATAACATGATGCTCGCCATCTCCATGATCGGTACCTCAGAGACACTTAACCTTGCCCAAGGTCTTGGTTTGGATCCTAAACAGATGACAGAGATTCTTAACATTAGCTCAGGTCGAACCTGGTGCTCGGATACTTATAATCCTGTTCCCGGTATAATGGAAAATGTTCCGGCATCGAGAGATTATAAACCAGGATTTAAGGTCGAACTTATCGCCAAAGATTTGGGTATTTCTCAGTCTTGTGCCAGTTTAACCGATGCCCCCACTCCTATGGGCGCCTTGGCCTTGTCCATTTACAAAGCAATGACCAACAATGGACACGGAGAGAAAGACTTTTCTTATGCTTACCAATTCCTCTTGAAAAAGGTCACCGGTGGTGTTAGAAAAAGTTAAATCAATCAACTCAATTACCATCAAATTAACTAACCAAACGTAGAGATTAATGATTAGAAATTTAATCATATCCATTTACTAATCAATTTAAGTTTGACTATTTTTTGTGGGAATCAATGTTTTATGTAAATTGTATTTCTCTGAACGGATCAAATTCAGTTGGAAGACTCGAATTGTTAATCAATTGAACTTTTTTTTATCTAATAAACTTAAAGGAAGAAAAATGAAACAAGTTTAATATCAACTTGAAAGATTACAATCAATTAGGTTAATTAACTGTCAGCAAAGATTCAGTGATCATGCTTGTGGTGAAATCGAAACCTAAATCAGCATCAGAATCGCTTGAAACAATCAAAATGGAACCAGTGACTGGAGGTGATTCAGTTGTGGTTGTGGTCGATGATCTGGTTGGTCGAGTAGTTGAAGTTGTGGTAGATGATGTTGTGGTTGTGGTTGGTGTAGTTGTCGATGGTGTGGTTGGCTGAGTAGTTGATGTTGGGGTTGGTGTCGTGGTTGGTGTTGTTGTGGTTGTGGTTGTTGTTGATGATGTGGTTGATGTTGTGGTTGGCCGAGAAGCTGATAAGGTTGTTGGCATCTTTGGTGTTGGGATCAATTTCTTATCCAATTTACTAATTTTTTTGGGTGAAATAATTGATTTTGATTGTTTAGGGATTGGAGGTTGTGGGTCATTGTTGATTAAGGGCTTAGTTGTTGAGGGTAATTGTTTTTTCACTGTTAACTTTGGTTCAATTTGAGGAGCTCGTGTTTTAGGTTTGAAGAAAACTGGTCGATTCAAATTGAATTTTCTCGATAATCTAAATGAATTCCAAAAGGGTCGATGCAAATTTCCGCTTAGATGGTCACTATTTTCACTCTCATCAGCCCGATCTGAGTTCGTTGAATCGACCTCTAGTTTCTCGTCAGAATCATCATCAAGGTGAGATAAATTTCTAACGAATCGACGACCAATGAAACATTCAGAAGTCAATATAACTTTTGTTATAATTAAAAAGAAAATCAAAATTTTCATTTTCAATTTTACTCAATAGAGAGAAAGAAACAAAATTATAAAGTGACCACTGAAAAGACAGTATAACTACTGAGTTATGTCCACTTTCTTTGGATTTTTTTTTCTTCTCTCTTAAAAGATTTGGACCAAAGGATTAGAGTGACCATTCAGGTGGAAGATGTGGTCAGAGGATTAGAGAGAAAAATTCAAAAGATTAAGTTAACTCGCTGTTAATTGTTAATCTTTTCGAAAATGGATTTTCTTTTACTTTTCCATATAAAATCAACTTCAGGTCATTGGAACTCTCATTTGATAATTTAAACAGTTTTTTGGTAAATCAGTAATTTTTTATTCGATAAACATAAATTCTTGAAGTTTTTAGTAATATAAGTTTCTAATAGCTTGAATATTGACCAATCTACTCTTTGGTCATCACTCATTCACTGTTTTTTGCCACATTTCCTTCAATAGGCCATCTTCATATGAGGTCAATCTTTCCAGAATTGACCAGCCCTTCGAGCGGAAGACAAGATGTACTCATTTCCTTGATTCTCACGATAACTATAAGCACCAAGGGTCAACGATTGAGCCAATCGAGCCATGATACTTATCTAAGGAAGAAACGAAAATTGAAAATGATGATAAGTTCGAAGCGATTAAGATGATCGATAAACTGACCGGTAATATATTCCATTCCTGGTCACTAATTTGAATTACTCTGTGATAACCTGAGATAACATATCCTGGAGCTTTAATTGGATCAATTAATTTCGAATCAAGTGTAACATAACAACAAAGAATCGCCAGATCAAAAATAGTTGGAGCTTGATGAGAATCGGCGAAATCAATTAGACCAATAACTGACCATCGATTAGTGTCCACCTTGTCCAAGACAATATTCTGTTCATTTACATCACCATGAATAATGGAAACTGGAAACTCGTCGATTTTGTCAATTACCTGTTGTTTAAATTTCTTAATTACACCTGAAATCAACGATCGATGATCATCATTATCGACAGCGAACAAAAATTTGTCCAATTTGTCGACACTCGAAAGGGACCAAATTGTTTTCCGTTTCTCGAGAACCGAATTGGTGAAATTCTAAGAAAAATAATTCGAGAACAGAATAATTAAAACATAATCATCACCGAGAACAATTAATTGTTAATTTACCTTTAATTCCTTTGTCAAAGTTGCCAGAGTTTCACCAACTTGGAATAAAATATTCTCAGTGTAATCAACTTGATTCATAATTGTTCCCGGAACAAAATTCAACAATCTAATTGCAAATTGTTCCTCGGGCAATGATGAATTTAAACTAATTCGTGATACTAATTGTCCATTACAATCGGGTATTGGATAGGGAACCTTGAGGCTCGTCGAGGATTTAACATAATTTGTGATCTCATTAACGGCCTCTGAACAATTAACAAGATTGATTAATCAAAACAGTATCGGAACTAGTGACTTTAATTACTCACCAATTAATCGAGGGAATGATGAATCCAGAGAATTGGTTATTTTCAAGACGAATTTTTTTCCATGATCATGAAAATCAGACTCAATCTCAATCAGGTAATTACGATCATCGTAAGAATCAATCTCGATTATCTTAATCACTTTAAAGTTAAACAATTTATCAACCAATTTTTCAGCTGAATCGATATCAATATTTGGCTTAATCTTTTCACCAGGTTCAAGAGTTGACATTTTATTCACGATTCAGATTGGATTGTAACTAAATTAAATCTAATTCTTTCAGAGGATCTGATCAACTTATCTGATCCATTTCTTAGTAATCAAATAAATTGAACCACAAGGTCTCGAACAATTTAGTAATGATAATAATACGTGATGTGTTTAATATTTTCACTTATATATTAGTAAATTAAATTACAATTAGAACTCTTTTCATGTCAAATAATTTATCATGTCTCTGAATCAGATGATATGTTGCAGATTATTAAATTAAATTGTTGATTAGGTGGATCAAGGTCTCGAAAAATAGTTGCTGAAATTTAGTGTTTGAGCTTCTTGGTGTATGGAATCAATATCGACTATCGTTGAAATGTCCACGTATTTGGGATGAACGAGTTGAGTTGACATTGGTCGCGATCGACTGTAGAAAAGAAAAGAGTTAGTTGATTATTTGGTTGATTGTCTTGATTGCTATGAGTTAAATCAAACGGTTATTTACCTTCTAATAATTAATATCAACACTAAAGTTGAAACAATTAGTATGATAACTGAGCAGATCCCAATATCTTTGAGGGTTAAATTGGTTGAATGTATTGGTGAAGATGGAGATGATGATGATGATGATGACAGAGATAAAGATGATGGAGCTAGTGAGGGTGAAGATGAAGTCCAATATGAGATCGAAGATGAGGTCGAAGATGAGGTCCATTGAGATGTCGGTTCGAACTGGCAAGCAACATGCCTCGTACCAGAACACGAAACTTCATGAGCAAATTTCCCAGTGGCAATGTCGATTTTAGCACAATTGAATATCCCTTGAGTCCAAAAGTTAAGCGATTTGAGGCCATTTTTTTCCATTCCACTTGAGAGTCGAATATTTTTATAAAGAAAAAACGAAGACTGTGATGAAGAATAGGGAACGATTCCATCTCTCTGGCTGCAGAATTCATGAGAACCACTAAAGGTCAATTCGTTGGTGAAAAAAGCGTAACAATGATTTTCATCGACCCCAAGAGTAGCCTGTTCATCTTTAAAAGATGGACACTGGTCAACGGAAAATGATTGACTAAAGGTAAACAAAATGAACAATACTACAAATGAAGGTGACATTGTGATGGTCAAGATGAGATTCGTACATTCAAAGTAAATTTGTTTCTCTCATACAAAATGAAACATTTAGGTTTCCATTTAGAGTAGAAACTTAATCCATCTAAATCAACTGAAAGTTAATCCATTGGATTAATGGCTTCAAAATAATGAGGAACAATTTAAATAGATTAATTGCCAGAGAATGATTTTAATTGTGTTTCCTTTAGTTAACAAAAAAATCTTAAATGAGAATAAGTTGTTTTTCTTTGATTCGATTCAATCTTATCTTTAACTAATTGTTCAATCAGCAATCAGGATTAAAAGAAAATGTCTTCAAGTGATAATTTATCATTAAGTGATTAAAATTTCATCAGAGGTTGGAAATTAACAAGGTGAGTTGGATTAACGGTTCTCTTTAAATTGATCAATGCAAAAGTTGATCAATGGATGGAAATGAATTTCGAGATGCCGATGTTGATTGTTCAGTAGATTGTGATCTTATATGTTATGTACTTTCGGCACATGTGACACACTGAAAGGTTAGTGCAACAAACGGAACACGAACCGTGGCCACAGAGGAAAATTACGTTCTTCGAATTTTCCAAACAAATCGAACAGTTATTCGCATCTTCGATCGCAGTTAATTTTTTCTCAAGAATTCGAATTTTATCAACTAAATATGAAATGTTCGAATCAGTTTCAGTTTTAGTATAGAATTTTCTTTGGTCTAGTGTTGGAATAACTTGAGAATCATCAAGATCGACGAATTCACTGATCCATTTTCTCCATGACATCTCATCTGATTCCTTTGCGATTTTCTTGATTTCTTTCATTTTCTGACGAGATTTAGCCAATTCTATTCGAAAAGAAAATAAAGATTTAAATTGACTTGATTACAGAACTTTTTTTTGTCTCAATTACCTGAAATATTCATAACACATGATGGATTCAGTATGTATGTTTGTTTACCAAAATGGACAATCAGGTCACCGTCATTGTCGGTGTCCATTACGATACCACATTCACCCCGAATTTTCATTATCTCTGGTGAGTATTTGTCATTTTCGTCGAGAATTTTTTTCACTTTTTTATTATCTTTAATGACCTTAACAATATCGCCGGCATAATGTTTCCTCAAAACCAGCGGATTGAATGTCCAACTTAATCGACTGTGATTGAATAAAACGTTAACATCTTTAGTCTCGGTGATGCTCATTACGATTCCCGTTTTGTTGATTGCTTGAGCCATTCGTGGATTCCAACCTCCGTGTCCTTGTTGAAGCTCTTTGAGCTGTTCGTACTTGATGGCGATCACTTTCACTCGATCTCCAGTCGCAAATGAATGTTGTTCTTCCGTCGGTGGTGGTTGTGGTATATCAGGTGATTTCTTTTGTTTTTTTCGAGATCTTTTATCTTTGATTGGACTATTATTGGCACTTTGATTGATTCGTCTGGGTTTTTTTGGACTTCGCACTAAACTTACGATACATTTAGGATTCAATTGCCATGTACCACCATCGAAAGTGACACTTAGATCACCATCCGAAAACACTTTGAAAACGATTCCCTTTTTACCGAGAAAATTTTTCATATCAGGAACGAATTCCCCATGACCTTGTTGAAGTTTTTTCACTTGACTTTCGGAATCGATCAATTCGACAACATCACCAACACGATGTTCAACTTCCAGTTCGTTCTCAAATGTCCAAGCAATTCGTGAATCTTCAAACTTGACATCTATTTCACTGTTTTCACTGATTCCATTGATTATTCCATTTTTGCTCATGTATTTTACCGTCTTTGGATTCCATTCCTTTTGACCATTTGCGAGCAGTTTGAGTTCGTTGATTGAAATCGCGATCACTTTGATTTTATCGCCTTTTATGAATGGACAACCGTTCACTTTTGCTACGACAGAAGCGCTGGATGAAAGTCTTTGTTGAGTTGTAGTTGGTGGTGGTGTGGGCTGTGGTTTGGGCTGTGGTTTGGGCGTTGATGCTTTAGTTGATGGCGTTGATATCGGTGTCAATGTTTGCATTGTTGTTCTTGACGGTGGATGAACCGTGCAAGAAATGTAAGGTCTAATAGCACCTTGTAGCTCAATAGGACGATTTGCGACCGTTGATATTGGTGACAATGTTGTTGGAGTCGATTCCGTTGTCGAAGTCACCAAATATTGTGATCTGACAGGAGACGAGTAACTATTATGAGACTCGCTAGATATCTGTTGCTGTGGACGAGTTCGTCTAAGATCTGAATCAAATTCAGTTACATAAACGGGTTCATATTCACCTTCATCTTCATCCCAGTCTGGCCAATGAGAAGTCGAAGGTCGGATGGTCGCAGGCTGACTACGGCCGTGCGAAGATGATGTTACTCCCATGATGATAATCCGTTAGTTAAATTGTTGTTATTAACGAGATCCTCCTAATCACAAGTGATGGTAACTTGAGTAGACATAAACAAATATCAATTGATTTTTGCAATAAACGATTATGTTGTTGATCAGCTCATGTAACTAACAATTAACTGCCAATTACCAGAGCTACTCTCTCCCCCCACCTGGTTAACTGATTACCTTTTATAATTATCTGCTGAGAAATCAACAATAAAATGTTACTAACAACCAATTTCAATGATGATCAACAACTATTGAATTATCTGCTGATTCAATCATCATTTGTTAGATTGTAACTAAACAAAGATAAAAAAAGTTTTATTTAAATGCTAAAGCAGAAAATTGTTCACTTGGTAATACAATTAGTTTGGTTTAATCAGTGAAATCGTCCAGCTAATTAGTTTTAACGTTTAATACATTGAAATTTTTTCGTTAATTGAAGCTCGACAGAGGTGACAATCTTCAATGATGTCGGCACAGTCGCTACAAGCACCATGGCCACAGGAAAAAATGATCTTCTTTTCATTGATCCAACAAATGCCACAAGTATTTTCCTCTTCAAATTTGCGCATTTTTGATTCGAGGAGATGTTGGCGCTCAACTAGTACCGTTATGTTTGTATCTTCATCACTTTTAACACAAAGATGATCACGGGAGTCAATCGTGGTCACTGGCCTTGAATCGTCACCAATAACAGCCAACTGGTCAATCCAATCTTTCCAGGTATAAACCCCTTGTTTCTTGGCCATTGTATCAACACTTTTTTTGGATCTTACAATTTCTGTGAGAAATTGAAAAGACAAAACAATTAGAACAGTTTCCCAATGGTTATTAAGATAATAATTAATATTTACCAGATAAATTAGTTACACAGGAAGGATTTAAAGTCCAAATTTGACCTCGCAAGTTTATAATGAAATCGCCATTGTTTTCAGCGTCGATAACTATTCCAGTTGATCCAATAATTTTGAACATTTCGACTGAGTAATTTTCATTTACGAGTAAACTTTCAACAGTTTCTTGCTCTTTGATATTATTCACTTTGATTAGATCGCCAATGTAATGCTTGACCAAAGCCACTGGACTGAAAGTACATTGTTTTCGTGACGAGTCAAATTTAACTGTTACGTTGTGTTTATCGATCACTTTGATAACTATTCCCGTTTTGCCGATGAATTGTGACATTTGTGGATTCCAAATGGATGGAGGTAAGTGAATTGCTTTGAGGACATTGGAAGACACGGAGATCACTTTAACTTGATCACCGACCGTGAATGGGGTCGGGTTATTAGCGTTTTCTAAATTTGTACTCGAGGACGAAGCTGTTTCTTGGTCAGATGATTCGAGGTCGACAATTTCTGGAACCGTTGATTCAGCGGCTGAGGTTGATTTCTCTCTTTCGATTGCTATAAAAGGAAAATGACAAAATAATCGAGGTTCAATTATCGAATTGATATTGATGAGTGTTTGATCGAATTGATTTTCGATTAACTTACCTGACAAATTAATGACACAATCAGGATTCAAAATCCAGGTTCCACCATCAAAGGCAACCCTTAAATCACCGTCAGTGAATAAATTAACAATCACACCTTTGAAACCGAGATAATTACTCATCTCAGGTAAGAACTCACCATGACCTCGTTGAAGTTTTTTCATCTCATTTTCATCATCGATAACTTGAACCACATCATCGACCTGATGGTCAACATGTCCCTTTTTCGAGCTGAAATTCGAGGACCAAACAATTTGTGAATCATCGAATTGAACGATAACTTCACCATTTTCACCAATTCGATTGACAGTTCCAATCTTATCGATGAATTGAGCTTCCTTTGATTCCTCTGTTCGATTGTGATTTTGTCTCAATGATCTCAGTTGATCAACACTTATGGCGATCACTTTAATTTTCTCGCCAATTGTAAATGGAAAACACCGATTAACTTGTCCATTGGTTAGTGGACCGGATGAGGATGTTGATTGTTGAGGTTGCAAAGAGTTAACAGATGAAGTAGATGATAATTGAGATGAATTTGATTCCTCAGTCGAAACCCTATTATTAATAAACATAGAAAACATTATTGGAGTTTCCATTTCTAACTTAGAAATTGTTTATGTCTATTGATCAACTTGAGGACCAAGACTAAAGAGCCAAATATAAAAACTCGAGAAATTTACTGATTAGATTAACTTGTAGGTTCTAATTGCTGGTTTTTAATTGTTTCCTAGGAAAAATAGTTAACTTGACATATGAGAAGTGAATCCTACTTTTCACTTAATTGCGAAGGAGTTAATTGTTTAGTTCTAATCTAATTTGAATCATCTTGCCTTTGAAAATGAGATTAGCAAATTGTAATTAAAGAAAACAATTAAGCTGATTTCTAATGAAGTTGACCTAATTAAGTTCCGATTTCATAATAAAAATCATAATAAAAAAGTCAAATTTAGTTTGTTTTTTTTTGAACAATTAAAATCAAAATCTGTGATTCGTTTTAAATGATTAATCTAATTAAGGAAATTAAAAAAAATGATTAAGGAAAAAAAATCCACCCTTCTGATCATTTCTTTATTTTTGTCGTTGATTTGATTTTGGTTGATTGAAATAAATGTCGAGCTTGATTATTATATTGTAAATTTGTCATTTTAATTATATAAGTCAAAATATTTGATAAATTTAATTGTGATTGGTAAAATAATCAATCACAATAACATTGGGTCACACAAGTGAATTGTCAACAAGATGAGTTGATTGAGATGAAAAGAGATTTAAAGTTAATTGATTTACATTTTTTTTTTCCTTGCCGTTGATTGTGTGTTGATTAGTATTTGAGTAAATTATTGGAGATAAATTGTTCTGTACAATTAATTAATAAGATATTACGGATGGAATTCTTTGGGTAGAGATGCTTTCATGCTTTTTGAGATTCTAATAGTTGATTGATTAAATTAAATTAACACCATCATGCCATTAATAACCAGTGGATCAAATTTACAGAGAGTTTAAAATGAATTTAAGTAATTTTTCAGTCTTTTAAAGTAAATGGACTGTAAATGACCAATGGACAAACATCTATTGGAAATTATTATAATTTAGAGTGAGAGAGATGTATCTTCCTTAATTGTGTCTCCCCATCAACCATTAATTGTGAATTTAGACAACGACGTTGTTTATAATATCAGCAGCATTTTGAATAGCATGGACTAGAATTGAGAGTCGAGGTTTTAATCCATTTTCTAGTACTGATGTTAAATCCTTTCCGATGCTCACATCATTGATATGCGTACTGTTGAAAATTTGTGAAAGTGAATTAATTAATCCGATTAAGGTTTGATTCTCTCCTGAGTATAATCCTTCTGGACTTTGAATTAGATGAACATTATTCACGATATAAAGTTGAACCGGGTCAAGAAAAACTCTTTCCAATAAGAGAAGTTGGTCATTAATTGTTCGTATTGCCATTGGACTGTTTTAAGGGAGAAAAGAGAGAGAAACAAATTAATTGTGGTTCGATTTAATTTTCTTATAGTGATTAACTTACTCAGAGAAATCAATTGATCCTTGGCGTAAGTGAAAGTTATAAACTGATTCGGTGAAATTGTGAATTGCTGAACTGAGTACATCTGAAATTGGAGAGAAATTATTAGAATGATAATTGTTTAAGTTTTGTAACAATTAAAGTTTGTTAGTGAGAGAAATAAAATCTCACCAGTGTCAAAACCTCCTTTAGGGAAAAGATGTTGAGATTGATAGTAGATCTTGAGATGGACACTCTGAATAAACTGGACATAGTGAAATAAATTAAAGGGAATGAATAAAGATTCAGAAAAATCTCTTATAATTTCAGCATAAATTTGTGCCATCGATTGGTGGTATTTAAAATCAGGATCAATTGATGATTTAAATATATCAAAAGTATCATATTGAGTATGTATCAGACTATAAGCTGACAGAGATGATTTTGAGTTGTAATTTTGATTTGCAGAAACATAACTTAGATCCATTGAGGGTATTCCTAAGGACGATGTGAATATTGAGTAAACTGATCGACCCTGAATGGGAAGTATTTGTGGTTGACGGGCTGAAATGACGCCGTCAATATAAGAGAGTAGATAAGTTGTATTGGTGTGACTGAGATGAGCCAAAGTCTCTTCTTTGTTGAGTAAATCGGTAAAAGTATCTTGTTCAGATGAGAAAAGATCCATTTCTTGAGTATTCTTATGATGAATATCAGATGATTCTTTGATGAAAGTTTCATTACGAATAAGAGGAAATGTATTAAACCATTTGTCGAAAACAGTTTTATGTTGATTATCAGTCTTGTCGGGATTGGAAACCAATTTTGTAGCATTTAAAATCGCGTGATGAAGAAGAGGCGAGGCAAAGGCTCGAAATGAATCGTTACCCGAAACTACTGTATCTGCGTTAATGTAGACCAAACCTCGAGAGTGAAGAATCTTGTATTTATCTTCTAACCATTCGGTTGACCCTTGGAGATTGAATTCTTCGGCTCCCCATGAACAGAAGACAATAGTTCGTCGTGGTCTCCATCCTTTTTTCAGAAGTTGGCCGAAAGCACGAGCGACTTCCAACATGACACCAGTTCCACTGGCCGCATCCATGGCTCCCTTTGTAAGAGAATCTCGATGAGAACCAACCAAAACGTAACGATCAGGTTCAACTCGACCCTTTATGTAGCCCAATACATTGGAAACCGTTTCGTTTTTGAGATAATTGTTCACTTTGACTCGGATTTTAAGGCTTCCATTTGCAAATCCAGGGCCGATTGAGTGGGAAAAATTTGACCCTGAGTTCCAATCGGGTGGTGATTTGTTACCACCGAGAAGATGGAGCAACATCATAGCTTGATTACTACTAATCGGTTGAACCGGAATTTTAGCTACATGAGAGCTGGAAACTTTCCGATATGCATGATCTGTTGATGGATAATTAGGTGACATTGGATCACCAAATTCTGTCCAAAGAGCTGATTCCCATTTGATTGCATCACTTGGAAATTTAAATTCCGAATGATTTACCTCGAAAAACTTGTGGTCAGGGAAAAAAATGACCGCAGATACTTGATAATGAGACGCAATTAGAACAATTTGATCCAAAGGTAATTCACCAAGTTTAACTAGAACAATTTTACCAATAAAGTCGATCTTAAATTTTTCTTCCAATAGACGATAATCATCGGAATTACCATTATTTACAAAAACCAAATCACCCTGGAAAGAGATAAATAAATAAATTTATGTTAATCAGTCAATTAAAACTCTCCAATTACTCATGTGTAAATTGTAACATTTAAAGGTTACAACAATTAATCACCTGTAAATCGGCACTTGGTGAATAGGCACTGTATGGATGAAGTTGCTTCGCATCCAATTTCAAAGTGTCAAGGGAATCAAAGCTCACTTGTTTGTTGTTACTATTGATTATTTGTATTGAATTGGGTGCAGTTTCATCCGGAAGAGATAGTAGAACAGTATAATTATGAATGATTACTTTATCGAATGAAGAATCTAAAAAATAATTGTGTATCTTGGAGACCAAGTATCGATCTCTCGGTGATCCTGGTATCCTTGGTTCCTCACTAAATTCACGAACCAATTTCTCTAAATTATTAACATCAATTGAATTTAAAAGTTTCTCACTAATTGAGGGATCTTCATGTCTCACTGAATGAAGAGAAACAGCAAAATTTGGAATACATTCATTGTGAGAGGAATGAGCAAAATAACCAATCATTAAACCGATAAACATGGAAATCGAAGCCAATCCAAGGCAAGCGATTAAATAACGACGATTACTGGGAAAGGGAAGATCTTCCGTAGTTCGTTCATAGATTTGTAGAGAAGCAGGTTCATTGTCAGGCCAGTTAAGACCATCGTCATCAAGAACATTCAGATTATCACAACTGTCTTCATCTTTATAAGGTCTATAAGCAGCCGCCATTGTGCATCACCTACAAAAAAGTTGCTTATGTTTTTCTTGTCACGAAGTAACAGCAACAATAACAATAGAAAATCTTTATAAATAACTGATTGTTATTAATAATTTGAGCAGTAGAATTAAATTCTATTTTTGGTGGATCATCTAATCTTTTGGAAATGATGATAAAGGAAAAAAAATCAAATAAGCTGCCAGTAATTTTTTCTCTCTCCTTCTTCTTGTAAAACCAAATATTAGATGAAATTGGTTGTTGGACGGGTTTATAATTCTGGCAACTCTGATTTAATCTTTTATAACTTGAGTAAATTAACACCAGTAACTGTTGAAGAAAAAAAGAGAAAAAAATATTTAGAATAGAAAATCTTTTGTTCTTAGAAAAAAAAAGAAAATTCTATGCACAGGTAAGAAGAGAGTAAAGATGTTCCAGTCTGGATAAGAGAGAAATTGATTGACCGAATCTACTCAACCGTTTCATTCTAATCCGGTTAACTTACCAAATAAAATGGAATTAATTTATTCTTTTTTACGATAACCAAGAATATTAGTTAATCATCAACTTTAATGAGAATCAATAATTTTTTTACTAATAATAATCTAGGATGAAAACATGATGGAACCAAGGAAATTCATCAAATGTCAAAGCCCAAAACAAACACAATAAACTGGAAGATGAAGAGACACTTAAAGAGATCACCAAATTTTAGACTCACCAATTCACCGATTTAAAGATTTTTATTGCTTTGGTTACAGTTTAACGATAAATTGAAAAAGTTGATCAACTAAATTGTAATCAAGTTGTAATTTAATGAGTTTAAATCTAATTGGAATCTTTTTTCAATCTCATCAACAACAAGAATTTAATTCAACCAAATCAAAGAAAAAAGAGAACACACAGCGACACCTGTCGTTCTATAGATGAACTAAGATAGAAAACAAAAGAATTTGAGTTTTTTAGTAGAAATTAATTTTCCAATCGATTGTTTGATTAACCAGTTTAATTACCTTTAATTTATTTTGATTATTTTGTAAGATGTCTAATATTTGGGGTTCAGTTGATCACCTGGCTGAGGAGAAATTAAAATTCGATAATCATTTCGAACCAAGTGAATCATTTGAACCAATGAATGACAGAGATGAATATCTGAATAAATTGGGTGAGTAAAATTTTCACTTTAATTGTTTTGTTTCTAAATTGATATGATTGATTTTTAATTTGTTTTTAATTTGTTTTTTCGTTGATGTTTATTGTTTCAGAGTCTAGATTGAAAAAGATTAAAGGAAGTGATCGTGAACCTTCAACCAAAGAGATTCTGAAATGTTTAAATTCTGCCAAGGAAGATTTTCTATCCAATTTCCATTCAAATGAATGTAGTACATTGGATAATCAAGAATTGGATAATCCTGTTGATTCACATGGTCTTAATCCGAGTAAATTGTTAAATGATTTAGAAAGGTGTGTCTTCCCTCATCGATCATCAAACAATCCAGAAGAATTGGAGAAACTGTTGAAATGTGATATTTTGTCAATTCTCACCGAGAGATCAGCAAACATGGACAAAAGTGACAATTAAATCAATTGTCTCCTATAATGGAAATTACATTCTAATAATAATAATTAGTGTTTAATTATTATTCCTTTCAAATCTCTTCTTCCGATAACAAGATAGTGAAAGTCAACAATTATTCAACAATTGATTGACAATTAACTCTTATCGATAATACGTTAATATATTTTCTCATTACTTCAAGTTATACTCATAGAATATTTAAATTGTTGACAATTAACTCATGCCAAGTCAAACATTTTCTTAATTTTCAAGGTCCAATATCTTAACAATTAAGAGTCAATTCCCCAGCAATTTAATTGTAATGCAAATCATGAGCAAATTGTTCAGAAAAAAAGAGAGAAAGTCAATATAATTAAAATTGTTTTTATTAAATTGTTTTACACAACAATTAGAATTGTTTAAAGAACACTAAACAATTTAGTTATTTGAGAGAATCAAATTGAAACATTACAAAGAAACTATTAATTCAATTAAATTGTGGGTGGGTTGATTTGATTGTTTCCATTGAATAAAAAAATTAGTTGATTGTGTTTGGTTGAATGATAAACATTTGGAGAGTAACAAAATTTTGAAAATAAAACAATTAAGGATTGAAAGCAAATTGATTGACACATTGAAATGATTATAATCAAATAAATTGTTTTTCTATCAATTGCTGATTGCAATTATTTCCTTAATTTTTTTGCGATTTTGATGTAAATCACCTTAGATCTCAATCTTTTTGACAACTTTCATCAACGGAATCAACGGTGAAATATTTTGACGTTTAATTATTGTCGGTGGTTCAATTAAACTACGATAAGTTTTCATTAAATCGGGAACTGATTTATCACAAGATTTAACATCGGGCATTTTAGCGCAGGCCAAGTCAAAAACATCGGCAACCATTTGATTGATCTTTGAGGTCACATAAGCGGCCGTGTCTGCACCCGTTTTCTTGGCACAATTTGCCGCTACTTTAGTGGTGAAACAATCAAGACCCAAATGAACGGCACAACAAGTAGACCCAAGAACGACCTCCCGATCACCTTTAATATTATTTGCGATATAATCGAGTAAGATAATTACTTTGTCCATACAAATGTTCACGTTAATTGTTGTATTATCCATACACTTGATGTGTCTCAAAAACTCTGACAATCAGAAGCAAAAAAAAAACAAAGATAAACAATTGAAACAATCAATAAATTGTATCAACCAATTGATTCATATCGATATTGATAATCACCGATGAACCTTTAATAAGATTCAACCAATAGGCAATCAATTAACCATAACGATTGGGAAAAAATTCACTCGAAAGTAATTCAATTGATCAGTAAAAAGGGCTAATCAGTTGAATGATTAATTGTGATAAACAATTAGATTAATTAACTTACCAGCTTTTCCTTTATTGTCTTCACATCTTTCCTTATTTAATTGTCGGGCATTTCGTGACATTAAATTAAATACTTCACGAGGGAAATTAGTTAAACACTTTTGGTATCGTTTAATACAAACCATGTCCTTTTTACTTTCACTGAATACAAGATTAGAAACACAATTAAGATGATTAACTAATAGGGAATCAGTTAATTACTTACCGACAATGAGCAGCAAGATCACTTTCGTTCTGGATAAAGGTCAGATTCCAATCGCCGACATAAAGAAGCTTCTTAAGACATTTATCAGCTTCGACTAAAGTTTGATCACAATTCTTATTACGTTGACCTGTGGTTGGAACGAAACGAGAATAAAAAGACAATTAAGTAAATCAATTAACCGAAAGAACAACAATTAATACCTGAGACATAAGTGAATGTGACAAATGTGAAAATACACAAGGTAATTAGATAGAAAAGTTTAGAATCCATTTTAAGATTTGATTGGAACTTTTTTTCTTCAGGTAAACGTTTAGATGAGAATCGAAAAGCGAAAACGATGTTTATGTTGATTAACGAAATTTCCTCGGCCTTTTATATAGAATTTACAATTTACAGAATCATCTCCTCCTCTCAGAGTTCTAATTCCCTCCTCTACTGTCACATATCCTTCTTAACAACAATCAAGCAACAATTAACATCTTCTCAGGTAATAAGGAGATTGCCCTTGGCAAGAAATTGAGAAACTTGATTCTTGTTCAATGTTGTTCATCTTTCATTATTATTATCATACTTTTCCCACCGGTGGTGAATAATTTATAATACAAATTAAACATTGACGTCGCTTACAATTTAAGATGTTGGGTCAATAATAGACAATCATTATTATCGCAATTAAATCAAAATTTGTTTTTCTCCTTCTTTCCTTTACCTTTACAATTCCCCGTTCATATTTACCCGATGACCACTTATGGAGAGCGTGAAAATTTCCCACTGGACTTTTCTAATAATCGTAATGATTAAGAAAATTAATTCATAATTAGTTGATTGTTACACGATTTTCTATCTCTCTCTCTCTCTCTCTTGATATTCACAAAATCTTCCCTGGTAATTGAGATTCTTTTTTAATTGTTTACATTGTTATACTTAGTATTTGGTTAACCGATTAAGTGTTGGCAAAGGTGATCAGTTAATTGTTGAACCACAATCAAAGTGTTAAGGTTATTAGCCTAACAAGATTAAATTGTTTAGATCATATTGAAATTTTATTAGAAATGATTTTCTCATTGAATGAGTTCCTTTGTGATTAAATTTAATTGTTACTTTCTATTAATATTGATCATATGATTCTGATAGTTAATTTACTTTCTCTCTTCTTAATGAATCAATTATCTTATTGGAATTAAATTGTTTCATAATTGTTTTTAGTTTTTAATCATTTACACTCAGATTGATCGTTTGTGTCTCTCTTAAATTATACTCTGGACGGAACAATTTAAGGAAATGCTGACGATCAATTGATTTAATTGTCATGAACATCTCACAGGTATTTTCCCGTTTCTATTATTTTGATTATCCATAAATGACAATTGAATCAATTTTTATCATTAAATTATTAATTCCTGTGTCCTAGTCTATTAATCATATTCAATTGTTTCAATGATTAACTTTTTTCTCCGCCAATAATGATCAATATTGATTTAGAACTCGTTGATTTAATCCAAAGAAATTAGTAGAAGAATAAAAGAAATTTTTTTCTTTCCAATCCTTGACATTGGTGGACACAATTAAATCAATTTCCAAACCAAATTAGTAGTTAACTCTAAATTATTCTCAAGGAAATTGATAATCAACACGAAAACATGTAAACAAATATTTCTCTTCGGTAGATTTAACCAATTATTGTCAATGACGTACCGATGTTTGGTTGTCCATTCCCAAGTTATTTACCATTGAATGTGGATGATTAGATGATTATAATCAACATCTCACCTTAATTAGGTTTCTAGCTAATTGTAAGGAATAAAAAAAACACGATTGTTCAACACTGGACAATTCCAATGGAAACAGAAAAACTTTTCAACAATTGGATAATTATTATGGCGAGAAGGAAATAAATTGAGAATATTAACAATTCTCATCCCTAATAATAACAACAACAATCAGGAATAATCCATCAGAGAGTTAATCATCAACAATTGGATCAAATTGTATGACAAGAAATTTCCTTTAAAGGAAATCAAATCAATACAATTAATCAATTAGAAATTGATGCAAGCCCATTGATTGAGAAGAAATTAGATCAACAAGTTTACAGATCAAATTAATTAATCGATTATCCTCCATCTCCATGATCATCAATCTATTTACAATAGAATATGGAAAAATAAAAAGATTAGGTTAATTGTAGAATTTGATTTAATTGTGATTAGTTTTTCTCTTGAAAGAGAGAAAACTTGAAAAAAAGAACACCAGATGTCACTTGAATTTCTTTTCCTTTCTTGTTGCGTTGACTTATTTTCTTATCAAATTTTTTTTTCTCTCAAAAAGTTTTTCTATTTTGTTTCTATTAATTATGTTTCTTAATTAATTTATTGATTGGAAGAGAATTAGTTGTCTTGGGACTAAGAGGAGATTCTAGGGTGAGTATTTGTTTCAATATATTTGAATTGTTTTCTTCCAGCTTTGTGTTTGACAGTTTACACCTTTAGATGACAAGACAAGTCGCGGGATTTTTTTCTCTTTATTATTGACTAATTTTTTTTCTTTTCTTTTTTTAATTGTTTTTCTTTTTCTTCTTTCTAAGATATTCCATGATACCTTTTGATCACTGTGTTACCTTTGACCCAAATGTCTAGTTCATCTGCATCCAATATACTTGGAGGTGATGAGGTTAGTCATCAAGTTGTTGGCCAACCTCCACCTTTACCTCCTCAGGCCTCAGGTTCTTTAGCAGGGTCAACTCATCATCTTCATCATCATCATCATCACCATCACCAACAGCAGCAGCAGCAGCAGCAGCAGCCTTCTCATCATCAACCTAAGCCACAACAACAACAACCAGTTGACTCTCATTATAAGAATCTTCCTCTTCCTCTTGGTAAACCATCATCTTCATCGGTTTATCAAGTTTCTCAGGCACATCAGGGTACCAACTCTTCAACCACAAATCACCCTCATGGTTCAACCGTTTATGCACAAAGAGCCGATGTTTGGAGTCCAGTGACTTCTTCAATTACCACCCCTGCAACACCCACTCCTGATGATGAACTTCTGGGTCAACTTTCATTGGATGAGTTAATCTCACGGATTCGAAGTTTAGAAACTAAAAATAGGAAACTTCTTTATGACAATGGTTCAATGACCAAAGATATTAACCATCATTTATCTTCATTGCAACAATTGAAACAGCAAAATTATCATCTTATCGCAGAAAACAATGAGCTTCGGGAATTGGCCTGTTTCTTGGAGGATGAACGAACGAGATGTCGATCAATTGCTCGAGAATGGCAATCCTTTGGTACTCATATGTCAAGAGTTATGAGACATGAAGTAACTAATTATTCAAACAAATTAACTCAATTGGAAGGCAAACAATTTGAATTGGTACGAGAAAATTTTGAATTAAAACAACTTTGTCTCACTTTAGATAATGAATTATCAACTCGAGAAGGTTCAGAAAGCTCATTATTATCTTCAATCGAACCTCATAATCCATCTAGTATTGGAACAACAACAACAACAGTTAATTCAAATGGATTAGCAAAAGTTAATTCATCTTTCGCATGTAAGTATTAATCTATTACTTAATGATAGAAAAAAAGATTCTCAATTATATTGATTAATGTTATTTTCTTTCTCAGTGAGAGCTAAAGCCATCAAGAGTGCTACTAATAGTACATTGAACAAAAACGAGACCAATGTTCAACCTCAACATCGAGTTATTTTGAGCCAACAAATATTGGAATATATTAGATCACTAGAAGATCGGATAAAACAACTGGAAACGGAAAAGGCCAGAAAAATAAACAATGAAAGTACCTATGAAAACACAAGTGTCCTTAATAGTAAAAGTAATCCCGCTCTCGATAATGATGAACACAATCGTAATCATCAACCTGGATCAGTACCAATGTGCCCTCAGCCCTTGTTGGTGGCAATGCAAGCGCTTAAAATTCAAGAAGATCTTGGAACCACCGAGAATCCTAAAAGTTCAACCACTAATTTCACCCCAAACACCAACAATAATGTTAATTGTTCAACCACCACAATCGAGAACAACAATCGAACCAACCCAAATACGATTAGTGATAATACCAACGAAGTGATCACCGATCAACATAAAGCCATTGTGAAAGGTTTATGCAATGTTATCTGGCGAAAAATTGAAGATTCATCTTAACAATTTACTATTAATCACTTATCTTTTAATCACAATTTAATTCTCAGCAAGAAAAAAAAGTGAGATCAAGAAAAGAGGATTTTATTTATTTTGTATTAATTGATTTTTTTTATATTGTAATTTCTTAATTTTATATCGCTCAACATTGTCACACAAATTCAACTACATTGCCTTAATTAGTTTCCCTTTTGCCATAATTAATTTTATCATTGGGAAGTGGGAAATTTTTTTAATTACTTTACATTAACTTAATTATTATTCCAGGTTACACTTTTCATTGTAAGAGCAAAGAAAAATTTTCCTTCCTATTATTATTAAAAGAAATTTAAATCATGTTCTAATTACAATAATCTTACATGAAATCTGATCAACAATCAACATTAAAAAATCAACAATTAACCCAAACAATCAGATTGATGGAACAATAGTTTATCAGAAATTGATTGTAATCAATTTTCACCTTGATTCGATTTAAATTGATGAGATAATCAAAATATTTGATTTTCAATTGGTAAAATCAAAGAGAATGAGAAAAATGAACAATTAGAATCAAATTTGATTACCAATCATTGAAACTTTTGTTCAACAATCAGTTGAATTTTATATTGATCATTTTTTTTTCTTGATTTACTTTGAAAATTTGTTCCTGATCAAAGTGTTCAAATTAACCTTTTGAAAATTTGTTTCTTCTTTGTTAATTATCTTTAACGATATTCTTAATTAAAATGAGTCTAAAAAAGACCAACATAGAATCAGGTAATTTAAATAATTCCCTTAATTCTGATTGTGAATCTAAATTGTTTCCAATGATTCCTTGTTTCAACTTTATGTTTATGAAGTTGATTGTTTTCATTTTCTCGTTTATTTTGTTCATCTTAATAATTGTATTACTTCATCAATATCATATGGATAATCATCATCGATTGCCCAATATGTTAAACAAATTAAAACATTATCCAAATTGATTGAAACAATTAAAAAAAACGAGAGAGTTAAAAAGTTCACTCAATTTAATTTTCCTTCTCATATAAACCTTGACCTAATTACCTTTGACAAGTAAACATTTCAGATGTAAAATGTAAAACTCTATTAAACATCAATAAATTTAATTTGAAAAATCAAATTCAATGCAAATTAATTTCTTTTAATTAAAATTAAAGTTCAATTGGTTAATTAGTTTCGGTTTAGAAAATTTTCTATTCGAAATTAGGAAACGGTCCCTGAGACCATTTAAACGTGGGTTTGGTTTTAACCCGAAAATATTGTTTTGGTTAATTTGATTGGATTTAAGTTAATTAATTGATTAATTGTTTTGTGTCTTAATTTTAATTGTTGTATTTTTGATAGAATAGTGTTTAGTGCTTCTTGTGGTAGCAAACATGCCACAAAATAACCACATTGAGCTTCATAGGAAGCGTTATGGTCGACGTCTGGATTATGCTGAGCGAAAGCGTAAAAAGGAGGCCCGATCTCATCGTGATATTGCCCATAAGGCGAGAACTTTGAGGAAATTGAAGGCCAAGATGTTCAACAGGGAAAGATTTAAGGAAAAGATTCAAATGAAGAAGACTCAAAGGATGCACGAGATGAAAAAATCAAAGAAAAAGACTGAAGAAGAGGTTAAAGAAGGTGCTGTTCCAGCATATTTATTGGACAGAGAAGGACAAAGCCGAGCTAAGGTACTTTCTAATATGATTAAACAAAAGAGGAAAGAAAAAGCTGGTAAATGGGATGTTCCAATTCCAAAAGTTAAAGCTCAATCAGATTCTGAAGTTTTCAAAGTAATCAAAACTGGTAAAAGGAAAAAGAAAGCTTGGAAAAGAATGGTAACCAAAGCTTGTTATGTTGGTGAAGGTTTCACGCGAAAACCTCCTAAATTTGAACGTTTTATAAGACCAATGGGTTTAAGATTTAAAACAGCTCATGTAACCCACCCTGAACTTAAGACAACTTTCCATCTTCCAATAATTGGTGTTAAAAAGAATCCAAGTTCACAAATGTTTACCAGTTTAGGTGTTATCACCAAAGGAACAATAATTGAAGTTAATGTTTCCGAATTGGGTTTAGTTACTCAATCTGGTAGAGTAATTTGGGGTAAATATGCCCAAGTAACTAATCACCCTGAAAACGATGGTTGTATAAATGCTGTTCTTTTGGTTTAATTTAAATAAAGCTACAATTTTTCTTCTCTTTAATCCAGTCCAATTTGTCCTCTCAATTTTCACCGAATGACAATTAACTACGTGTCAAGAAAAAAAAAGACCAAGAGAATATGTAAAAATATGAATATTTATTCCATTCGATTTGACAATAGTAACACCATTTAAACCTCTTCTTTTCCTTAACCAATGAGAAGCTTAAATACAATTGTTACAACATTGAAGAAAATCAAAGGCACTAGAAAAGGAAATGAGAAAGAAAAATAGATTAATCAATTAAGAAATTAGAAAAAAAAATGAATAAATCAACTAACCTCTCATTACAGTTCTTATTGAGTGAATCAAATTTAAAACGTTGGCTTTTACACCAGGTTGAGGTGGTGGAATTCCATAAGGTTGATTAAAATTGATATTATTCTGATCTCGACCACATCCAACTAAACAATTAAAAAAAAGCCGAAGACAAAAATGAAAACAAAATTAAAAATAATAAACAAGCAAACACATTAATGGAAAATTGAAAATGAATAAAAGTAACTCACTTTTTTTGAGAAATCTTTCCTCATGGAGAATTGCAATTCCATTGACTATTAATAGAATTGATTCAAATAGGTTATATAATGTAATTGCCATAATTAAAGATGAAACTAATTAACAAAAATCTTCAACAAATGTCAACCAGACAATTAAAGTTTCCAATCAATGATTCATTCAAGTGACTATAATCGAATCGATTGTTTTTTTTCTTCGATACTATCGATCTAAAGTAAACAATCCAAAAAATCCAACCTTTTTGTTGAATTGTCAAAGAAAATCAAATTTTTTTATCTCTCAATTAATTCTGTTTATTTGTGTAATTACTTTTAATTATTGACCAATTAATTAACTATCTGAATCCTAATGTCTGTAGCAAACATGGAAAGTAAGTAGATTGTTACTTTTGTTTCTCTTTTTACTGATTTAATTTGACTTCTTTGTTTGTCTTCAATATTTTCATGTTGAGCCTGAGGTTTTTTTTTATCTTCATTATTTGTTTTGGTGATTGATGTGATTTTGTACTTTTTTTCTGGGTATTTTAATTGTGATTTTGTTTTCTTCTTTTAGAACATTTGTTCAACTTGAAATTTGCGTCAAAGGATTTACTGAGGAATTCAAAGAAATGTGAAAAGGAGGAGAAGAAGGAGAAAGAGAAATGTAAAATGGCCATTCAGAAAAACAACTATGAAGCTGGAAAAATTCATGCTGAAAATGCTATCAGACAAAAGAATCAATCACTTAATTATCTTCGTATGAGTGCTCGGGTTGATGCGGTGGCCAGTCGTGTACAAACTGCTCTGACCACTAGAAAAGTAACTCAAAGTATGACCGGTGTTGTTAAAGCGATGGACGCTGCCATGAAAAGTATGAATTTGGAAAAAATATCTTCCGTTATGGATAAATTTGAGAAACAATTTGAAGATCTTGATGTACAATCATCCGTCATGGAAGATACTATGAGCTCGACAACAACACTTTCAGTACCACAAAATGATGTCGATAATCTGATGAAACAAGTTGCCGAAGAAGCTGGGTAAGTTTAGTCATCAAATAATTTCACTGATTGTGAGTCATTTCCATCCAGTTATCTAATCATCATTTTCTTTTCCTATTTCTATTTCATCTTTCATCTAGAATCGAATTGAAAATGGAGTTACCAAGAGAGGAAACTGCAAGTATTGGTGAATCAAGCATCGCCGCTTCAGAGCAAGATGATTTAAGCCAAAGATTAGCGAAACTGCGAAACATGTGATAAAAGAAAAAAGAAAAACACAATCAAAAAGATGCAAAAAGTTCAACTCAAAGATTCAACAATTAACAATTCCATGATAAGAAAAGCTCAGGCTTATTCCTTGTTCCCAGAGAGAAAAAAAGAAAACATATTCATCTCAATAATATATCTTCTAGACGAATTGTTTTGATTGCCTTAAGGAACCTGAAAGAATATAAAAAAAACCAAAGGATAAAACAAAGAAAAGGGAATCAAATCAATTGATAAACACAATTAAAAATCTTTTTTTTCCCAAACCATTACATCAACTTAAATGAAGGAATCTAATTGAACAAAAATTGAAAAGAATTGATAAAAAAAAATGAAAAGTCAAATTTACCTTTATATAAATATCCAAATTGTAATGATTGTGAAAAATATTTTAATAACATCATCAATTGACATCAACATATTAACTCAACGGTTGATATTGATAAAGAAAAATCAACAATTAAGTTGATCAAAACATAAAAAAAAACAATCAAATTAAAACCCAAACAATAATCGGTCAGTAATTGGTCAATACAAACAACAATCCAAAAACGAAATCAAATGAAATCAACAAATTTGATCATTGATATTCCAAATTAAATGACCATAGAGAGAAAAATACAAAAGGTAAACCAAATTAAATTTAATTGTTAATGGAAATCAAATTAATCGAAAAATGAAAAATCTCCAGAACAGTTGAACTTCCAACCGACAGATGGCGTTAGTTTTCGAATTTTTGTAACCCAATACGAAGAGAGATGTCGCTGGTAAGTAAACATAATTCTTGAAAAGTAAGATGGCCGACACATTGGGCAAATTTCTTCAATTTTGATTTTGTGAATTAATTTTTTTAATCTACTTCTAATTAAATTAATTGTCAGTTTATATTTTGTAGAATGAGTTACCATGATGGAAGAAAGTTGTTGTGATTGTAATTCATGTGAACCGGACGGTTCCTGCCGGCCCTTTTTAATTGAGTGATTGCAAGTGTCACCAGTTAGTGTGTGTGTGTATATACAAAAATTTTTTTTTTCTTGTTGAGAGCGAGGGAGAGTAAAAGAAAAAATTATATTATTATTATTATTATAATTATTATATTATTATTGATATTATTATTAACTTGTGATTATCAAAGGCTCAACCTTTTCAGTGATTTTAAAGACCCTCTAAAAGTTGATCAAAATTTAAACAAAAAAAACTAAAGATCACTACATGAATCCTAATGGAAAATCATATGGTCTTTTGTTCAGTTAAGGATGAATTCCTGTTGTCCCAAGATTTATGTGTTATCTGTGGAAGCTTGGGTAAAGGTGAAGAAGGATGGTTAATCATATGTTCTCAATGTGGTCAGTGTTATCATCCTTATTGTGCTAATATTAAAGTAACTAAGGTTATATTAAGTAAAGGTTGGAGGTGCCTTGAATGTACTGTTTGTGAAGGCTGTGGCAAAGCTAATGATGAAGGTAGGTTACTACTTTGTGATGAGTGTGACATAAGTTACCATACATATTGCCTCGATCCACCCTTGGATGATATACCAGTCGGGACATGGAAGTGTAAATGGTGTGTAGTGTGTATAAAATGTGGTTCCATATCTCCCGGGGTTAATTCATTGTGGCAAAAAAATTATACCGAATGTGGCCCTTGTAGTAGTCAAACTTCATGTCCAGTGTGTTACGCAGATTATGTTGAAAATGATCTCATAATTCAGTGTATTCACTGTAAACGGTAAATTTAATTTGATATTTTTCTTTTCATTTAGACTCTTCTTCTTCTTCTTCTGTCTTTCTCTTTCACTCTCTCCCTTTCTTCTTTCTCTCTCTCTCTCTCTGCCTTTCTCTCTTTCTCTATCTCTAGCTATCTCTTCTCTCTATTTTCCTTCTCTACCTTTTCCTATGTTGCTTTTAATTTTCCTCTCCTCCTTTTAATCACCTCATATTGTCAATAGCTAACTAACTTTTAATTTTATAAAATCTCTTCTCTTATTTTGGTAGATGGTTACATTCGAAATGTGATGGGATGAGCAATGAAGATGATTGTGAAGGTGCCGCAGATTATGGTTATAAGTGTATATTATGTCGCCCTAAAGATGAACCATCCGCTCATTTACAAGGTAATTGCTTTTTTTCTCTCTCTCTCTCTTTTTATATTCCACTCAAGTATCCATCTCATATGTATCCTTTTCTTTTAAAAAGAATATAAATATTTCATAATATCTAATGGTCTAATTTTCTTTTTTTTCTCCTCTATCTGTATCTTTATTTTTTTTTCTACAAACTTCTATCCAGCTCTTAAACTCAATGCAATGCCAACGAAAAGACTTAGAGCTTTAAGTATTGAAGGTAGCCTAGGAGGAACAGGCAATGTTTCACGCGCATCTCCTTTAATTTCGCCTCGTTCTTCTGTTGATTCCGTCTCTGGTAAATTGGCCAGTTCTCTTGATAATAATAATGGGTCCATACCATTTCTTGTTAACGGAAATGTTTCATCAAATGCAATTAAGGATGCATCTTGTACAGGTCGTGATTTGGTACCAAATGTTAATGCATCATCGACTTTTTCTTCTCAAGCTTCTTTGGTGCCTTCTACTGAATCATCTGCAAATTCATCAGCTTTAAAGTCAAATAATAACAAATATCAAAGTCAATTTAACCTTGATGGTGTACCTTTGTCTGAAGGCGGCATGTTGCTTATAAAATCTCTTCTATTAGAAGCACCTAAAAGACCGAGAGCGAAAAGATCAAGTAAAGCTAACCTGGCAAGTGGAGATGGTGAAGATGGTAGAGATGAAGATAATGAAGATTTTAAAATGACGGAAGATGGTTCTTCCAGTAAGATCGATCTATTAGACGCTAATGATAAGAAGAAAATTGGGAGACAGAGGAAAATTCAACGATTGGGAATTGGTGGTTTCTGTGTTAAAAATCGTACCCGTTGGAGTAAGGATGATGATGGTGAAGCAATTGAAAATGCTCCAGCTGAGCTTGAATCAAGTGGAATACAAAGTGAAAAACCTAAAAGACGAAGAAGAATGAAGAAAAAGAGTCAACTTCATGACAGTTTTCCTTCATATCTTCAAGAAGCTTTTTTTGGAAAGGGTTTACTAGATTCAAGTAAAGAGCCTCCTTCAAACGTATCAGACCAAATTAGTTCGGTGCCAGAATCAAGTATCAACTCTAAATGTCCACCATTACTTGATGAAAGTTCATCTCTTTCAACTAGAATAACAAACGACCAAATGGTTACATTAAATCGTTCTGATACTCCCATAACTAAGTCACCCTTCACTAAGGTTAAGCTAAGTGAAACTCGTAAATCGTCTGATGATGCATCTAATTCAGTAACAATGGACGACGATGATTTGAATGGATTGTTACCTCAAGATCTTCCACAGGATGACGAACTGATGAATATCCTTTATGAAGATGATGATCTCGATAAAACTGATGAAGTTCTCGGTGATACTCCAATTGTAGATAAAACTGTTAATGATTCTAAAGTTGATGGTATTGATTCAGTTATATTAAATACCAATTTCAATTTGGAAACAATTGTTGTGGATAGTGGATTACCCCATATGGATAGTAAAGACGTTGAAGATGTGTTTCAAGGTGTTTTAAGTCAACCCCCAGTTACTGTAAATGACCAAAATCAAATTATCGATGAATTTCCTTCATTTACATCTTTATTGCCAACAACAATTAATAACTCTGTTGTCACTTCAGTCAAAGATACAACAGGGCCAAGACAAGTAGAAATGATCGTTGATCGATCTAATCAAATTAAACATCATCACCAACAACAACAACAACAACATCCTCATTCTCACCCTCACCCTCCTCATCCTCCTCCACCATTACCATTACAGCAACAATTACAACATCAACAAATTTTACAGCAACAACCTCAACCTCATCAACAACATTCACAGCACATTCATCCTCGACCTCAACATTCACATCTTCATCAACTTCTTCAGTCTCAACCACAGTCTCAGATTCATCCACATCAACAGCATCCTCATCCGCATGGACAACATCCTCAGCATCAACAACAACAACAATTACCCCATCATATGCCACCACAATCTCAACCACAACCGCAACTCCAGCAGCAGCAACAGCAGCAACAACAACAACAGCAACAGCAACAGTTACAACAAATGTCACCCTCAACTCTGGCCATTAGACCGACAACATTTAATCGTGAACCCATCAGGATGCCAGCAAATACATTCCTTCAATCACCAGGAAACAATTCACCAGTAGTGGAATCACAATTTTCTCTTCGACCACCTTTCCCTGGACCACAGCCTCAACCTCCTCCTCCTCCTCCACCACCACCAGTACAGCAACAACCTCAACTTCAACAACAGCCACAAATCAGAGCAATATCTTCTCAACAGCTTCCAGTGCCACCACCTCCATCCAAAGTGCAAACTCCCACTGAGGAAGAACAGAAATTACAAAAGTTAGAAGATGAAGAAGCTCTTGGTCCAAATGCAACCATCTCAGCTGTATTATATGCCAACATTAATTATCCCGATCTTAAAAAGGATTATCCTGACAGCAATGAGCGTCATAAACAAATATTCAAATTTTGGCGCCAATTGTCTGATGAAAACCGATCTCCGTTTCGTCAAAAGGCCAAAGAAAATCGCCAAAATCGAGCGCAAAAAGCTCAACAAGAGCAAAATAAGGGAAGTTACAAAGATAATAGGTATGAAATCTTCTTATGCGCAACATCGTCAATTTTTCACGTTTTTAATTTTTCCTCTCTTTTTTTACACGAAGAGAAACTTTTATTTAATTACATTGACTAACATTTATTTTGTTTTTTCTTCTCTTTTTGAAAGGCCTAACAATATTATTAATGTTCGTCGTGAAAGCGATCAAGAAATGCAATGGAAACAAGTGCAAAATGCTCGTCAGCAACAACAAATGCAAGAACAACAATTACTACAAGAACAGAGGCAACAATCACTATTAACTGTACAGAAACCGGGATCATTTGATAATGATCATAAATTAACTAATAGTTTTGGTAATGAAAGTCAAGAAAATAATAACTCAGTTTATCTGCCTCAGAATCCTAGTGAAATTGATGGTAATCAACAATTTTGTCTTTCGGGAGATGAACCGTACGGTCAACAACATGATCCTAGTGTAACTTCAACTGCTCCAACAAATGATTCCTCTAATTTGATTAGATCAACCACTTTAACACCCTCTAGTCCGATGATTGGACAACATCAGAGACTGCCTTTAACTGGACCTCAAAAGAGTCCTCTAATTGTGTCTAGAGTTAGGCCACCGATAGATCCTAATAGAATCGCTTTCCCAACTGGAAACTCTCATCCAGAAGGATATCGACCATCTTTGATGCAACACCTTCCAACTGGGGTAACTTGTGCACCATCATCTCCAGCTAATCAGTATCCTCCTCGTGTTAATTTGGTAGACAATTATCAACCACCAACACCAAGACCTCAATTAAATGAAACTTATTCGAGCAATAACAAATCCAATGTGCAACAATTACAACAACAACAACAGCAACAGCAGCAACAACAACAACCTGTTCATCATCCTAATCCTTACATTCAGCAACCCGGTACTCCTGTTCCTGCTAATAGTCCTTTCTCGCCGAATACAAATAAGTCTTGTCCAACTCCTGATCCATATTCTCAAACTCCGTCTACACCAAGACCAATTGCTCAATCACCAATGGCTACTGCTGGTCAAGTGCCCCAAATGGGAAACGATTCTTTCTCACCATCAACTCCCACTCAACGAATGACACCTTCAAGATCTTCGGATCCTTATTCACAGGAGCCTAACACACCTCAGTCTCCTTCAATTTCAGTGAGCTCTCATCAACCTGATTTCATGCAGTCTCAAGTAGCGACAATGGTACAATCAGTACCATCAGATCCATACTCTCAACCACCAATGACACCGAGACCTCAATTTGATAATACATATGCACGACAAGTTTCCACTCCACGAACACCATCTATGGTTGATCCTTATGCTCGGCCAATCGGTACACCAAGATCGAATCTGTCTCCACAAGATCCATATTCTTATCAACCGCCAACACCGAGACAAGGTCCACAAATGGGTCCTCATCATAATCAACTCAACAGACCGCTGCTTAATCATCCAGGCAGTACAGAGATAATGCATCCACCATCACCTTCCACACACCGAATGACTCCATCTCGGTCTTCTGATCCATATGCCCAACAACCTGCCACTCCACAGTCTCCGGCAACAACACAAAGTGTTGCACATTCACAAGACTTTAATCAAATTCAACAAACATCAGATCCTTACGCTCAGCCTCCAATGACACCTCGACCACAATTGTACGATAACAATAATCCTTATTCAAGACAAGTACCTACACCAAGAGCTTCATCTATGAATGATACTTATGTCAGGCCGATGGGTACTCCTAGGCCACAAATGCCTCAAGATCCGTATGCTTACCAACCAGCAACTCCACGGCCTGGATTCCAAGCATCTTCTCACCATGGTCCATCTGTTCAAGTACAACAATCTAGAGTAAATGAAACAATGCATTCGCCATCATCAACACACCGAATGACACCTTCACGGGTTGATCCTTATTCACAACAGCCAACTACTCCTCAGTCACCATCAGTTTCAACGAGTTCTCATCAACAACCCGATTTCAATCAATCTCAACCAAATGTTTCATCGTCCGTTTCATCAGATCCTTATGCTCAACCTCCGATGACTCCAAGACCACAGCAATATGATAATAATAATCCTTATTCTAGGCAAGTTTCTACTCCAAGAGCATCTAATATGAATGATCCTTACGCTCGTCCAATCGGTACACCAAGGCCAAATGCTCCTCAAGATCCATATGCCTATCAACCGATGACTCCACGACCAGTTTCACATCTTCCAACTCATATAGCTACTCAAGGACCAGTTGGTGCTCAGCGACATCATTCAGGAAGTTCACAGTCTTCTCCAGCCCCTCAAAGTCCTATTGACCCATATGCACAACAACCAATGACACCAATGCCCTCACCTCATGGTTTTGATAAAGGACCTTTAACTCCGACGTCTTTTGGGCCAGTTAATCAAGACAATTCTAATGATATTCAGGCACAAAATCGTGATTTACTTCAAAAACAAAGGCCTCGTTCTGATCAGCCAGAAAATAACATTTCTTGGAATGATCAACTGCAACAACAACAACATCAACAACAGTTACAACACCAACAACAACAGATGCAACTTCAACACCAACATCAACAACAACAACAGCAGCAACAACACCAACAACATCAACAGCCACAACAGCAACAAGCAAATTATGGCTCTATGAATGTGCCTTTGGGTCCTCAATCTCCTCGGATGCAAACCGATGGATTCAGACCACCATTTCCACCAGGAACTATTCCAAGACAAAGGATGGTCACTAATCCTGGTTATCAAGTGTTCAGACATCCAGGTGATCCCCGAATGCATCATTTGCAACGAGGACCAGACCCAAGAGGTGTTCGTGTTCCTATGGTTTCTTCACAACCTTACCCTCAACAACCACAACAACAGCAACAACAACCTTTATCCCCTCATTTACACCCTCAACAACAACACCATCAACAACAAATGGTTCGAGGTGGACCACCTTCACAACAGCAACAACAACAATGGGCTAGAATGCAAAGACCACAAATGGGCCCGATGACTTCTCATCAATTGCAAATGCAAAGGATGCAGATAATGCAAGGAATGAAACGTGTCCCAGCTCCTCTACAACCACCAAGTTCACCCTCTTCTCCCTCCCTTGCTATGCGGCCAAATCAAACTCAATCTCCTCACCATCACCAATCACCTCAAACTGAACATTTCAGTTTCAGCCAACCAAACAGTGCTAACAGTAGCTCTGCTCCCTCTCCGACTGGAAAGCCAGCTACAAATCCTCAATTTGCTCCAAACCAGGCAAATATCTCATCATTTAATCAGCAATCTCAAAACAGTGCCAATATTGCCGCCGTCAATCCAGGGGAAATCGTTTCAATGGATAGGGTTGTCGAAGTTCAAGTTGTGCCCTCGACGGGTCAACGTGATGCATCCATCACCAAGTCTCCTTCTAAATCTGAAGAAGATGTTAAAACTCCATTCACTATCGAACTAGTCAAACATGTACAAGAATCCGTTCTTAATGAAGAGGATGCTGCTCCTGAAGATTTAGATGATGATGAATTATTAGGTCTTGGTAATGATTTTAATATCTTAGAATATGCTGATCCAGAGCTTGATCAAGTTATTGGAGGTGCAGCAGGAAGTAAAAATAATATTTTCGATGAACATTTTGATGAAATCTGTGATAAAGACGAGGATGGTGAGAAAGCTAAAGCAGACAATGAGGATCATAAAGGTCCAGGTAAATTTAATCCAAGTGAAAAAGAGTCTGAGAACAAAAAATCTAGTGATGAAACGAGTGTTTCAGTCAGTGGCAATCTAATCAAAGAAGAGACAATGAAATCACTTGATACCTCTTTGGTGGTCATTCCTCCAACATCAACTGATATAAGTTCAAATATGCATCCACCACCTCCTCCATATCCAGGAACATCAAACAGTTCACTTCCTCCACCTTATCCCACGAAAGCTGGTCCACAACAGTCTCATGGGTTTCCACCAATGGAAGAACCTGTTGCTTCTGGATCGGGATTACTTCGCTCTCAAATTCCCACCTCTGGTCCAATGCCCGCTCCTCATGGAGATGGTTTCATTGGCCAAGGTGATGCTTTATTAAGTGACTTAGAATTTGAAAGACTCAAGGCTGAAATATTGTCTGATGACACTTTAGCTACAGTTACAGCTGGACCATTAATACAAAACTCACTGATAACACCAAATATTCAACCACCACCACCACAACCTCCTCAGCCTTCATCTTCCTACGGTCATCAAGTACCACAACAACATCCATGGTCAGAGGTTCATAAAGATCCACGAATGCCCCAAATACATCAACAACTTCCTCCCCAAGGAGCTGGACAACAACACTATTTAGGACCACGCCATCCAGGTCAACGTCACCCTGTGATGATGTTCCAAGGACCACCGCCTCCTCGAATGGCTGGTGCATATGCCATGCAACAGAACCCCCGTCAACAGACTCCTCACATGAATCATATTCCAATTAATCAGCCTGGTATGATCTCACCGAATACTAATCTTCAAAGTCCAACGTTGAATCCACCACAGTCTCATCCCTTTGGTTCAAATGCTGGGCCACCTACTAACCAACCAAATGTTCAACCACCAAGTGACCAATTTCATGGTAATCAATGGAATAATCAACAGCCACCACCACAGCAGCAACCGCAGCAGCCACAAACTCTTGCTGAACTTCAGAAGACTCTTGAAGCCGAGAAAGCGAGATTATTAAAGGCAAAGAAAACAATAAACGCTCGTCAGAGAGCAAGAAAAAAGAATGGCAGTGAACTGTCAGACACCGATCAAGCTGATTTGGATAAAATAAATGCTGAGCGAGAAAGCATCAGGAAAAAGTTAGAGGCTGTCAAGAAACAACAAAAACAACAAATGCAACAACAACAACAGCAGCAAAATCAATTTCAACACCAACATACACAACGTCACTCTCAACAACAGCAACTTAATAATGCAACTGTGATTACTACACCAACGGATTCGAGTGATGTTGGAGAGGCACGAACATCTTTCCAGTTACATTTTGAAGAACAAGGAAGTGGAGTTGACAATGACGCTGTTAATGACCCTTTAATTGAGAAGAAAACTTCGTCAACTGAACATGGTATCAATCAAGAAGGTCAATCGAGTGGATTGAATCCATTAACAGGGCAAAATCCATTGAATCCAAAGGCTGATGCTAAAGATTCATCAACTAAAATTGAAAATAATGTTGACCAACAATCGGGACAACTTGAAACACCAATGGAGATTGATAGTGATCATCAAAACGAGATGCCAAAGCAGCTGATGAAAGATAATCAATCTGTTAATGAACCAGTGATGTTAATTGCTGAATCGACTAATGTTGTAAATATTTCACATGAATCTCCTTTGCAAACATCGAGTACAAAAGAGCTTAGCCAATCTCATCACAATGATATTTCTAATTTGGTTTCATCAACTAATATGGTTAATCGTATTGACCATCAGATTAAACAAGAGATGATCAATTCTGATCAACCAAGACCAATGGAGATTGAGAAAGTTGATCTAGTGAAAAGTAATTTTTTAGAGCAAACTCTTCGTTCAAATGATCGTATCAACTCAATCCAAGGATCAATTTTACTGGATAAAAATAAGATCTACTCTAAGGTTGAAAAGCCAGAGACTTCACATATGATCAATAACGTGAATTATGTTCAATTGGTTAAAACAGAAACATCAACTAATCAACAACAATCAACTGAAAACAATTCAATAACAATAAATTCAACTGAAATCAAAATCAATCAAAAACCAAATATTGATAATGTGGACAACAAATTAACTCAAAATGAATCTTTGCACAGGGTAAGTTTTTTATTATTTAATTTTTCTGTCATTTGATTTTTCTTTTAAATTTTTAAATTTTTCCTTTTTATTTCTTATTTAGACTTTGAATCATCTCCCAGCTGATAAAAATAATCCAGTCGAATTTAATCAAACAACTATTACTCGAACTGAGATTAACATTCTAACTAATCCAACAGTCACTCAATTAACTGAAAGTAAACCAACTATTGATACATTAAACAGTTCGAGGTTTGTAAAAGAGGAAAAAGAAGACCAAGTTTTGAAGTCTGATACTACAACCAAGGTTAATCCAGTTTTTTATGATATTAGTAAAGACCTTACTAATAATCGTTTGCAAGTTACTGACCCATCAAGTAACAATAATAATGTTGGCCCTAACCGAACTTACTCCAAGGGTTATGTGTTGTTGAAACAGTTGTTAAAAGATTGTCAGTCTGCTGATTCCCAGAGTTCAAGTAGTTCAAGCTTATTGCCGGATCAAACTGAATTCAATATATCATCGAAAGATAATGAAATCTCTCTCGAACTCAAACCAAAACCTATTCCAGTGATTCCGATTTCAGAAACCAAAACTCCTTCAATACCAACAAGTGAAGCTGTTACCACCCAAGCTTCAATTGTAAATATTTCAATTGGTCAAGAAGTTAACAAAATTCAGCCTATTCTTATACAGACCTCGGTACCAACTATGCAATTACCTTCACAAAATCAAACTGTTTTATCTCAACAATTGACTCAGTTTCAACGTAAACCACAATCTCAACCATCAGTCCAACTACAGTTACAGCCTCAGCCTCAACCACCGATTCAACTTCAACCTCAAACGCAGCCACAGCCATCAACACAGACTCAACCACAAGTACAAACACAAATTCAAATCCAACATCCACCTCAAGTTTCAGTGCAATCTATTCAACCGCAACTTCAACAAGCTTCACAGCCACAACCGCAGCCTCAGCCTCAGCCTCAGCCTCAACCTCAACCTCAGTCTCAGTCTCAGCCACAGCCACAGCTTATTATAAGACCAAATCAAAATCAACAGCCACCTCAACAACCCATGCTTCACCAGCAGCAGTTGCAAACTCAACAACTACAGCAACAATCTCAAGTACAGTTACAGGGACAACAACAACAGCAACAGCAACAGCAGCAGCAACAACAACAATCGTTTCCTTATCAACATCATCCACAACAAGTAACTCAACATCCTCAGTCGCAGCAATTTAATCAACACCAATTTCAACATTTAGTGCAACAACATCAACATTTACAGCACCAACCTCAGATACAGTTACAGCAAATTCAATCAAAACTTCAAGTTCAACCTCAGCCATCATCAACACCTCAGCAACAGCAAATACAACAACAACAACAACAACAACCGCAATTGCAACAGCAACAGCAACAGCAGCAACAACAACAACAACAACAACAGATACCTCAGAGTCCGATGACTGTGACAAAGAAAAAAGTATCATCTCTTGATATACGACGGGCTCAACTAGAACGAGAGCCGACTCCTCCACCGGAAGAGATTAAACCGAAAAAGAAAAGACCAGGAAAACGAAAAGAGTCTAAAGTAAATGAACCAGGAGGAATACCCAAAAAGAGATCTAGAAAATCATCAACTAATCGAAATGATGAAAGCTACGAACTATACATATCAAATTTAATGACTCAATTAAGAAAATTAGAGCCTGTCCAGGTACAAGAGCCTGAAATTAGTCCAAATTACAATGTTTGTCCAATTGTAGGAAGTGGTGATCTTAATGCATCCCAATCAAGTTTAAAAGGAGTCTATGGTAGAGCTTATATTCCAGGTAACCATGATCACTATTCAACTAAAAGTCTGAAAAAATTAATTCCCGGACAAACATCGGCTTTAATTGAATCATCATTACCACAAAATCGTTCATCTGAGCGTAGCTGGTACAGTCAAGAATTTTCATCCAATACTTTACAAGGATCTCAATTTATTTTTGGTCAAATTAATTCATCAACTCAACGACTGATTCGAGACTGTGATAGTCCTGATAGTGTAATATCATCATCGTCCCCTGAATGTTGTCTTTACGAAGAGTCTGATTGTTGGTTCAAAGTGTTACCAGCTTTCGAGGATTGCGAAGAGGATAAACCTAATGAAGAAAGTCGAGCCTCCCCTTCAATACCCTTATTAAGACCGATCCCATTGAAACTTGTCAAATCTTCATCGAGTCAACCGCTTTGTGAGAAGACAAGTGATTCAATCATCAACAGACTTTCGCCTTGTTATTCAGATGTTGATCCGAACAAGGAAAATGTTGACCGAGATACTCTTGCTTTGAATAGGAAAAAAGTTTCTTCCTCTCGAGCCCCTTTAGTGCCATCTCCAGATTCGGGAAATATTCCTGTTATTTTGACCTTATCCTCTTCCGATGATGTTGAATCTGTTTTATCACGAGTAGCTGATATGCTTCAAATTAAGATCCCTTTACGTTGGGAAGTTGTTGATCGAACCACATCACCATGTTCATCTGATCAGAAACAAGATAATTGTATAGATGATAATAGCAATAGAAACGAAGATGCTGATATGGACAGTATTCTTGGCGAGAATATGAAATTTTGTCGTTTCTGTGAAGTTGTTGTTATCAATACTGGATTTAAGAAAAAGCTTAGCGACTTTCCACCCTCAGCTCGTGAAGATTCAGACGAAGAGGAGATCACTTTTTGTAGTACAAATTGTTACATGAAATTTGTTCTTTCCCATGGATCTGCTTCCCAATCAGAACATAAAGAAGCAGGACCCGTTGTAGGTCATTGGGGCGATCAATCAATTAGCGATGACCAATTAATGCATGAAACACCAATGGACATTTTACCACCAATGAGTCCAATGATGGAGGAAGATGAAATCAATGAGGGAGAAAGTCGCTCGATAACAATGTCACCCACCCAATTAACATCTTTAACACCAACCGAGAAAGACGGTAAACGGCGACCGTGGACAGAGGAAGATCCTGGTAGATCATCATCAGCTGGATCGTCGACACAATCTAAACAATGGTTTGGAGTTAGATACAAACTTTGGAAATCTGATTTATTCGAAGAGCCAAAAAGACCGGAACCCGAGAATTCAAATGAATTTTATCCAAAGATTAAAGAAAATTTTGATATGTCTTATCGACCCAAAGTGTTACCAACTGATGTTCGTAAATGTGTTTTGTGTCAACTCAATGGAGATGGTAAAACTGACGGAAGTGCTCGACTTTTGAACATGGATGTTGGTAAATGGGTTCATTTAAATTGTGTCCTCTGGTCACCCGAAGTATTTGAAACATGTAATGGATTTTTGATTAACGTTGATGCCGCTTGTCGACGAGGGATAACAACTGAATGTATAAGGTGTCATAAAGTGGGTGCATCATTGAAATGCTTTAAACCAAAGTGTACAAGTGTTTACCATTTTCCATGTGCGGTTGATGATCGTTGCATTTTTTACAAGGACAAATCAATTTACTGTCCACAACATATTCCCAAAAAGAAAGAGGTTATGGAAAGTTTTACTGTTCCTCGTCGAGTTCATGTTCATCGTGATGAGGATAAACAAATGGCTCGAATGATCAATTCTGATGGAACAAACTTGATGCGAATCGGAAGTCTAGTATTTTTAAACATTGGTCAACTATTACCACATCAGTTATCCTCTTTCCATAGCCCGACCGCCATTTATCCAGTTGGTTACAAGATCAATAGGTTTTATTGGAGCATGAGAGAGTTGACCAAACGCTGTAAATACATTTGCATGATCCAGGAAAAGGATGGGCGACCTGAGTTTGTTGTCGAGGTTGAAGAGGAAGGTTATGAAAAGGTTGTTTATCGAGCTGATTCACCTAAATCTGTTTGGAAAGACATTTTATCGGCAATTGTTAAGATCAGAGAGGATGCAGGTATAATTAAAGTTTTCACCGAATTCATTACCGGAGAGGATCTTTTTGGCCTTTCAGAACATTCTGTGATTCGAATTTTAGAATCATTACCTGGTGTTGATAGTTTAAGTGACTACAATTTTCGACACACTCGATCCGATTTACTAGAATTACCTTTACCCATCAATCCAACTGGTTGTGCTCGAACGGAACCTCGTCTTCTAGTTCCCTATAAACGTGTTCATACCCTTCAAACACGATCAGCTACTAGATCATCTTTACAATCATCACTGGCTTGTTGCGAGGAACAGTCTCCATATATCAAACAATTTTTCCACTCAAAATCTCAGCAATATAAGAAAATGAAAGTTGAATGGAGATACAATGTTTACCTTGCTCGATCTCGAATAGCTGGACTTGGTCTTTATGCTGCTCGAGATATTGAAAAACACACAATGATCATTGAGTATATTGGTCAGCTGATAAGAAATGAAATTGCTGAGAGAAACGAGAGATTATATGAAACACAGGTAAGACAATTAACTAGTTAACAAAATGCTTAAACTCTTACCGAATTTCGATTGTTTCATTTAAATTAATTTTATCCTTTTATCTTACAGAATCGTCGAGGTGTTTATATGTTCAGATTGGACGAGAATCGTGTTGTTGATGCCACATTAAGAGGCGGTTTGGCTCGATACATTAATCACTCCTGTAATCCAAATTGTGTCGCTGAAATTGTTCAAATTGACCGAGAAAATAAAATCCTGATCATTGCAAGTCGTAAAATAGCAAGAGGTGAAGAGGTTAGTATCAGTAACATGAAAAAAAACATCATTAACACAGAAAAAAAATCAAACAATTTAAATAGTAAACTAATCAACTAATTATCAATCATCATATTTACAGTTAACATATGATTATCGTTTTGACGTGGAAGATGATGCCTCTAAGATCCCTTGTCTCTGTGGAGCACCTAATTGCCGTAAATGGATGAATTAAAAGAAAAACCAACACCAACAAATAATGTAAATAAATCAAATTAACGCAGACAACAATTGGACAACAATTAACCAAAACATGCGAAATCGTTTTTAATGGAATTAAAACAAAGAGAAAAACAAAATCAACACATTACATTAAAACAAAACACACACATACAAACATACACACACACACACATAACAAAATTACATACTACCCACTCCCCTATCATACAAAAACTACATAAACACACACACCACCACCACCACCACAACACCAACACACACAACCATCATATTCATATATATATATAAAAATCAACAAAAAAACTAAACCACATAACACACAAAGAAATGACAGAGTTATATTTGGACCTATGCTGTTTATATTTTTCTCTCTCCCTCCTTTTGTAAAAATTTCACAATACAAATTGCGATTAATATCTAATAATTGTAAGCTAAAATTTATAAGAGATTGTTGTGCAATATATGCATCTTATACATTGAATTTTAATTGTCTCTCTCTCTCCTTTTCATTTCTAATTGTAATTATCGTGTTTCATTTTCTCTTTATTCTCAATTGTTACTCTCTTTAAATTGGGTAAATGATTTTGGAAAAATTTTCTTTATGAGCAATTGAGTCTCTCCGAGTTTGACATTAAAGTCAATTGTCTTTTTGACAAATTAGTAAATTAACATTTTGGTAAACGAGAAGAAAATTAAAAGTTTGATAAATGAGAATCATTTTGGGTTGATGATTAGAATGATTGTGAAAATTTGAGATTCTTTTTGGTTTATTTATTGTTTATTTCATTTTCATTTTTCTATTTCTGAACAAATGATCGTTTTAGTTTTGTTTCCTTTATAGTTGATGAGAAATTAAAAAAGTGAATTGATTACACAAAACACATAAGCAACACAATCAGTTGATTTGGTTTGTCTGCAATTTGATTGTTTAAGAAAAAGGTTTAAATATATTCAGAGAACCACAATTATGATTTTAGTTGGTTTAAATTGACCAATTAACCGGTTGTAAGTGTTTGCAGTTTCTTCACTTGTTGCGATGTTGCTGCGAAGTTGATTTTTTGTCCTTGTTGTTTGTGGACAGTGAAGTTGATTTGTTTTCCGTTATACCTTTTTTTTTGCATTTTAGTAATGATACATGTATTAATAAATTTAGAAGATGTGTAAAGAATGATTAACATAAGGTAATAGAATAAAGAAAAGACAAAAAAATTTCATGTGTGAATACGGGTAATGATGGTGAGAGTGTGATAGTGATTAGTTGTGATTGAGTTAGTTAATGACCAATGTCAATCGATTCGAGATTTTTTTTCTAATGATCCATTGTCTTCCAGTCCATCACCATCACTAGATGTTATCTCTTCCAAAGGTCTTTTTATACTGTTACTTGATACAACCAATCCATCAACCGATGAACAAACGGTATTACAATTAATTTCACTATCAATTTTATCAATCTTTTTACAATCATCTCCATTACTATTACTAATAACAGAGTGGCCATTGATAATCGATGAGCTTGCATCACCTTCGGTAATATCCACTGGGACTGCTACTTGATGAGGTGGTAATGGTAAAGGTGGTAAACAAGATGAGGTTGTCGATACATCAGAAGAGGTAATAACATTGATATTAATGTTATTACTGTTCATGTTCATGTTCATGTTCATGTTACTGTTATTGTTATTCATATTATTCATATTGTTGTTGGTGTTGTAGTAATTACTCATATTGTTGATGTTTAGAGTTGTGGTTGTGGGGATATTCAAGGTGGTAGTTGTAGTTGTAGATGCCGATGATGATAGAGATGAAGATGATGATGAAGATGAAGAAGTAGTAGTGGTAGTATTATTATTAGTACTAATCATTGAAAGGTTGGTGGGTCCATCCAAAGTATTATCGGCTGTATTATCTGTTGTACTGTTATTCAAATCATCAGAACTTAAATTTGAGTAACTCAAGTTACTACTATTATCTCCATTTGTAATTAATTGTTGACGACAATTATCATCTCCTCCTCCTCCTACAATACATCTCTCATCACTTCTCATACCATCTTTACTATCCTCAATACAATTATAAGCGCTATTATTATTATTACTATTACTACAATTTCTGTTGTTATTTGTAGTGTTGTTACTCTTGTTAGTCATTCTATTAGAATTGGTTCCATTATTTTTACGAACCTCATCTAAACTTCGACTATCCTCATCTTCCACTTCAGAAGCGTTAGAAACTCCCAAAGATATATTGGAATCTTCGTCTAATACTTTGTCACCATTTCTTCTAGAAGTAGATGTTGTGGTTGTTGTTGTTGTTGCTGATGTTGTTTCTGAAGACGATGCTGATGCTGAGACTGATGTTGCTGATGAAGATGATGATGATTTAACATGAGAATCACCATTGTTTTTACTTAAATTTTTTACTTCAACTTCATCTGATCCTGTTTCCTCTATTTCATCTTCCAATCCTTCAGGAGTAGGCATGTTATCCAATAAATTAAGTTTCATCTCTTTAATCCAATAATGTGTCCATAAAGTCAATTCTACCTTGTGTGGTGTCCATTTAGCACTTGGATCTATTATTACAATTAATTAATTAATTAAATAGAATAATAATAAGTATTTAATATTCTAATTAAAATACAAAATAATAATATTTAGTTAAATTGAAATGACCTTTAAGATACACTCAATTCTGTATTCACTATAAAACTTATGTAATAAATGGTATGGAAGCATTTTTACCAGAATTTATTCCGGTTCAACTTATCCACTATCCAATATATTAACATTTCAATCACTGAAATATTGTAGTAAATTAATATTGCGATGATAAGAAATTGATTATGATATTTACCTGCAGCTTGTAGCCTCTCACAACAGGCTTTAATTTGGTCAGCAAAAGCCATAAATTCATTGATGGAATAATTTGTATTCTCAATTCCTGGTACAGAGACTAAACATTCATCTGCCATGAAAGGACAAATCTCTGGGAAACAAGCACATAGAATAGCTGAAAAAAAATCAAAAAGAAAAATATTAAATAACCGGTACTGAGCAACCAATCGATCGCGAAAAGATTTCTATCAAGAATTATAGTCAAACAATGAAAGGTGACAGCAAAAATTGATTAACATTTTTACTGATAGTATTAGAAACTGAGAAAAAAATCTCTCGTAACAATCGAATAACAATTAAATGATGAATTCGAAAGGACAAAAAAAATAAACCAGAATAATGGAGAAAAGATTAAGCTTTCATACCTGATGCCGTGGCAACACCAATTCCTTTAAGGTTAACAAGGGCGGAAATAGCGCCTTGGAGATTCGTTGGACATTTCTTAAAAGCTTTGGTGGAGGCTTGTTTCACGGCGAGTTCAGTGTTTATCCGAACCAGATCCAAAAGACCAGCCCGACTTTTGGTTCGCAAAAATTTCCACTTAGTAATCTGAACCAATTCCTCATACCTTACATGTTTATCTTTACGAGACTGTAATATTTTCGGCAATTCTTCTTGATACCTAAACAGAAATAAAACCGGTAAAATTGATTAAAGAGGCAAAAACCAAAAACGATGAAGCAGAAAAAAAAACGAATGAGAGCAAATAGAAAAAAAACGAGAAGAGAATAAAAATGTAAAAAGAGAAAAAAAAGGGAAGAAAGACAGAGCTAAACCAAAGAGAGAAACCCAATTTAGACAAAGAATAGAAAGAGAAAAAGAAGTAGAAAGAGAAAAAAGAAAGAGAGAAAGAAAGAAAAGAGAGAGAAAAAATGGCAAACAAAAAAAAGAAATAAAACAAAAAAAGAACTTACCAATCATCCAATTTAATCGCATCTTGAGGTCCACTTTTTTTCGATCCTCTGGTTACCTGAGCTCGAATCTTAAACACTTGTTTGTATTGTGACAAAACAAAAAGCCATTGATCACAATTCGCTTTAGAAAAAAACTTGACTGAAGAATCTTCAATGGAAGCCATTCTAATGTAGAATAGAATAGAAAATGAGTTTTTCTCTTTCGTGTTGACTGTATGTTGTCTCTCTCTCTCTCTCTTTCCACTCAAAATCCACTCTGTTTACGCATCCAAAAGAGGCTGGGCTTGAGAGAAACTGTAACCCACCCGGTAGAGCAGGTTTTCAGTGAGAGGAGAAGAGAAGAGAAGAAGAGAAGAAGAGAAGAGAAAATCAGTTTGGATGATGATCATCTCTTTTTAGTCTCTACTCTATGATGGCTCCAATGGCTGCTTCTATTAACGATTCTACGGTTAAGTTTTTTTCTAAAGCGAATTGTGATCAATGGCTTTTTGTTTTGTCACAATACAAACAAGTGTTTAAGATTCGAGCTCAGGTAACCAGAGGATCGAAAAAAAGTGGACCTCAAGATGCGATTAAATTGGATGATTGGTAAGTCTTTTTGTTTTATTCTTTTTCTCTTTTTCCATTTTCTTTCTCTCTCTTTTCTTTCTTTCTCTCTTTCCTTTTTCTCTTTCTCTTCTTTGTCTAAATTGGGTTTTTTCTCTTCTTCTCTTTGGTTTTCTCTTAACTTGCTCTGTCTTTCTTCCCATTTTATATATTCTCTCGTTTCTTTTTTCTATTTTTCTCTTTGATTTTTTTTTCGTTTTTTCTTGTTGTTGTTGTTTTAATCAATTTTACCGGTTTTATTTCTTGTTTAGGTATCAAGAAGAATTGCCGAAAATATTACAGTCGCGTAAAGATAAACATGTAAGGTATGAGGAATTGGTTCAGATTACTAAGTGGAAATTTTTGCGAACCAAAAATCGGGCTGGTCTTTTGGATCTGGTTCGGATAAACACTGAACTCGCCGTGAAACAAGCCTCCACCAAAGCTTTTAAGAAATGTCCAACGAATCTCCAAGGCGCTATTTCCGCCCTTGTTAACCTTAAAGGAATTGGTGTTGCCACGGCATCAGGTAACTAACTTATCTTATTTTTCGCTTTTCATCATAGATATTCTTTCATATTATCGGCGAAAATATTACAAAGTAACAGTAACTCAGCACTTTTGGTCTTATGCTGAAAGTAAAAAATAATCGATACGGGTGATTTTATATGTTTTTTCTTTTTGATTTTTTTCAGCTATTCTATGTGCTTGTTTCCCAGAGATTTGTCCTTTCATGGCAGATGAATGTTTAGTCTCTGTACCAGGAATTGAGAATACAAATTATTCCATCAATGAATTTATGGCTTTTGCTGACCAAATTAAAGCCTGTTGTGAGAGGCTACAAGCTGCAGGTAAATATCATAATCAATTTCTTATCATCGCAATATTAATTTACTACAATATTTCAGTGATTGAAATGTTAATATATTTGTGGATAAGTTGAACCGGAATAAATTCTGGTAAAAATGCTTCCATACCATTTATTATATAAGTGTTATAGTGAATACAGAATTGAGTGTATCTTAAAGGTCATTTCAATTTAACTAAATATTATTATTTTGTATTTTAATTAGAATATTAAATACTTATTATTATTCTATTTAATTAATTAATTAATTGTAATAATAGATCCAAGTGCTAAATGGACACCACACAAGGTAGAATTGACTTTATGGACACATTATTGGATTAAAGAGATGAAACTTAATTTATTGGATAACATGCCTACTCCTGAAGGATTGGAAGATGAAATAGAGGAAACAGGATCAGATGAAGTTGAAGTAAAAAATTTAAGTAAAAACAATGGTGATTCTCATGTTAAATCATCATCATCTTCATCAGCAACATCAGTCTCAGCATCAGCATCGTCTTCAGAAACAACATCAGCAACAACAACAACAACCACAACATCTACTTCTAGAAGAAATGGTGACAAAGTATTAGACGAAGATTCCAATATATCTTTGGGAGTTTCTAACGCTTCTGAAGTGGAAGATGAGGATAGTCGAAGTTTAGATGAGGTTCGTAAAAATAATGGAACCAATTCTAATAGAATGACTAACAAGAGTAACAACACTACAAATAACAACAGAAATTGTAGTAATAGTAATAATAATAATAGCGCTTATAATTGTATTGAGGATAGTAAAGATGGTATGAGAAGTGATGAGATGTATTGTAGGAGGAGGAGGAGATGATAATTGTCGTCAACAATTAATTACAAATGGAGATAATAGTAGTAACTTGAGTTACTCAAATTTAAGTTCTGATGATTTGAATAACAGTACAACAGATAATACAGCCGATAATACTTTGGATGGACCCACCAACCTTTCAATGATTAGTACTAATAATAATACTACCACTACTACTTCTTCATCTTCATCATCATCTTCATCTCTATCATCATCGGCATCTACAACTACAACTACCACCTTGAATATCCCCACAACCACAACTCTAAACATCAACAATATGAGTAATTACTACAACACCAACAACAATATGAATAATATGAATAACAGTAACAGTAACATGAACATGAACATGAACATGAACATGAACAGTAATAACATTAATATCAATGTTATTACCTCTTCTGATGTATCGACAACCTCATCTTGTTTACCACCTTTACCATTACCACCTCATCAAGTAGCAGTCCCAGTGGATATTACCGAAGGTGATGCAAGCTCATCGATTATCAATGGCCACTCTGTTATTAGTAATAGTAATGGAGATGATTGTAAAAAGATTGATAAAATTGATAGTGAAATTAATTGTAATACCGTTTGTTCATCGGTTGATGGATTGGTTGTATCAAGTAACAGTATAAAAAGACCTTTGGAAGAGATAACATCTAGTGATGGTGATGGACTGGAAGACAATGGATCATTAGAAAAAAAATCTCGAATCGATTGATGTCTCCAAATTAATCAACTTTAGACAACTAACATATATTTATCATTTGTCGTTCTTTATCAACTAATCTACGTTAATCATTATTACCTTAAATTCAACAATATCATGACTAAAAAAATGCAAAAATATATATTGGAAAATCAGTTTAACCACCAAACACAACATCTTCTCAAAAAGCTCTATCCGTTGATGGGAATCTAAATCATTTTGACTTTTCTCTCTCTCTCTCTCTTTCTTCACGCTTCTCCTTCATTCAATCATCACACGTAACATTTAACAAACACACACACAACTATCAACACCATTCATCATACACACAACAACAAAAAACTCATTTTCTAATCTGTTGTTTTATACATATGCTTGACTTTATCTCTTATATTTTTCACTTTTTTTTGCTGTGAAGAAAAAGCATCAATCTTTTTCTGAGAAAGAAAAAAATAGAAAATTATTACAACATTTGCACCAATTTGCGAGATAAACTTATCGTCTCATCTCATCATCGCCTGGAGTTAAATCAACTAAATTATTCACTCCCTTCTAATAAGATTTGGCATCAACTCTAAAAGACGAATCATACAACAGTCTCTCTCTCTCTCTCTCTTTTTCTTTTATTCTCTCTTCTAATCAATTCTTGAAACAACAATTTCGAATATCTGTTTGTTCATTTTCCATCTTAACCAAATGACCCACCCAATCATTCACAACTTTATCCATTATCTTCTTTCTTTCTCTCTCTCTCCCTATCAATTGAATATTATTTTCATTGAACAAAAAAAGAAACCAAACTAAAAAACTGTGTAAATTTCATTTAAAATGAAACAAAAAAAATGGATTAATTGTCAACCTTTGAAATACTTAAAACCAAATCAACTTTTCACAAAGTATTTCATTGAGATGGAAAAATCTTGAAAAGTTCAGCTGATGATAAAAAAATGAAAACAATTAATTTATAAAGAAAATTGTAAAACCAAAACGATAATCCTGAAAATGACCTTCCAATACATCAAATTAACAACAATTACCATTGAATTTAAATGGACAAAAATTGATTTTAAAATGGAAAAGAACAGAAAAATTTGAAAAAAGAAAGAAAAACAAAAATATCAACAAGATTTTCTTCTCATTGTTTCATGCGAAGAGGCGAACAGAAAATCTCATCTCATTACATGTAATTGATGATGTTGACATTTTCTTCATCCTCTTTCACACACACAATCAGTTGATTGTAAACATGAACAATTCTTGTATTCAAGAAACTCCTCATCTCTCAGTCAACTAATCTTCAACTCCAACCACCATCACCACCATTTCCCTCCCTGTCTTCATCATACGAACTGGTTCTTCCTCTTCCCAACATCTTTTCACGTTTAGTTGCACATTAGCTACTTCATCTCTTCATGTTAACGACCTTTTCCTCCTCCTCATCTTCTTACTGAAAATTTTATTTCTCTTTTTTTCCTTTCTCTCTCTCTCTCTCTCCCTTTCCTCCCTCTTCATCTTCTTATTTATCTTCTCTTACTTTTCTTTCTCGCTGGCAAAAAGTTTTTTTCTTCTTTCTCATCGTCATCGTCATCGTCATCATCATCTTGTTTTCTCATCCACACACACACATATATACATTTATGCTCTTAAGTTTTATCATCTTCTCCCTCTTTCTCAAACTGATCATTCTTATCTCATTCCAATTCCTACTAACCGAATTAATTTAATCACCATGATGATTAAACGATATCACCGTCCATTTCTGCCATTGAATTTTACTTGTATTAACTTTGTAAACATAATCATGGCTTCTACCGGGTGACAATCGCCCTTAGGGTGTTTTCATTGTAATCGTAAATCGGTAGATTACTTTATAGAGATTATCAAGTGAATCAAATAAATCATCTGAATACCTTAGAATTTGTTTGAAATCAATTTTTAATTGTTCACTTGTATTATGGTTAAGTTATCATTCACTTTTTATCATCTCTTAAAGAGCTCATATTGAGATAATTGTGAAAGAAAAACTTTAAATTTGAATATTAGTTTTGAATCAGTGGATTTGTTTTATCGACCCTACGAAATCGGTGACCTAAAGTAATCAACGAACCGAAACTCACCAGCGATTGTAAATATGAAGATAATTTCATGAGCCAACCTTAGAATCCATCAAATGCTTTTCGATTGACTTACAATTGCGAGTCAATTGTTGATTGAGCAAAGATCAACTTGCACGTTCGTTGCGAAACAATTTATCGAACAGAATAAATGTTCGAACCTTACAGCTAATTCTTAGTGATGTGGGTTTAGATCTTTTTACCACCTAGAAGAAAAGTTCACTGGACTGTTCATTGATCGGCTCGAACTTTTTCATTTTTTCTTCCAACCAGAGTTCGAACCTTTTAAAAACGCGATCGTCCAAGTGACTTTAAACTTCACTTCAGCATAAAGAGCCACACTGTAGGTTTGTTATCTTCTTCTTCTCATCATCATGATGGTAAATTGTCACTTTTCATGTCATTTTTGGTCAACAATTAGAGAGAAAGAAGGAAAAAAGTTACCTGTTCATCTTCATCCTCATCAGTTTTATCTTCATCTTCATCGACTCATCAACTTTATCTTTTTTTGTTTTGTCTTTTTTTCCCTTACTTTTTGCTGATTATTTCACTAATAACATATCATTAACTAACGATGATTAACTAAAATCTCTTAATTCACCTTCGCAATTGTCAAGATTAACTAATATAAAAGTTTTTATTTGATAGAAAATTAAGTTTTTGTTTAGTTACCATAAAATAATCAATACAAACAGGGAAACAAAAATGAAAATAATTGTTATTAGTCATGAAAGTTAATGATGATAATTAATAAATTACAAGTGAATTGATGAATAGTAATCATATGAATTACAGATTAAAATCGGTTAATCATTTCCATCAAAGCTGATCACATTTACTCTTGTTGTTGTTGTTGTTTAATATATAAAATTTATTGTCGATTCAATTTCCATCGCTATTAGTTAATTGTTATCGTTAACTCCATGGTTTAGTTGATTGTTGTTCTTTCAATTGAGTGAGACCAAGTTTTTTACAGGGAAAATCATTAGGTTATTATTTTATCCTCATCACACCCATTTATTTAATCATCTGAAACATAGATGATATCGAGAGTCAATTAATATATACACAGATAATGAGAGAGAGAGAGAGAGAGAAATGATTACAAATCTATTGTCGATTGACAATTGTAATTGTGATAGAAATTATCGATGGAAAATCAGCTAATTGTTTGAGCGACACAATGAAATTCAATGTTGATTGAAACTCTATCCTAACAACGTAAAGGTGTTGTTGTTGTTGCTTTTTGTTGAATAACCAGTTGGGTTTGTTGTTGTTGATCCTGTTTAACTAATTTAGTTGATTGTTGGCCGATGATGAGACTGATGATTGTTTTAACATGTTGATGATGAATGGAAATCACAATTACAACAAAAGTTGTAGGTCACTAACAAATTGATCATAATAGATAATTTTTTTTCTCCTAATATTTGTATGATGCACATAAACTGGAATCCATAGCGACACAATTAGTTAATTACCAACAATAGAAAATGATGAGATAAACATTTGTAAATAGTAAAAGCTGATGGAGAGAAATGTCATCAATGGTCAATCTTAATGGTGACGTTAATGGTCAGTTTTACTTTTGACTGTTAAATAAGAATAAGGAAACTATTGTGAGATCAATTGTCGATTAATTAAACTAAACAAACAATAAGTACACACAATTAATTGAATAGAAGAAGAAAAAAAGTTTATGTCATTGACTTGATTTTCTCATCATCAACTTATCTCCAATGGAGGTAAACAAGAGAGAGACTGAGAATGAGCTTTGAGATTGAAAGACAAAGTTACGGTTTGATGATCGATTCACCGGTTCGTTGAGAGGAAAAGGTCATTTGTTGGAATAGAGAAACGGTTAAAGGGTCAAGGGTTATGATAGAGCCATTGGATAGTCAATTATTCTTGGTCCAGTGTCACCGATTCCAAACCATGAACGAACCTTTTGGAGAAATGTAAGAATCATCATGAACGATGCATGAACTATTAATGGCTGGAGAAAACTGAGAACTGTAAACACGAAGAGATGTTTCATTTTGATGGAAAAATTGATGGAAAAGATATAAATTAATTACGATAGATTTTTAAATTATTCCAATGGAAGAGAATTAAATTAACAAGGGAAAGTGAGACGAAATGGCAGAAAGATACAGATTAATGTTTCTCTCGCGAGTAAACTTGAAAATCAACAGAAAGTAGAGATGAAAAAAGTATTAATATTAATTGGAAAATGAGAATGAAAAAAGGAGGAGACAATTTCATTTAATATTAGAAAACGTATTCACCTTGGTCACTTTCTTTTCTTTGTTTACCTTTTTCTAATTGTCTCCAATTAACATTAATCAGTGAATTTATTTTTAGTTTAACAATCAACATGCGATCAAATCAACAACAACAACAACAACAACATCCGATCAACGAAACTGGTTAAATGACGTCTGTTAATTTGGTTTATATATTAATCACTTACCTGGAGAAAAGTATCAAATTAATTTATTTTAATTCTCTCTCTCTCTCTCTCTCTTCGTTTTGTTAATTGTTTGTTAAATTACCAGAGGAAAAGTGAGTTCAATCTTTGGGAAGATAATTATGTTTACTATCAACGTGCTTGGTGATATTGAATTTCTTGTCCACCTTGAATTCATTAATCTTTTTTTAATGATTAGATTTGAGTTTAATCAGGGAGAGTGAGTGAGTGAGAGGGAGGGAGAGATTAAGATTATGATGATCCAGGTGAGACCATGAAAACTATTGGTGTTTTCCGTACAATAATTTAGTACCTTTAACGGTTTTATCTTTGGGTTGTGACAATTAAATGGTATTGCTATTATCAGATTTATGTTCATTCACCCAAGGACCTAATTAATCAAGGTTAATTCTATCTGGTTAATTGTTGATTTTTGTTTCTATTGTCAAATTAATCCATTAGAACGACGACAAAAAAATAGTAAAAGAAGTTTTTTTTCTATTTTTTTCTTCTTTGTTAACAGTAAATTGTTCATTCACCCAAAGACCTGATTCCATGAAGGTTAAATTAATTTCTTATATTATTTCCGTTGAATATTAATCATTTACAGGCACTTAAGTTAAAATGTTTCTTTTTGTTATTGTTGAGTTATTGTTTTTGGTTCTTTATTACAGTTGGATTAAAGTTGATTTGTATGTGAGTGTATTTGTTATTATGGTCTTTTTTGTTGATGATTTAAAGATGATTATGATGACCATTGCTATTTATATGGTTAGTTGATTTAATGATAAGTACCTGTAGTAGAAAAGGAAATCAAAGACTGAGCTCTGTTTTTTTTGTATCTCATATCTCAATAAGGTAACGGTTATTTTGGTCACATTATTGAACTTTAGGTTTTTGTAAATTTGTATGAAATTTGTTGATTTGATTATCATCGATTAAATCGGATAGAAGCAGCAGCATAACTGACAGATGAATCTTGTTTGTAGACACATCGGGTTGATTGGGCATAGTTGAGAAATTTAATTGTTATATTGTGATTCTCATTGGTGTTTAAATGATGAATAGCGTTGAGTAAAACTCCTATTGGATGACGGCCACAAATGGTATTACCATAGTCTTTAAGGTAAGAGGTAAACTCTTTGGGTGAGGTTTTCTCGATTATTTTCATTCCCATTTCATCAAGTTTCTGAATGGATTGATAAATTTCTCCCCAAGAAGGATCATAGTATTGATACTTAAATCGGGATCCCCAGTGACAAAAATCCGATGAAATGACAAAAAAATTCTCTTCATTTGAAAGGAATGGAGCAAATAATCGGCCATACAAAGCTTCTTTTTCACTAGACAATGAACCAACCATCACGGGTACTATTTGGAAATCATGTCCTTCCATTACTTTGGCAATAAATGGTAAATGCATCTCAATACTATGTTCATCTTCATCCGTTTCAAGGGACATCTCTTCAAAGGCTCCAGTTTTGTAAAGTGTTTCGTAAGTAGCTCGGTCCACTTTTAGATCACCTAACGGGGTTTTACATGATTTGGCTGGAGAAAGAGCACAACCAGATAATCTTACATGATGGGAAGGTCCAAGAATAAATATTCTCTTTACGATGGTTGGATTAATTTCTTTATATGCATGAGCAGCACAAGAACCACAGTATTGGTAACCTGCGTGTGGAGCGATAATCGCCCTGGCAGGACCATAAACACTTTCTCCAGCTCGGGTCAGCCAATTGTCCAATTGTGACCTTAATTCTCTTTCTGATGAGGTATACCAAGTTTCAGAATGAGATGCTTTCCGAATCAAGTTTCGTTCGTGACTCATTTTCCAATTTTCTTTTTGTTTCTATAAAAAAAAAATAGTTCACAATCAAATTGATCGATTGAAATAACACAAGGAAAAAAGAAAATATTCTCCAAGAGAGAACAGTAAATTAGTCCACTTTCAGATTAATTAAAAAGAATTAAAACCAAAAGTGGATTTTAAATCACAGATGATTTTCTCTAATCAATGAAACCCGAAAGAAAGAAAATTTTTGCTTTTGTTGTTGAATCACAAAGAAGAAAAAGATACCAAAAGGATCGAATAGAATATCGATACTTTGATTTTTCCTCCATATTGAATCGATGAAAATGTCAACAAGAAAAGAATTTAATTCTCTTTCATGTTGATTAACTTTTTGCGAAATTTTTTCCCTTAATTAATCACGTAATCATCATCACAGTTGTTGTTTCAATGTTCACTTTTAATTAAGTTAAAGAAGTAATAAAATGTAGTAATTGTTATAAATATAGAAAAGGTGAGAAAAATTTGTGAATTGATCAATCGAATAGAAATTGACAAAGATTAGATTCGTTTTAACTGTTGAATTAAATTTAAATTGGTCGAGAATTTATCACCAGATTGACAGTAAAGATTGTCAATCACTTTTAAATAGATTAATTTTAATTGACAAATGATGATAAGTTAATTATTGAACAATTAAATCAAACATTCGTTAATTGTTTCAACGATTTTAGAAAAACTGGTGAATATTTATTTCCATCGCCAATAGATGGAGCTACTTACCTGAATTCTTATTCTGCTTGAGGGAAATTCAGCAACTTTTGCTTTGGATTTTCCCGTTAACCATGAGTCCTAGAAACTCGATTCAATTGTCAAGATCTGATCTGCTTCGAACCCTTCTAAATATTTGAATAAAAGATTCAGGATTTGCTCGAAAGCGATTGCATTACCGACCGAATTGAGATCGAAAACCAAACGCTTATGCTAACATCTAATTGTTGATAAAGTTTTCGTTTTCCTATTACTTTATGGCTCCATGATTATTCAATAATTATCTTCATCCTAATAAGAGTAACTTTTTCTCGGACATCAAATGACATCTAACAATCAATTATTATCTATCAGTTAACTAAAATAAGAAATGAAAACTCGATGAGTACTTGTTACTTGTTATTGGAAAATTTAAACTTCCAAAATTAAATATGTCTACCGAATTAACTCTCGTAAACGAACAAAGAGAAATTAAAACTCGAAACAAACCAACAAGTCAATTGGATCCACTATTTCAAGGAATGAATCAAGTCAATTAAACGGTCAGTTCAGTGCCCTCGGGGTCTCATTTCTCAGAAAGAGTAAAAGTGCAAAGCATTAGCCTATTGGCGTAAAAATAAATGATTAGATTTTCCATCTCTTCCTTTCATTGAGACTTAATTAAGTCTCCATTATTAATAATAATTGAGGTGTTTCAAATTGAAGATAATTGTTAGATGGACAATTTAAAAACCATTAAAAACGTTAACATTAAAAAAACGGAGCTTCAATTTTGACCCAATCACCTTGATCTTGAAATTTATTGACTCGTAATAAAATCAAAAAACAATTAGACTGATAAAATTGACTGTTGATTGAAATGAAATCAAATTAAATCATAGATTTTAACTTGAAACTTAAAACAAAAGCAGCAATAAACTACTCTATTCATTATTAAATTATGAGAACTCTAAAAGGGAAAATAATGATAAATGAAAATGTTTCGTTAGAAAGCTAATTGTTCAGAGACATCGATTGATTAGCTCGAGAATTGTGTCTAATTAAAGTAGTAAAATGAAAAGAAAAATTAATCAGTAAAACAATTGTGAACAAAGATTAACCGAAACAATTGATTCCATTGGATTATCAATGTAAGTTTGTCAAGAATTAGCTGAGTAAATATTACCTTAAGGTGAACTTATAATTTGTCAGGTGAAAAGATAACGGTAAAAGTTGACACAGTGGAAGAAATAATTTCTCTACAGGGTTGACCTTTACTTTTGATGACCAATGTCAACAATTATTAAAGTGATTAACTTGATGTGTTTGTTATACTTTTACCATTAAATAAAACGATGATTGAGTTTACTTTGAGTGGTCAAGAAAAGAAAAACCTTTCTCCCGATAATTTTAATCATCGAAAATGTAATTGTCCAAAATTGCTATTTCTCGTTCTTGCTTTTAGTCCTTTAGTCTGATTAACTAAAAATAAAAATCTTCCTTGACCGATGGTCAGTATTTTCTACCTCTCACTTTTTTTGTCTTTAAATTCATGCGTCGAAATCGTTAAGGTCACTTTTTGATTGTGATCATCAACCAACAATCAAACAGATTCAAAGATAAAACATTTCGTTAACACAATATAAGTTTAAACAGTTTGTTCAAATCTCATGGAAAAATATTAATAAATTGTTTCATTTCGTTAATTGTATTGTTGATATTGATATGAATTAGAACTTTACATTTCTGTGATTCGAAAATTTTAAATTTTCCCAAAAGTTACACTTTTCCCCCCTTTCTTTCATTTGGTTCGGCAAAATGACCTTACACTTATCGTACTCATTTGGTATCTTCCAATTGACATTATTGTTTTACCAAATCTTTGAGTGTACCAACAAGGTGGATGGTGCGATTGATTATCCAGGTAAGTTGAATAATCGACTTTAATTTCTAAAGCAAATGATTAACTTTTTGTCTTTTTCGTTGTTCGATAATTTAAGTTTCGGAATCAGTTAATAATGTGATAGATGATAAATTGGATTCAAGACAATCTTATCTAATTAACGCCAATGGTTTTCCGACATTTATTCCTGATAGTTTGCGAAATGTTGACCAACTTTATCGCCATGTTCAAGAATCACACTCATCCCCCTCATCTTCACCTTTACAATCATATTCCTCCTCCTCTGGTGAACCTTTCGGACTTATCATGACAACAATAACATCGGAAGGTAAAAGAGCAGGAAATGGTCAGAGTAAATCACGAAAGCTACGAAGTGGCTCAATGCAGGAAAAGGTTCGATACAAGGGTGGCAAAAAATGGAAAAAATATCCGGAAGCTCAGTTGAAAGCGGGCGATATTGCCCGTCTATTAATGGAGATTGCTGAACGTCGAGGTATCTCTTACAATAACAAGGCGATTCGATATGGATTAAGTTAGTTATTCATCTAATTATTACAAAAATCTTGTCTCTCTCTCTCTCTCTCTCTTCATTAAAACTCATGAAACTTACGAATTACTCACGAATTACTCATGAAATCTCATCGTAATCAAAAAAAGAAAAAGTGTATCATGATAATTAAAGCGATGCTTACTAATCTAAGAAATAATATTAGACAATTAAAAAATCGATTAAATCAATCATCGAAAAATAAAAACTGTAACGTTTTTAAAACTGATCGAGAAACAATTGTCAATTTTTCTTCGAAAATTTGAAGTTATTGGCTAGAAATGATAAGAATTTATAATTATTAAGCAAAAATAACTAATCTTCGTACATTTATCAAAAATGATGATCTTAAATACTATAAATAATAGAAACATTTGCAAATAATTTAAGATTAACCGGCCGAAACTCCTTTAGAGCCCCATGTTATGTGATCCGTGTATTGATTGAATTTTGACCAGCAAGAGCATTTAACTGGTCCCGCCGAGTAGGAAGAAACTCATGGAAAACGTTTTCCACCTCATCACGAGTTTTCACTCAGGAAAAGTTTTTGATTGTAGAGGGTTTTGATTCTGTCGTCTCAATTGAAGCTAAGAGAGAGAAAGATAATTCTTAGCTAAGACCTAAACTTTAACATTGTGTTTCAAGTTATTTTGTGTTTTTCTTCAAGTTGCTCACCTTAATTGCTTCAATATGGAACCCGAGATTTGATGAGGAACTTAATTGTTCTCTTAATTGCATATATTTTAACTTGATTATTGTCCCTTGATCTCATTTTAATGTCCACAATAATTGGGTTTTCAAAGGAACACAATAAATTGTCAATATCAATGAAATATTTTCCATCAACGGTAATGGTTCCCCGATACATTGGAATAAATGGTTTCATAATTATTTCTTTCGTAAGAGACTTGTAGGTGACATTTGTGGTCAAACGTATTCATATGAGAGTATTTTACAGCATCTTAAAATCAGATTGAACAATTAAATTGTTACGATTTCGAGATTTTTTCTAGTTAACAAATGTAACACAAGATGGCAAAAGCTACATTAGAATTTTTTGTGCTTCCATCTGGTGGTTGGTTTGGGATATTCATTTTCTTTATTTTCTTCAATGTTTTTTTCTCTGTTTTTATTTGAATTGGTTTTGAGAATTTAATTGAAATTAATTAAGATGACATCTAATAACGTTGAACCCATGCAATTGGATTTACCAATGGATGATGGAAGTTCTGCTGAAGGTGGTGACATTGGTTCGACTTGGAATGATACAGCTTATTCTTCCAATTATCTGGTCGACAATCCAACCCTTGACTTGGAAAGTTATGCTTCTTGTTACACCGATTTGGCTAAAATTCAACGTCTCGTATTTATTGCCGATCATTGTGTCTCCCTTCGAGTTGATTCTCTTAAAATGGCTCTCAATTATATTAAAGAGAAAACCTTTAATACAACCTTATACACTCAAATCTATTGTCGCCTTATTGAAGCTCTTAAACAACAAGGCTCAAATCCTGAGAACATTATTGGTCCAATTGATTCTGGTTGGATTGAATCAAGAAGTAAAAAAGGTGCCAGTAATTTAGAAAAGCTTGACACTGATCTTAAAAACTATAAAGCCAATTCTATAAAGGAAAGTGTTCGTCGTGGTCATGACGATCTCGGTGATCATTATCTTAAAATGGGTGACATAAGTAATGCCTTGAAAAGTTATTCAAGGTCAAGAGACTATTGTACCAGTGGTAAACATGTAGTTAATATGTGCTTGAATGTGATTAAAGTCAGTATTTATGCTCAAAATTGGAATCATGTGATGAGCTATGTATCCAAAGCTGAAGGAACTCCAGAATATTCATCCAATAGTCCCATAGCTACAAAGCTTAACTGTGCTGCAGGTTTAGCTGATTTGGCTAATAAAAAGTATATCGCAGCCGCTAAACATTTCCTAGCTGCTAATTTTGATCATTTCACACCAGATTATTGGGAGATTTTAGGTCCAAATAATGTTGCCATTTACGGAGGACTTTGTGCACTTGCTAGTTTCAACAGGAATGATCTTTACAAAATGGTTATCTCAAGTTCATCGTTTAAATTATTCCTCGAATTGGAACCTCAACTACGAGATGCCATCTCCAAATTTTACGACTCTAAATATGCTACTTGCCTTTCCATATTATCTGAAATGAAGGATAATCTTTTATTAGACATTTATCTCGCTCCACATGTGAAAATACTCTACAATATGATTCGTAATCTAGCATTGGTACAATACTTTTCACCTTACTTATCAGCCGATATGAATAAAATGGCCTCAGCATTTAACACTAATGTAAATGCTTTGGAAAATGAGTTGATGCAACTCATATTGGACGGACAAATTCAGGTAGACATTTTTCCTCCGATATTCTCCTAATCATCTTTTTCTCATTTCTAAATTGTTTTATTTTCTCCTTCTCTCAAACAGGCTCGTATTGATTCCCACAATAAAATACTTTACGCTAAAGACGTTGACCAACGGACAGTTACCTTTGAGAAAGCATTTAACATGGGAAAAGAATGGCAAAAGAAAACGAAAGCTTTGATTCTGAGATCGGCCATGTTGGAAAATGGAAATATTTTAGTTCGAAGTCCACCACAATTAAGAGGAGATGAAGGAACAAATTCTGTTACTGGTCAGAACAATTTAACACCAGTGGTGGCAGCCAAGTGAAAACCATGTTAATCTTAAACAGAAAGGATTATAAAAATTTTCTAATCATCGCTTTTATTAAGGCAAATTAACTAAACAAAAAAACAAATCAAACATTAATGGAAATGGCTGATCCATTACATGAATATAAATATGTTTCACACTTTATTACCTCCAACAATTTGCTCTTTAATAATTAAAAAAAAATACAAATTTCCAAGATTAATTGGACTGAATTAACAAGAGTTAAAAAAATCAGATTGGAAATTTAAATTGTTCCATCCAATAGAAACTCCAATAAACAAAAGATGGAACCACAATCAATTTAAATTCGCAACAATCAGTTAATTTGTTTATTAATTGCAAAAAGATTCACTTGATTTTCTCTTTACTCCCAATTAACCTAATCAACTAACAATTAGTTTCCTTTCTGGGAGCAATTAAATTTCTCAAAACAAAAAGGAAAACATTTAAACCCAATTTACTTTAAGAATATTTTTCCATTCGATATTTAGATGAGAATGGAAAGAGAAACCATAACAATTAACCGAATGGAAGAAAAGATAACGGTAATCAAGAGAATCTACAATTAGGTGAGTTTTTTTCTCTCTCAATGTCGATAAAAACAAGAAGATAATAAAGATGATGAAGATAATTGATTCTATTTTCTCTTGTCATCTTCTTTGTTTACATTTAGTTTCTTTCAATTATCATGACAATTTCTTAATGAAGGTAATTAAAAGTAAACGTATGAAAATGTGATTAATTGTTCTTACAAACTAGTGAAATTTGGAAAACCATTACTAGTGATTTAAACTGTGATTCCACTTAATTATCATCTAATTAGCATGTTGATCTCCATCGATCACAATACAAACATTGATTATTTCATTTCATATATTTACAAATGAAAATGTTACAACCAAGCAAGGGATCAATTAAATTCACTTATTTTTGGTTCACCAATGATTAACAATCAACAATTTGATTTACTCGTGATTAGTAATTAAAACAAAATTCAGCGATTAGGTTTGTACTTTTATCCGTTAACAATGAAAAAAGAGAGAAAGAGAACAAAAAGTTATTCTTTTCTACAAAAAGAAAATGAAAGAAGATTTTTATAGAAAAAGAGAATTTTTTTAATAAAAATATTAACTCATGTTTGAGTTTTTCTCTTCCAGAAGAGAGAGTGAGAGTGAGAGAGAAACAAGAGAATTGCTTTTTTTAAGCTTCTCTCCCTCTCTTTTTTTCCTTGTCTGTTTTCATCTCTCATCATCTTTCTCTCTCTTTCTCTCTATTTTCATCTCTTTCTATTTTTCTCTCTTTTTTACTTCTTCTTTTTCTTTTTTAGAAAACCAGTTTTTTAGGCTTGTATTTTCTTCTGCTTCCCTTTCTCTCTCTCTCTTTTTTGTGTCAATTTGATTTTCTTTTCTTCATCTTTTTCTGTGTTTATCACTTGGAGTTAATTGCGATCATTGGGTTACCCCTGAAATTTGAATTCTGTGTCTTCATTGGTTGTGAACAGTTGTTTCTTTTTATTTGTTTTCTTTTCATCTCAAACCACAAAAAAACAGCAACAATCAGGACGGAGAATCATTTTGATGAGAATTATTTTTCTATTCTCTTTTCTTTTCTCTTCTCTTCTTCTTTCTATTTTTTTTACCATTTTATCCACAAGAAGATAACCAGTTAAAACCTAAAACTGGGTAGAAAGAGAGATAGAGATAGAGATAGAGGATAGAAAAATTGTTCGTGTGTTTATGGGAGAAAAAAAGTAATAAGTAGGAGATCGGTGCCAATTCTCATTCTACTCTAACAAACATCTCATCATGTCATCTGATGTTAATTGTTCTCGGAAACCACATCAATGTGCTAATTGTACTAAATCATTTGCATCCAGCCACCAATTGGCTCAACACTCGAGAATCCATACTGGAGAGAAACCTTATAAATGTCAATTCTGTGATAAATCTTTCAAACAATTAAGCCATCTTCAACAGCACACAAGGCTACACACAGGTAAACAATTAACAGATGATTATTGCCTCATTCATTATTCACCTCATTTCAATTCATTTTATTCTTTGTTTTTTTTCATCTTTTTCATCGTTGATTCTAATGTTTTTTCTTCTTTATTTTCAATACTTTCTCTTTTCCAACCCAGGAGAGCGACCTTATAAATGTCCGAATCTTGATTGTGGACGTACCTTTATTCAATTGAGTAATTTACAGCAACACATGAGAACTCACATGACAAGCCAAGAAAAAATGGAAAAGGATCGGGATAAGTGTCACTATTGTGTTATTTGCAGAAAGGGTTTCAAAGCTCAAGCAAATCTGCTAACCCACAAGTGTAAAGTAAGATTCGTTCCGATATTATCGATATTTGGCCTCACTTAGACCTTTTGATAAGGATAATTGGACAAACAGTTTAACTGACGAAAACATTTTGATAATTGAAGATTTATTTTACTAAAAGGACCTATGGCTATGCAATGAACACTCTTTTCCTTTCGCCATCAATCAATCATTTTCACTCATTTTAAACCGAATGATTTTTCATTGGTAAAAATCATTTTCTCTCTCTCTCCCTGTCGAACTATTCAATTTCCTTCTTCAACCCGTGTTGTAATGTTTTTCTTGTTTCAAATCATATTTTTTCTCTCTCTCTCTCCTTCTTAGTACATTAGTTTTTATCATTTCTGTTTATTTATTCAACTCTACTCTTAGTGTGTATCGTCATCCGATTAACAAACTGTCCAAATTGTTTATTGATCCTTTTCTGGTCGAGGCCATTATCTTTAAGCTCTTTTGTTTTGTTGATATTTTATTATCATCAACAAATAATGTTGTTTCCATGATAATTTATATACTTGTCATTAATTTTTCTCTCTGACCTGTGCGCTTCTTATTCACGATTTTTCAGCAAAAAGGATCTGGTACCCATAGAAATCCAACAAGCAATATTTGTCCCGTTTGTTCAGTTGAATACCAATCTAAGCAGCTTCTGATCAATCACCTGAGAGAGGAACACGAATTTAATTACGAAAACTCAAGTAATCAACTATTCTAAGTTAAAAAACACACAAACATGATTCACATGCTTGACTTTTAAAGATACAAATCTTAAAGATTTTTATTCTTCATCCATAATTATTATTACTTTCACTTAAGTTCCTAAATAAGTAATCTCCTTTCTCTATTTTATCCCTTTCTTTCTCATACATCAATTAATTTATTAATCATTCTAATGAAAAATTGCATTTGCAAAACAATCATCCTTCAACCACATCTTAAACAGAGAGAAATCAACATCCACCACCACCCGCAGTCCATTATTGTCCAGTTTGTGGTCGAAGCTACTCCAATGAAGGATCTCTTCGTAAACATTTATCGACAGTTCATGCTGATGCATTTAATTTAACACAAAATAATTCATCATTCAACAATAACAATTTCACAACATGTACCATTTGCAATATTAATTTTGCCACACACTCAGGTAATACTCCCTGTTTCTCACCCTCCTCCAATTCAGTTGAAATTATAATCGCAACATTCTGATCATTAATCTCTCTCTCTCTCTTCAGATTTCTTAAATCATATGGAACAAATGAGAACAAATCCAAGGCATCAATTCGAGGCTCAAATCGTTCTTAGTTGCGCTGCAGCGGAAAGAAGAGCGCGTGAAGTGAATAATAACATTAATCGAGGCTCACTTAATCAATCTTTAATTCTATCACAAATTGAATTAGCCAAATTTGAAGGACAACATCACCTTGAATCATCAAATGCTGCTCTTCTTAGTGTCACAAGGAAAGATGCAGTTTCCCTACTTACTGGATGCCATCAATCAATTCACAATAATCACCAATCCAATATTCAATGACGCAACATAAATTATCCCTCTCATAATTTAACTATTATCTCATCTCATCCACATTTAATTTAATACGTATAAATGAAATTTAAATGAGAATCTCTTTTTCTCATCATCATTCATCACCTTTCAAGACATGCCAAAAAACACACAAGCAACAATAACTGTCAAAAGATTTTTTCGTCAATTTCTTATTTACAAATACTTTTCGATTGTCTTCATCTTTCTCATCATCTTCTTCTAGTTAAATTTATCTTTTTTCTTTGTTTATAATCATCACCATCTTCATCATTCTCATCAACATCTACTACTAATGCAACTTTACTCTCAATCTCTTTTCCTTTGCCACTGAGTTTACTCAGCTCACACACACACACAAACACCTTTACACACATTTCTTAATGAAAAACAAATTAACGAAACGCAATGTTTAGTTGTACATAATTTAGTCAAAACCAATCAATCAACAAATTGTCAAGCAAATATACAACATTAATACTAAGCACAATTGTAACAAAAAAAAACTTTGCTCCAAATTACAAAGTTGATACCATGTAAAACTGAAAATCAGATGGATAACATAACAAGTTTTTCTAATTTGTGGATTGTGGCAGTTAATCAGAGATTCTGTTAATTGCTCTGTGATATAATTCAATCTGATTTATCTAAATCAGAACAGGTTCCATCTTATATTCTCTCTTTATCTTTTTAATTTGTGAATCTCAATCTAAACAAAATCTTCCTCATTTCTTTTGTTCATTGTAAATGGAAAAACAATAGAAAACAATTACACCTCTTCCCACCCACTTAATTACTATCGAATTTTTTTGTTCGTTTCAATTTAAGAATGAAAATAAAACATTTCTTATCCTTACAATCAACTATTCCAATTATTACAATACAATTACATTCGCAATTTACAAGAAGCAAATTTGAATTGTATTCAAATACAAATCGAAACTTTGATCATTTCAAACATTCGATTTAATTTTTTTCGAATTTTTCTTACAATAATTAAGCTTTTGAAAGACTATCATTCGATTGAGTTAATTAACTTTTCTTGATTCTATCGAGCCGAATAGTAAAACTTTTCCCTAATAATGATTAAGTTAATTGTTCCAATAGAAACTCCAATAAACAAAAGATGGAACCACAATCAATTCCCAACAATCAGTTAATTTGTTTATTCGTAAAAATGTTCACTTGATTTTTTCTTCACTCCCAATTAACCTAATCAACTAACAATTAGTTTCCTTTCTGGGAGCAATTTAATTTCTCAAAACAAAAAGGAAAACATTTAAACCCAATTTACTTTAAGAATATTTTTCCATTCGATATTTAGATGAGAATGGAAAAAGAAACCATAACAATTAACCGAATGGAAGAAAAGATAACGGTAATCAAGAGAATATACAATTAGGTGAGTTTTTCTCTGTCTCTCATGTCAATGAAAAGAAAAAAATGATAAAGATGAAGAAGAAGAAGAAGATAATCTGAGCCTTGATTCGATTTCTTAAATTCGCCATTTAATCAATTCCATTTTCTCTCTTCGAATTGACCTTCTTCCTCTTCTCTATCGAATACAATTGGAAAGTAACCATAGAAAAGGCTGATTATCGATCGACTTATTCACTTTTCTTTCTTATCATCTTTCTCTCTCTCTTCTCACCCTAATTCCTCTTTCTTCGTCTCTTTCACACTCTGTCTTCGTTCCCTTGTGCTTCCAACAATCAAAATTGATTCTTTATCCTTTTTTTATCCAGTTATAGTTCAATTGTTTATTTCTAATCACTTATGTTACCTTTCAACTCTGCGGACAAAAGTAATTCAGTGATTGACTTTTAACCTTTTTCTCTTGACCAGTGGGCAATCTTGCTGAGGTTCATTTTGTCTTTGGAAGAGAAGAAAAAATCAACCTTTATTGGAATGGAATAGAATATCAATTTTAGAAAAGAATATTTTTATTTCTAACAATTTTTGTTCTTTTCTCTTTTCCACCAAGTCTAACATTTCCTTTGTTTTCTCTTTAATAGTCTTGTTGTTTTTTTCTTTTTTTCTTCTGGTTTGATTATATTACAGTTTTTCTTTTTTTATTTGTTCTCATCAACTAATTAACTGTTCAATCTTTAATTGTTGTTCTTCATTATGCCAAGCGAAAAGATTAATTTATTCTATTATCTTATCATCCGATCTCTCTCTTTATCCCAATCTCAATAAATCTCTAGTAAGTCAGTAAACCTGTAAATGTATCTGACATTAGTTTTTGTTCATCATAATCACAACCATCTTCGTAATATTAGTGATACATCATCATCATTATGCTTTCTCATCCTCATCCTCATCCTCATCTTCATCTTCTCGGTGTCTATGGAGTCCTTACAAGTTAGTATCAATTTTTTTCTCTCTCTCCCTCTCCTATTCCTGAAAGTACTTTCAGCTTTTTCTCTCTCTCTCACCATCAGACTTTCCCTTTACTCTCTGTTCATAAACCATGGTTCGATCTCTCTGTGTATTATTATCATCCATCTCATCATCTTCTTCCTTTCATCATCTTCACCCATGTCTCTCTCTCTCTATTTTTCTCTTCATCTTCCATAGTTTCTCTTCCAAATGTTAACCATCTTTCTTCGCCTATCACTTTTTAAATCCTTGCTCTTGCTCTTGCTCCGATCGAGAGGGGAGAGAATGAGATTGAAAAAAACAGAGAGAGAGAGAGAAAAGGATGATGATTAGAATGATGATGAGAGATGATCCAGAAGAAAGAGGAAGCCCTTGCAAACCAAAATTTACTTAATTTCAACTGTCCAATAAACATCTTAATCCTGTTCCTCTAATTTTTTATTCTCTATGTCATTTTCCCCCTTGACTCATATTCTCTCTTTGTCTCTTCGACTTTCAGTCTCCACTTGATTCTCATCGGTTGTGTTTCCCACCAATAAACATCCTAATCACTAATCATTTGGTTAATTTTAGCTTTTTGTTAAAGTGAATACACCTTGTAATCGATTATCTTATCTCCATGTTTAATCTACATGATGATCCCACCTAAACATTTGAATAGTTCCTATCGATTCATATCCATGTCATTATCCTTTTTTCATCAACGATTAGAATAATAATTCACTTGTTATTTTTTTCTTCTTCTTCTTTTGGGTTCTTTTCCTGTTCCAACCCGAGGTTTTGTTCACTTCATTAATTTCACATTCTCTTCATCTCCTATTCTTGATTCTATCTTTTCCATACTCTCAGTGATTTAACTTCTCATCTTCTAATTTAAGTTAATCAAATGTAATTTCAATCTTTACACTTAATTATTACTAATTTAATGTAAACAATTCTATATTTATCTTTAATAGTCTTCATTTTATATCTTCTATCAGAAGTGGAAACTCAACAGTGAAATGGTGTCTGATTATTCTGTCGCAATTATGGGTAATTATTAATTGTTCTCCTTTGTTAATTATCTTCTTCTATTCACCTTGATATTTTAATAAGATAATTAACTTATCTGAATTTTTGTTTTTCTCTCTCTTCTCTCAACAGTTCCACTTTTCGATTGATGATCATCATAAATGTTTATTAATTATCTTTGCTTGTCAATGGTTTCTCTTATTTCTCTCAATACATATTCACCATGAGAATCAATCTAACTGTTTTCTCACAACAGTAGTATCGCAATTAACTTAATCATTCGTTGATCTTTGGCTTTTTATTTTTTTCTCTCTCTTTCTCTCAACATTCGGATTCAATTTATCATCAACATCATCAAGCCTTCCTCACTCAATCAGGTGGTGGTGTGAGAACAGATTATGAATTGTTGTTATTGATTAACTTAATTTTTTTCTCTGTGTTTCTAATTTCATCACAACCTCCTTGAGTGAGTGAGGCTTTCACTCTAATCATCATCTATTAAATAGTAACTATTAACGATAGTTTATTAATAATATACTATCAAAATCTTACTCTCTATTTCCATTAAGTGTTGTTACCATGCAAATTAATTACTTAGGAAATTTAGTCGATTTAGAGACAAACATCAAACGAATCATCAAGAATCTCCGGGTATGTACATTAAATTATCGATGAGAATAATTTAATCATGTTTCATATAATTAATCAATTCTCTTCATTGCTTGCAATTCATGTCTATTTTTCATCTAATTGTTCAGATGTAATTTGATGAATTAAACATTCCATTGATTTGCATGAATGAATTATGAGACCATTCTAATAATTACATTGGTCTTTTTTCATCAATTTAAATTCAGTTATTAACAATGAACAATAGGTAACTATAAATAGTAATTGTTATCTAATTACTGTGAAGAATAATTTATTGTACATCTTTTGGTAGAAACAAAAGGTTAACACGCAATTAAGGTTCGTACTTGAGAAAAAGATTGTTAGAAAATTTGATTTTTAATCTAGAAGTGTTTTGACAATTAACTATACACGCGAAAAGGAGGATGAGTTAATTGTAAAGGTAATTGATTCACGTTGATTCACTTGGAAGAATTGATGTGACAGTGGATTTGGTGATTAATAAAAAAAACGTGAGATGAGAGGCGAGGATGATGGAATTAATCAGATTTGGTCATTTTGATTGGTCTCAATCGCGCTAATGGTCAATGTTTGGTAACTAATTTTTACTTCGACGAACCATTCGTTGTTTGTCAAATCGCATTTCCATTTCTTCTAATACTTTTGGTGTATATCGGACAACCAGAGTCACTTTTCCTTGGGCAAGTTTCAAAAGTTCAACAGCCTTTTCGTGATCTTCACCTTCTACATTTACCCCATTGACGGAAATCAACTGATCACCACGTTTTAGGCCACTTTGTCTATCGGCAACTCCACCAGGAATGATTCGTGAAATGTAAATTGGTGAATTTTGTTCCCTTCCACCCATCAAGTTAAAACCAAGACCTGAAATTCAATGAGAAGAGAGTGAAAAAAACAACGATAAAAACACACAGGTAAGTGATAATTGAATCAAGGACCAGATTAACTCATCAGTCAGATTTAAATACAAACCTTCATCAGTTTTTGGTAGTTCAACAATTCTGGGATGAGAATGACCCTCACTTGCAGCAAACACTGCAACCGTAGCTTTTGCTGTAGCAGAGGCTCTGATATCGGGTGAACCAGTGATGTCGACAGTTTCATAGACACGTTCGTAGACTTCACGAATTGCATTGAAAAAATCAGATTCCAAAATCTTCTGAAGAGCAGCCAATTTATTCTGATCAACATCGGAACCCATCCAGACAGAATACTCGGTCCGTTGAAGCTTCCCAAGTAACTCAACTGCTCTTTTAATATCACTCTCCAAATTAAGTTCCTCTCCAGGTGAGACCATGATTGAAATTGATTCTAAATACACTAAATATAATCAACTTAAAACTCCAATAAAACAAAAGAAAAGAAAAAAACAATTAATTAATCAAGAAAACATTCAAAACACCAAAGGTAAATATTTATGTTGATGAGAAAAAAAAATCTCGAAAAAAAAGAAAACAAATCAGTGCTGCTATCTATCGACTATTATGTGTATAGAATTGAAAAAAAAATTCTCGAATCGAGTTAATTGTTCCTTAATTGTTTGTTGATTGTTTAGAGTGATATTAAGTATGAAAATAGGATAGAATGGAAAATTTTTCATTTATACTTTAAGTTAGTGATACTCTTTAATATCAAAATGTGCTAGTTTTTACAAAGGAATAAAAAAAATATCATAATTATGATAGTTGATCATTGGTATTGATTAATATAAATTTAGTTCTCATGATTAGATTGGGAATATTTTTGTAGTTATTGTATGAAATTAGTTTTTGTTTTCTACTCTAAAACACATTTACATCCACATCCAGTGGGACAGTTATCGTTATTGGTGAACCAATTGAATATATGTTCGGTGTGTCCACCGTGGCCACAGAGATGACAGAAAGTGACTAAACCACGAACAGATATATTACATAGGGAACAATTAAGATTTAACTTTTTACATTGATTACATTGACTTGAAGATGATGTTGAACACTTGACTGAACAATGTTGACAAATTGAAGCAAAATTAACTGATCGTAAAGAAGAGTCATCTTGTTGAAAGTTAAAATTTTCTTGAACAAATTTCATTAATTGTGCTCGTTTACCAAGTAAACCCCAACGAAGTAACAAATCACCGTAAATTTGTTTGATACAATCAAAGTAAAGGTTTAATTGTGGATCCAACATTTTATTAAACATGTGAGTCTTTTCAATTTCCCGTTGATCTCGAAGTAAATTTATCTCGTTCATCCGATTTGAATTAAGTATAAAATAAGGTGATGAGGGAGCTTCACTTTCACCTAAATCACTCCAAGAGTTTGAACGATTTCTTTTGAAGTTTTTTATCGCTGAAACTGCAAATTTAGAATCAAGAAAATGAACAATTAGTTAATCTGATTAATCAAAAAATTCTCGACTTTAACTTACTTATATTCCATTCATCAGCTATTTTTGATACGACCGGTGTGGTAGTTGAGGTTGATTGTCCTGAAATTGTGTGATATGGCGATTCACCAGGCTGTAAAGTAAAGCACAATCAGTTAATCGCCAGAATTAAATTACAATCAAGAAGTAAAAAAGAAATGAAAATAAAATAGAATCGATGAAATTAAATTGATCAATAAAAGTAGAATCAGTTTAAGATTCAATACCTTCAATAGTTTTCTGAAAATTTTGGGCAGCTAAAGTTAAGCAAAGATTGAGAAAAGATTATGATTTAGTTGATGATGGGGATAAATGTTAATTGATTTATGAATTACTCTTGATTGGATGTAGGTTAGAAAGGATAATTAACTTACTCCGTAACTACTGGGACTTGAGTCGTAATCAGAAGAGCAGTTTCGTTGTAGGCAGCCCATTTTTCCGCAAACTTCACATCGAGATGAGAAAACGCAACATAACATTGCGGCCATTTGAACATCGCCCATAGTTTTAAGATAATAATCGATTAGTGATTGAATCATTTTCCGACCAAAAGGATGAGTTGCCCAAGGAGCGTCAATGTTAAGATGATCGTGAGAAGTGTAGGCGAGAATTGGATCACAAGAAAGTGTCGCAAGATTCCAGGTTTGGTGAAGATCTTTACGACTTTCTTCAAGAGCCAAAATTGCGTTTTTCTTACACATTTCAATTCTACTTTGATAATTAAAAATATACTTTTCTGCTAGAGATCGACTGCAAGGCATCAATTCGGATGCATTGTAAATCGTTATTGGACCACAGCGCATCGACGCTAACGATATGTAGGAACGTTCCTTTCCTTGGGATTGAAATCGACGGAATTTCAAGTCATCACCATAATAGTATGGGAATGATGATATTGAATAATTGTCTTTGAACGAGCCGAAATCAAATGATTTAACTGGCATTGGGGCGAGAGGACGATAGTTAGTCTGTAAATAAGCAGAAAGATCTGACAAAGCTCGAGGTGTATGATCATTGGAATCGTTGATTCGCTGAAAGTAGGACATTTTCCCGAAACAAACTAATAAATCAGCTCCACAAAAACGACCTCCGCAAATTTTAGGAAAAGGAACCTGAGCATCGTGGAAACTACCATAGAGAGTTGAATAATCTGATTCTGAAGTGTTGGTTGGATTGTTTGGAAGTGAACTAACATTAAGATGAGCTTTTCGGTCTAAAGAAGCGGCAAAATCTCTTAAACAATATTCCAAACAAGGTCGATTTTGTTTAACTTGTTTCGATGCTGTGTTGATAAGAATACGTAGTATCTCATTTCGTTTTGATTTCTCCAATTCACCTTCATCGAGAATCTCAAATGTTGGTGCTATCCCATTGGGATAAGAGTTTGGAAAGGTCACTTTAAGTTTAACTCGTAGACCAGATTTGAAAGCCGTTTCAACGCTCACAATACAGTATCGCTTGATTGGGTTAAAGTCTTCAATTCTTAAATTAGAACTAGTAAATTGATAATTGTCCAAATTCATAAGAGCAAATTCTTCTTGAAGATCAGGTGGAGTGAGTAATCCAGATGAAATTGGTTCAACTGTTGATGTTTTATAATTTTGAGGTTTAGTTGATGAAGGTGAAAATGACTTTGATTTATAATTAATGACAACGTCCTTAGATTCACTGGATTTGGCTAAATTGTTTATATCCGATAAAGGTATTTTCCCACGATCAGGGGTATTACCCCGGTCAATCAGATCGGCATTCGTTGTGTATTGCACTACATTATCGTCTATCAGTCGGATGGAGTCGCTTCTCTCTTGTTGTACTTGGGGAACAGTGTTAATTGTATTACAAATAAATATATTCCTATTTTCAGCTTCCTCAGCTGGTGAATATTCAAGGGAATCATCTTGATTAACTTCATTAAATAACGAAAGAATCGGCTTATCAACAGACCAGATACGAAGTGTACTATCCTTGGACCAAGTGACTAGATCGGCAGCACCCAAATCTGGCCTCCAACGCCAACCAAAGTCGATAACTACATCGGTTGGACCAAAGAAAGAGTGAACTGGTTGCTCGAGATTATTAGTATTCCATAACCAAAGTGAATTAATATCACCCGTTCGTCTAAGTTGAGGTACAACAACCGTGATTAGACCATTTCTAAAGGGGGTAAACTTAGCTCGCCAAACAGGCAATTTTGTCGATAAAATGACCGGATCTTGTTGACCGACAGTTGAAAGTTCCCAAAATTTTACTGTACAATCTTGACTACAGGTTGCAAATTGTGAACCATTATAAGGATTCCAATCAAGTCCATGGATACGTTGATCATGAGCCGAAATATAGTGAACAGGATTGGCAACTTTCTGCAAAAGGAAAACATAACAATTTGATTATAATCATTAAAAACATAAATTGATAAAACTATTTGAGATCTATTTCTCTTTCTTTTCTGTTCTGCTTACCCGTTTATCCCAAATTCTAATATCACCTTCTAATGCTGTTGCTATGATGTTCTCATCCGATTTGGACCATTTGACTTGACTCGGGCCAACTGAAGCAGAGAAAAGGATAATTTGTCTATTGTTAGATCATAAAGTGGTTAAGAAATAGAAATGGAAACAAAATCAGAAGGATAAACAAAGACCCATAGTAACAAAATAACCTTGATTCTTTTTAGTATTTTCTTTGTTTCCCCCTCATTATCCTCAAATAATTTCTTACCAACGGATGAAAATCCTAAACAGGGTCTCCTATGCTCCCTGAGATCCCAAACATAGACAAAAGTATCCATGGAACATGATGCTAAAATGTTAGGATCGAACGGAGCCCAATTAAAGTCGGTCACAACTCGTCGATGTCCTTTCAACAATATTTCAGGTTCAGGGTTTCGCTGGAATCTTCGGGTATCACTGACAATCCCTTTATCTGAATTAACATCTATCGAAAGAAGAAAAATGGAAATTAATGAAATGGAACAACAATAAACATGAATAAACTAATAGTTTTTTTAGGTGACAGGAAGAATTAACGTCAAGTCAATGATCCGACGATGTCATTGATATTTACCAGCAAATGAATAAACAGCAACATATTGATAATAACTGAGACCTAGGAGGCTGGTTTGGTGTGGACTCCATTCGGAAGCGGTCACATCCCATTTGGAAGATCGGGCAATTGATCGGGCGATTTTGGATGGATTGTCAATATCGATAATATAAATATTCCTTGGATTGGATAAGGCAATATAACGACCCATTGAATGGATACACATAACATCAGCTTCGATGTCTTTATGTTCAGCAGTTACTTTCTCATTACTCCATCGAGTAGACATTTTGATTTGGCTTTTCGATTGACACAAAATATGTTAACCAAATCAACAGGAATCACCAGGTTTCAGAAAGAAATTTCAAATGAATTATAAAAATATACAAGGAGAGAGAGAGAAAAAAAGAAAGATAAAGAGATAGATAGAAATGAGAGGGAAGAAATGAGAAGAGAGACAAATGAAGACAAAGGAAAGAGATATTGTCAAAAAATGATCTACATTAACAATCGGTGAAATTAGTAACAATAATAAACAAGAGAAATGAACAATTTCCTAATAAATCAGTAGTCCAATTAACTTGACAATCACCAGCAAGACGAGAATCGGACATCCTTTTTAATTGTCACTCTAAACCTTTTGTCAAAACAAAAGCATCAGCAAGAGTAAGGATTGATTGTGATGATGATATAACATAAAAAAAAGTGAACAATCAAATTAAATAAAAGAAGGAGACTAAATGTTTTGACCCGATCATATTAATGGATTAATAAAATGAATGAGGGAGATTAAAAGAGAGTAAATGAGAGAGAGAGAGAGAGAGAGAGACAGGAAAATACAGACAGAAACTCAGCTGAAGAAGCAACAAAAACAGAAAAGCAAATTGAAAACAGATTCACTGAGATATGAATTTATGGTTAATCAAATAATCAGATTGTTACATGACGTGATTAACTTCAAATTTAGAAATAAACACAATACAATTTAGATTAGAAAGAAAAATAAAACCATTTAGAAGAGAAATAATAAAACTGTTGATGAGAGAGTGAAAATCAAACTGAGAGAATAAAGAAAAAAAAATGTAAACAAAAGCAGAGAAGAAAAAAAAGAAAAAATCAACAGAAGGAAAAACGAAAAGAAAATTAAATTGTTGATGTTGATTAACAATCGCTTTTCTTAAGGTCGAATTTGTGATTCAATTTTTTTTATCGTTCTCTTGATCAATCTAAACAATTTAAGTTCTAAATTTAATTATTTTATCGTCCATTTCATCTAATTATTGATAATTAATCAAAATTTTAATTCTTTAACCTTAAAGTTTGAAATTCTAGAAATTTGGACTTTAAAGTTTCGTTGAATCGACAATTTATGGGAAAATTTTAATTTTAATACTAGAATGAAGTTCAGTGATTAGATTAACATCGATTTTCTAAATCAGTAAAGTTCAAATTGGTTTAATAATCAATTAATTGTTAGTTGAAAATTTTGTTTACAATTTCGCGCGAAATATGAAAAAAATGTCAATCGGAATTTTTTCATTTCAATTTTATCACAATCAATCATTTTGTTTTAGAAATTACGGAAAATTAATCAATCAAATTGTTGTGATTTCATATTGAGGTTTGTCTGTTTAACTATTAGAGATTGGTGATGAACTTTGAAAAGTACAAAATGATGATTGAATTAATATAATTCTGAATTTGGAATCATCATCATCAAGAATCATTATCTTTAATTTCATCAGTTGAGCTTTTGGCCTTAGGCGATTCCAAGCAAATTGTTACAGGACCATCATTGACAATATTCACATGACAAAAAGTCTGAAATCTTCCCTCTGTAAACAGGATTAATTCAATTGTAGTTAAATTGTTTTGTTTAATCAGTAGGATGTATAATTTGAACAAACCTTTGACTAGATCAGGTTTATAATTTTGCTTCATTTTGTCCACAAAAAGTTGATACAATTCACGAGATTTATCTGGTGCCATTGACTGATGAAAATCAGGCTTATTACCTTTCATTAAAGCATACAAGGTAAACTAAATTAGTGATTGAGGAAGGAATAAAAATAAAAAGATCAATAGAAATTAATAAATGATGAAAGAATCAAAAAACTCTTACTTGACTACAACAAAGGACTTCGTAACCTTTATCTTTAACACTGAGGTTCCACTTTTTACCATCATCACCTTCAAATATCCTCATATTGATCAACTTACGGACTCTAAATAAAGTGAAAACAATTAACAATCAAGTCAAAACAATGGAAAAAACTTACAAATAATCAACATCGGCCACCGAATCATCTCTAGATAAACCAACGAGAACACAAATTCCTTTACCAATTTCAGAAATGATCTCATTGTTAACTAATCAAAGAGAATCAAAAATCAATTCAATTAATTGCTACATTTCTACCATTTTATTTAGAAAGAAACAATTACCCGTCACCGAAGCTGAGGCCACTCTTTGAACGATCGCTTTCATTGTGGTAACAATTTAATTAGAAATCAAAAGTAAGCAAATCAATTGAAATCCCATGAACATGAAACCGATTAAGAAAACTATTGTTTACATTTCGGTGAATCTGAAGGCGCTTTTTTCAAAGAGCAAATTCAAATTCCAAATAAAATAATTAACTGATATTCATTTATCTTTTTAAATGATAATATTAATTTTTACAATAATTGGAATCGAGAATCTGAATTTCATCTAATCTATCTCTCTTTTATTTTGGTTCTCTTTCGTGGCTCAGTGCATCCATTTTTTTATCTACTACTAATCTACAATTAACTTTTGTTAATTACTAATCATTCCGTTTACAATACAAATATGGATAGTGAATTTGACTCCAATGATTGGAGGATTTATCAGATTAACGTCAATCCATAAACTTGAGGCCATCATTATTATTTGGTTATCCTTTGTTATCATTTAGATATTTGTTATGAAAGATTAAATTGTTTCATCATTTTTACATAATTTAGATGAAAATCAGTGAATTCAACCACTGAGACGATTTCTTTATTAAATGAGATAGAATTAAATATTAGTAGATGAAAATTCTATCGGGTTGTTCTGAATTTCCTTTTCAGTCCAACTACAATCATCAGTAATTAAAGAATATCCCAATTAAAACGAATGAAACTCGATCACTTGGTATCGTAAATAGATATGGATTGGCAGAGACAATTTAAATCTATGGAACTTTGAAAGACAAAATCAACTTTTCCTCAAAGTTTTCTGAAAATCTATTATTACTCTTGTTAATTGTTCCAGTTGATCTGTTGATTTGTGTTTCCCAACCAAATAAAATGATTAACTATTAATTCAATTAGTTTTGTATTAATGAAAACAAAGAGATAGCCATGGGCCCGCGATTCAAAAACTCTGATATTTAATTACAAGTAATTGGTAGAAATTTATTGACAGAAAGAAAGAGAGAGAGAGAGCAATTAAATCAAGAATCTGAGAAAATCAGTGATGATGGAGATGATGAGGATTCGCCAGGTAATACAATGAGAGAAAATTAATCAAGATGATTAAATTTAGAAGACTAATTGCGATAAATATGAAGTACATTAATCAATAGAAATTTATACAAAAAAAAACTTAGCAAATTAAAGGCACAATTAACCTTGATTATTTGGTCTATTCTCATGTATGGTAACAGTTTTGAAAAGGATAATTAATATTACTATTTAGTTAATCAAACGTTTGTTGACTTGTGAGTATTTGTAATTGTTAACAATTATTTTCTGCTAATATTTAACCAATAGTTAAAATTGATAAAATTAAATGTAAAACTAACAAGTCAATATGAATACAATCAATTAACTAAATACTAATTAAATTGAATACAGTTCACTCGTTTTGGAAACATCGATCATTGATAAAGTTGTTAAGTTAAATTTGGTAATTAAACAATAAATTAGGGAATCAAAGAGACAAAAGATTAAGGCAGTTTTTTTGAAAGTTGATTAACTTGACAAACAATTAGTTTAAATTTAGATTGCAGTTATAAACGGAAATCTCAACTAATTTAACAAAATGGTTTGTCTGAGTTAATTTGACAATGTTGAAACAATTTACCAACGATATTAATTGAGATATAAATTTAAAAATAGGATGTTGATAAAAAACAAAATTTTTAACATGATTATGACATTATCATGTTTAATTATGTAATAACTGTTAATGTCATGGTTAACAGTTAATTGTTGGTGCAATTTCATGTTTCAAACAATATCAATCTAATACGATAAAATTAAATGAAGAATTAAACAAAAAGGAAAGATCTTGATGGTTGAATAGGAAGACACAAATTGGATGAATACAATTAAGTACTGGTCGTATTTTCTTGAGCACTGGTTAATTTAATTGAGCGTTTAAAGTTGATCAACTTGATTGTGTTTGCTTTTTTATCCCAATATCTTTGATCACTTTCTTTGTCTTGATTGTCTGATTTGAAGTGTTTTTCTTTGAGCATAAAAGTTGAACTATTTAGCAAAACGATGAGCTGAACGACTGGCAGGACGACTTACTGATGGACCAAAACCACCATCGGTAAAACCTTCTGAATCTGAGATTATTATTGGCCTGAAAAGGGAATCACCGTTTTCACTTCCCGTGTCAACACCGGTCACAAGGGGTAGAAGAGCTTCCCGAGCACGAGCTAAATCACCTAAATTGCTGACACCATTTGTGAATGGAGGTGCACAAGGAACCATTGATGGATAATAATTATAGATTGATGGTGCTGGTTGTTGGTGTTGAGCGAATGGTGTTCGAGCTTGGAAACCATAATAATTGGGTAATCCATTGGGTGGACCACAACCGTTGACCAAAAGATTTGGATTGGCAAAAGAGCCTAATGGTTGACCTGACATGGGCACAGCGCAATTAAATGAATTAAGATATCCTACTCCTAGATTTTGATTCTGCTGTGATGCTGATCGGTCATTTGGTGGACTAACACTGTGTCCATTGGTACGACTATCGGGTCGTCGTCTCTCTTGTAAAGGATTAATAAGTGAATCTCCTTGTTGAGACATCCCATGAGTAAAGGGATGATTAGAAGAGGGTTTTTCAGTTCTCGGTCTACTAATTACCGAAACTGTGGGTGAAATAACAGGATAACCGGAAGGATGTGGAAATGATGGTGCAGGTAAGGGAAAAGTGGGAGGTAGATAGTTACACACAGTGGGTAATATTGATGGACCGGGTAACTGTAAATCACCGGTACTTGTTGCTCGAGTTACACCTTCATGTTGACGGACCAAATTACCGACAACTGCAAGATTATTACTTTGTATTGATGAGTCGCTTCCTCTTCGCCTCCAAAGAGCATGATTAAGTCGAGAGGAGAGACGAACACGTTCAGATTTAGTTTTTCGTCTTACTTGATGTCTTGGTGCATCATAAATGGTACCATCATTACTAACTTGCGAATCAAGTGATTGCTGATTAGATACCATTGAACCAATAGACATTCCTTGTTGCATACTAATCTCTGAGGCTGATGAATTATTATTATTGGTATAATTTCTGTATCGAGGTAGATAATGATTAGCATTGTTAAGTTTAACTATAGCTGCTCGTCGTTGAATAAATTTAGGTAAATTATTAACCCATTCAGTTGAAATTTCTTGTGAAGTAGCAGAGGTTAAATTCATATCAACCGGATCACCATGAAGTGATTCTTGATTGTAAATAGCAGCGTTACCACAAGTATAAGCTTTAGCCAGCATCTTGTGTTTACGTCCCGAGCGGCCGATTATGTATGCATCACATTTTTTCAGGAAAAATCTTCTCCATGCCTCCCACGAAGCTCGAGTGAGTAACCAAATAACAATACTAAAACCAGAACTTAGTACCATGATTAGATGGATTTTTACATGAAGCAGACTCGGTGATGAGACATTTGTTTCGCATTCATTTGCTCTACTTGGGGCGAAAACAGGTATCAGATCTAATGCACATCTGAAAATAATTGAAATTAACACGGTAATTAGTAAATATTATTAGGAAACAGAATAAATTGAAAGAAAGTGTAAACAAAAGGAACAATTAAATTAACTTACAATACACGACTGTCAAGAGTTTGCTTCCATTTGTCGGAACTCAAGTATTCTAGTATATGAGCATAAGTAGTTCCAATTAAGGCTAAAATCAACCATATCGAAAAGATTCCTGGTAAAAGAAAAAAAAAGAACAAGAGAAAAAGAAAATGAAAAAATTAGTGAATTGTAAGCGAGAAGAAAAAAAAGAGAAAGTAAATTGTTGCAATTAATTACCTAATCTAGAGAGTAATCTGTTGATGGTGTCACGTTTTCGTCTCTTATCAAGATGAGAGACAGCAATTGATTTTGCTTTAATCAAGGCGAGCATGGTTTTAATTAAGTAGAAGACACTGATTAAAATAGATGAGATTATCGGTATTAGGACAAAAGTTATTCTCATAATTGGATTGTCAAAACCAACATAACAAATACCCAACATTGGACTACTATCAACTTTGTTGATACAAATGATGATAACACATAATACAAAAGGGACACTCCAAGCAGCTACATGAAAGGGTTGACGTTTCCTTTCAATTAGATCATTGAAATTACCGTTTGATACTTTAAGTTTATGAAACCATAGGAAGGATAAAACAGCGACCCAAATAGCGGCAGCAATTGAGAAATAGTAGATGAGAAAGAAAACAATGAGACATGATGCAGATCCTGGTGATGAAGATTCACTGTATCGACGAGTATTGTCAAGTCGACAAACGATTGATTGTTTTGAGATAAAAAATTGTATCATCCATCCAAGATTATGGAAGATTAGACAAATAATGAGGTAATAAACTGCCACCGAGGGATAACGATCAGCACTTTTCCAATCAACTCGAAAGGTGAAAAAGCAAATAAAAAGTACAAGTGAACTACTTAAACCTCCATACCAAATGATATTTTGAAGATTTGTCTGTTCTTCCGTTGATATTAATGATAAATCACATTGTAAACCACAACCATCAATTCCTGGGTACCAAATATTGCTGTCATCTGTGGGTGTTAATGGATATTTACATTTTGCTGAGAAAGAATTGAACTTCAAATCTTGATAACCGTTACTACAATTGGACTTCATGTAATTTTGGCTACAATTGAGAAATGGTGGCACATTATCATGTCTGTAAGAAGAGAGAAAGAAAAAAAAACAGATTAGAAAAAATAAGAAATGGAAATTAAATACTCAAGCTAATGATAGGTTTAGATGGAGAAAGAGGCAGAGAAGGTTGAGAGAGAGAGAGAGAGAGAGAGAGAGAGAGAGAGTTTCGGAGAAGATGGAATCAATTTGATTCTTACCCAAAGTACATTTCGATAAATTTACAATTGTGTCTCGCTGAGTTACACATATCATAGGAAGGTAAGTGAACACGATCATTATCACATTTGGGAAGGTATAATGTACAAAGAAATGATTGTAATGAGGTCCAACAACGAGGTACACTTTGTAAGACTCTCCATTTAGCAAGATATTGTTTAACTTTGTATTCATTGTCGTATGAATTACCACCAACAAAATAACCAACTTTAGTTGCTCTATAAGGTAAAGTAACAGCCAAGCAAGAAGTGTTTTCTAGAAGTTCACATTGGGTAATATTCTGACACTGTTGATTGTTGTCACAAATTACAAATCCAATTGTTAGAAACAATTTGAAAATTACAAATCGCAAAAAGAGTAATGTGATTTTGGTTAAATCCATGATGAATCAATTCAATTATAGTGAACAAAAAAAAACCAAAGTTGGAGTAACAAACAAAAAGGTACAAGATAAACAGCTAAGGTTTTAAGGAAAAGTAATCAAATTGATAAGCGTAAACTCTCATCGTTTCTTGATTACCCAATGAATGTAACAAATTTACAATAAAAAATAAATTAATTGTTACTAATTCATTTAAATGGGTGAAAAAAAAATAAAACAAACAAAAGTTGATAAACTAAACAAAACTTTGAGAAAATAAAAATGAAAATGTTTTTGTTTAACAATCGGAAACAAATTAATCGATTAATCGAAGATCTGATCCAATGGATCTTTTTGACTTTTACTCGATCCAAAGATACTATTAAGCTGATTGTTGTTTGCTCGCTGAGATTTTTAAATTATTGTTGTTTAATTTAATTTCGTCCGTTGATAATTAACTTTAATTACTATTATTTAGAGAGATTTATTCTCACTTTTGTTTTGCAGTGAATAGAAAAGAATCTTTGTCAACTTTAAGCTTCATTTTGGTTTATTCTTTTCTAGCCAATTTTCGGCTTCCATTGACTTGGCTTTACCTTCGCTATCTTTACATTTAATTCATTTTGTTTCTGAATTGATTAATCAATTTCTATTATAATTGATAAGTTTGAGTTTTGAGTGTTTTGTTTTTGTTAATTTCGTTTTCTGATTGTGCTTTACTTTACTTTTATTATTCATCAGCTTCGCTTTGATCTGATTTCTTATTCTATTATGGGTGAATGAATGAATCTTTTCTCTCTTTCTCTCACTCTGTTTACAGTTTTCTGTTTACTGTTTTCTCTTTCTCTCTCTCTCTCTCTCTCTCTCTCTATCTGTCTCTTTCTCTATTTTAGAATCAATTCTATCTCTCTTACCTCTCTCTCATCTTACTCTTTCATTTTCACCTTTACCGGCTTACCTGTTTCTATATGAATTGTAATTTCTTTCCAGTGTTTTTGGCCCTTTAAATTCAATCTCTACAAACCAAAAACCTTTCGAGAATTTGATTTGAAAATTTCTCAAAATTAACACAAGTAAAAGAATCAACAACAACAACAACAACTCCAAATGAATAACTCATCATCTTCACCACCAACAGCAGTCATTTCATCCTCATCATCACCTCCATTGTTAACATCATCTTCTAATAACACAAAAACAATAACTTCTACTAATAATACCGTAACTTCACCATCACCATCATCATCTTCATCAGCAACAAAAACAACAACAGATAAAACATTAACACCGAATTCACAGTCTACTAATAATCTTCCGGTTAAAAAAAAATGTGCAAAAGATTTTAAGTTTATCGGTCTAATTGGGGAAGGTTCATTTTCCATGGTGGCCTTGGCTGTTGATATAAACACCAAACAAAAGTATGCAATCAAAATCTGTGAGAAAAGGCAACTTTTGAAAGAGAAAAAGGATAAAGCAATCATGAGGGAGAAAGATATTCTAAATCTATTGGATTTACATTCAAGTCCCTATTTCATCAGATTGCATTTCTCTTTCCAAGACGCTTACCGGTTATGTGAGTTTCTTGTTATTTTCTTTTGCGATTTTGTTTCTTTTGTCTTTCACCATCATCATATCCTCAATTCTATCTATTTGTGTCTATCTCTGTTTACCATCTATATAATTACTCTGTTTCTCTTTTTTTCTTCTCCCCTGACATTTGTTTCTTTTTCCTTTAACTACCTTTCTGATTGACTAATTGATATCTTATTTTCTCTTCTCTATTCTTCCACTTTTACTCTAGTTTTTGGACTCAGTTTTGCCAGAGGAGGAGAATTGTTGACATACATCAATAAATTATCTGGTTTCAACGAAGAATGTACCAGATTCTATTCAGCTCAGATTCTACTTGCCTTGGAGTATCTCCACAAATTGGGAATAATACACAGGTAGTTTTCTAACCCTTAACTTATTTTATCAAAATTCTTGTTCTGAATACTAATCTATTTTTCTCTCTTTTTCTATCAAACAGAGATCTAAAGCCTGAGAATTTACTTTTAAATGAAAAACTACATATTCAGATAACCGATTTCGGATCAGCTTTTTTAGGAAGCACGACATCGATTAAACCTTATAACTGTGATTCTAATCAAAGGAAAAGGATAACCTCATCTCGAAGTAAAGAAGCAATTAAAAATGGACTAACCGAATCAGATAAAAATGATCCAGAAGAGGAGGATGAAGCAGAAAAAAAAGAACATGTTAATGATAATGATAATGATAAAGAGACTGATGACAATGATGGTATCGAAAACAAAGAAATCTCTAAAGATGAAATAAACAGTTCAGAGGACGAGTCAAAGCGATTGAAACAATCGCGACGTGAACAAAATGATAAGCGTAACTCTCGGAGTAATTCATTTGTCGGTACAGCTCAATATGTATCACCTGAAATGCTTAAATACAAAAATGCATTCACAAGCTCAGATCTATGGGCTTATGGTTGTATAATTTATCAAATGTTAGTTGGTAATCCACCATTTAATGATGCAACAGATTTCCTCATCTTTCAAAAGATACTTGCCGTTAATTTAACTTTTCCAGAGGATAAAATTAATCCACAAGCTAAAGATTTAATCCAATCATTACTCATCGTTGATCCATGTGAACGTCTAGGAGCTTCAGATGATTTCACCCTTGGTTCATATCCATCAATAAGAGCTCATCCTTTTTTTACTGAACTTTCTCAACCACCTAAAGTGATAGTAACAAACAGAATGCAAAAATCACCACCAATATTGTCATCAACCTCAACAACAACAAGAAAAACAACAACCACTTCATCACCATCACCTCCAACAACAACAACAACAACAACAATAGGGAAAATAAAGCCAACAATGTCACCACCTCCACTCTCATCTAACCACCATGGATCTGGTTTCTATAGCCAATCAACTTCATATCCACAAACAAGATGGTCAACCTTATATCTTGAAGAAAGTCCATTAACTAGATATCTAGATAGAGAAGATTATCTATTAGAATCTAGAATATCTTGCCTAAACTACGACGATATCGAACCAGGTCTTCATGAAGGTCTTTTATTGGGCCTCGGTCTATCAGACAATCCAAAGAAAGTTGACCTTCCTTTCGATAAGGTTGACTCAACACTATCACCATCTTCCTCCTCTGCCTCATCCTCCCAAAAGACCGGTTACAATAACAGTATATCAACAACAAGTAATAGAAGTGAAAACAATTACAGTTCAAGGAATGATGATAAAAATAGCTCATCACAAAAAGAAAACTCTAGATCCAATTCTAATCCAGAAAGAGTTAAAAAGAAAGGATTATTTGGATTAAAATGGTTTAAACATTGAGATTAACTCTTCTTATACATAAAAGCAAAACCTTTAATATTATAATTATTGATTAATTATTATTATTATTACTACTAAACTACTATCATCATCATCGTGATCATCATCTTCTTCCCCTCTAAAAAAATTACCTTTCAATTAATTGCCTTCTCTCTCTCTCTCTCTCCAAACTCTTTCGATTTCATAAATCATGTTCTATTATTTATCTTTCTCTTAAAATTGTCCTAAACAATAAGATTTCCTACTCTTCCTTAACTAATGCAAAGAAAAAAGAAACAATTAAACAAAATATGAGCTTTTAAGCTCAAAAACTAAAATCGAATTATTGAAAATTCCACATAAAACTATCAAAACATTAATTTCGAAATAAGAAAGAATCATCATAATAAGAATCTAATTGATGGAGTTAATTTTTAAAATTCCAATTTGGAAAATCAAAATCAAAAGAAAAAAAAATTATTATTCCTTTTAGATTGATTGAAATGCTTTCTACTTTTTGAATTATATTTTATGGTGTTACCACTCAGATCGAGCTAATCCCCTCCCACCTGGATGTTACCCCAGGCAGGAACGGTCATCAATGAGAGTCGCCAAAAGACCGAAGTCAATGGTGAACACTCGGTTTCCCGCTCAGGAAGAAGCTCCTTAAATCTTCATCGTGGCTGAGTTGGACTTCGTTTTGTCAACGAATCGTCCCAATCATACTATAGAAATGATCCTTTGAAGTATGATCTTAACTTTCCATAGATTTTCCTCTCCCTTATATACTCAAAAGTGTAACAATAAAATTACAGTTCTTTTCTAAAACAATAGTTTTCTCACTAATTAAATCAATCAAAATCTTCTTTTCAATCAATTCTAATTCTTAATAGTTGTAAAAACATTTATTTCTGTTTAAAATTAGAAAATTGAATCAACTAATCACATAAATCGAATCAAATCAAATCAGTGGCTCTTCATTCAACCACATGGATCTAAAAACTTGTTTACAATTAGCAGACTCTCTCAGTACAGACTTGATGATGTTGCATTTAACCAGCATGGTTTTTTTTTTACTCAAACAATTGACTAATTACAATCACTTATCATCTAATTGGAACATGAATCTGATTAATCAATGAAACATTGTTACCTTTAGAAAATCAATCTCCAATTTTCTTGGCAATAACAATTAAATTAACATTGTTTCCAATGTTAATCTTATGCTAATAATGTTTTAGAGGATCAGTTGATTACTATTAAGTAAATTGGATTACAATCAAGTTTTGTTTAGCCTAAAAATGAATTGCATGTATATTAATAGACAGAATTAAATCAATCAATTCGATCAATGGTTTAATTGTGAGAAGAGAATTAGAAAAAAAATGAGAAATCAAACTTGTAATCAGTAATTAGAATTATTTTCAATTCGATTTTTTTTTAATTTATATTTATACTTTTAAATTATTATCCAAGCAAAAAATATCCAAATACTATTATAATTAACTGACAATATATAATCGGCACATAATTAGAGATTAATTTTTATAGTCGTTTTTTTGTTAATGATTTTTTTTGTTTCATAAATCGATTGATTTTCGATAAAGTTTGACCTACAAACCAAAAAGAAAAAGAAATCAAGAAAAGAGAGAGAGAGAGAAAAAAGTAAAGGAAGAAAATATAATCTACAACTATTAGGTCAATTTAGAGAAAATTAAACATCTCCCTTAATTGATTAGCTTTTCCCTCTGCCAATCATCCAAATTGTAAAATTAAATTATTGTAGTTTGATGGTGATTCGAGTTGAGTGTTGCTTAGATGTGATGTTTTCCTTGGCTTTTACTCCTTTGCTGTTGGTTGTAGATCAAAGTTGTTGACTGATTGTAGTTACAATTAAGATAAAGATAGAGAGAGAGAAATGATGATTACATGAAAAAAAGAGGGACAAGGTAAATAGCCATTACAATGATAGCACAGATAATAATTAATACCAGAGTAACATTAGATAGTCTTTGTGTTTCAATTATGATTAGGATCAGATTAGAGACCAAAAAAATAATATAATATGAATTGAGGAGAAAAAATAATGAATAGTGGGAGAGGGAGAGATGGTGAAAAGTTAATTGTGAAAAAGGGACCAGGGAGGTCAGAAAGAAGGCATAATCATAATGTTAGAGCCAAAATTATTCATGAGAAGTAAAAATGGACTAACAATACATATCAAGTTTAGTTATGTCGTTGAACCAAAAAAAAAAGAAGCAAAAAAAATTTCTCAAAGTATTTACAGTCGATCAATATTATGATTTAGAGATTGAATTATGATTAAGCCTGCTGATTAATTAGATTGCTTATTGATATAAAGTAACCTTTTGTTTTTCCCCTGGTAATCATCGAAGTCTAATATTTGTGTTGCTGTTTTCTGCGAAAAAGCAACAAAGAGGAAATAAGAGAAATCAGAAAATTACTAAGGGAAAGAGGATCAATTTTGATGGTTCAAAAGTCTTTCTTTAAGGTTGAGCTTTTGTTGCATTGATGGTGTTGAGATGGATTCGTATGCATATTAAAGTGAATGAGGAAAATGCAAATCGAAGACACTTTAAGGGAAAATTCGGACAACAGGCTAATATGGTTTCGATTTTTTTTTGCGACCAATTTTCTTAATCAATCGTAATCCTTTGTTATACTCGTAAGACTGTGGTTATTGGTGGTGGTGTTGTTGATGATGTTGATGATCATGATGATGGGGGTAAGAGCTGAATAGTAATTAATTTCCAAGGCAGAGATAATAGGAGAGATAGAGCAGAAATATACATGTTTCTGTTGATTTATATGTGTATATTTTTACTACAATTTGGATTGTTATAAATCGATGCGCATGCTGGTGAATGATTAATTTCCCTGGTTAGTGATGAAAATGTCAACGATCAGAGTCTATGAAGTTTTTTCTTCTTCTTCCTCTCAGGTTTTTAACCACCACAATAAGAGGAAAATCAGACAAGGGAGAAGAGTAAAGATGTTCAGTGATTCATCTTCAGCTCAGATCTTTTAAATTAAAGTTGAACAATTAATTGTCGTCACTTGATATTGTAGGTGTTTCGTTGTTGAGTTTACGTTTTTTTTTGCTAACAGTTGATTTTCCACTTTTATGTTTGCCATTTGCTTTTCTTCATTTAAATTGTTATAATTTTGCTTCATCTCTTTAATTGGTTTTAGTAGTGATGTCGGTGTGATGTGAATAATGATCAAAGTTTCGGTTAATTGTTGATGATTGATGATTGACATTTTTTAACATTTAAATCATATTTCAGTCTTCGGTTAATTATTAAGGATTGTTTTCTTCATAATATGATTATTCCCACATTTGGTGTTCGACCCATTGTGCTAATCCACGATTTACAAGTTCTTTGTTAATGAAGATATTCTGAAAAGTTGATAATAAAAGAAAAGAAAAAGTTAGTTGTTAATATCGAATCAATAGTCCAGAGTGATCAACGAATTAGATTTAAAATTAGATCGTTGGGAAAACAACAATCAAAGTAAAAAGGTGTGGAAGAAAAAAATTCATTGCAAGTGGACTGTAAATTAATCAGGAAATCGTAATTGTTGAATCAATCAGTAATTGATACTAGCGAAGCCGAACAAATAAAGAAATTGAAAAGTGATTAATTGCTTTTAGGTAATAATAATAACAACAACAAAAAAAAAGACCATTACAAGTAAAACTGTAACAATATTAGTATAACATATATACCACTCTCTCAAAGGGAATCTAATCAATTTATATTTATCATTTCTCATCATCAATTTGGTCATCGATGAAGAGAATGAATTAAATGAACAATTTGCTTCCCTCTAAACCAGAGTATTAGTTTTAAATAATCAGGAATATACAGAAAACAACATTATCATCAAGGAAATAGCTGATGCAAGGGAAAGAGATACAAGGGTAAAGGAGAGAGCACGTTTTCAGTAAATAACATTAAAAGTTGTTTTTAAACATGGGATGAAAACGCATAGAGATTGTATATTAATATGTGTGTGTGTGTAATTCAGAGAAAGACAGAGAAAAGAAAGGAAAAGAAAAAGAAAGAAAGACAAAAGGGAAAGAAAGATGAAAATGCTCAATCATTAATGCATTAGGGGCACGTTGTAACTTGTTCAACTAGATTTTCTGTTTCCATTGAGCTGAGGCTGTCAACCTAACCTGGCTTAAGGCAAGACAAACCAGTCCTAAGGATGAGCATCTTTAGGTCTTATTTATTTCTGTGTACCTTTTTTTTTACCTGTAACATTGACTGTGAGAGCAGAAGAAAGAGAAATATAAGAATTCAGTCTATCTTTTCTGATTTAAAGATAGAAAGAAGAAAAAAAAGATCTTGGGTGAGTGAGCGATGGAGAGAAGATGGAGCAATAAGAGAGAGAGAGAGAGAGAGAGAGAGAGAGTATAAAAAGTGAAAAAAAGAAAAGCTCATTGAAGCGATGGAAAAACGCAGGGCAGACTTAAAATTTTCTTCAATTTGGTTGTTGAAAGAAAAAGTCGACTGAATGTTCCATGAAGCAGATAAAAGAAAAAATGGAGAAGGTGAGAAGGAGAAAAAGATGACAATATAAGTAAGAAATAGATGATGATACTAATGATAATGATGATGGTGATGAAGGAGAAAGAGAAAGAGAGATAAATAACAGACACGAGAAGAATCAAAATGTAACAATAATAGACTAATAAATGACCACAAAGTTGTGAGGTAATAAAAATTTTCTGTCTCAATGCTTTTGCTTGTACGTTTTGTGTTTTCAGACAATTAGAAAGTTAAAGGCTTGTGCTATCTATTTATAATGTCGTTGTTATTGTAGCTTCTTGTTGTTTTCTCATGTTTATGGTTTAGAACTGGTTGTGAACCTACCGAAGCTCCTTGAATTTTGTGTAAATGGATTAGTGGTATACCATCATCAGCATAAGCAACAATTTTAGCTTGTAACATTTGTCCTTGAGCGAGATCATGAAAAACAACGTTAGCTTCCTTAGACCAACCTTGATCTTCTGTAAAGGTGAAATAAATGCATTCAAAATAGATAAAAATTAGTATAATAATAATATAAATATAAATATAAATTACTAAATTAGAGTAAATAAAAAATTTACTAACCATCGGTCGGCTTAACATTAGCTAGATAACATTCTGATGCTTGGAAAGGCAGGGACATAAAATCATAACGAATCTGCCTTAGAGATGAGATCGGTGCTCGAGCATATCCACCATAATCGACAAACTTGACTTCGACCTCATGATCATCCCAAACATTGACTACCATCGCTCGGTACCATCCACTGCACATATTAACAGCACAAATATCACCAGCTAAAAAAGAGAAAGAGAAAAGAGAGAGAAAAGAGAGAGAGAAAAAATCACATGAATATTGCGTCAATTGTATATATAGAGTTTGAGGGAGATTCCGTTTCCGTATTTACTTTTAATTCTCCTTTAGTAATATTAATGATGATGGAAAAGGGAGAGAAAATACTAACGATTAGGAGCAAGAACTGGCGGTGTTTCAACAGAGTATGTGGCATTCATGAATTGGTCCAACCGGCTTAACGATGGATAAGTTGGATGAGTTGGTTGACGAACGAAAATATGTCCAGCGTTAACCACGTTGGACAATATCACATCACATGAGACTCCCTCTGGAAGATGGAGCTGTTTTTATTGTAAAAGAAGAAGAAGAAGAAAAAATGATGATGATATGATCAATGTTATAATGATTAAATAAATAATTAGGAATAATAATACAATGTGTACAATAGATGATAATCAAAGACAATTAATTTTGAGATAGAAAAAAACAAAACTCTTACCTGACAAGATTGAGGTACGGTGACTTGGCAAGCTTGTAATAATGGACTGATAACATTAATCTGTTGCAATGTAACTTCAGGAAATTCATAGATCGGAAATCTAGTGCGAATCAATCGCAATGCTCTTCTAATTTCAGATCTAGTTCCTGTTGTTTAAAGAAAAGAAAAGAATAGAATAGAATAGAATAGAATAGAATAGAATGAAATAGAATAAATTAGAATCAAGTAAATTCTCAGACTGATCTTCAAGAAGAAAACTTAAAGAACACTTATTGATTGGGAGAATTAGTGATTCCTATTCCAAGGCCAGTTATAAGATGTAACAACCTTTTCTTTTTTATTCTTTAAGGAAAATTCTCAAAGACTTAAAAATAGCCACGCAATCTTAATGAGAGAGAAAGAGATGAAAAAGAAGAATAAAATAAAATCAACTCACCTTCTATGCTACATATTTTATAAAGAGGAGTAAGTGGATGACGATTAACAACAACACTGGCATTAGATTTTTCTTTTATTTGATTAACATAATGTCCACTTCGACCAATCAATCGACCACATAAATATTGAGCCAATTCAAATTGATAAATAATAACAGGTTCTTCAGCCGAATGACCATTTAATTGTCCAAAAAATGGACCTTCGATAACATCAGATTTGACTTCGGAAGTACATTCAGAATTTTCTGTACATTTAGTTGATGTAGTAGTAGTTGTAGTTGTAGTATTTTCTTTGATATTATTATTATTATTGCTGTTGTTTTCCTTTTCTTTAGGCTCAACGATAACAACAGTTTCACCATGATGTTCATCATCATCATCACCATGTTCATCATTTACCAATTCACCGTTTATATTGTTACTCGATGAAGCAGATAACGATGATAGTGTTACAGATGAAGAAGATGCCGGACTATCTGACCTTTCACTTTCTCCATTTTGGCTTGATGATGATTCATTCTGTTCGATACCCTTTTCCTCGTCAACACGTGGCTCAATTTTCTCATCAAAACCACTCATCTTGGTAACCAATAAGGGACCCACTTGAGCCATAGTAACAAAGGTAAAGGGAGAAAAGAAGAAGGAAAAAAAAAGTAACACTTAATGAAAAAGGAAAAGAGACAAATCACAAAAAAAGAGAAAAAATTTCTAGCAAAAGGCAGAAGAGAAGAGAAAAACAAAAAAGAAAACAATTAAACAGTTTGCAGAAGAACAAAAGAAAACAATCAGTTAACAAAGTAAACTAATTAGATTAATTATTTTTACTATTATCAAAATTAAAACTAATTCAGTTAAAGGAAGAGAAAAATCTAACTTAACCTTTAACAAACCTAATCTCAAATAAAGAGCATGTTCCCAATCAATGTTGTGATATTTTCTATTCTCAGTTACCGGCATCTGGTTTTCGAAAAATTCACTAAATTGGTTGTTTAGAATTTCGCTGGATGGCGACACTTTTTTCTTCTCTCTGATTGGCCAATTCGGAGAAAAGTGTGACATTTAGAACGATGGATTACCAGTTGGTTTCCGTTTCCCATTCACACATTTGTTTCTCTTGCAGTTTTTGATGAATTGATTCACTTAAATTAAATTATTCTTTTTAGTGTTTAATTGTTTTGTTAATATTTTACTGGATTCCAATTGAATAAGGTGAGTTAATTTTTGATATTGATAATCGGTTGGGCAGTTTTGTTTTTTCTCTGTTTGGTTTTTACTTTTCGGTTTTTGTGTTTGGGTTTGAGAATTTTTCTTTTCCGGTTTATTTTTGGTTTATCGTTTACTTTTACATTGGAATGGGTTTGATTTTTTGATGTGTTGGATCTTTTTTGTTTCTTGTTTTCTGTGTTTTGTCTTCTATTTATTAATTTTTGTTCTTGTTTTTTTCTTATTCTAGGTCCAAGCTTGGGATCTTTAGGTTTTCATTGAGATGCAAATTTTCGTCAAAAATGTCGAGGGTGAAACCTTGACCCTGACTGTTGAACCTACTGACAGGATTGAAGATTTATTAGATCAATTAACACAAATTGATTCTTCGTTTGAGGAGGATGGTCACCTAGTTTTTGGTGGTTTGATTCTTGATGAAGAGCAACTTATTTCAGAATTAACTCTCGAAGAGGGTTCAACTGTAAACTTTGTTGTCGGTCTTGCTGGTGGTGCTAAGAAAAGGAAAAAGAAGAATTACACCACACCAAAGAAAAACAAGCATAAGAAAAAGAAGGTCAAATTAGCTGTTCTTAGATACTACAAGGTAATTCAATTTTGTCTAAATTTCCATTTTCTAATCACCAAATTATTTAGCTTTTCTTTTCCACACTTGAGCGACATTCCCTTAGCCTTTTGGCTAAACCTTTCTTGTTATCTCTATCTAATCATTTTTTTTTAATCTTTTCAGGTCGATGAAAATGGCAAAATCAATAGGTTAAGACGAGAATGTACCAATGATAAATGTGGAGCCGGTGTTTTCATGGCAAGCCACTTCGATCGACAATACTGTGGAAAATGTGGTTTAACATTTGTTTTTGATAAGCCTGAGCAAAGCAAATAAATGGATATTGTCTAAGTTAATAAAGATCCATTTATTGATATACATTCAATGTTGATCATATTTCCCTTCAATCTTGATTAACTTTGACTATTCATAATCACACCAACATTTTCAAACCATCAACAGTATAAACATTAGATGTAAACGATTTTCTCTTTACTTTCTATTTTCAATTTTTCTATAATCTATTCGATTATTGTATAAATAGTTTCTTTAATGAGTCCTGATGATTAGCTCAATTAACTGTTTCCCACTCTCGTTAATTAGCAAAATCTTCAACTCCCATTTTTAAGCAACTTAAATTATTCTCAACTCTCTCATAAATCATCATTCATCGGAAGATTCACTTCAGACACAGAAGAACTTAGACTAATTTAAATGTTAATTCGCGTAATAACAAGCCAAGTGTTAACCAGTCGATATTGACGTGATTAAAATTGTCAATTTTAATTTGATTAATCAGTTAATCAACTTGAGAGAACAAAAATTTTTTTCCCTCTCGCTGCTTCCATCTAGCGGATTCTTTTTTCCCTCAAACTGTTGACTTGTTTTTCTATTGAGAAACAAATTTTGAATTCTAGTTAATCGTAGAGTCGCTAGATGATTCGTATGATTCCAGTTACTTTTATTATCACCGGTTGATTGTTAACATAATTTATATAATAAAAAAGAGAAAATAACAGTTAACCAGGAATCTATTCGATTCTATTGCGCAATTGTGAGTCATATGCGTGGAAGAGATGAAATCGAACCAAGAAAAAAAAAGAGTTGGAATTATTTTCTTTCTGCCAACAAAATGCATTCGAATTGTAATAAAAATCTGGAAGAATAATTCGTCGATCGTATTTATTGTGTACCATTGGTCTTTAATCTAAATTAGTTCAGTGAACATCAGTTAACATCTAATTGTGAATCAATATTTTCTCATCTTTTCCATGATAAATGATTGCGAAAATGTTATAAATCCGAATTGAGAAAAATAAATGAAAATCTAAAATTTAATCAACTCTCACCATCCTTCATAATACTAATCATCATATTCACCATTCCCACAACCAAGTTTACCAATAATCTTAATCAACTCCATAAAAGCGCATCAGAATTTTAATCAACTCCAAATTGTGTGTGTGTTAACTAATCATCTTATCCCTTAGTGACTTCAACAATTAAGTTTCTCAATTGCAAGTAATCAAGAAACGGAAATTGATTCAAAAATCAAATTTACTTTCTAACATCAAGGTAAGTAATTGAAACTTTAAACTCTCCTTACGATTAAGTAAATTGTCAACTGTAATTAAAAACTGTAAATGTTTACCGAACCTTTTTAAATGGAGTAACTTTCCAAATTCAATTGGAAACTCAGAATTTCAATTGGATTTCATGATAAAATGTTCATGGTAAACACTGAGAATAGACTTTGACAAACATTCATTTCCGAATGGGATGTAACAGAAAAAAAAATAATCTCCTCTCAGAATCAGGAATCAAGAATTACAATTAGAATCAACAATGTAACAATTTACTTGACTAACAATGAACCAAATTTAAATCATACATTGAATCACAATCATACTTTATTCACAATTGTTAACAATTATAATTGTATTCCAAATCTGAATCAATTGTTGGCACAAAAAAATCAACTAACAACAAATTAGCTTCCAACTGAATCAATAAGTTATCATGAAAATTAAAAAGTAAACAAAATTATTGATTAGTTATGATTAAAAAGGAAACTTAATCTAATTCTCATTAAAAATAATATCTTAATCATGATCAACGTTATTAATTTATTGATCAAACATAAACTATTAACTAAATTGATTATCAAGTTAATCATCAATAGTAAAGATGAACAAGCAAAAAAAAAACAGGAGAAACCAAATTAAGTAAAACTAATTAAATTGCTAATCAAAAGCAATTATAATCTCATAGTAATCAAGAAACAATCTGAAATCTTAAATGATAATAATAATAATATTGAATCACAATTAACCGCCACAGTAGAAATCAAATTAGAAACACAATTGACTACAGTAACTAAATTAAATTGTCAAGGTATAATCATCATGTATGGAAGGAATAAATTAATTAGTGAAAGTGATTAATTGCGAATAGAGAGAAAGAAAAAAAAATCAAAATTAACTGAATTAAATGAATAAATGATTTCTCCTTTAACTAATCACCAATATCTATGAATGAATGATAATAACTTTTCATTTTGAAAACGTGAACAATGTTAATCATGATGATGAACATGATGATAACTATTATTATTTGAGGTTCCATTATTCAGATTCATTTGATAATTTAGTTATAATATTATATTGTCATGATTAAATCAATCGATGTACATTAAACTCTCATATGATATAGTGAATACCTCCAGCAGAGGATACACAATAATAATAATGGTGACAATGATGATGATGATGATGATAATAATAACGGTAATATAATAACAATATCTAAATATATCGTAACCAAAATTAAGGTAACCCACTGAGAGATGTGAATCAATGTGAATTAGTTAGTTAAATGTTGCTTTTCAATGAAAATTTTATCACCATCATCATGTAGATAAGGATGAAGAAGATGATGATGATGATGATGATGTTCATTGTCCTTTTCATCCTTATCTCCATCTTCATCTTTATTATAATAACTATTACATGTGATACCAATTACTATTCAAGTCACTTTATTATCTGGTTATTTTCTGGTTACTTTTATTCATCATCAAAACCAGAATCATAATCATCATCAGCAACGATTGTCATTTCAATCAATATATCACAATCAGTACATATTATTTCAATCAATTTACTTATCATGATGATGATAATAATAATGATAATAATAATAATAATATCTTTCTTTCAATTGTTAATATCATTTAGGAATTGAATTCTCTATGATAATTAGTTTTAACTGTTACAATCATTTATTATTAAATTTTATTGTCATCATAATGATTGGTCATCATATTGTAAGGCCTGGGAAAAGGCATTAAAGTTGTGGATTAAACTTAGAAATTCGAAGAAAAGGTAAACGAATGGTCATCAAGATTGTGATTAAGATTTAATCATTGAGGCTTTAAGAACATAAAATAAGATAAAATAGTAAGCGCAAAGTTAAAGATTGACCCCATAAATTACTCTCATTAAAGTCAGACTTGTCAAATTGTATGATAATTTATTGTCAGACCCTGAACTGACAATCATTAATGTCAGACCTAACCTGAGTTATGACCTTTATCAGAGTAACCATCTGCTGTGACTTTAAGTGCATGTTCCTTCCCTTCCTTTGTCTGGTTTGAGGATAAAGAGAGCAAGAAAAGAGAGGTCAGAGGTATGCGAACAACGGTTTATGTTAAGACTTTGGTTTCAGTTGATTTCTGATTTTAGTGTATTTAAATTTCGGTTTTAATTAAAGAATTTGTTTTAAATAAATTATTGTTTGTGTTTTTCTCTCTCATCATGTTCATCTTTACTCCGTTTCTCTTCATTTATTTTCTTCCCGAATTAAATTTGTGACAAAATGGAGGTCCCACCGAGAGCTTTCAATTGAAAGCCTCCAGAACTTGTGTTTCTTCTGACAATTTAATTCTTTATGAATTTTTATAATCTTTCTCTTAACAGTGAAATTTGTGATCATCTGGTGTGAAACATCTTTGTTTTATTTGTGTTTGTATTAACAGTTTTGGTCTGACAACAGACTAGAAAGTGCCACACCCTGATTTTCTTTGTGTTTTCATCGCCTCATTAATCTAAAAATTCTGTTAGATTTGTTGCTTCTGGATAAAACTCTCATCCAGAAATCATAAACTGACCCATAATCACCTCTAATTAATCTTTTGTGAACAATTAAGACACTCGGTCTGACCAAGCGAGTCTGACTGGAAAGTCTGACAATACTCAATCGAAACGTCTCAACCTTGTAAAAAAAAAACAATTAATTCATTTTCTCCATATAAAATTCTTGATTAAAACGTTAAGTAAACTAATAGGTTTTCCACGACTAATCGTTTATGTTACGATCAAAATCTCTAGATTTTATAAGCGTTAACTCAATAAAAGATTCACTTGAACGGCTGTTCATCATGAGCGATCATGAAATAAAAGACATCAAACCCAATGTGGTCGCTGTACCAAGGGGTCCAAAAATTGAATATTTCGATGGAAGTATTTCCGCTCAAGTTCTGAAATTTCTTGACAAATTTGAATCTTTAGCCAAGTTTTACAGTTGGTCTGACATTGAAAAGTTATCGCGAATTGGTTTTTATTTAGAAGATACCGCTCAGTCCTGGTATAAGCAGGAAATCATCAATCGGTCTGGCGACAAGGAAATCACTTGGTCTGAGTTTGTGAAAATCTTTAAAGAGACTTTTCTTCCCTCTTCTTATGATGACTTCGTAATCGAACAACTCAACAATCGAAAACAAGAGTACCATGAACCTGTTACTCGATATATTATTGATGTTAAAGACTTGTGTTTAAAATTAAATAGTAAAATGGAAGAGAATGAGGTACTTCGACACTTATTTAGAGGTGTCAGACCCACCTTAAAATCATCTCTTTATGCCGCTAAACCTAAGACAGTTCATGAATTCCGTGAACATGCTAAGAACTTGGAAAAGGGTGATCAGACCGTTAACCCCTCAGAGGAAATCACCGAATTAAGAAGATTAATTCAAGAATTAATCATTAAAAGTGATGAGAAAAACTTCTCAGACCCTCAACGGAAAATACATAACTCACTAGTGAATAATATGAGTAGTGAATCGGACTCATATGTGTTTACTGATGCATGGATTGATAACAGACCTGTGAAGTGTATTATTGACTCTGGTTCAGCAGTTTCAATCGCCAAGATTTCATCAATCGAAAAGCCACAATTGATTCGACAATATGAAGGACCTCGTGTTTTATCGGCTAGTGGGCATCAACTCCCGATCCTTGGAAAAACTCGAAGTTTAATTAAAGTTTCTGGAGTACCAATGTCAGTTTGGACCAATCTTCTGGTTGTCACCGATGAATTCAACTATCCTTTATTACTTGGTAACAACTTTAATAAAGCCGCAAGCGTGAAGTTAGATTTAGGAAAAATGCAAATCCATCAGACCAATGTCATCACGGAAGATAAGTTCACTCCTAATTCATTATTAAATCCTGATTATTGTTCACCTTTTTTGGGTTATCAACAAGAAACTGTTGAAGGATTTATCCCTTTGGATGTAAATAATTGTATTGTACAAACTGAACCCAACTTCGAATGTTTAGGTCTGAGAGTTGAATTTATCGATGAATGTGATAAGAGTCTCTCTCTTCTTCCTCAAGCCTAAAACTTAATCAAGTCGACCCTCCCCGTCTCCCAAAGCTAACCGCTTCATTTATCCGGGTCTGACCTCATTTTCACCGTCAGACCTTTGTAATTCAAGTCATTAGGAGTTCAGGTTATCAGTTTTACTCATATTTAATCACTCAATTTAATCTCAATCAATATTAAAATAATAAATAACGAAATTCATCACCAATTTTCAAGGTCTGACACCACTAGTATTGAGAAATCAGACCTCAAATATTTCTTCAGATAATATGAAATTAGTTCCGAATCCTTCGTAAACACCATCAGTTATATCTCAAATCATCATTAAAGAAAAAGAAAAATTGTCAGTTCTTGAAATTATAAGCGGACATACTCAGTCTGACGGAAAAGACCAGGTCTGACAGCCAAAAATAATTATTTTGTTACAATTTATAATTCTTTTCAAGTTAAAATCAATTATATATCCTTAATTTAATTTAATTAATACTATTTGGTATTAAAAACACTGAAATAATCATTAATTAATAGTCAGACCCTGAATTAAATCAATTTAATGTAAAAATAATACATTTCGTTAAAACAGGGATCTTTTGGTTAAAATAGCCAGGATCCGGATCCGTATCCGATATCGATATCTGTATGGATCATAACAAAGAATCACCTGGGAAAGAAAGAGGTTAAAGGAAATGAATAGGGAAACAAATTCAAGTTAATCTTATCAAAAAAAAAAAATTTTTTATTTTATTTGTTCAAAAAGAAATGATTTTATTGTTTAAATTAACAATTAAAATTGTCGAAGCCAGGCTTTAGTCGCTTTTTGATTCATTCCTCTGGAATTGGGTATTTGTTCTGCATGGTTATAGCCCAGATGTTCTGCCAAATTTTGCCAACGTTTTGTTTCACGAAAATTT